AGTAAAATATCTTTAGGTTTCTTTCGTTATCTTATATTTTTTTTATAAGTAGTATTAATAATTTTTTAGTAAGTAATATTTTATATTAATAATATCGTCCTTAGGGTTATATATATAGCTACTATCGTATAACTCTAGGTAGTTCGAGGGGTATTATTTTTTATTAATTTCTTTATTTTTTTTATATAAATAATATATATATCTATAATAATAGACTTTATAATTTAATATATACCTTTTATAATATTTATATATAATATATTAGTTATACGCGAACTTTTTTAAGTTAAGATATTCTCGTGCTTTAATCCTATATTATAGATATAACGTTTCTTTTACTTATTCGTAACTTTCGCGTTTTATTCTCCTTACTTAAATATAGTTTCGGTTTATTTCTTTAGTAAGCTCGAACAATAATTTTATATTATTAAGATAGTCCTTATATCCTCTATATCCTTGCTTATAATCTAAGGTATATTCCTTACTCTTAGTTATTTTAATACTAATTAATACCTTTACGGTATTCTCGTATTATTAAAGTTCTTCTATTTCTTTTTATTATTTAGTTTTATATTAATCGAATACTTTCTTTTTAATATACTTAAGGTAGTCTACCGATAAGTATTTATACTATATTTTCTAATTCTATATATATACCTTAGGGTATTTTACTAACTACCTTAGTATTATATATCCTATATTAGGTTCTAAGTATATATATTTATAGAATTCCGCTTTATCCTTCTTATAAGGATTATTAATAACGCGGGTAATTAATCCTTTAATCGGGTAGACTTAATATTTCCCTTTATTAAGTATATAGATTTTATAGAGATAGTATATATAAGATATTTATAATAGTTCGCTATACTTACTCGCGTTAAAGTATACGCGTAGGTTATCTCCTAGAACTATCTTTCTATCTATTACTTAATTAATCCCTCTACCTATCGTTTAAGCGGGGATTATTATCTAAAGGTCTTCTCCTTATAATAATAAGTTAAATCGATCTATTTTTATTTTTATTTATTCTTCTTAAGTTACTTATTTATATAATAAGTTAGTCTTAAGTATTTTCTTTTCGTATAATAGTTCCTCTTCGCTATCTATATTGCTAGTAAATTCGTTTAATACGTCGCTATTATCTTCGGAAGTTATAGCGATTTTATATATAACGGCGAGGGTTTTTCTCTTAAGCGCTTTTAGAAACTATCCTAAGTTTTCCTTATTACTTATATAAATATAGTAATTATTATCGAAGTATCCTAACTAATATAGTGCGTTATATACTATTAGTTAGTTTACTTCTTATTCCTTAGCTTCCTTTATTTTAGCGAGGAATTCCTTATATTACTTATTTCTTTCCTTAGCTTCGTTAACTAAATCTTATAGCTAGGCGTCGTATCCGGACCTAATTATATTTAGTTATTTTAGCTTACCTTTAGGTACTAGCTTCTAGCCCTAGCTTCGTTCTTTTTTTAGGGAATAATATTCGCGTATAAAGTATCTTTTCTTACTATAATTATAGTAAGTAAGGTTTTTCTTATCTATTGCGGCAAGCTTTCGTTATATCGCGTCGAGATCTATTAGTCTTATATAAATACCGCCGAGGGCCGTGCTTTAGTAGAATTAGGGTCGTCTTATATTAAGATAGATTCGGTTTTTATTATTATAATCGCGGTTTAAAGAGTTAGTAAAGTACTATCCTTTTTTCTATTATTATCTTTCGAACTATTAGTTATTGATTTTAATTATTATTATTATATATATAGCGAGCGTGGTAGGTCGATCTTCTTTATAGAGTTCGTCCTTAATTTCGTTTTTAAGGCCCTTATAATAAGCTACTATCTTATCTCCGTTACTTTTCGTTATCCTAGATACGATTTAGACGAATAAGGCGCTATAATTAGAAACTAACTTTTTTTATTTTAATATTTTTAATTAATTCTTAATTAAGCGTTCTTTATTAATAATTCTAAAGGTTCCTTTAAATACTTCTTTAAAGTTATAGTAATATACGAAGATATCTTTTATTTTTTACCTTCGATATTAGTAGATATTAGTTACGAAGTCCCTAAGGGTAGGTTCGAACTATATAAGAGCGGCTCTTAATAAATATCTTATTACGTAGCGTATGTTATTTTCTTCCGTGCGGAGTATAGAAAGGAAGTATTATTAGTAAGCCCTAACCTAAGTTAGAAATCCTTAAAGGTCCTTAGTCGTACTATCGAACGGTCTTACTTAGCGTAACTTTATAATTTCTCCTAGATCCTTATTAGTAGTTTATTAAATAATATTATTATTTATACTATTTATTTCGTTTCTTAATTAAGCGGCTTATTATTATTATAAGATTATTCTTTCGTTAAAGGAATAATATATCTTATTATATTATTACTTATCGCGGGCTTATATATTAGAAAGTTATCGTAGTTATCCTTATAACTCTCGGATTTACCCCTTAAGGAGTTCTATCTCTTTATCGTTAGAGTCGTCCGAATTTATACCTATATCTTTAGTTAGATCTACTTGAATAAACTTAGCGTGCTTAGCCGTAGCCTTAGAGGTTAACTTAAAGGATTCGCTAACTATAGTATCGTATTACTTAAGTACTTAATATAGTAGTATACTAAATAAGAGCTATTAATATATAACGTTTAGGTTAGACTAGCTATAGGGTAGGTAGATCTAAAGTCGGTTTATAAACTAAGTATATTAAAATATTATTAACTTAAGCGGTCGGGTTATAGTCTATATACGAGATAGTAGATCTTACGTAAATAATTATATTAATAACTAAGGAGCTAATAAAGACTAATTATAATAAAGCTTAGTTTCTTATATACTAAGTAAATAATATATAGTCGATTATAGTCGATTATTATCTACGAGTGCTTTTATAGTATAGTCGATTATAATCGCCTAGCGCCTATAGTTACTTATTATACGTGATATATATAGGACGTATAATAAGTAAAGAAAAGTAAGGGGCACGTAAGAGGCGTATACGGTCGTATGTCGGGTCGTAATAATAATAAGTTATTTAGGTAGTTCGTAATATAATTAATTAGTCTATTTATTAATATAACCGATTTCTATATAATATATTTTTATAGCTATACGTGAGGATATAAGCCTTACTAAGCTTTAGTAATAAGAGTGTCTAAGGCTAGAGTCTAGGCCACTTACAGCGGTCTAGGTATAATCTTAATTACTAGTTAGATTATGAATAAAGTAAATATCGATTTACTACGACTTAATATAAAACCGCATACGGGGCTATATAGTTCCCACGTAATTCTCACGTATAATCTACCTTTTCCTATTAATCGCACAATAATCACCTTAATTATTAATAATAATTTTATAACTATAATAATTAATTATATATAATTAGCTTGATTATTAATTAATAATTTATAAGTATTAAGAATTACTTTAGTATATAAGAAGCTAGATTTTATTATAAGTATTTATTACTTAGCTCCTTAGTTATTAGTACTATAATTATAAATAAGTAAAATACTATCTACTATACTAGAGTATAACCCGACCGCTTATTAATAATGCTGTAATGTACTTAGTTTATAAACTTACCTTTACTCTATTTACTTAGTAACTGATCTAGATTAGAGTATTATATAGTAATACATCTTATTCAATATATTACTATATTAAATACTTATATAATATAATATTATAGGTAGTATTTATAATTCCTAAGACGTAAGGGAAATTACTAAACTTAAAAACCTTAAATTATATATTAATATTATAAAGGAACTCTAAGGATTCCTTACTTAATCTAAGACTTATAAGTAATTATTCTGTATTTAATTTAATAATAATTAATAAGGTTCCTTATATAACTATATACGGATACTTAAGAATAATAACCTTAAATTAGATTAAACTTATTATAAAGGATTACTATTGAAGAGTAGTACTCATCTAGGCGCAGGGGAAGTGAATCGCGATAATCCGGGAACCCTTTAGGGTAGGCAAAGGAATAGGAGAAGAACGGTGTGAATGAATGACTTGATTTAGAACTATCTAGTAGTGAGTGAAGGCCTATATTTATAGGCGTCAAGGTGCTGTAATGCCCTGTAAAAGAGTGGGTCAAACCGAACCTAGTGGAAGGTTATAGAAGGTTTGATTTATAATAGCGAGTGTGGCAGTGCTAGCCTTCAGAAGGTTATAGAAGGCTATAGAAGCACTGGATTTGTAAGCATTGCAGACCCCTGTAATAGGTCCTGAATAGATCCCTGTAAGGTTTCTGTGAGAGGGCCTCGTAAGGCACCTAATAGGGGGATAAGTCCCCTATTTTCAACAATTACTTAATAAATACTAAGATAATAAGTATATAGAGATAATTATTATTCTCGTGATATTTATTAGATTTAAGAATATAATTAAAAAATAACTTTTAAATTATATATAAGTCTTAAGTAATTATTAAAAAATCTAGAACTTAAAGTAAAAAAGGTTAGCGTTAGATTATATAGTATAATCCGATATATTTATTTTAATTTAAGTAGTTATTTAAGATTGAAGGTAATAAAGGTAATATTTAATAATATTATATCTTATAATCTTCTAAAATACTATATCTTATAATCTTTTAAATACTTTTTACTCTTCTTTTTTTTTACCCTCATTCTCCCTTGTCTCTTATATGTCTTATAAGTAATATTATAATTTTCGCGTAGCTATATATAAAGCGTCGATAGTAGTTTATAAATCCTACGAACACTTACATTTCCTTAAGTGCAACGTTAATATTGCCCTGTGCATGCTGGTCATCCTCTTCACCTCGTCTGCTGAAAGGTCGATCCTCGTGCAGTACATAAGCAAACACTTTGGGTGGACGCTGGCCGTGACGAGTGTGCTCCTCGCATTACGAAGCGGCCTGCCATGAGACAGAACCTCTAATGCGTACAACAAATACAAGAGAAATCATGCCTGCTCTGCCACTGAGGACACAAACTCCTCCTCAAAGATTACCCAGCCATGATGCTGCGCCCGCCGTCCGTCGTGACCCTCTTCCGGATACGGATCTTGAGCACGCCATTGCCCAGGTGCACCACTCTGTTCTCGCTAGGCGCCTCCTCCTTAGGCGCCTCCTCCTTAGGCGCCTCCTCCTTAGGCGCCTCCTCCCTAGGCGCCTCCTCCTTAGGCGCCTCCTCCTTAGGCGCCTCCTCCTTAGGCGCCTCCTCCTTAGGCGCCTCCTCCTTGGGCGCGCCGTACGACCGGCCAAAGGCGAAGACGGGCGTCGTCAACGTGCCCCCGCCCTCCTTGGCGTTGACGCCCGAGTCGTAGGTCGAGTCCTCCCCCGAGTCTGCTGCGGCCGTCCCGTCATCCGCCGTCTGCATGTCAATAACAGCGCTTGGCGCGAAGAGCAGTGCCTCGCCCGTGCGTAGGCGGACAACCTGGGAGAAGAGATCCCCCGCGACGTCGTCTTTCTTCAGCGCCAGCGGACGAATCCCCGTTTCCGTCCTGCTACCTTTCTTCATCCCCTCTTCATCGTCTACGTTCGGGTCCAGCCAGCTCGAGGCACCGGCAAGATGCTTCTGCAGGGCCCGCATCCAGTCCGGACTCGTGAAGCGATGCACAATCGTGACGCTGCACAGGTCCAGCAGACCCGGCGAAATGGTCGGCTCCTGCGTGGAGATGATGACGCGCGTGGCAATGTGGCGCTGCAGACGGATCGTGCTCAGGAGATTCTCCGTCAAAGCCTGGCACTCGGACGAGTCGGTCATGTACTTGTGCGCCTCGTCCAGCGCGACGACGCGGCCGACCTGCGTGTCCTGCTCGAGAAAGAGACTAAGGCAAATGCCAAACAGCGAGCAGGCTATCTCGGCCGTGACGCAAGGGCAGCTTAGGTCGACCATGGACAGCTGCCCGGCCTTGGGTGCCCATGAGTTGCCATGTTGCGGGTCGACGACAGTCTTGCTGTTGTGATTCCGGGACGCGTGCAGACCCAGCGCCATCTCGTACGCCCTGGCCTGGTCGGACACCATGAAGCTCTCGAGCGTGTCGAGGCGCTGCTTGAGTGGCGCCAGCTGCGCCTCCGTGAGCGACTGCTCGTCGAGGTCCCTCTTGAACTTGGCGTAGTTGAAGCCGCTGCCCTTTTGCTGCTGCGCCACGCGAAGATCGCGCAGGATGCGGATCACCACGTGCAGGTAGAGCGGCAGCGTGCCCTGGACGGATGAGACGGCCATGAGGTCCAGCATGCGCTTCGTGTTGAGGTGCTCCTGGTTGATGCGGAGGACTTCAATGGTGACGTTGGGCAGCTTAGCGTAGATTCTCTGCCGTCGTTAGTACAGATCTCTTTGAAAGGAAGGAGTATGCGTACCTTGATATGCGTCACGTTAGTCGGGGCACACAGCACCCTAACATCGACACCACGGTGAGAGCTGAGAAAGGCCGCCTCGCAGAGGGAGCCGCCCGAGTCAGACACAAACGTGTCGTAATGAAAAAACAATGCCTGTCAGTGGTTTTGGCAGCATGTTCACCTCGTTCTGCAGCAGGCAGTTCTCAAGCAGGCAGCTGAGCGAGTGCGACTTGCCTGAGCCCTGGGAGCCGCAGATGAACGTGCTCGATGGCGCCGCCACGTTGAAGAAGAGACGCGGATCAGACGCTTTACCGCTCGCGTCACCCGCCAGGAGACCATACTGCGCAAAGGGCTTGCTCTTGTCGGACCTGCCCGTCCTGTCGTGCTCAGCGAGGACGTGGCGCTGGACGGCCTGGGTGAAGATGGGCGCGGTGAGGACATCGCTCAGCGTGGTGTTCTCGGTCTCTACGTCGAGAAACCGCATGTGCTTGGCGAACTCATCTTCTTTTTTCACCGCTACGGGCTTCTTCTTCTCGCCGCCGCCGAGGTTAAGCTTGCCCATGTCAAAGATCAAACGATGGTGCTGGTGCGTTGGTCTTGGCAGGCACGGCGTTGAACGTGAAGATGCGCGGGTTGCTGGTCTCCTTGGCAGCACTACTGGCCTTGAGAGGAGATTGTGTGTGTACGGGCGTGAGAAGCTTGGGAGCGCGCGTTGGGGTCCCCTCGTTGTCCTCGCCAGCTGTAGGGGCGTCGTCGCGTCTAGAGATGGTGAGAGCTTGTGAGGATTCTGGGGCAGATGGTCAGTGCTGTAGACGCGAGTAAGTACGAGCAGCGGTGAGACTCACCTGATTCTTCTGGAGAGTGAACAGCACGAGTAGCTCAAACTGGGGCGATCCTGCGTCTCGATGGTTTTGTGATCCCAAGCTCAGAATCGGTGGAATCATATCGCAGCGAGGGCTGGAACTGAAGCGAGGGCTGCAAGTGATAAGAGGCCATGATGAATGAAGGCCACGCAGTGCGTCAGTGAAGCGTGTGCTTGCCAGTGAAGCGTGTGCTTGTTAGTGTCTTGCCCGTGTTTTGATTTTGTGAAAACTGGTAAATGTTGGGTTCACGCGAAACTCAGCCTCCTGGTGAGATGAGATTGCCATGGAAATTTGGTCAAATTGCTTGCAGGCTGGCCCCAGGCGGCTCTACGGGCTGCAGGGTGCTGGATGTGCCTGCCAAGCCCCGATCAGGCCCCTGGGAAGTTCGGCGCCCCCGGGAATGGTGTCTGGATAGTGGATCTGCCTCTGTAAGTGTGCTGACTAACGGCGCATTCACAGTTTACAGATAAACAATGGACGCGTCTCTGATTTCCATCTTGTTTGCAATTGTCTCTGTGTATATCTACTCAGATCCTCGCTAATTGACGTCTGCGTAAAAGTGGTTCATTTGGAACGTGGCTGGCCCGCCAGTCATCGGTTCCGTACCGAGTTGGAGAACTGTCTTGTTAGTCCCCACGCCATCGACACGCAAACGCAAGGAAAACTCACCCGTCAGATACTGGCTGTCCACAGGAAAGCCCTTGCTGTCGCGCAGATAGTCAAAGAAGCCCTTTGCGTCCAAGTCGACCGAGTGGCGCGCCGCGTCCGCCACAAAGGTGTACACGTGCATCTCGCCGTTGAAACCATCCCAGAGCGTCCACGTCTGGCCCTCGACCTCGACGCTGCCGACGCTGCTGCCCACCGGCCAGAGGTCGCCGTAGTTGGCCAGCCAGACCATGACCTCGTAGTCGCCGCCGCTCGACGCGTGCGTGGGATCCGATGCCGTGAACATGTCGTAGGCCACGTTGGCCCGGATCGAGTCCCCGCTGTAGCCCCAGTCGGCCTGCGTGGGGATGCTGCTGATCTCGCTCACGAGCTTCTTGTCCGCCAGCGTGCGGCCCGCGTGAGGATAACTCTTGACCATGTCATCGTTGCCGGACCACGTCCAGTCCGCCCGCCACGAAACGCCTGAGCTGGACACCTCGTCCACGTAGGTGCACTGCTGGCCGGTGCCGAGTGCGGCGCCCCATTTGTTGTTGTTGGCGTAGTAGCCGTCCGTGGTGGACTGGCTGTACTGTTCGCACAGCGTCTGGGCCAGAGCCAGGGGGGCGATGCTAAGGAGAGTGAAGGCCTTCATGGTGATGTTGGAGTGGTCAAGTGAAAGTAGGTTGATAAAAGTGTGTGAGTGTGAGTGAAAGAAAGGCTACACCAGGTAGAATAAGATAGAATAGAATGTGAATCGGAAAGAAAATGGCCTAAAAGGAACGACTTGCGCTTGAGTCCTCAACAGACGCGGGCCAGGCAGGGCGATGGCACGACTTATATATCCGTGGCCCTCGTGCTGACTGGAGTTGTAGGACTAGACCAGCCGCTCGCTTAAGGTAGTCCAGGAGTCCATTCCCCACCCCCATCGGAAGGGCATTTGGCCATCACAAGCTTCGACTAGTCCAAGGTACAAGCGTCCCTCTCTCAGGGACCCTTTGCCCGATCGAGAAACCACCCGCCGTCCCTCGACGCTCACTCGCCAAATTCTAATGCCACCAGGCATCTCATCCTGCCCAGTGTGTGCAGGGGCGGCCCACAGCAGCGGCAAGGCCTCCAGCTACTGCATGGTCCAAACGTCCTAGATGTGGTCGAATCGTCTCCACTGAGCGAGTAATGGGAGGCGGACTCTGGAGAGAGACAGCGCTTCACGTACCCGAACGAAAACTCGTTCTCGACAAGTCGACCGGCGTCCGTCAGCCGAGTCAAGACACGCTGTCTCGGGACCAGCCAGGTCCACGCTCGAGTCGAAAGAGGCGTCCTACTGTACAATGGGGAACATGTTGGCTGGAATGGAAAACACATGGTGTGCGGACGCAGGTGGACGTTCGTGGTTCTCGGCTCACGGCGGCTCGGATGTTCATCCGGCGCGTACGTGGCATGAAACAGGCACCGGTTGTTTCATCGATCTCGTTGGGGGCTGTGCCGATCGTGTCGGACGACCCTGGAGACTTGACCAGAAGGAAAGTCGTGAATAGTTCGTGGCTGGACGCGCGGGCGGTGGAAACCCCCTTGCTTCGCAAACGCCTCATTGTCAATTGACAAAGACGGGTCTATTTTCACGTCCCAACATCGTCCCCCCAATGCTCTAGAACAGACAAAGCAGAGGCCTACCAAGATGACCCTAGTACCAAGGTACCTTAGAAATGGATGTCAAGTCACCACCAATTGAACGATGAGGGGGGCATCACGTCATTGGCGCTGGCTGGTGCACTCCGCACCATCTCACCATCCAACCCTCTGTTTCCATCCTCGCCTCGCATCTGCGATTCCACGTACCACCTGGTGAACCTCTGTAGACCTCACAAAATGGCCGCTGTCGACACCTCCCTCCCTGCCGAGCCAACAGGCGCCGCCGCCGCCCTGGCCGAGGCGCACGCCCAACCCCACGCCCTCAAGCTCTACGGTGGCTGGTTCTGCCCCTACGTGCAGCGCGCGTGGATCACGCTCGTCGAAAAGGCCATCCCCCATCAGTACATTGAAATCAACCCTTACAACAAGGACCCCTCCTTCCTGGCGCTCAACCCACGCGGCCTCGTGCCCACGCTGGCCGTGCCTGTGGGCGAAGGCGAGAAGAAGCCACTGTATGAGAGCACGGTCGTCTGCGAGTATCTCGACGAGCAGTTTGACGGAGAGCAGCATGGCGAGCGACTGTTGTCTGGAGGGCCATATGACCGCGCGAGGGCACGGCTGTGGATCGACCATGTTACGGGGAAGATCATCCCTGGGTTCTACAAACTCCTCCAGCACACGCCAGACAAGGCGTACTCACTCGATGACGCGAGGGCGGAGCTGCACAAGAACATCCGGTCGTTTGTGAATGAGATGGCGACCGATGGACCCTGGTTCCTGGGCCACACGTTCAGCATGGTGGACATTATGCTCGCGCCCTGGGCCAAGCGGCTCTGGCTCATCGACCATTACAAGACGGGCGGCACTGGGATTCCAAAGAGCGGAGAGGGCGATGAGACCTGGGACAGGTGGAACGCGTGGTTTGACGCCATCGTGGAGCGACCAAGCGTCAAGGCCACGTGGAGCGCGGACGAGAGGTACATCCTCGCGTACAAACGGTATGCAGAGGACACGACCAACTCAGAGGTGGCGCAGGCGACGAGGGAGGGGAGGAGGCTGCCTTGATCGGGACTTTTCTGAAGTTGGCTTGTAAATTGACAAGTCTGTATCCCTATGATCAAGAATTATGGTCCAGCGAATGAATTACGTGGAGTCCATACTGTGCGCACCCGAGGGGACAGACAGTAAAACTCAATTCGCACTGGAAACGTCGGCAATTCTAGCGGCACTGTACAGTGCGCCAAACTTAATGTCTGCAACGACGTCAGCTTGAAATTATTTGTCCCCATCACCATCACCCTCACACAACATGTCAGACTCGACGCCACCGCAGAACTCCCGATTCACGGCGCAGGCGACGGAAACGTCGCAGCGCCTCTCCTCCAACACAGTCGGTCTCGTCAGCGCCTCCGATTACCGCAAACGACGCGCCGAGCTACTCGACCAGCAGGACCGCGAGTCGCGCGAAGCCTCAACTACAGGCACCGGCACGAGCACCGGGGCGGACACCACGCCTGCCGACAGCGAAGCCGAGAATGGAAGCGTAGAACCTGTGAAAAAAAAGGCCAAGAAGAAGAACAAGGGGAAGAAACTGCTGTCTTTTGACGATGACGAGGACGACGATACCGAGGGACAAGGAGCTACACAGGAGGACAGCAGCAAAAATGGCGATGGAGGCGGCAGCGACAAGAAGTTCAAGGCCAACGCCTCGGTCAAGCTCGTACCCAAGGCCATGACGAAAGCCGCCCTGCGGAAAGAAGCCACCCAGCGCGAGGCCCTGCGCAAAGAGTTCCTCAGCATCCAGGACGCCGTCAAGAATACCGAGATTGCCATACCCTTTGTCTTTTACGATGGCGCCGACATCCCCGGAGGCACGGTCCGTGTCAAGAAGGGCGACTTTGTGTGGTTTTTCCTGGACAAGAGCCGAAAGGTCGGCGCAGACATGGGCGTCGGCGAAACGGCAAACGCAACGAGGGCGTGGGCTAGAGTAGGCGTGGACGATCTGATGCTCGTGAGAGGGAGTATCATTATTCCTCATGCAAGTCCCCATTGGCATCTATGGAGAGATCTTTATTGCTGACAGTGTGTAGCACTACGACTTTTACTACTTCCTGGTCAACAAATCCACCGGCCCCGGCGGCCAGCGCATCTTCAGCTACTCCTCCGATCCGCCTTCCACCCCCGTTGCTGCGGCGCCCGCGGCCACAGAGGGCCTGTCCACGGCGGAGACGAAAGCGGCGGCCATCAAGGCGTTGCCTGACGCCAAGACGCTCGAGGGCGCCAACGACGATCCCACGTTGACAAAGGTGGTCGATCGCCGCTGGTATGAGCGCAACAAGCACATCTTCCCCGCCAGTACGTGGCAGGACTTTGACGCGGGCAAGGACTATGCCAAGGAAGTCAGGCGCGATGCGGGTGGGAACACATTCTTCTTCTCGAGGTGAGAGCAGACATGTGGCGATAGGCACTCCCAGGTGTCTGTGTGTGTGTTTTTATGTGAAATCGAGCTTTTTGCATCCGTGCGGCTTCAACCGACCATCATCCAGACACCGCCCGCCACCGGGCCCAGCACGAGCCACCCAGGCCAAAAGACCATGAGGAACACCGTCTGGCCTCCCCCGAGGATGAACGTCGCAACCTCATGGAAAGCCTTCTTCCTCAGGGCGCGGCAGGTCTGGCTCTCCCACGCGTACCACACCCACGTGGCCGATGTGGACGCGCTGACCTTGGTCGCGAGCCACCCGTTGAGGGCGACGATCTTGCTGGCGTACAGTGTCGTGCAGGCGAGAATATATGCCTGGAAGCAGAGGAAGGCCGATACGGCGTGGATCATGCGCTGTAAGCGGAGCGCATTCACAAAGGTGGGCGTGAGCGCGCTGAGGAGGGTGTTGGCCGTGCCGAGAGACAGGTCGGCCTCGCCGTGTGCCGGCGTCAAGAGAGTCACCTGGTCCATTGTGAGGAGGAGAGAAGCAAGTCTGAGGTGTTGAAGTTGCGCTTTACCCATTTTCTCTCTTGCGACGGCAGCAGGTGTTTGAAGTCCTTATATCGGTTCTCTTCCTGTGCAGAGTATCGCGACCCCACCACCACGATCGTCACAAGAACACTTTGCCCCTCCACACGACCCTCTTACGAGACGTCCAATGGGACACTGGAACATCAGCAGATGCCATTTCCCCTGCGGGTTCACTGGAATCCCATGTCTGCATGGCGGATCAGCGAGGCGCGCCGACTGCTGGCCCGACGTCGTTGCACGTGGGGCTGATGATTCGTTCGGCTTGGTGGGGTCGCCGAGATACGGATCCGTAGGGACTTTGCCTCCCCATGCGCGACGTCTTTTTTGGCTGCGACGAATGCACTTGATGGGCGAGGTAAAGCTTCTGCCCCTCCTCGGACGTCGAGTCGACGCGTGGGCGCCTATGTAGGCGGGCAAATGGTGACAGGATGCGCGCTTTGCCTGCCTCGAGGCTGGTTGGGGACAGTATGGTGAGCCAATTGGGTGACCCACGTGTCGGATGCTGCGTCGCGAACACTTGGCTCGTGCGGGAGTTGTCGGCTGCGGGTATCTTTGTTCGACGCAGATCGGTAGTCTGGGTTGACATGCGCTGCATGTGCTATTACTGGATGGATGCTTGCATTCGAAGACGATGGCTCATAGCTCCAGAGGCGTGCTTGCAATAGAAGGGAGAGTAGAGGGCGTTGAAAATCATTATTGGTTCACCTCAACTGCTGTGTCTATACACAGTCAAGTGATGTGGTTGTCACTGACGCTTATCACGCCCACAGACATGCCCAAGTTCCCGACGGCAATCACCGACTTGTCCAACACGTCGACCTGATCGGCCGGTATAGCTGTCCAGCCAAGACTCAAGCGTCGATCAGAGCCTTTGGGCTGCGCTGCCTGACCTCGTCTGGGGTGTGATGAAGTATACCTAGTAGCAGCCCCTTTACGATGGATACAACTAGCGTTCAGAGGAGTTGAGTTGTCCATAAGCGGATCTCGAGCCATTCATACTCTGTCTGACATGTAGAAACGTGTTTAACGCTGCCATGACTGAATCTCAGGCCAAGACATCGCTACTAGGCTTCATGAATGACCAGCCCCGCCAGCCCTTCCCGGACCACAGGCATCTTACGACATCATGCGACAAGAAAGTACTTTTGTCACCCAAGCCTGGCCCTTTGTAGGTGACATAGAGACAGCCGCTTATGGGGTCTCTCCCCAGTTGCCCCTCCTTGGGCTGCTGTTTCTTCCTCGTGCGCCAACAACGCCTGGCGAGAAGGGGAACAATCGTAGCACCGCACCAGCGGTGATGATGCCACCCCCCATCTGACAGCGGGGATTCTGTGAGCAGAGGAAGAAGCGACAGGAGGAAGGGGGCGGAAATTCATCCTAAAGGGAGAAGTTTGTGAACGCCTGGGTAAGGATGATTGAGAAATGCATGGCAGACAATATCCATGTGGCAGGGCATTTGGGGGCCTGTCAGAAGAAAGAGTCTCCGTAGTGCCACATCAAAGTCTATATGCTAGACATCGTCTAGGCTGTCAGACCTTGGGCGACTTGCCCGTTCTAACATCGCCTTGTGCCTGTCGCTAACAATAGCTTCCGTCCACCATTGTCTTATATATATGTTTGCCTTTCTGCTCCTAGAAACTTCCATAAATTATAGTTCTGCCTCGCCGACCCTGCCTAGTCTGACTGGATGGCCCTTGCTATCGCGGAAAGCTAAGGCGGCCTCCCTGGTCCTAAAGAATTTCTTATGGAAAATAACCACGTATTTGTAGGACTAAGAGCAGAGGCAGTAATACTAGAAATTAACCTCATACTCATCTTCAAGCATCTCTTCGTACGTTTCAGCCTTAAACCGGTCGTTAACGCTTTCGAAGTCTATGGGGCGGCGATCCCAATTAGGGACTGCTATTCAGGGAGGAGCCTGTAGACTCGCTCCTAATCTTTATCGTCTACGTTAAAGTGCTCTGGGTCGTCTAGAAGCACCCACTAGCGGTCCTTCGCTTTAAAATAGGGTTAACCGGCACTAGAGTCGCTGACCTAGGCATCCAAGATTCTGTTCTCTTTATCCGTATTATCGCCGTAGTACGTACGTAGATAGATGAAATCTTGTCTACTGCCACCGCGATTATATTAATGGGCAATTTGCCGAACATTCTGGGGCCGCAATGGGCTTAAAATCTCAATCTCAGGCTGAGCTGGCACCCGAAAGACTCGGTCGCCCTCATTTCTATATTCATATATGTTAGGGTCCACGATGTCTTCCTTAAGGAAGTCATCGATCAATGCCCTACGCTGGTCGTCGGTGCTGGCTAGGCTGTTACGATCCCAGTTTCTCTATGCAGAGACGAGTGTTAGTAAAAATAAGCGTAGTTAAAGGATAAATATTGTACGACGAGGTATTGCTTGACCAGGGAGGGCCGAATCGGTCGGAGGCTGGCTAGATAGATAGATCTCTTGTTATTCTCTGATTCACTTGGTTTTCTGAGACCAACCAAGACTAGCGAAGCTTACCATTATGAACGAGCTCCCGCTTGGCGGTATTTGGCAACACAGCTCTCAAGGGGTCAGTGACCTTGCGATAAGCGCGAGAGGTTTGGGGTTAGAAATGGTGGGAGAAAAATCGACCATGCAACATTGAAGGTGTTGGTCGGGGCGACTACCTGGGTACGCAGCAAGCTGTGTCTAGGCATCCTCTGTTCATCCTCTATCGGGGGGAGATGCACGCTGAGAGGGGAAGCGGGCCAAGAGGCCTTGGACGGTACCCGGGATGCCCAACGGGCGAGAACCTTGACTGTTGTTCCCTCTCAGGCCGAGTATTTTGCCCAAATGACTGATGAGAAACGCCGGCTGAAATTTCTCGACTATTCCTAGGTTTGCTGGATTTGTCACAACACTCAATACACTCCTGGCCCTGTCTTGACTTTGATGGGTATCCCTGCAGTCTCTAGTCCCTTAATAGTCAACTCCGTGACGATGAAGTCTGCGCCTGGAAAGAAGCGTGTCAACAGTTTGACTCTGGATGGGCTTGAGTAATGGTACTTTACCTGGCGGTCCAATGACGGACGCTGCAACAGGGTATGGCTCCGTTCTCTGTGTCACGACGGAGTCGAAGGATATCTGGCCGACTAAGATGCAACGTCAGTCTTGATCCTATGCTTAAGGGTTGCAACTCTTATACCGATTGCTGTAATCTCTGGCGCTTGCATGATGGGCGACATGTTCAGCGATGCGAAGCCATTCAAAAGACCGTAGGGCCTGTGTCGAAAGAAACATATTAGTATGACACTCGATTGCGAATGCAGGCACTGGAGAGAATAACTTACGGCACTGGTGAGTCTCGATAGTTTGGTTCGCCGACCTTGATCGGGAAAACCATAATATGCAAGCTGTCCCTGTCGTTGAACTTTGAATATCCTGTCAAGAAGCCACTGTCGATAAACTTGGCAGCGTCGCCAGCATTCATCCCTCTCTTCCTTGGACATGCCTCGCGCCACGTCCCTGGAATTGTATCAGATGTGTCACCTGCAGTTTTTGCTTTGCCCGTAAGGAAACATGCTTCACTCACCATTGCCAATGGACATATCGGTGTACAAAGGGTGCTTTTCCATATTTCTCCTTGTACTCATTTCTGAAAGATTCCAAGGCATGGTATGAGTCGTAGAAAAACGGATATATGCCCGCCTTTTTCTTGTCAGTAACAGAACACTGCGGATAGTTTGAAGTTCATACAGTCTCAAGGTACTTTGAAATGTCGTGGTGTTCCTGCCCGTCAGGACTGTCCTCGGCCCATCGTTCGGCTATGGATATAGCGGTACGCTTCACTGCCAAAGCACCTTCGAGGCCAGCAACAAAGCGATCAATTACTTTTGTTTGCTCTTGGCTAGGAGTCGACAGGTAATCGCGAGGATACAAGATTGTTACTGGGACCTAACGATATTTTAGCGGATGGGTCATGATGAGTGGGCACACTCAACCTTGGGTGGTGGAAGTAGGCGTGGAGAATCTCCATACCATACAGACATGAACTCAGGAAACTTAGAGAGGTCACGCCCAAAGAACCCGGGCATATCGAACAACCTAGAATGGCAGGGTCAATCACACGTTTACCAGTATTCAAACTCGACAGAACAGAGAGCAGAACGTTACCGATCCGACAACGCGTGCAAACGGAATAGGCTATGAAGTGAAACTCACGGCAGTTGCCCAACAACACCCTCGTTGTTCATGATGCCTGTTGTCGGTCGAATGGTGTGGCATCCGTTGTAGTGGGCAGGCTTGCGTACGCTTCCATTTGCTGGGCAGGTGAGCATGCAACGTGAGCCTGGGAACATTTCCCTAAACACATACTATCGGAGCCAATTGAGAAGTCAAGCCAGTTGTAGGAGCCAACTGCTGCTGCACTTCCGCTGCTACTACCAGACGGCACTTGGTAGCCGTCACCGCGTGGATTGAAAGGATCGGTAAACTCGACTGCTTCGACGGGCTCCTCGCGTACAATCATAGCCTGTAGCTTGAGTTTGCCGATAACAATGGCGCCAGCGTCCAAAAGCAGTTGAACGCAATGGGCATGCTTGGTGGCTGGTGGATATAGCTGTCGCCAAGCTCGATTGTTGAGAGTGGTCTTGTGGCCGGCAATGTCGATGCTGTCTTTGACGCCGATTCTGGCACCTTCAAGTGGACGAGCCGCAGATGGTTTGTAGTAGCAGCGTGACGGTACGATAACTCGCCCATCAATGCCGGCCTCTGGTGAATCAAGCCTGACCAGAGTACGATAATGTCAGTTTGGAGCCTGACATAGTATGGGACCAAGTCACCAAGATAGAGGGGGGAGACTTATCCACCAGGTTTGGATGAAGGTGGCTTGAAAGTGCACATGAAGGTGGCGTTGAAATCGCGGTAAACCCTCCATGGCTGCCAGACACGCGATTTGACGAAGACATACGGCCCTCGGGCTACGTTGGGTGAGGTGTCGCCCGCGACAAAAATCCATCTGGTGGTGTTCCAGAGCTTGAGTTCGTGGATGACGTCGGAATGGACCTGAACCTGGTCCGCCGTGCTTCCGTAAAAGACGACGTTGGAGCAGAAGGCAGGCTGAAAGACATCGTCCTGTTCCAGCTTGCCTGCGCGCGGAAGCGACGCAGCCGGTCTTGGGAGATAATGTCGCCTGGTCTGGTTGGGAAAACGATAAAGAGGACAGTAGAGGACGGATTGCCGTCAAAATCGACAAAGGATGTAGTGGGTACTAGAACGTAGTCGGTTTCGCCGACTGTGATCTTTACTTCTTCTTCGAGGGAAATTGCCAGTTCTGCGGTCGCCTTGGTTGCCGCAACGCGTCGCCCATTGTGGACTGGAGGTAGCGAACCTTGTCCAGAAAACAAAGACTGACTGGTCAGCAACGGGCTCTGTGTGCCTTCATCTATGGGCAACAAAGTATTCCTCGACGGTGAAGCTAACCCGAATGCTTCTACGCTCTCGAGTTGAGAAAGCCTTAGAGAACAGCACCGACATTCCTCCCTACGTATCTAATTCGATGGCTTGGGAAAAGGTGAGTGGTAAGTGGTGCGGGGGTCTCTGACTGCGGCAGGAGCAAGCTCGAGGTCGTAACTCGTAACACCCTCCCACCTACCTCCATTACACGGTGACGGCAGGTGCTGTCAGCGGCCAGCGTAAGGGTTGAGGGTTGGTTGACCCCATCTTAGCACCATGCACGGCCCACTGACGATGCACACTCCCTTGCGCGCAGCTTTGCAAGCGGGGTGCAATCGATGGCGATAATGTATCCGTACGTGAAGGTGATCATATCTGTGCAAACTACTAGTATATAACTCGTATGGCTCCCCCTTTTGGGTACGGTGGCACCTATGAGTCTATGGCATGACCTATCTGCGGGGTTATTTATAACCTTTGTGACCCATATCGATAGGTACTAGTACTTACTACTGTAATCGGGGCATGGGCCCGGACGCCCGTCAACCCTGCAACCGCCAGCCCCGAAGCACAGAGATACCTTAGTACAGAGGGTGTACTCGCGCTTGATCCCTGTGTGGATTCACCAGCGATAGGTGAAGGGCGCCTGCCGCAACAATCCTGGATTTTGTCCTCAATCCTCACTGCTTGCTAAGTCTCCGTCTATATCTTACGCTACCTCTGTACTAGATAGTAAACAGAGCGTACTCGTGACGGGAACTAGGCCGGCATGCTTGGATCAAGCCAAAGCCTCAATTGACCCAGTTGTTACTAAGGCTCCTGATCCGCCATAGTACGGCGCAGTCCCACCAAAAGACAGGCCGTTACTGAGATGGTGTCATTGTGTGGCATTAGCCACCTATAATGCTACCTTCTGATAACATATATGTGACATGTAGCCTCGTCTACTGGAAACTTTCGTTCTAGGCTTAATTAAGAGCCTAGACAGGAACGTTCACAAGACGGACAAGTGCATGTATAGATATAAATCGTGTACTATTCTTATACGACCGCATATTGCCGGTCGCAGTCGGGGCCGTGTCTTTGTTCGCCGCAAATGAAGGCCTCGCAGAGCCTTCGAACCCGAAACAACATATGAAAGATAGTCAATGAATAATTGCAGATCAATTTCTCTTTGTTTGGCCGTACCAAGCAGCTGAGCTACTACACCGACTTGCTTACTATCATCGGACTAAGGTAAACAAACCTCTTCGCAACCCTTCGTGTAAAGAGTCAAGAAGAAGATAGATAAACCCTTGCGATCTACATATACTTTCGCGCTTCGGCATAGTCCAGAATAAGGCTCAATGTGTGTACCTGGCGTGACAGACTCAATTTTCTCCATTTGCACCTAGTCTATCATGCTAAAATATATTCTCAAGAAGATAAGATATCCCCTCCTGGCGATAAGTATCGGGCTCCACGTAAGCGAGTTGAGTGGCGTTCACGTCGAACATTAGGTTCTGAGGATTTTCAAGACTGTACTTGGGCCATTTCAGACACGTCACTATGTGGTTGCGTTAGTTACCATCTATCAAAAACTCCAACTGTGCGAATACTCACCCTTGTTGTAGTTGGGGTCTTGGTGGTTGAAGAAGCTCACCCACATCCTCGACATCAAGTTAGCGAGTTTGGGAAATGCCTCGCCCTTGCCCGTGAAAGGGTTCACGGACACTGCGTTTGTGTAACCATCTGCCTGAAGGTTGTAGAACACGAACACAACTTCTTGGAAATGTGTCGCGCCCACGGCGGGAGGGATTCCGTTCACGTAGACCTCAAAGTTATAAGACCATACAGGAACACCCTTTTCCGCAAACTTCTGTACCCCCAGACGACGCGGGGCGTGCATAGCGGAATCCCCGGTGTACGCTGCCACTCGCTTCCACTGAGCCCCAAGCAGTGCCAAGTCTCCCTCGGGGCGTCCAACAAGGGAGTTCGGAACGCCAAGTTCCGGGATGTCGGGATATAGCTCCGCAATATCGGCTGCCGTGTCGGCGCTGATTCCCGTGCTGGTGAGCATGGCAAGGAATTGGTCCGTAGTGTTGATGCCTTGGCGGCCAAAAGCTGTGCCTTCGTCATGGTTCTGGCCCGTGAGCACAGGCACAGGGACGAATTTCCCCTCCTGGATCAGCTTGGTTGGGGCCTGCTCAAAGAAGTCTCCGTCGGCCACGTTGCCCCAGGCCGGGGCAGGGCCGGGGAGAGAGCTGTTGAAAACGGCACTGAGGTCGGCAGTCGGCACCTCTCGTAAGCAAGACAACGTGTCGGAAGCATCAGAACAGCCCGTTTGGTTCACGACAGCCTGGTAGTAGGGCTCCCGTTGCTCGACGGTTGCGCCTCCTCTCTGCGACGGGAACACTGGCCAACCGCTCTCCAAGACGGCGCCCTTGATAAGTCCGTCATCACGTCCACCGTATGCAATAAGCTGGGAGCCCACGCTGAATCCCCCAGCGCTTTCGCCCCAAATGGTGACTTTCGATGGATCGCCGCCGAAAGCGGCAATGTTCTCCTGCACCCAGTGCAGTGCGAGGCGCTGGTCGCGAAATCCGATATTGGAGCCACCCTCTTCCGCGATTTCAGATCCGTATAGGAAACCCCAGGCATGGAGACGGTAATTGATGCTGACCGCGACGATAGGCTCCTCCATCTTGACTGACTGGTCCACAATGAAAGATAGGTTATATCGAGGATCGGAGCCACCGCCCATCACCAAGCCACCTCCGTGGATCCAAAACGCCACAGGAAGATTGTCTCCAGCGGCCGTACCGGCTGGGCGGATGACATTGATGGTGAGGCAATCCTCCGAAATGTAGTTTCCGAGAACCCAGTTGTCACTCCCGTAGCCTATGCACTGGCGAGAGTACTCGGTTGCGTTGCGCGAGCCCTCCCATGTGGTGTTGAGGGACTGGGGTACCCTGAAGCGAAGGTCGTTGACGGGTGGCTGGGCGTAAGGCATGCCGAGGAAGAAGTCTTGGTCATACTCTTGGTTGTGCAGGCCGTAATAGCTTCCATTACGAACTTGGACTGTGGGCGCAGACTGTGCAAGAGCTCCATGGAAAGATGAGAACAGGGCGATCTGCCCAAGAATCCATGTTGACGACCACATAATGATCTCGGGTTCCCAGCAGGTCAAGTGAAGAGTAAAGAGGAATGGACAGGGCTCAGGTTGATAGCCACGTTTAGTGACATGATTTTATAGTGGAATCCGGACGACGAGACAATGACCTGCGAAACAGAACTGTTTGTGCGTGTTGCGGCTTGCCGACGGGACGTTGCCCCATCCTTCCCCACAATCTGAAGTGCCGTGCGTTACGACTCTGGAGTCTGGAGAAACGTGGTTCCCCCCGCAATCGCCATGGAGTATACCAGCCATACCCCTCACTGACGAAGAACCATCTGATTCGTGAGTTATCGGACTCATACCCCCATTCAAATCAGCTGTGTAGTCAATGCTGGGTAACCCCGGTTCGGTACCATGACAGCGTTGAATGTTTGTTAGGACCAACGAGTCATGTAGGCCACACGATGACTTGGCATCTGTGCCTCTACCCGACACGACGTACGTGAAGAAACGACCGCACGCCCGACTACCAATGACGGGCCCGACATGGGCCTGGCAACTGCCGAGGCAGTCTAGCCTTGCATCAGGTGGGCCTGAACGCTGCTATCGGTCCGTGTTTTTCTTCCACTGCCGATTCTTTAGCCTCGGGGCATCCTGCATATATGCTGGCATCCTTGGAGGCAGCCTTGGGAAGTAGTGCGTCCACGCGGTTCATAATACATTGGTAAAGCCGCCCCAGAATAGGCCCGAAACTTCGTGTAATCCCTGTCGATGGAGTAGTATATCCGTCTCCCGTTGCAAAATCGCCATCGCGTAGCTTCGCTCCCCTAGTACCATGTGCCTCGCTCGATCCTCTCGCTAGCGCAGGTAATCATTCACCACTAAAGCCTTGTGATAGCTCGAGTGCAAGAATAGTACTTTTACTAGAAAAGGATGTCGACTACCAGGGAGCAGGTACAGGCTGTGCTTGCGTGTGGTTCCAGGCATGGGAGCCTGTCCCAGCTCTACAGCTACGACCCGATTGAATCGATGCGATCAGCTAACCTTTTCTGGCCGAGCTGCCACTGGGTGTGCGCACTTGATATGGATAAACAGGGATGTGGAACACCATCTAAATTCCTTTGGAGCCAACCCGCCATGGATCGGCCGGGCAGGAGTCCGTGCGATGTATCTCGTCGTTGCGGAAGATATGTGACGAGGTGTACCGAGCTGACGTATGTCTACAATGCAGCATGTTATTGTCAATAGTTTGGGTTCGTATTGTTACTTTGGACAGGCTTCGAAATGCCTCCAAGGCATAGTCCCGCCGCATAACACCGCGTGCCCGCGGCAATACCACGTATTTCCATAGGCGGCTCCATGTAAAGGTTGCGGGAACATTGAACTGAGAAGGGGAAGTTATATCAAGCCATTTTTCGGATGCACGATGAGCATGATCATCTGGAGTGCGTAGTGTTACTCCACTCGTTTCTATTTGTGTATATGATACTAGCAAGACGATGTATAACTGTGTATGTCGTGAAATCCGATACCAAAAGGGGCCGCAAAAATCGCACACATATGCGTACTTACACGATTGGCGGTGATAAGTCAACTCTAACTGTTTGATGTGCGGCCTGTCCTCCCTCTCCGCCAACATACCGCTCAGCAACGAGTGGAGTACGTTGCTGCCGGGCTTCAAGTTGACCTCAGCTGGGGAATTCCTCTCACATGTGTGACCTGACAAGCCGTGAAGTGACTTGCTGGGCCATGACTACACGTAGAGAAAGGGCAGGTGGGTGGGTTGTGAACTTGTGAAAGCGCACGGACCATGAAATAGCAGCCTATTTGGGACTAGATGCCAGGGCCATGTAAGACGCAAGAGTCAGATGTGCCCGTCAAGTCGACTGAATTTGTCACTCAATTAGTATTAGCTTGTTGAAAAGATGCGGACATCTTGCAAGTTAAATGAAAGCGTGGTTTCATCTCGGCGTGACTGTGGTGGACTCGCCAGCCAATCCCTGCCAATTTAGGAATGCATACATGTCCGAGTATATAAAGGTAGTTTTCGCCCATGAAGAAAGCAGGAAGAAGCAGGAGAAGCTTAGCATGGTTTTAACACATACAACACACACTCTGTTTCCACACTCGCCCTCTGCCGATCAACCATGGTGTGATGATGAGCCTACCTTACAGCGGGGCTAGGCTCGATTGAGATTCTGCCGTTAGCGGTGAAAAGGTAACACCGAAAGGGTGAGAACCTGAAATTAGTGAGACCGGAGGTAAACGACCCGGAACATAGGAAATTAGAGAGGAAGGCTCTAAGAGGATAGGATCATGCGATTAAGAACGTATAAATAGAGCCTTAACGGCTATCTCTTTTGTAATAATATAAGGCACTTGAACAACCTTCTCCATAGCGTATCATAGTTATGAGCCCGGGAGGTGACTATCACCTATAACTTACACTGCACTTTAGATATATACTTTGTCTGCTCCTATATATATTCCTTTATACTATTTAAATCCCTTCTTCTGCACTATGAGCACTATAGACGAATTAACCTTATCGAAATCTCTTAAGCTAAGCGTTCTAGCGTATTAGAACGAGTGGTACTTATCTCTCCGAGCACACGCTAGGGATATCGGTATCTGGCAGCGAATCGACCTTAATCGGCTAGATACAGCCAGCGACAACCCTTTTATAGTTAATAAGCGCTTAGCGCAAATAACTAAGGAAAAAAGTGCTCCTAAGAACGCTCGAGAGCGGCAGCTAGACTATATCGAAGCTCTTATCTAAGGATCGACCTATAGCTTCCCCAAGGAAGACAAGGCGATTAGAAAATAAATAAGGGTGACGATAGACCCCGCTGTCTACGAGAACGTTTAGGAAGAGCTAGAGAGCAACCTAACCACCCGTCGCATGCTCCGAACCCTTAGAAAGAGATTTGCGGCTAGCGTAACCCAAACTCGAGAGGAAGCTCGACGAGAATACCATAAAGCGCTATAAAGCGCTCGACAGGCTAATTAGAGCGTAGAAAAATAGCATTCGACTTAGATAACCGCCTTGAACCGAGTAAAGAACGCTAAGTTAACCGAAATTAAGGGCAACCAAAGAATCGCTGATTTCTTGGATATAATTAGTGCTCGGTATGCTCCTAATTGGGCTACTCGAAAGCGCGAAGAGATCTTCGAAGCAGAGGTTAAAGGCAGGGAACTCAGCTAAACACTCGAGATCTATGTATCTTAGTTCCTCGCAATCACGCGCAACGCTCCGCAGACCAAGAAGCACCAAGCACACGCCATACTAGGGCAAATCCCTAGTGAGCCGGCGGAGTAGTTACCGCCTCTTAAATATCTATGCATAAGGCTAGGGACTAACTTTAAGCACAAACACAGCCCTAAGGAATACGTGACCCTAGAATACGCTATCACAGGCTAACGAGCAGAGGATTGCAAGATTAGAATCTCGAAGAGCTAGATTAAGAATATTCGGCAGCGCTACGAAGATAACAATTTCGCGTCGCTTCGTGCAAAGCTCGAAAAGAGTGGATAGCGCAAAACACCCACTGAACTAAATGCTCTAACGAGCAACGGAAATTAGCTAGCCGGTGATATTGCAGCCGCTATCGTCGATAATTACTAACTTTAGACCGCGGTAATAACGCTCGATAAAGCGGATCCACCTCTATCACAAAGCACTCTTCTCGATAGCTACGCTTCCCTTTACCTTATCGGGAGCGCGGATCTGCTCGACCTAGGAATATTCTATCTAACTCAAGGAGAGGAGGTCTTAGCTAGCACAACGACTTTTTAGATCACTAGCCGAGGCGTTCGCACGCTCTATAAGGTATTGAACACGCCGAGAGGTGCTCGAACGGGTAATTTGAAGCTTTAGGATGTGGTAGTTGTCGAAGGTTTCTACGTTAATATTATCTCGGAATAACTACTATATAAGACGGGTATCTAGTACTTAGGATACGACTATATACTGCGTTATAGCGTACTAAAGAATAGTATAGTAATCGTAAATCTAATAAAGGAGTATAATATCACTTTCCTTGAATACAAGCTAATTTCTCCTTACGAGCATACCTTAGTTAAAACCGCTGCTCTAGTTAGATAAATAGAGCACTATACACGACTATTTAGACCGTTAGTTAACCCACTAAAGCTAAGGGAAGACGACCAGTATCTATAGCACCTTAAGGCAGGCTATCTTAGTAAGGAAGCTCTTGAAGTATTAGTTAAGAATACCCGCGGTGTGATCATTAAAGGAACAGAGCGCCGCGACTGTGACGCCTGTGCTATAACGCACGTAACACGAGTGGTCTTAAGGCGCGAATCCGAATAGAGAGCAGCGTCCCTATTCATAAGGGTATTCTAGGACCTCTAGGATTATCCTATAAGCTATAATAATATAGAATAGGTGATAACTCTCAAGGATAATTATAGTAGTGTGATCTACGTGCTATGCCTCCTAAATAAGTATTTAACCACCGTTTTTAATACTCTATTCTTCTTTAAGCGCTTTATTAGACGCTAATTTAGGGTGATGATCAGAGTGTTCAGAATAGATAATGAACGCGCTATAATCGCGATCAAAGGCCTCATAGCGTTCGAAAGATGGACGATCCAAGAAGGCATAGCTATAGAGCGCTCTCTAGCGTATACGAGCGAGCCTAACGGCGGTGCAGAGCGCGCTGGGAAGGAGGTCATAGAAAAGAGTATTAAGATGCTTAATAGCGCGAATTTGCCCACGAACCTCTGGCCAGAGAGCATCATAACCGCAGCCATGCTGCTTAATATCACCCTAAAACGCATACTAGGCTAGAAAGCACCGCGCGATAAGCTTGAATCGTGGTTTAAAGAGGCAAATATGCTACTAAAGGATATGAGCGTGGATACGCGGCCTAACTAGAATAGTATTTACGCCTATAGCTATAAAGCGTTCCCGCTTATAGTAGATAGGGCAGTAGGGCGCGAGAAGCGTTTGTTTAAGACTAGCCCTAGAGGGCATATCGGATACCTCGTTAGCTATGTTACAACTAACGTGTTCCGAATATAGGTCCCTCGGCTTAAGAAGGTCATCGTGACTAGGGACGTTACGTTTAATAAGCGGTACTTCTACTAACCTTAGGAGGAAAGTTCGACGGAGCTTCCCGAAGCAATATTTAATAACGTAATAGTAGAGGAGGATAACGATAACGATCTTTATCTCTTCTAGCATTCCCTACTAAAGAGCCTTGCTTATGATTATACTACCGAGCGTTCGATATCGGGGGTGATAGCGCTAGAACCAAAGGAGACTTCCGAATCGTAAGATAAGGAAGGATCTTAAACTCTCGGTTACCTACAAACCCCAGAGAGTACACTAGACCGCGACCCTAATCCACTAGAGTATATAATTATAGACGGAAGAGCTCGTGGTAGTAGTGATCGGACGAATAACGAGAATCCGGATATATAGTATCTCGAAATAAAAAGTCCGCCGGAGTAACTCCCATATACTCCGAGATCGCCTAGAAATGTATTAGAGCGGCCGGAGAGGGATTAGAGAGCTCGTCTAGGGGAACCCGAGCCCCGAGAGACGAGCACACTAGAATACCATCCTGAATAAGGCGAATAATCCTAACTAACAGGAGGTGCGCGGAGGAGCACTCGGAAGCGAAAGCCTAGGCTCCCATTCGAATAAGTGCATGCCGTGATCTCGAATAACGTCGGAGATGCTAGGAAGGAATTGCCTAAGCCACTCTAGGCGCTCGAGTACGAGAAAACGCGCTGCCTTACTATACTAGCTATGTTCGCCGTAGCTACGACTAAAAAGAGCGCCGCTCGGCTACGCACTAGAATATAAGGGAAGATCCATCGCGACTAACTAGTGAAGGTACTAACGAACTAGAAAGAAGCCTTGGCTCACCTACTAAGCGCTGAATAGCTCGAGGTAGTATTGCTCGAGATAGAAGCAATACGCGCCAAAGGAGTCTGGCGCGAGATCCTATGCGCGGAGGCACGCTCGAGACCTTTGCCGCTTAAGTAGGTATTCTTATATAAGTTTAATTCTATAGGTATATTAGAGCGCTGTAAAGCACGTATTTGTATGCGCGGAGACCTATAAGAGTAGATTACGATATAATAGACCTATGCTACCACGCTTGCGGCACGGTCATTTCGTATCCTTATCGCACTAGCCGCTCACTTCGGCCTAGATATCAAATAATTCGACATTAAGACGGCATTTCTTAACGCAAAGCGCGATAAGCACGGCATACTAGTGACCTATGAGCTTCCACTAGGATTCAAGTAGCCTAATATATGCGTGGAACTCGATAAAGCGCTATACGGGCTGAAGGACTCACCGATGTTATGGTTTAAGGAATTCTCGTTAAAACTTAAAGCCCTCGGACTTATACAAAGCGCTAAGGAACCTTATATATTCTATTCGCCTGCTCGAGACGTCTACGTTGTCTTTTTTGTGGATGATATGCTAGTCTTCTATCACCCCTCGCGACCCGCGGCAGCCGAAGCTATAATCAAGGGCATTAAGGAAGCCTATGATATTCACGATCAAGGTGATACCGAGTGGTTCCTAGGAATCGAGATCATTCGAGACTGCATAGAACACACGATCTACTTGAGCTATGCTTAGTATATCGAAAAGATGGCTATTAAATACGACCTCGTTAGCTCTATGAGCAACCTAACGATTCCTATCCCTATTATTGAATATCGGAAGAATGAAGAGATAGCAAGCGCGAAAGAGGTAAAACGCTATTAGGAACTTATAGGTTTATTACTCTACTGCGCTGTGATAATACGGGTCGACGTCGCCTTTATAGCCTTACTTCTGTTAAGATTCCTGTAAAACCCAGCACTAGAGCATCATAAGGCAGCATACTAAGCGATTAAGTACCTGTACGCAACGCGAAGCCTTGCTCTCTGTTACAAACGGAGCACTATAGGAGGTGTGTTAGCTATCGCCTCGGATACCTCTTTCGGCGATAATCTCGATACCCGAAAATCGTCTTAGGGTATGATTATCAGCCTCTTCGGCGGACCTGTGATCTAGAAAGCTACCCGGCAACCCACTATAAGCACCTCAACCATAGAAGCAGAGCTCCTAGGGCTTAAATAGACAGCGAAGGAAGCTCTCGGCATAACTCGCCTATTTAGAGATATGTAGTTCGACCTAGAAGAAGAAATCGACCTTAAATATAACAACGCACAAACCATTCGCCTAGTGTGCTCTAAGAACATGCGAATAACGACTCGACTGCGCTATATTGATATTCAGAACATATAGCTACGTTAAGAGTTTCTAAAGGGCGCGTTCAAAGTTATATATCTTAACACGAAGGAAATGCCGGCCGATAGTCTAACTAAGGCATTACCCCGTTAGAGATTTCAAGAATAGAGAGCGATGCTTTAACTGCATAATACGAGCATGTAAGGAGAATAGTTAAAGAGTATAAAGCGGAGGCAAACGATTCTTTTGGGAGCACTAGACCAGCCAGTCTTCTGCTCTAAGAGCACACTACCAGACTATCTACTGCTTACTAGGAGCCTTAGCTAACTATCTATGCAAGTCGGCAATTATCTGGTGCGCCTTAGCGCGCGAAGAAGGCACGAGCGCTACTCGGGGAGTATTACTTAGCGGGGCGGGAGTCCTCTCGGCCTCGGATAAAAATCCTTTACCCTTGTATATTTCGTTAAGGGCGCGCAACGCCTTTCGGCAGTTAGCAAGGTACTGCACAAAGCTCTGTTAGCCAAGAACGAGCAAATAAACGCTAGGACCAAAGTTCACGCTTACGGCGGGGGAGGAGCCGGAGGCATGCTACTTTATCTATGGCAGAAAAACGGACGGTCTATAGTCTATGGTTAATAAAGCTCGAATTTTAAATACAGAGCATTGCTAGACTTATAAAGGAGTGTAGGCATGGCCTGCGGCGCAGCGTTAATAGCGCTTGGCGCGCTGGGAGGAGGGCTCGTGATATTCGAGGGCAGATTTGCCCGAGATGAATGCGCGAACGTATTAAAGGCACGGTGGGTGCCGGAGAGTACCTTCGAAAGGAGGGCGCTGCTTTGTGAGCGTTTGAGCAAGACGAGTAAAGCGCGAAAACTCACCTTTTGACGCTTCTTGGGCGTCTTAATCTCGTCGTTATTATTATCGTCGTCGTCGTCGTTGGCGCTATCGCGAGCGTTAGTCTACTTCGCGGCCTACTCGGCGGCCAGCCGCCGAGCTTCCGCTACTTAGGCGCGGGTCTGGGTGAGGCGCTCGTAAGATAGAAGAACTATTCGCATACGTTAGCTAAGCTCGTAAAACTCAAACTAAGCGTATCAAACGTACGGGCAGGCATGATGAAAGTGGTATAAAGAGGAAATATTAAATTCCGGCCTTAGGCAGGGGAATGCGACTCTCTTATATACTTTCGGCCTCTCACCTTAATGCTCTGAAAGCATTGTTCGAGTTATAAATAGCCTATTAAGGCCTTAATAACCATTCATAAATAATAGTAATTAAGGGCATCACTATATCACTAACGCTACCTACAGGACCTAACAACATTAGATTAACCCATATAAGCACTACAGCCATTAGAATAATACTCTAACGCCTTAGATAAAGCAGAGACCCCACCTCAGAACCCCACTAATCAGCAACGATAATGACACTCGCGTGGTCAAATGACCACATAAGTAGGGGGGTGTGTGATAATGAGCCTACCTTACAGCGGGGCTAGGCTCGATTGAGATTCTGCCGTTAGCGGTGAAAAGGTAATACCGGAAGGGTGAGAACCTGAAATTAGTGAGACCGGAGGTAAACGACCCGGAACATAGGAAATTAGAGAGGAAGGCTCTAAGAGGATAGGATCATGCGATCAAGAACGCATAAATAGAGCCTCAACGGCTATCTCTTTTGTAATAATACAAGGCACTTGAACAACCTTCTCCACAGCGCATCACACATGGTAAAGACGCAACGAATTTCGTGCCGCTTGCACGTCCAGTAGCTCGGTGTCCTGTTTCAAGTTTTGCACTGGCTTTTTGGTCGAGCTGGTTTATGAGCTGGTTTACGAGCTGGTTTATGTTAAGAAAATGATTGAGGAACGTTGTGTGTCAACCGGCAGGTCATTTCGACAAGAACAGACAGCACGTTCGACAAGGCTTGGTGCCCAGGCCGGGCGCCGACCTACCCTAGGCACTTCGGACCTGACGCTATCTAGGGTAGTCAGATCATCCACTGACTGAGGACGCGTCACTGAGGCTTCGTCACCACACACATCAAGTGACACAACAGTCCACAATCTCACCAAAAAAGCGTCTTCCGTCAAACACAAACTTCCAGCACCTCAACATGCCGTGGCGAGATCACGTCAAGCAGGTTAAAGATGGCTTCAACTCTCTCGCGAAGGAGGTGCAGACCGGGATAAACGAGCGATCAGGCTCGTCACAGCCTCCACAGCAGCAATACCACGCCAACCATCAATATCCCCCGCAACCACCAGTCCCTGCCGGCGCCTCGGCATACTGGCGGCCTCGCTTCCAGCAGGATATACCCGTCTCGGTGGAGTGGGATGCGAAATTGGGCAACGGTCCTGACGGCTGGGGCAACCAGGAGCTGCAGCATTACACGGCGCTGCCCGAAAACACATTTCAGTGAGTGGCATGGCGCCCTTTGCCACTTCAACACGTACTGACCAGCCATATAGCACACAAAATGGCTTGCTCGTCCTACGCGCCCTGGCCAACAGCCATGCCCCCAACCCTGAGCAGAAGTACACCTCTGCGCGCCTCGTCAGCAGGGAGACCTTGAGCCGAGACCGTGGTGCGTTGACAGCCGTGATCCAGTCCCCCTGTGCGCGTGGCATCTGGCCTGCGTTCTGGCTTCTGCCCCAGGAACCCTTCTCCTGGCCGACAGATGGCGAGATCGATATCGCCGAGACTTGGAATGGCGACTGCGAAAACCACTCGTGTCTCCATTGGGGTCATCACCACGAACCCCAGAAGCATCGTGTTCTCGGCACAAAGATCCACGACATGCCCAGACGCCCCGTGCGGTATGACCTAGTGTGGGATCAGCCCGGCGGACAGCCTGGTCAGGGCCGACTGGTGTGGTTCATCGACGGTCGGCCGGTGATGAAGGGGCACATCCCCGGGGGAACGCGGCCGATGAGGGACATGACGATCCTCCTCAACGTGGCCATGGGTGGCAACGTCTGCCAGGGGGTGACGCCTTCTGACGGGTACTACGATATGGTTGTGCACAGCCTCTACGCATCTGATGAGCCGGAGCTGGGTGGCTGGCCTGGATTTGACCATGCGTGGGGGAATCCTGGGGTGCCAGAGGGTCATGGCTACTAGAGGTTGGTGCAAACCAAGGGTGAGGAATCTTCAGTCGTCGGTTATATTTTTTGTGTTGCGAGGGAGGGACTGATGATGCAGGATCATAGTTCTCTTGAGTGTCAGGCACTCCAAAGCGAGCAGTCTGCAGCCCAGATAATCCAAGCTACTCGCAGCTCGAATATGAACCGCACTGTACACTTCTTTTGCTTTGGCCTTTGGCGAGGCGGCGGCCATGGCTGGCTGGCGCTTCAATGCTCGCTCGTGTCTGCTCTGACATGTGCAGATCACCACCCTAGCTCAAAGGGTTGCGTATTCTATGGAATAATTGAGCTCAACTGCATTGGTGAGGGCGACTCCGATGTTATTGTCGGCTGTCTGTGGTCAGGAACTTGCCATCACCCCTCTAGGCGCGTGATGCGCCCCTATGCAGTGCCATGACTGTCTCCCTTGGACAGTGGAGAACTTGGCTGCCGTGACTTGGTGATGGTCACATGTATCCTGCTCATGCTATCTGCTGTTGATGATGTCTGCACCAGCACAGGAAAAGCCACGAAACGGCCAATCTTAGAGCGCCCTGCACTTGAGAATGTTGTCCTGGGCCCATAACCAAAGTGCCATGTGTTGTTTACTACGTTAGGTGTACTTACATGTCGACGAATGTTTCCAAGACCTTGGGCTCGCTTGGTGAGACAACATGAGAACAGAGGGGTATGAAACAGTTGTCTGATTCGCCATTTGCATCGCGCGTCGCGTGGTCAGTCACCCCGTAACATGTTGTTTTCTTTTCTTCTTGAATTTACCCCTGATGTCGTCAAGCACATATACATGTAGCTAACTCGCTTGACGCGATTCTACCCATAAATCTTGCAGCATGATATGAGTCTCCTTTTCCGTAACACACATGTGGAAGCTGATGCCTCCAGGATTGTAGTTGTGATCAAGGCGCATGCAACACGTCGCTGCTGCAACTCCGCCACAAACTCAACGTTTCCGTGTGGGGGCAGGTAAATACGTAGTATTAGATACCCCAGACATCGACGGATGCACTAACAAACCCCACATGTGCAGGTGATGTTGCTATCTCGTCGGTCATTAGATCTTCCCTGGACCTTCATCCGCTTTCCGATGCTCGATCCGGGGTATACCGTATCTGCCAGTGTTGACCATTCCAGTATTCACGAAGCGGTCAGCTGGGTACTTTGGTTTGGTTGAGTGCAGTGAATGCCTCGCTTCGCCAACTTCGTGTAATACAAAACGTATCTCACGTACAGACGAGAGCGATCGCGGGCCAGCAGTGCTTTCGCCACGCCAAGGACGCTTGCATCCAGACGTGCGATTGGAAGCGTCATCGCTGCAACCAACACCACCACGACAACAGAAACGTGCTGCAATTACACGTTGACCGTAAATCTGGATATCAAAAGTCATTATGGGGCAATATGGCAGGAATGGCGGGCGATTTAGGTTATGGACGCCATGTACATTTACTTTTGGCTGGATTGTGCTTGTGGACAGAGCTGGAATGAATCGCAGTGTAGTGTCGGAGAATTGTGTTATAGCGCCCGCACTAACCACGGAACCGCTATGCCTGCGAAACATGCCATTGTGAAATTCGGCTATTTTTTTAAGGATAGCAATAGTATTTTCCTAGCGCTTCATTATTTACGAGCTAACTCGTCGTAATCTCGCCATAACGCGCTCATATTGTCCTTCAGGGTAAGTGACGTGCTCCAGACGTCGTCGCCCAGCTCCGGCCCAGCCGTCTTTATTTCCCCAGATGCGGGGGATACTAGTAGAGCCGTGCGCTTTGTGGATGCTGCACACGGATCACTACTTACGTGCGTACTTTGCTAGCCGTGCGCTCAATACAGTTAGAATCATTATCGCGAGGTCCTTACGATGAAATACAATCACCTCCAGAAGAAGAGGCAATGCTAGTCATCGCGTCTATTTCATCAACGTTCAGACTGATAAACACGATTCCGTAAAATGACGGAGCAAGTCCTGTCCCTATTAACATGGTTTCATGTCGCTCCCTCACACTGTAGAATTTAAGGTTGGGGCCTCCCACACATGAAATCGGCCAAAGGCTACCATTGGAGCAGACAGAAGGATGCGGCGAACGACGACATCTGGAGTCTTCTGTGCACGTGAACATCCAGTACGTCACTGATCTCTGCACCGTGTGCATCGCGATTGGCAACGATCAATGCTCGCAGAATCCGCCGAACCCCACGACGCTAAGCGGGAAGCCTCCAGTCTAGGCAACACTCATTAATAGACGCTAGCTGTGTTATGCCCGCGCAGAACCTCACGAGAAAGGTTCTGGAATACGTTTGTGCATCAGTCCATCCTACGCTATCGAGAATGAGACTCTCGCGTGCTAACTAGTCAGGCGAGGGAACAAAGACGCGGTAAGCAAAACGTGCAGGCCTGACCAAACATCTGCACATGCTTCCTTTTACGCTTTTGACGTCTGCCTGGCGGCCATATCCACGCGGTGGAGGCAAGGCCATCGGCGGGACAGGCAGTCGATTTAAGAACCAACAGGAGGGTGAGGAAGTTGTGGTCGAGCGAGCAGGCAGCCGCCAAGGCGCGCATGATAAAATGGGGATGCTCGGTGGTGCCCACCGCAGAGAAGGCTGGCTGCAAGGAGTGGCCTGTTGCTCATGCGCCAATCCTAGGCAACAGGATTCTGAACCCAGCGATTTGGCAAACCTCCAGTCGTTTCCCCGTTCTCCTCCAGGAGCACGAGCAGGAGCGCAATGCGCCACATGGTTTTGTGGTGCAAACGCAAAATAAAATTCCGGGTCTCACAGGCATGACTGTTGGATTGAACGCATGGGCCAACATGGGGTATCTCGACATTGGCATGCTGGAGATTGCTCAGCTGATGGCAAGCACCGCATTCCGAAGCTAGGAGTTCAATCAAGAGGCTCAAATGAAAACGGCAGTGACGATGAGCAGAGCGGCAATGCAATTGCGCCACTGACGACGTTGTGCGCCGGAAACATGAGCGGGAGCGCAGGGATGATCAATACAGCACGGCTGCCGGCGGCCCCTCATAGGCCTGGCTGGAGGCGGGTGAGCTTAATTGCTGCACTCCAGCAGCCAAAATCGCTGGTGGCTGCTGCTTTCAGTGGATGTCTTGGCCTGTCTCCGGGTGGGAGGGAAGGCAACTGCGCTGGAACCGGAGAAGAGACGGGGGATGAGGGCTTGGCTTTGGGGAGAGTTTTCTTGGTCTTGGGGCCCCAAGGGCAGTTGCCTCGATCCACTGGAGCTTCCCATCCGCCAAGACCCGAATGCGGACAGCGACATGGACGACCTGGGCCAATCAGACGAGCCCAAACTCGTGTGCCGCCTTTCCGAGACCACTGAACCTGCCTCCATGATCCATCCACGGACAACAACATCATCCAGCAGCAGCACAAGCACCACCACCAGCAGCGCCAGTGACAAGCGAAGCACCCGTCCCAAGAATGATCCGGGTTGATGGTGGTGGTTGACGGGTCCTAGCACGCCACCGTCCTCTGAGGCAGCCCGCGCACCGTTGGGAGCATCATTTTGCGGCCGTCGCGCGTCCGTCCGGCACCATCTGAAACCCAAGATCGCCTCCCCATGGGCCATCACCGGTAGCGGCCTCCCCTCGATCATTGTGGCCCGAGGCGGCTTGTTGGTTTACTCTGACCCCGGTCTAATTAGTCCTCCCCCCTGGTCAGCACACAATCCGTGGATCCACAAGCTCCTGGCTCTCGCTGCTAGCAGGATGGATGGACCACCCATCTCACGCGCGGATGACACTTTTCGGGCGTCTGGGGCAGGATGGAGGGATTCCCATCCATCTGGGAAGAGAGCTACTTAAACCTCCCACGTTGCACCCCGATCGGCGTCTTTTGAACCACTCTCCAATTCTTTTTCCTCTGGCCAATTGTCCTCTCGTCGCGTTCCATCCGCATCGCGCCTGCCTCCTCCCACTTACACGCACCTGCCCTCCCCAGGCTGAGTGAGAGAAATCATCAGAACCCCGGACAACCAACAACCAACTTCAGTTGCAAGCAAGCAACTCGACACTTCCAACAACCGCCGCCATGTCCAAGGACGAAGTCGCGGGCGTGGACCAGCCCACCCACGACGAGAAGGCTGTCATCCGCGAGGGTGACTCCTCTGACAATGTCGAGCCCACCCAGCGCCGCCAGTCCGTGGCGGCCATGAACATTGTTGAGAACCCTCTCAAGGTGAGCACCCTGACCCAGATCTGAGACACCAAGCAGAGACTCACACAGTCACCGTAGCGCGTCTCCGCTGAGCAGGCTGCCCTGGACGGCCAGGCGTTCGCCCACAAGCATGGCCTCGAGGAGTACGCAGACGTCTTTGGCCGCGCTGCCATGATTGCCCGCGAGGACCTCGGAGAGCATCGCGCCGTGTCCGGCCTACTCGACGACGAGATCGCCGCGCTCGACTACGAGTGGGGACACAAGTGGTTCGGCCCCAAGATGCTGTGGTACACCGTCGCCCTTTGCGCTGTCGGTGCCGCGACCCAGGGCTGGGATCAAACCGGTGCCAACGGCGCCAACTTGTCCTTCCCCCAGGAATTTGGTCTGGACAAGATGGGTTCCCGCGGTGAGTGGATCATCGGTCTTATCAACGCCATCATCTTCTTGACCGCCGGTCTCATCGGCGCCTTTATTGTCGATCCTCTGAACCACTACCTCGGTCGACGTGGTGAGATTTTCCTCACTGGTATCTGCCTCACCCTCACCCCCATCGGCTCTGGTCTCGCGCAGAGCTGGCAGGGTCTCTTTGCTGCCCGCTTCGTCATGGGCATTGGTATCGGTGCTAAGAATGCCACCGTCCCCATCTTCTCCTCCGAGGTCGCCCCTGCCCGCGTGCGCGGTGCGCTTGTTATGTTCTGGCAGCTGTGGGTCACCGCCGGCATCTTCCTGGGTTTCTGCGCCAACGTTATTGTCAAGGATGTCCCGAAGATCGCTTGGCGCCTCGAGTTCGGTTCCGCCTGCATCCCATCGATCATCCTGTCCGTTGGCGTATTCTTCTGCCCGGAATCCCCCCGCTGGCTCATGAAGCACGGTAAGATCGCCAAGGGTTTCCGCTCCATGAACAGGCTGCGTGCCCACCCCATCATCGCCGCCCGCGACTACTACTACTCGTACATCATCTACGAGGAGGAGAAGCATACCGCTGCCGGCGCCGGCTATTTCCGCCGCATGTGGGACTGCTTCGCCATCCCCCGTATCAGGCGCTCCAACTACGGTGCCTCTACCGTCATGATTGCCCAGCAGATGTGCGGCATCAACATCATCTCCTTCTACAGCTCCTCCATTTTCAGTGACGCCGGCTACTCCGATACGAACGCCCTGTACGCCTCACTGGGCTACGGTGCCATCCAGGTCGTCTTCACCATCCCCACGCTGTTCCTCATCGACACCAAGGGTCGTCGCACGCTCTGCATGTGGACATTCCCCGGCATGTGCATCTTCCTTCTGGCTGCCGGTCTCTCCCTGCTTAACAACGGCCCTGACGTCGAGAGGGCTGCCAAGGTCGGTCCGGTCGTCTTGTTCGTCTACCTCTTCACCATCTGTTACTGCTTGGGCGAGGGACCCGTGGCCTTCCAGTACTCCGCCGAAGTTTTCCCTACCATCCAGCGTGAGCAGGGCATGGCCTGGGCTGTCGCCGTCAACAACACCTTTGCCGGTGTCCTGTCGCTTACTTTCCCGCGCATGAAAACTGTCATGACGCCCACTGGTGCCTTTGGCTTCTACGCCGGCCTTAATTTGATAGCGTGGTTCATGATCTTCTGCTTTGTCCGCGAGACCAAGCAGCTCACTCTTGAGGAGCTGGACCGTAAGTACCTCGTCTACCTCCTCGTTCGACAACTTACTAACATTCTCTCGCAGAGGTCTTCTCCGTCCCGACCAAGAAGTTTATCGGCAGCGAACTACACAAGATCCCCTACTTCTTCAAGCGCCATGTTCTCCGCAAGAACATTCCTCCTCCCCCCTCCACGATCGAGAGGGCATCCCACGCCGAAAAGGTGGCAACCTCGTAGACGATTGCCGCACAGAAAGAGGGAAGAATACCATTGATGGAGTTTTGGATAAGTCTCGCGTTTTGCGAAACTCGCGCTTTCCGAGCATATACCAATACGGGAGAGGGAGTGGACCTTGTCTACGAGCAAGCCGTCCACGGGGGCCGTAGCGGAGATCGTTGTTATATACCCAATCCTATTCTTTTTACACTTTGAAATTTGAGTCATGCAAGCCAAGTAGTACTTTCTTCCCGCCACGGACTAGTACAACCGCCTGGGATTCTAAATATTCGCGTGTGACCCATAGCAATAGTGCAGGGCTTAAAGCTACTTACCGCTCCACCTGAGATCGCGGGAAAAAGAAGTATCTATAGGACCCGCACTATCTCCTTTTTTAATTAAGAGACTTTAGCCAAATGAATATCCGCCCTCGAAGCCAGTAACTAACAGTAAATACTGCCGAAGAAAACTAAGCCATACTCTATAAGCGAATATTTGGACTCCCTAGGGGCTGTAGTTCATCTCATATAATTGTGCTCCGTTGGATAGCGGTATGATATAGATATGGGGTTGTTTGTTACATTGAAATGTACTCTTTGCTCTGACTAGAAGATACTTAAGGATCACTCCTTTCCAAGCCGCCTCTACTGGTAATGGATCTGGCAAGTCTTGTAGGCGTAGACATTGACCACACCGGGGTACCGAACCGGACTATCCTCAACACACTTCACGTTCGCTGGCCTGTCCACGCCGGAGATTTCAGGATCTATAATGCCCCCGCAAAAGTTGAAGCCCATGCAATCAACCGTGACCTCCACCGTCTCTACACCAATGTCAATCTCGGCCGAAAAGCCATTCCCACCGCCTTTGGGCTCGATTTCGACGGTGGAGATGTGCTTGCAGGCGGGATCAAAGGTGTGCGCTAGCCTCTGCCCATCCTTGATACTGAATTTCCCTTGCAGGGACTCTGCAATGTTGGGGCCATCCATCAAGGTTATCATGACGGAACGGGCATAGGGATCTCGTCCTGGAGCGTTGTTGCAATCCTCTTCAAGTGTGTCGACGTCCATAATCCAGCGACTTCACAGACAAGTGTCAGTCATGTGAACTCAACATGGGGTGCGTGAGGATAACCCGCGCAGAGAGTCGAGACGTGTCAAAACTTACCGACCGATAGTTCCGGCATTGGTGATGCCGAAGAGAAGAGCAGAAGCGAGGGTGGTGGCAACCTTCATGATGATTGATGTCTTGGTTTTCCTGAGTGTTGTTTGTTTGTGAAGGGTTGTGAGATGTTTGTGAGAGTGGGAGCTTTGAACCTGTTGTTGATGTTCTTGTCTGTTGCTGTTGTTTCAGGAGACAGTCTTGTAAGAGGGAGATCCTTCGCCTTTTATAGTGAGTTCTCCCTCGGATGCCTACATGTAGCAGGCCTGAAGCTCTGAATAACTTCAGTGAGCGTCATTTCTCGCCTCCTGACGACAATAGGTCTATCTACCGCCATCATGAGTCTCGATAAAAGGCAACCGCTCACGTAATAGGAGCTTTGGATCATCGCGCCAAGATCTCAGAGAGGAAACCACTGATAGATCGCGAACGTCACGCTCATACCATCAAAGACTTGGATGAAGATGGTATATCCAATCAAACCACGAGCTATACGAGAGCTGGTCTTTGTCATGTTGGTGAGGAAGCGTCGATCGCCAAGAGTATGGATCCTCGAAGCGCCAAGGCTGCGGCCTGAGGTAAAGTCGAGGCCCCAACGGTGGCAAGCGAACCTTCAGCCAACTGCATATAGGCCTATACGACCAACAGTACAGCCCATCCCGTCTTGGTACAATGAGGGGCACACACATCGGGGTAGTGACGTCTAAGTGCAGCTTTGGTTGCTTTGCCTCGGAAAGGTAAGTTTGCTTTCCCTTGGCCTTTGGGTAAGGCATAGCCAAAAAAAAAGAAAAAAAAAAAAAAAAGGGGGCTGATGATCTTAATCTTGATAGACTGGACTCCTAGACCCAACGACAAGTCACCCGGACAAACTCCTTCTCGCAACGGCGAGCACGGCTCAACATCAAAAGTATATACAAGGGGCTCCCATTGTTCGATCTAGCCCTTGGCTGACCAAGCCTATGGCTTCTGTAGTGTAAAGTGTCTGTCAACCCCCAGGTTAAAATCCGTCGGCAACTCTGCCCTTCCACTCGTTTCTTCGGGCAACTCCAGCCTCTCATGGCCCACCGTCGCCATCTCCGAAACGGGTTCCGAGTTGCTGTCTGTTCGGGTCCCCGATGCCGGAGAGCTGGACATGCTTTTGGGAGGAAGCGCACCGTGTGCATGGTCGCCAACGAGCTCGGCCGCCTGCGTGCCCTTCTTCTTCCTGCGTCTGAGGAACCACAGCAATGCGCCGAGGACAGCGAGTGCAGCGATGCCTCCTATCACGCCGCCCACAATGGCGCCTGTGTTGGATGACGAACCACCATCCCCTGAAGCCTCGGAAGAGCCATCTCCACTTGATGTAGACGGGGTTTCTTTCGGTACGTCGACAGAGATACTTTTGTCTTGGAGAAAATTAGTGACTGCTCCTAATTCTGGATAGGTCTGGGTGAATCTTACCAAAAAGTGACTTGGCAGTCTCGTCGTCCCACTGGACGTTATCAAGGTTTCTGCACACCTTGTCAGTCATCGTTCAACAGCAGTCGCGCAATGCTTACCCATCGCTATACCACTGCCTCACCGCATCGGCAGCCTCATATTCACCCGCGTCACCATTGTAGCCGTCTTTCCACTCGAGCTCCTTCATGTCGAGCACGCCAACTGACCACCGCCAGGGGTCAGGGGTCTCCCATTCCCACTCCTTCTCGACGCCTCCGACGGCGAGCATCTGGCCATTGCCGCCCGAAGCGCACGCGTGGTGCAGCCTCGCTGGGGCGCTGACATTAGTATTGAACCAGTGAAAGGCCGGCAGCGAGAGAACATGGATATCATCCAGAGTCTCTCCATCGGCGTCTCGTCCGCCGTAGACGAAGCTACGTAGTCATAGATGTCAGTACAAACGCTACATTCAGGAACAGCATGCGGCTTACATCTCGTAGGTGCCGCCCTTGCTCTCTGCACCCGCAGTGCAGAAATACTCCCTTTCAGACGGCACATCCCCCGTCGCGGTCTGGTTATACCACTCCTTCTCTGCAGGGTCCCAGAACCACACCGAGTTCATGGACATGAATCCTGAGTCTGACTTCCCACCTAACACCACCAAGAGGGGGTCCGCGTTGTTGAATGCCGTCGTGCACTGCGCCTCCATACTCCACACATGGCCGTTCGGCTCGTTGAGGGGGACAGTGGTGCTGTTGGTCCACGTCCCGTCTTCCATGTCGTACATGAGGACACCTGGGGTGGAAAAGTTGGCCGAGACGGTCGAATCCGACGCATTACTCGCCAAGCCGCCAACGTAGAATCCCAACCCGTTGCACGATGCTGATGCGCCGTTGCTGTTGCCAACGAATGTGTTGCCGTCGACGTCCTCGGGCGTCTTGTCTGCCTCGTCCCACTGGTCCCCCGACTGTCGATCGGGGTCGAACCTAAAGAGAACCACGTCGTCCTCATCCATGGTCTTGCCCCAGCTAGTGGCACCGCCCCAGCGGTACATCATCTTTCCCGCGCGGTCGCCCCATAGCGCCTGCTTCAGACGTATAGGGCGAGGACGTCGTGAGTCTGCATTGGGTGAGTAGTCGCCATAGGGCGAGTTTTTGGTGCTGTTGCTCCACAACTTGTCCAATGGCAGTGAGAAGGTTGAGGCAACTGTATGAAGGCCAAGTCAGCCTGGATGGTCTGTTGGATTATTGAATTCGATCGCGTACGCTCTGATGATGTTGCGCCATTGCTGTTTTGTGTCTCTCCGTCAATATACTCCGACACGCGACCTCCGTTGAGGTATGCCTTGTTGCCTACCACGGCGACTACATGTCATCACGTGTTAGTCCTTTCCTTCGCCCAATTCAATAAGGCTCAATTCGAGCCCTGGGCACGCGTACTCTGCTGCATCGCTCGACGCCGATGCGCCGAGCCATCTGACTCGTCTGCTCGTCTTTCGCGTCCGTGCATGTTGCTGCTACATAGGCCGCGAGCTTCAAGGAAGCCCCGAAGAAAATGACAGCAATTGTTCTCGGACCTGGATCGGCGCGAGCCAAGTGGGCATTATTATGATTGGGGGCGCGCGCAAGACGGTGCGGGCAGCCATTTGATGGTTGGCGCTGCTGTGCCTCACTCGTTGGGGGCCAAAAGCTGCACGAAGGATGCAATTGCATTTCAGAGCGGCTACTCCCTTGCAGGCAATGCTGGCTGGAGACGAATCATTCGCCTGGCGCCCAGAATGATGAAACCTTGCATGAGACTTGATGGGTGGGGTTGGTTTGTCCGCGGACTGCAGTCGGGTCAAAGACTTAAAAGGGAAGTATAATCTGTTTTTATCATGACCGGCATTTGATGTTGCAACAAATGACTGGGGTCGTCACGCCCACCTTGAGAGTGAACTTGTGAGGAACGTGGAGACAACGAGATTAATCACCAACCTCCAGAAATATCCCAGTCAGCATGGCAAGACGACTGGAACCAGGACTGAAACGGATGCCGATGTTCATCGGGCACGCGCGCATTCTTGGACTATCATCAAACGTGATCAGCTGAACTTCATCTGCCAGTCTCACTCTCAGCGTCAAACCACACAAGCATAGTGGAAATCAGGCCAGCTCCTTGCCCACCTCCCCCGGTGGCCCCATCCAGGTCGTATCAGCCGCAGGCATGCCCAGCGGCAGCCATAAAGCTCGCGGTCTCCTCCATTTCATGCCCTCCGCCTTCAATAGAGCATCAGCCTTTTCCCCGCTCTGGTACCGGAAGATACGCAAGGCCTCCTCTGCCAATCTCAAGACACGCGGCGAGTCAGGCTTGTGGTCGCCACCCTCGTCCGCCTGAACGGCAGACGCGAACGGAACCAGCAACCCATCGAATAGTGAATGCGAGAGATCATCGTCGCCCTCGGCATTTCGCTTGCGCAGCATCAGCGCCAAGTCCAGAAGCGCACACAGAGTGACCCTGCCCGTTCGCTCCGGCTCGAGACGCGCGAGGAAGTCATGCAATTGCGAAATGGCCTTGTCAACTTCGCCTTGCTCATAGAGCAGGAGAGCGTGCAAGTGGTTGACCTGGCACCGCTGGACAAATTTGTCGTGTTGTCCAAGATCGCTCCGGGTGAGCAACTCATCCAGAAGTTTCGTGGCGTTAGAGGCAAGCCCGAAATGACGATAGACGATGACCAGTCGCACAGCTGTATCGATGACAGCAGGGTGTGCAAAGGATTTAACTTGACTCCGATTGTCTAGACCGGCCTCGGCATGTTGTATCGACTCCTCTCGCGACCCGTTTCTGCGGTAGAAATCTCCCAGGAAAATGCGAACCGTGTTGGCGAAACCGTCAAGCCCGCCATATTGCTCGTGTCGCTTTTGGCGAATGGCCTCCATGAATTGGATAGCGACGTCAAGTTTGCCTTGTGCTGCTATGACGATAGAATACCACAGGTGGGCTGACAGGTAGTAGTTGCTTTCGCCTCCTTTCTCCCGCAAGAAGCCGGCAGAGGACGTGGAGAGCGTGGTCACGGCCGAAGAGAAGTCATTCATCAAGTATTCGGCTTGGCCTTGGAATATCAGGGTATTGTAATAGTCTAGCGAGGGCTTCCCCTTGCTAACGAGCAACTGATCATGTGCAATCTGGACGTATGCATCGCGTGCCACTTTCACATCACCTTCGATGAGAGGCGCATAGGCCGCGCCCGATCGCGCTTTAAGTGTAGTACGATGGCACGGACCGAGAAGATGAGTCAAGCCGTCGGCAGCCCGGGTCCGTACATCTTTCATTGCCGAAGTTCGGCCTTGGTCAAAGTAGTACGCGCCCATCCGCATCAGTGTCAACCATTGCAAGACGCTGTCGTTGTTGCAATGAACATATTGTCGATTCAATTCGAGGTATGGTGCCTCAAAGTACTGGTCCACGTTCAGTATGGCCGACAGACTATTAGGCAATGCTTTGGACCATCTGCGAAGACGGTAGTCGGCAGACCGAATGGCTTGGAGATCGCCAGAGTCCTGTGTTGATGACTCCGCCCAGTAGCAGAATTGCAGAGAGGTGATAAACAGCACAACGAGAGAGACCAGTTGTCTTGAAGGCAGTGGAATCGCGGCGAGGTGTTGGCTCCAATGCCTGGCGGCGTACTCGTAGAAGTCGTCGTCTGGCACTTCGTCTAGACGCCCCAGTGTGTAGCTGGAAACTTTGCGATCAGTTGCTCTAGCATCAGGGGCCCCAAGGCTTTTCGGACTTGAGCAAAGTATAGTTCGACCCAAAGGAAGGATCCATTCGCGCCCGATATGGCGTGTTGCGCTATTCTGGTTTGGCAGGCCGGGCCAAAATCGGTCTTCTTGACCTCATCTGCGATGAACTGAGACAGGTCGCTATATGTGTCTTCAACGCGGATGTAGATCTCGTTTTCCTTTGGACATGATCGAATGCCTTTGCCCAGCAGATAACTGGGTCGCGTGAAGCACAGAAACTTCATGGAGTCCAGCTCCAGCAAAGCAGACAGCCTTGTGTTGACCTCTTTTGCTTGAAGATTGCTGTTGATCCGGCACTCATCAAGTCCATCGATAACAATGTATGTGTTAGTGGTCACGGCGGTACTCCTGAGTAGCTCCACAAGGACTGTCCAAAGTTTTCTCCATGGGGCTCCATGTGGGTTGAGGTTGTGGGCGCGGCATATCGGAGGCAAGTCTTGAAATGCTTTCTGCTGTTCCTGGCCCAGGGTGCTGGAGATCAAAAGGTTTGTCAAGAGCGAGCAAGGTAGCCCGACAAGGGATCTCTCGCGTTCGGTCACATAGGCTTGGAAGGCGTGTGAGAGTACTCTGGGCTTGGGATTGCCCTGAGAGAGATGATTGCACACTCTGCGAGCGAGGTGGGATTTTCCAGTTCCTGTACTTCAGTCAGATCTATTCAAGGTTGCCGTCGTGATTCACGTGAAAGATAGCCTTCAAGACGTACCTGGTTCACCATAAACCCATAAACTTGAAGGCCGCCCCTGGCTCAGCCAATCTCTAGACTGATTGTGCTGGCATATCCAAAGACTTGCGGTGTGATCTGTGGGCGGTTTTTGGAGCAAGATCTCATCTATGATAGGGCTGGCCTGTTTCTGGATCCAGTCAAGTACCTCCTTGTCGGCAGCAGCTGCTTGGACTTAGTCAGATGGATCCTCAAGTCGAAATTCTGAGTTCTCTCACGCACCTTGGCCGGGACCGCCCTGTAGCTGCCCTTCGGTTGACGTGCCTTCATGTTTCTCCATGCCTAAATTGTGCGTCTAGATTAGCAAATGACGGATTCGATGACAGCTGGGTCGCTCATCACGACGGTGGGACAATGAGGGGGCCAGGTGAAAACAGAAAGTGGGCTGGGAAGCCTTTGGTAATATCAGCGAGACAATTAAGGGGGTCACCCCTGGTTCGGCGGCTTTTTGGCTGGTCTCGGGGCTGTCATTCGGTGTACAACATCGTGGCTTACCTCTAGGCGTACTCGTAGGGAGAGCCAAACTAAGCTTGACACTGTCGGGTCGCTCTGAATGAAGACCTCGATTGCCTTGCCGTACACCTGCAGCAACTGGGCTACCTTGTGGGACACCACAGCAGCCATGGCCATCGAATTGAATTCGTTCCTTTTGTCAATGGCGCTGTGTGCGACGGAGAGAAGACGTGGAGCGTGAGACGTGACTGCGCCAGGACCTCTCCTCTGGTCAAGTCATGAAGCACTGGGGGCTCCGTGGCGCTCAGACGAGTTCTGGGTGTTGAAGCAAGGCCACCTGGGGCCCCAGGCCCCAGGACATCAGTCGGGCAGCAAGGTTGACAGTTGGTGTAGAGGGCGGTCACACAGATGACAACGCATGGGGGGTGTGTGCGATGAGAAAGTACCAATTCAAACAAGGCAGCAAACATGAATTCTGAGGACCTTGAAGGACCTGCCCAGATTCGTCGACAATTTGACCGCCACATGCGAGATCCTGTGACCATCTGGAGGCGGTTTTCATCTCTAGCTCTCAAGATTTCGGCGGTGGATCTTTGACACTTTGAGGTCACCCTGCTTTGTGGTTGTAGAGCTTCTGCATGTGAAGGCAACTGTTTCGAGCTATGTTGAAGGTGGCCTGTATGGGTGATCCTTTTACTTTCCTTAAACTTCTGATCCTTCGCTGTTCGTTTGCCTTCCGTCACATCGTCTTCGTCACGATGTTCGCACTCCAAAGTCTTTCTGTGATCCCCCCTTACTCGTTCTCTTCTGTTCGTAATGGAAGGCCGGGCATCAATCCGCATACTGTTCGTCCCCAGGAACTATGTGGTCTTCCTGCACGTCAGCGCCTGGAACCCACCCATATGCCGTGCTGTCTACAAAAGTAGCCATTGCCGCAATTACACTTGAAACTCTCGCATTGATCGTATCCCTTCTTCCATTGTTTCCACAAAGTCCTTTTCTTGGGGGCAGACGCTTGAAGAAATTCGGGAAAGCTTTCACGCGCGGTGACGGCTGTGATAGCCAAGCACTCGACGATGCCGCAAGCTGTGGGCAACTCGGTGATCAATTATCCTGTTTGCCTGAGGAAAAGTACTTCCACGCGCTCTCAGAATGATCATAGTGTCGTTTCTCGTGGGTATCAGATGCTCCTCTCCGCGCACTTTTGTATATCGTGTAGTAAGCAATGCCTACTTTAGTGAAGCAAAGCCCAGGAGTACGTAGTCTGGGCTCACTGGCGATTTGTTCATGATGGATGGGGAATCCAGACGGAACTTTGTGTCCCAAGTCCTGACGCAGAATGCGTAGGATAGCATGGGCATGTATCCCGCAAAGAAGCGTAAACCACGGTGAAATAAAATGAGGCAGCATCGCAGCCCTCGTGTGCACAACTGCTCAATGTCCAACACAAAGATCCTGGTTCCACGGTTCTGGGATCTTGGTCCACGAATGGCAAGTTTCACGAGGTTGATAAACGATTTTCAGCCCAAAGTCAATCTGGTGATAAGTAACTGCATTGTCTCGGAGACTCAAATCACCCCAAGCCTCTACGACACCCCAAGCCTCTACGAAATCTCGCCCTCCTGGACGAACTTGCGGATGGTGTTGATAGACCCCTCCACGGCCATCTTCGCCATCTGCAGCACGTTAGCAGGATGAAAGAAACACTAGTTGAGGACGCACCTTGAAGTACTTCTCCCTGGTCGCCGTCGCCTCGTCGCTGCCCTCCTGGATATGGTCGTGCCTCCACTCGAACGCATACGTCATGAGCAGCTCACCCTCGGGTCCCCTGCTCACAATGTTGGAGATGGTGCTGCCATCGTCCTGCTTGAAGTCGACCCGGGACGGCGGGAAGTGCACGCAGACCTCGCGCACAGGCTCGCTTGTCTCCTTGGGGTTGCCTTCGGTGGAAAAAGTTGCCTTGCGCACGACCGTGTTGCCTTCTTCGCTGATGACCTCGCAGGCGACGATGACGGGGACGAATTCGTAGGCGCGACGCACCTTGCGCTTGAGGCCAGTCCACACTTGGCTCTCGGTGAGGACAGGCGATGCACCCGCGGGGTTGATGGGGGCCGTGTAGGCAAGGTTGATTGTGACCATGTTGGGAGTCGGTGAATTTCGGTGTAGCTTATGCGATGCGTGAGAGGATTGACGACGCTCCTTGCCGCGAGTAGTAGTACGTACTTATTGACGAGTCTCCCCGGAGCCTTTCAGTTTAACCTTCCGTGGTCGTCCCCGACTCCCCGCCATCCGCCTGGGCCGACCCGCTCTAAGCACATCTGCAGTGAGAATGTGGCCATCATCCATCTCGGACGCAAGTCGGACGCTTTATCGAGAGGGGCGGCGCATCCTCTGCTTGGGAATGCGAGCACCAGGCGCTAAGTTCGGAGGCATCTCGTCGCATCGAAGCGCAGTCGCGCGCTTATGTTATCGCCATTCGTGCAGTAGGCATTCGATTTCTGTCCATGGGGCTATGCATCGTGCTTGGCGCGCAAAGCGAGCGTCGTCGGTTGTCGTTTGTTTCAGGGCGCTGGAGCGGAGGCAGTGCGCATGTTCTGAGCTGCAGGTGACCTGGAGGCTGGAGCTCTCCTTCCGTCCTTGATGCTTGTCGGGTCGTTCCTTCCACTTGCAATAATTAGAGCGTCCGTGGGATCAGCGCCTGATCAAAGACGGCGCGTCTCGTCAGACACGAAAAGAATCACGCTGCCTTTGCACCGCATCATCGAGATGTCATGTCGATAATCCGCATCAAACGTTCAATCGCAGCCCTGCACGCAGCCCTACGTATCTACAAATACCATCACAGCACGCTGCAGCCCACGTCATCAGCCGCGACACCATGCTTCGGCTCGCGTTCCCGATGACGACGCGTCCCATTGTCCCATTCAGCCTCACAGAACCAACACGCGCGAGAACCACCGCTCCAGTTGCTCCTAGGCTTTAATGTCACCAAGGAATCACTCCGCAGCGGATGCCCTCAGCCCCAATTGGCAAGCCAAAGTGGGGTAAGCTGGTCAACGTATCCTTTGGATACTTTGCGCCACGGCGACTGCAGCAACGAGCAGGGGTCCAAACTCCAACAACGCGCGGTCAAGTCAAGCAGGAAAAATTAATAAGTACTGCGGGATACATACAATAATCTACGGTTGGACCTCCGTCTGTCCCGCGCACTCTCTCTCGTCACACCAGCCCATGACCGCCCATCATCTCCAATCATGAACGGCTTCTCTCTCGCCGCCTTGGGCACTCACTGCTCGGCCATTGCGCACAGCGCCAACTCGTCCGCCTCGGAGCTCGCGGATCTGCTGCGCACCATCCCCGACGGCCAGCACGCGCAGCAGCTCGCGTCCCTGTCGGAGGCGCTATTCGCATTCAGTACCAGCGCGGGTCAGTTCGAGGGGGCCCTCCAACGCGCCACGACACTCTCGCCAACGCTGCAGCAGCAGCTCAATGGCTCGCTGCAGGAATGCCACATTAAAATCGCGCCCATTGGGAAGCAGGTGATGAGACTTGACGCGTCGACGGTGCCGATGATGAACACCATGTTCCTCACAGTGCACATGGACTTGCTGGTCACGTATGCGCAACTGCTCGGTTTCTACGAGGAGGTTCTGGCAATGTGAGTGAGCAGACCAGGTTTCAACTGTTCCAGGGTAGACACAGAAGAGCTGACGTGCGTCCGTGCGTAGGCCAGAGCGAGACGATCAAGACGCAGTACTCGATGGACCTGCGGGGAGGAGAATCATCGAGCAGGCCGGGGACGCTGGCAAGATGCTCGCCAAGGCGGGTGAAATTATCGTCAATTCTGCAGAGGACGAGGCGCCCGCCTACGACAGTTCGCCTCCTCCTCAGCCCATGACAGCCTTGGAGGGTAAGCAAGCAATGTTGCCGGAGCCCGCGGCGCCCTCGCAGCGTCCAGGCCCAGATCTGACGGATCTGCCTCCCCCCTACGAAGCTGCCACCTCTACGACCCCATACCTTGGCACCAACGCAGCCGCCTCTCCAGGAGCCGCCTCGCCGCCAGACACGCCTCTGACAACGAGCCGCTCTGCCTCCATCGCCGAGAGCTCCCACTCTCTAGGCCGGCGGTCCTTGTCCTTCGCTGGCCCTGTGCCGCCCAACCGATCAGGACAAGCTTCAGGGTCCAGCTCTCGCTCCAACAGCTGGGTGACGCCCATCACCAACTCCTTCAAGGCCCTGACCGCCGGCATCTGGGCCAAGCCCGATCCGCTCGTCAATGCCCTTTGCGAAGCCAGCCGTCGGGGGGACACGGGCCAGATCGCCGCTCTCCTCCAGCAGGGCACCAACGTCGACGGCAAGAATGACCGGGGCGAGACGGCCCTCCACTGCGCGATTGTAGAGAATCACGCGAAAGCCGCCCGGCTCCTCTTCACTCTGGGCGCGTCGGACAACATCTGGTCCAAAATGCCGCCCATGTTCCTCGCCGCGTCCCTGGGCAATATCGACGTGGCGGAGATGATCTACCAGCGCGGCGGATCGGCGGCCGACGTGAAGAAATCCAGCATGTCCGGCCAGTCGTACTTTGTGGATGTGGTCAGCTCGGGCAACCTGGCGGGCGTGCGCTTCCTGCTCGAGAAGGGCGCCAACGCCCGGGCGCAGAGCAACTCGGGCCGCCCCGCCGTGGTTATCGCCGCGCGCAAGTGTAATATCGAGGTGGTCCGGCTGCTGCTGAACTTTGGCGCCAAGGTGACCTCGGACGACGTGTCGGGCAACTCCATGTTGGGCATCGCCCTGGACAAGGACAGCCTGGAGCTGCTCGACCTGCTGCTCGAGCGCGGCGCCAAGCTGAGCGGCCGGACCACGTCGGGCGACAGGGTGCTGGCCGCCGCCGTGGCGAGGCGCAACGTGCGGTTCGCGCTGCGCATGCTCGAACAGGGCGCCGACGGCAACTCGGAGGATCTGATGGGGCAAAAGGTCATTGTGTCCGTGATCAAGGACCAGAAGCTGGCAGAGGAGGACAAGTTTGCGCTCGTGCGCGCCCTGCTCAAGAACGGGGCCAAGACGACGGCGTCGGATCTGGTATGGCATCAGGCGCACCTCCTCGAACTGGCCCTCACCAAGGGCGCCTCGTCTCGCATTGGTGGTCTCATACTGGAAGCCGGGGCCGATGCCACCAGGTGTATCGGCGACGGCGAGACGCCGCTCATCTACGCCATTGCGCGCGACTGGACAGAGTGGGTGCGCGAACTGCTCGAGCACGGCGCGGATCCAGACGCCGCGGACAAGCATGGCAAGACACCGCTAATCCAGTCCCTCATGAAGGGCGACAACCTCGACATGGCGCGCTTGCTGATTACGCACGGCGCCGACACAGATTCCCCTAGTGGTTCGGCGAGAGCATTCGCCCTGTCGCTAGGCCGCGCCGACATCATGGAGCTCGTGGGTCTAAAGCCATCTTCGTCGACTACACGAACACACTCTCCACCGTTGAGCAGCGCTGTGCACACTGGCAAAGACATGTGGGGATGAAATCAATTCTCGCTAATGCTAGTATGATGCACGAATTCTACGTCTACGATGCTCCACCCTTGAGCAGCTCGCTCAACCACCACACATGTATCCTCGCATCTGCCGTGAGCTCTGGGTGGAAACTCATCCCGAGGACGTTGCCCTCCCGCACCGCCACGATATCGCCAGAGTCGCCCTTGGTGGTCGCCTGCGACACACCCGTCTTCATCCTGTCGACCCGACCGGGTAATTTGGCGAGGACCTGCACAGCCTGCGGCGCGAGAACCTCTTCCACGACGGGCGCACGGATAAAGACGGCGTGGAACGGCGAGCGATCGGTGGTCTCGGACAAGAAGGGGAGGTCGAGGTTCGCCTCGAAGCTCTCGATCTGACGGCCAAAGTGGTTGCGGTGCACGCGGACAGACAGGCCGCCAATGAGCTCCTGCCCGCCGACCTTTGTCGAGTTGGCCGCGTTGGAGAGCATGATGAGGCCGGCGCAGGTACCCCAGGTGGGTTTCTTCTGGACTCTGGGGGAATTCAATGTCAGCAAGGGCAGTCTAAAAAGAGAAAAGATACGCACTTGACAAAGTCTCGTAGTTTCTCGAGTAGGTCAGTCTGCCCGGCGACCAGGGACATGGTGGTGCTCTCGCCGCCGGGGATGATGAGCGCGTCGCATTGCGCGAGCTGCTGCGACGTGCGGACCTCGACGAGCTCGAATTTGGTCGTGGCCAGTTGTGACACGGCGCGCCTGAGGAGGGTGAGGTGCTCGTGGAAGCCGCCTTGGAGGGCGAGGACGCCGACCGTGATGGTGACAGTCATGGTCGTTTGGGGCAAGGGATACGAATTGCAGAAAATTTGTCGTCGATGAATCAGATCAAGATAACTACCCCAAACCACAGAGAGATAAACTTTCAACGTTAGGCCGCGTCAAGCCACCATCTCCAAACTGGCGACATCGGAACGGACCCTTTGCACATGTGGCGAGGACGGCACCCTCGGGCAGCCGGCCAGCCTAGACTAGAACGAAGCCGCGGATCATGCAGCTCTCCGCCTGCCAGTGCCACCCTCGACGAATCATGTTTCTACATGCTGCAGACGTGGAGCGGAGATGACTGCAGACTATGCGCGCAGCTAGTCGCGCGGACTTGCCGAAAGAGGCAGCAAGATGGTCTCCTGGCGCATCCCGCATAGTTTCTATGACACTTGGACACGACGAGTCAGCGCTATCCGCGTTGTTGGGTGCTGCTCGGCTGGGCATCCGATGGTTGCCGCCCGGCTTTTTCGTTGGTGGAGGAGTCAATTGGAGCAAGGCGCCCGTCCAGGACTCCGGTTCTGTGCCGGCTTGGACGATGGTTAGGGTTGGTATTTAAAGTTTGACCTGGCTAGTCAGCGCCAGACCCTTGATTCTCGAGGTGATTTTCTTTTCTTTGCCATCCTTTCTCTCTCCTAGTCACCACTTCATACACATTGAGACACTCTTCCCGCAACACATCACCAACACCACCTCGCAATGACAAACGACATCTCCACCGGCGCTGCGAGCGCCCCCGCTACCACCACCACCGACGCCAAGCCGACGTCGACCTTTGCCCTCAAGGCTGGGCTCGCGCAGATGCTCAAGGGCGGCGTCATCATGGACGTGATCAACCCAGAGCAGGCCCGCATCGCAGAGGACGCCGGTGCGTGCGCGGTCATGGCCCTCGAGCGGGTGCCGGCCGACATCCGAGCCCAGGGCGGCGTGGCGCGCATGTCGGACCCCAACATCATCAAGGACATCCAGGCGGCGGTGACGATCCCCGTCATGGCCAAGGCGCGCATCGGACACGACGTCGAGTGTCAGATCCTCGAGGCCCTGGGCGTGGACTACATTGACGAGAGCGAGGTGCTCACACCGGCCGACGACGAGAGCCACGTGGAGAAGAGCGTCTTCTCAGTGCCCTTTGTGTGCGGCTGCCGCGACCTGGGCGAGGCCCTCCGCCGCATCGCCGAGGGCGCGGCCATGATCCGGACAAAGGGCGAGGCCGGCACGGGCGACGTCGTCGAGGCGGTGCGCCACATCAAGACGGTCAACAGGCAGATTGCCCAGGCCAAGGCCGCACTGGCCGAGGGCGGCGTCGTCCGCGTCCGCGAGTTGGCGCGCAAGCTCGAGGTCGACGCCGAGCTACTGCGCCAGACGGCCGAGCTGGGTCGTCTGCCCGTGGTCAACTTTGCGGCCGGTGGTGTGGCGACGCCCGCCGACGCGGCGTTTATGATGCAGCTCGGCTGCGACGGCGTCTTTGTCGGCAGCGGCATCTTCAAGAGCGGCGACCCGGCCAAGAGGGCCAAGGCGATTGTGCAGGCTGTCACGCACTACAAGGACGCCAAGGTGCTGGCGGAGTGCAGCACGGGGCTGGGTGAGGCCATGGTCGGCATCAACTGCGATGGTTTGCGGGGCGAGGAGAAGCTGGCGAGGCGGGGATGGTAAGGGCTGACAGGTTCATGAATTGAAAAGGCGTTTAAGCATTTACACAAGGAGTAAGAAGAGTTGAACAACAGACATATTAGTAAATTCACATGGATTTGGCAAAAAAGACGTGACCCAAGACGCTGCACCTGATGGCTCATCCAAGCAAAAAGTCTGTTCCTGGAGGGGGTCGAACCCTCGACCTTGACATATAACCAAGAAAAATGCTTGACCTATAAGAGTCACGCGGTAACCACTCCGCTACAGGAACAGCAACTAACCTCACCCAATATTAGTCTTATCAGCCCTACTGCCACGCACGATGCCTATCGGCTGCCGTGAGGAAGCTTCCTGTTTGTTGCACGGCATAATTGACCATGGTCACAAGGCCCTAAAATTCACTGTTCTGGAGGTTTTCTTGAAGTATGCTTGATATGGCATTAGACCTTGTTATTTCTTATCCAATAACAATTCATTCCGGGCAGCGTTATGCATTTGCCAACAGGACGTGCCTCCAAGTTGTCCACAACCCAATATCAGGTACAGGATAGTACGGAGCGTATTATCATGAGCTCAGAAGAAGCTGTGTTTGACTTCTAACTGGATAATTCTTTTTTCAATAGCCAACCATCAAGTAATTGAATACTTCTGACATGGATGTGAGCCAGGTCTGTCTCGCTGAGCAAAGCTGCAGGGTAGGCCATTGAGCGTGCCTCAAACCCAGGACCGCGACGCCATTGAACGAGAATTGCATTTCCACGGCGATAATAAGACGCAGTATTCCGGTTCTAGAACATTGCTTCACACGCAAATTCAATCACGTGCGATTCTTCTGCGTACATCCTTCTGCAGCATTCTCCTGGCAGCCAGCTGAGCCAGCACAGCCACAGCCACAGCTGCGCCACACACCCGTCATTGGCGCATGACGTTTCGCCTCTCGATGCCTGAGCCTGGCCAGCAACAACTTGGTCCAGATTCGCCTCATGCAAAAGCCCTGACAGGTCGAGAGCGGACTGACCGTTCTCTGCAGCAATCACAGCGCACCATGGACTGTGGCGCAGATAACAATGGAGCCTTGAAAGCGCTGCCTTACGCTATTACCTCGGATGCCACGCGTTGCGAGTCGCGGCCGCGCACATGATGGCGAATCCGACCTGTTGGGCTGCTATAAGAGGCAGGGCAACCCAGCGGGCTGCCTGACGTAGCTGCCTTACCTGGTCCTTGCCCTTCATCTAACGCACTTACCCACGGAGAGAAGAATGCTTGACTCTCATCGCATGGGCTCCACGTCAGTTCCTCCATCATCACCTCCCGCTCACACTGGCGCTGACCCCCGACCCAGACAAGACTACCACAACAACAGCAGCATGCATCAGTCGCTCGACTCGTCGCTCGCGACGCAAGGTCTAGCTGACGAGCAGCGCGGACTTCTCGACCTGATCGACAAGCTGCAATTTGCGCAGCTCGACAATGTCAAACTCCCGCAGATCGTCGTCGTGGGCGACCAGTCGGCCGGCAAGTCGTCCGTGCTCGAGGCGCTGAGCGGGACACCCTTTCCTCGCGATGCGGGCGCGTGCACCCGCTTCGCGACAGAGATCCGACTGCGCCGCGCCAAGGAGACCAGCCTCAAGGTGTCCATCATCCCCGACAAGAACAGACCCTTCAACGACCAACAGCGGATGAAGGACTGGGGCGCGAGTGTCGGGCCCGATGCCTCATTCGAGGCCATGATGCGCCAGGCGACGGAGCTCATCGCACCCAAGGAGATTCCCGGCCGGTTCGCGGCTAGGGACATTCTCGTCGTGGAAAAGTGCGGGCCCGACATGCCGCTGCTGACCATGGTCGACCTGCCTGGCCTCGTCCGCGTGGCCAACCGAGACCAGTCGGACGCGGACATTTCGACCATTGACGCGCTCTCGGATCGGTACATGAAGAGCTCGCGCACCATCATCCTGGCCGTCATTGGCGGCAACAACGACTACGTGCAGGCGCCGATTCTCAAAAAGGCCCGTCACTTTGACCCGACGGGCGCGCGCACGATTGGCGTGCTCACCAAACCCGACATGACGGAGCGCATTGGGATCGAGGACAAGTTCATCGACCTCGTCATGAACAAGGACCCGGAGAACCACTTCAAGCTGGGCTGGTACGTGCTGCTGAACCCGGGCCCCAACGAGACGTGGTTCACGCCCGAGCAGCGGCTGCAGCGCGAGGCCGAGTTCTTCAGCCGCGGCAAATGGGCAGGGCTCCCTCCCACCATGTGGGGAGTCGGCTCGCTCCGGACGAAGCTGAGCTCGCAGCTGCAGCGACACATTGGCAAGCACGTCAAGACGCTGCGCCGGCAGATCCAGCAGTCGCTGGAGCGATGCGAGACGCAGCTCAAGGCCATGGGGGCCGGCAAGGACACCGTGGAGGAGATGCGCTTCGAGATGGGCGAGCTGTTTACGGCCTCCAACAACCTCGTCACGCCCGCCGTCAACGGCAACTACAAGAACCCTTTTGGGGAAAAGTTCTTTTCCCGGCAATCCAGCCCCAAGGGCACCCCCTCGCAGAAGCTGAGGGCCCGTGTCCGCGAGGAGAGCGACCGCTTCGCCCGCCGCTTCCGCCAGCATGGTCGCAAGGTCAACTTTGGCACGGGGCCTGATGGGCACTCGCTCGCGGCCGGTACTGTGGGCGACCCTGCCAAGCAGGCCTTTGCGCAGAACGAAGTCGAGCCCCTACTTCGCCAGATCCGCGGTAACGAGCTGCCGTTGGACTCGAACCCTCGTGCGCCCTACATCCTGTTCCAGGACTACTCTAGGAATTGGCCTGTTCTCGCGCAGGAGTACAAGGAAAATCTCGGTGTGATCTGCCACGAGTTCCTCGCCGATGTCATTGACCACGTCTGGCCGATGCGCATGCGCGATCCGCTGCGCTTCCGTTTCCTGGAGTTGAAGATGAAGGAGTGCATGGAGAAGGCGACGACGGAGTTGGGCCGCCTATCCGACGACATGGAGCTCGAGGTGCAGCCATTCGACCCCGAGTACGAGGAGCGCCTTCGTGCTTGGCGCGCTGCCGCGACGGTGGATGGTGGCACCTACACCGAAGCCGAGGAGGTACTCGAGAAGATGCTCATCTACTACGATCTCACCGCGCGCATCTTTGTGCGCAACGTCATCACGCAAGTCGTGGAGCGACATCTGCTTCTGGGTATGCTCCGTCTCTTCAACCCGATTGAGATTCTGCGCATGCCCAATGAGACCGTCGAGGCCATTGCGGCGGAGAACAAGGAGACGCGCGACCGCCGGCTCGCGCTCAAGGCACAGAAGGAGGCTATCGAGGAAGCGCGCAACATCTGCGCTAGTCTCGCGATGCGCAGCGAGCTGAGGGCCCACGACGACGAGCCGGACGACGAGGTGACGGATGACGAGGGTGGGTCGCAGCCAGCGCAGACCTTTATGCCGCAGCGACAGTCGAGGACATATCATCAGCAGGGCTCGTCTGCCGCCCAGCAACAGCCACAGCAGCACCAACAACATACACAGCGCGAACCTCCCAGCCGACGACCTGTCCGCGCCGACAGCACGCACACGGCGACAACGCCCCAGGAGACGCACACGAACGGCAGCCGCCGCCCTGAGAGCTGGGAGCACTCGGAGTACATGGCAGCGTCGTCGGGCACAGGTCAGGCACCAGCCCACGCGCCGCCACCGCCGCCTCGCCCGTCCAAGGTTGGCTTTGAGGAGGACGCTGGCTCTCCCAAACCCGAGAGGACCAAGGAGAGTGCGCGCAGCCGGATCTTTAGTTCTACGAGGTTTGGGTCGTGATGAGTAAAAGGAGTGACTGATTTTTGGGTTCAAGCGGGCGTTGAAGGACATTAGACGGTTAGGAGCTGGTACTCCGGGATTAGATAGACTTATTGAAGAATGATTATCTTAATGATGACGCTCAACAAGTGATTCCTCATGCTCGCACCAAGAATATTGAAACTAGCCAAGGGCCCAAGGCGTGCCTTGCAGGCTAAAGGCGTGCCGACGATCCGACAGCCACCATTTGTGACTTGATCAAGGACTACGGGGGATTGTCGTCCACGTGGATTGGCTGCCATTTGAGCATTTCCCTGATTGATGCGGGATAGCGCGTGGAGTCATCATTCCTTGCTCTGTCTCATCCCCAGTGCCAGTCCATGACTGTCCATCCATGTCCAAGGCCGCGTCGTCCTACGTCATCGCGATGCAGCCGATCACCGACGACGACGACGAGACATGACCCTGACGCTCCAGGCCGAGGGGAGGAATACACGTATTTGACCTGATCTTCACTTGAGCCGCAATCTCAACCACACCCTCTTCTTTCCCTCGCCCACCCTCGATTGCCGCCACCATGGTCGGCAAACGCTCCCTCAATCGCAACGGCAGCAGCTACTACTACCGTGACGACCAGCTCCAGGAGCGCGTCCGCGCGCAGCACAGCGAGCACCAGTACCACGACGTCGAGGCCGGGCCGCAGCAGCAGCAACAACAACAGCAAGAAGACAGCTGGAAGCCGCACAGCCACGCGCACCATGTGCACAACCGACGTCCCTCGACCAGGAGCAAGGTGCCGCCACGCATCCTCCGCTTCCAAGACGCCGCGCGGACCGCCCTCGAAGACGCGCGCCGCGAGCAGCTCAAGAAGACCATCCTGCAGGGCATTGACCGCGAGGGGCTCGAAAAGTTTCGCAAGAGCGAGCAGGATCTCAAGGCCATCAAGAACAAGAAGATTCGCGCCTTTTACGAGGCCCAGAACCAGCGGCTCAATGAGTGGCTCGAGGTAGACGCTGTCGTCATGGCTGTCGCCGACGACGTCCTCGAGTCCATGGACCCGGATCCGGATCATGACGGTGACCAGGAGCGTGGTGGTGGCCTGCAGCGCCACGAGGGCAATATTGGCGAGCTGCTGCCCCAGGATGAGCGTGACAGACGTGCCCGCGCCGCTCGCAAGGCGCGCTGGGCTATTAATATCAATGTCCTCGCCAACATCGCCCTCCTCGTCGGCAAGGCCTTTGCCGCCTTCACCACTGGTAGTCTGTCCCTCATGGCGAGTCTCGTCGACTCGGCCCTCGACCTGCTGTGCACCCTCATCGTCTGGTCGACCAACAAGTTGGTCCTGTGGCGGCTGAGCGCCCTGCGCAAGCGCTTTCCCGTTGGCCGTCGTCGCCTCGAGCCTCTAGGCATCCTCGTCTTCTCGGTCATCATGGTGCTGTCGTTTGCCCAGATCCTCCAGGAGTCCGTCTCGCGCATCATGCCGCCGCACGCCGAGGCCGAGCCCCTCGGCAAGGCCGCCACGGGCTCCCTCGTCGCCACCATTGTGCTCAAGGGCGCCATTGGCCTCGGCTGCCGGCCCATTCGGACGACGCAGGTCCAGGCCCTTGTCCAGGACTGCAAGACGGACGTCTACTTCAATCTGCTCTCGCTACTCTTCCCTCTCATCGGGCACGCCGCTAACATCTGGTGGTTGGACCCCGTCGGCGCCGGCCTGCTGTCCCTGTTCATCATCTACGACTGGGGCCATACCTCGTTCGCCAACGTGGTCCGCCTCTCGGGCGAGGCCGTCGACCACGACATGATGCGCAAGCTGACGTACCTCGCCTACCGCTTCGCGCCTGTCGTTGATGGCGTCAAGAACATTACGGCCTACCACAATGGTGACGGTGTCTGGGTCGAGTTTGACATTTTGCTGGATGAGAATACGAAACTGAGTCGCTCTCATGATATTGCGGAGACACTGCAATACTGTGCCGAGGGGCTGGGCGAGGTCGACCGCGCGTTTGTCACTACTGACTATGAGGCCATGGGGCCGTCGGGGCACGCTGAGGACGCGGAGGTGGGGAGGTGAGGGTGTTGGACTGGCAGCTGGCTTTGGACATCAGAGACGTGGCTAGTGTGGACGACGGGAGTTGTATGAGTGGTGGGTGAGCATGTGCATAAACTGCCAGTAGCGAGCACGGCGTTTAGGATGTTTTGTTTTTGCATAAGATAATAAGATTGCGGATTCATTCCTTGACTCTCACCATGAAAAAAAGAACAGAATTCTTGACGGTCCAGGCTGGCTTTGCCGCGCCCTTTACAACTCGTGCTGTTTGTGGAGGTTCCTGTCGGAGCGGTCCCAGAGACATGGGCTGCTAATCATGCTTGAGCCCGACTGTCTGGGTCACTTTGCGAGTCATGCACAGCCTGCCACACTCTGAAATCGAGCCAGACAGGCTGCTCTAGTGTCCCGGACATGCGTCTACCGTCTTCTGCCATTTTCACGGTGAGGCTGGGTCGTCGAATGTCGGCGGAAGAGTGCCGAGCTGAGTGCACGTACTGCCGAGATATGCGCAAGATTGTGAAAGATCAGCAAAACTATAGCTGACAGCTGAATGTGGGACACGCGGGATATCTAAACTAGTCTAGGATTTATGTACTAGTACGTAGCTCGATCGTGGTCCCCACGGCACTTGGACGGATGGACCCGCATCCGGGGCGTCTGAGTGAGACTGGGTCGAGATATGGCCTAGCTACGGCATGTGTGAGACCAAAGAGCACACTATCAGCTGCAGGACGCAATGCGATGCACAGAAGGACGATCAGGTGACGCCAATGTCTCCAGTCCTGATATTGCGACACAAGACGTAGCCTCCACTCAAGGCAAGGGAGTAGAGCCCTCTAGGATCTGGGGGAGTGATTAGACGAGAATGGACCATCGTGCTCGCGAGACATTTATCAAATTGCATGTGCGTACCATGGACCCCCCAGCTGAGACACTGACGATCATCTAAACCATATTCCGTCTGTGTGGTGCATTCTCCCCCGATGGCTTCTTCTCAAGTATCAACAAGGCATCGAGATTGCGTAGTACGTGCTTGCATAGTACTTACATTCAGGGAACCTGTATGAGTATAAAGCCTCCATACACTCCCATAACTACCTACCGAGCAAATCATCACACACCTGTTCACACACAGCCATCCCACCGCATCCTCCGCCATCATGGTCCGCTTCCTTACTTTCCTCGCTCTTCTGCTCAGCACAGCTGAAGCTGGTCTCTACAAGGACCCTCGACAATTTCCCCAGGATTGCAAAGCCGCTACGCAAGACGCCAAGGGCGAGGTCTGACTCTACACCGAGACCGCCCTTTTTGACTTCGCCTATCGCCCGTGCCAGATGGTCGGCCAGGCGTGCTCCACGAATAAGGACTGCCCCAAGCCGAGCAAGGAGGCTTGTGCCGCCAAGGACCCAAGCTACCCGATGAAGAAGATCTCTCAGAGTCCAGCAATGTGCATTGAGGGCGCGTGCCGCTCCGTCATCAAGTACGAAAAGGAAGAATGCGATTGCCTCTCGGGTTGCTTCGCGGACAGCAGGAGCTCGGTGCCCTTGACGTGCACCGGCGGCCAATGCACCGTTCCCGAATGTGCCCCCTGCGGCGAGGCACCCAACGGTCGGCGATGCTGCGGCAACGGAGTGCGGGGGAACGATGGAAAATGTTTCTGCGTGGATTTCTCTGCCGGAGGAGGTTGTCTCAGTGGCGGTTCATGTAAAGATAACACAAAGTGCTGCAGCTCTGGAAAGTACGAGGGAAAGTGCTGCACGCAGTGTAACGATCCTACGAAGCCTTGCTCTTAACTCTTGGGGACATGGAATAGTTTCAATGGCAACGCAGGGCTGGAGTCAGCCGTCACTACAGCCAGCAGATGTGTCTTTTGGGGATATGTTCTGGGGAAATGGTATGCGGCAGGTCATCTATTAGGAGAGTATCTTAGAAAGGTCTACCTTGATACTTATGCTACTCGACTACCACTATCTGTCGCCGTATATGATCCAAAGCCTCCTACCGGCGGACCATGCCATGTTTCTGGCGCCTGGGCTATACCACGAGCGAATACCTAGCGTACTCAACTCACAGTGAGGCAGCTAGTGGACTGTTGCTTACATGTACGTTGGATAATGCAGGACGCATCCGCTGCTGCGTAGCTTCAGGAGCCTGGCCTGGGTCTGTCATGTACGCATGAACCTTCGGGCCATGACCTATTTGAAGAAGAACAGTGGGGTGTACAGCGCGGCTCTGTTCGTGCCGAAGCTATAACCATAGAATTCCCTTTTCTCGGGACCCGATATTAATCATACACGTACGAGATTGAAAGATGTTGCATTGGCTTTTCCTGACGATGGCGACGCGCCAATCATCTTAGGTATATAACCCAGTAAGTGTCGATATAGCTCGGCAATTAGAAGATACAAAGAATCAGACAGCATTCGATTGATGATGAACTGGAGCGAGCTGCTCTAATTACTGCACAAGGGCCCTTTGGAACTTCCCGAGCACCAAGACCACGCCCGCAACCACGCTGGATTACATAGACCAAGCGTCTTGCGGGTCTACTACGAGCATTTGGTATCCCTTGAATTATACTCGTTTCGTTAGCGGAACTTTTCATGTGTCGTACATAGAGTCGCACTGGGGCACGACATCCATACCATGAAATAGGGGTTGAGTGGGCGAAGCTTGGGCGAGGTAATTCGTTTGGCCTCATTGAGAAGAAGGGCGTACATGCCTCCTCACGGAGACGTTCCTTTACAGGCTCTTGATCCCACGGAGGGTCCCACCTTGAACCGTACATTGAAGGCATGTATCGACGTATTCAATTCACTGCTCTTTGTGCTGTCTATACCACCTTTTTACCTCGATGATTCTCGAATCAACATCAGGCCCTTCGTCCATGTGGGGATAGTAAAGACAATTCTCTCAAGGACCCTCCATCTCGCTTCTGTCACATTATAACTAACTTCCATTACGGGCTAGGAGATAGGACATAACGCCAGGTCTCTAATCATACAATAACTAGGAAGTATATCCTGCCAGTGGCATTCGCTTATCCATAGTGTCGTTTCCATGTACTTCCAGTAGTGTCTCTGCTCAGTCACTTTCGAAGCCAGCCAGCAGGCTCGCTTTTGCCACTGCCTTGAAGGAGGCCCTCATTGCCTGCTCCCACTCCGCTTGCGTAAGCTGCGCCTTGAAGTTCTCTATTGCAAACTCTTTGAGTCCTTCCAATGTGGCCTTCTTCTCGTGATCTGGTTCCCACACAATGAGGAAAAGACGCAAGTGCCCAATTTCCTCCATGGCAATAGCTATGTGGTCGAGGTGGTCGCGACAGAACGTTTTGATATCGGATCCTGCCGTCGTTTCCCAAAAGGCGAGTTTCTGACCCAACATACCAGCAAGCGTATTAGCCAAACCGGTCCGTGCATCTGGGTCAAGCTCGAGCCCAGCGGCTTTGAGCGCGTCGTAGGAACTGCTGAAGCTGGGCTTCTGGACCCGCAAAAAGATGACATTTTCTTTCGTGGGCAGTATATAAGAGGACAAATAAGCGGTCATGTTCGTCCATGTCGTGAAGCGGTACACCACGCTAGACTGGTGCGTCCAAGTTTTATAGAGCGTGAACCGGTCTACGCCGAATAGCCAGTTGAACTTGTCCATCTGCGTTTTGACGCCCGAGGATTTCGGAAATGTACGAGTTTCAGAGGAGGAATAAAAACTAACATGTCCGAGGACCTTGATGAGACAATGGTTGCTTTAAGACTACCAGTTGAACCGCTCGAGATATTTTAGGACTAAGAGGTGGCGTTTTCAACTTTTCAGGGATGGAAACGCAGCTATCGAACGGTTCACATCCCGCTCTGTCAGAAGTTACATTTAAATGATGTCGTGACAGATGAAAGAAAGGTATTGGACGTATATTCTAGGTTCATATGTCACCCCGCCACGCATGCGCTTCAGCTCCCTCGTGTTGGGACCCATCACCCAATTATGGCCACTCATGCTAATGCATGTAGCTGAGTGGCTGAGACACGGCCTAGATTTGGGAGATAGTATACTGTACCGGGCAATAACCATATAAACTATATGAGTAATTCCTGCCCCTTTTCATTGTTTGCAGATCCTCTCGCGTGCCATTAATATCCCTAACTCAACAGCTATATTTCAGCTTGTCCCCTGTATACCGAATTCTCGACAGTTGAACGAAAAAAGGTCACCAAAATCACAACATTAGCTGCGATGGCGTTGGCTGTCACGGTGTCGCCTGTCAGGCCGCGCGTGCCTCGAGTGGAGTCGAGTCTAGTGACTACTAGTGTAGCGTACGCAGCTTGTCAGGCCGCTTGTTCCGTTACGCTAGCCATTCCTGGCCCATAACGCATGGTAAGATTGGGAGAACAACTATATTCTGTAGTTAGTCTTTCAATATCTCAAGACGCTAGACTTGGCTAGGATGCGCGGGTGCGTAGTCGCGTACTATATAAGTACTTATCTGGTTAGCCGAGTCACTAGCTCACTATTCCTCCAATCCTAAAAAGCCGCCGCAGCAAACCCCGCGGACGGCGCGAAGAAGGTGATTGGATGATATATTCCAATGCATGGCCGGTATAATGTAGAAGATTAATCTCACGATACTTGTCTCCGTTGATAGCCCAAGGCGAGGATCTGGGAGCTGCATGTTCACGGTACTATTTCAAACACCAAGCGCACACGATACATTTCGCCTAAGTATTATACTGTGTCCCCACTCTGTGCATTGCAGTGGTTCGATCATGCTGAATGACCCGGAAGAGGGAGGACTTGGTATATATTATGTAAACGTTTGCGAGACCTGCAACATCCACTTTGGCAATCAGGCGGTGCGGCTGATGCTGGCAGCTTGCCGCAGGTGCAGGTCGTGTGACAGGATTGTGCTGCATTTGAGGCGCGGTGCTCAGCATGGGACCACCACTAGCGGAGGTACGTAGTACTTACCAGAGCGCCCGCATAGCGGTATGTATCTGCAAATCCAAGCCTCCAGTCTCCTGCCGGGAAACGCTAATTTAGACCACTTATTAGTAGGTGGGATCACGCCTTAGCTGAACCTTCTCTGGCCTACAACACTGCCGATTCCGAGGAAATGCGCCCCGGTCCAAGGAGGCTGCGGCCCCGGAACTTTCAGCCACCCCACAATATGCCTTCACTGAGCAGGTCTCTAGCAAGCTGAGCAGGTTGATCGTTTCCACCCTCCAAGAGCAGCTTTAAAAGGTCTATCAAAGCCCTTCCGCAAATTACAAGCGCACTGTATTTCACTTCTTCTTCGTACCTTCCCTATTTTTTGGTCCTCCAACAATATGCCTAGCACACGCCCCGTAACGCTTGTACATTGCCCTCTCACGTCCCTGAGCGCAATTCCAAATCCCGTCGCTCATCAAGTAGTGGATCACTTCGGAGTTGATGTGAGAATAACTTTCTCTTCCTCTCCGTCTTGGTAGTTGTGGATATTGCTAACCATTCTGTTACTTAAAGGTGGGCTCTCCATCAAACGTTACCAGGTTCGAGCTGCAAGTGAAACCAGACAAGAAGACTGTACAATTGCGTACCACCAAAGGCGCAGAACAAGGCTTGTACCAAAATGCTCGAGTTTTGCTATTCGAGACCAACATCACGGGGGAAACATCTCTTTCGGACGATGAAATCGAGCTCATAGGTATAATTCACTGCTCTCCGGCTCTTCGTGTGCTAATCACGGCAGTAGCGAAAAGGTTGATACAGGAGCATGGTGACTACCGCCTTCTCTGGAACAATTGCCAGACATGGGCTTCCTATCTTTTCAATGAAATCACTGACGTGAGGGGCCACCTAGGCCTGAAGGTGTCCGCCATGGTGTCAAAGCCCTTATTATCATTATATAGTAAAATATTTTAAGCGTTAAGTATTAAGGACACTAGAATATAATCTAATAAGTACGAGGCTCTTTAAGTAGCTATTAACTCGTTATGCGATAACTTTATTTTTCTTATCCTCTAGAACTTAGTTCTATTTATATGTATTAATTAATTATTTTAAGCCTAATTATAGACCGGTCTCGTGGTATTATTATCTTCAATTCAATACATTTCTGTGCGGCTACGAGGCTGCCTATGTGTGCCTATGTTACGGCGTTAAAGCTGCGGCGTTAAGGCTCGCATCTAATAGCCCCGCGTTGGAGCTTCTGGCTTAGTAAGCAGAACAGAGCACTACCAAAAACCATTGTGTCGAACTGAGTCACCCTCTATCCAATGCAGAGGTTAGGCCGTCGTTCATGTCGGAACCACGCATCATGGTTCGCGTTGCCATTCTAGGCGGCTCAGGCCACGTTGGGAGAACCCTTGCGGAGGTGATTAGCCAAGACTCCAGGCACTCTGTTATTGTGCTCGGGCGAAGGGTGCGGCCATTTCATGCCATAGTCTAGGCTCTTGACGATTTACTGACTGCAAGTTCGTGATAGGTGCCACAGAAGACGTTGCCCGGCATTAATTATGTGTCGGTTGACTACGCCGGCGTAACAGCCATGGCCTCTATCCTAGAGGCGCATCAGATCCATACAATCATCTCGTGCCTCATGCTTATGGAGGAAAGCATTGCTACTTCCGAGGCAGCAGCAATTGCCGCCGCCGAAATGTCGCGGTGCACTCGTCGCTTCATCGCTAGCAATTGGGGCCCGCCAACCAAAGAAGAGTACAGAAGTCGATCGCCGTGGTTTCCTTTTCAGCTCGACATACGCGATCAGCTCCGTACAACATCACTAGAATGGACAGAGATCGTCACCGGGTACTTTCTCGATTACTGGGGGATGCCTCACTTGAAGACGAACATGACACCAGATATGCCAGTCTTGGACATTGTCGATGGAGTCGCGGGCATTCCAGGGACAGGCAATGAACTAATATCCTTCGCATACACATATGACGTTGCGAGGGTCATTACAGAACTTTTGATGATGCCCAAATGGGATGAAGCAACCTACATTGTTGCAGACAAGCTGTCATGGAATGAATTCATTGCCCTCGCAGAAAGGGCCTGCGGTCGCAAGTTCGACGTTGCATATGACTATGTCAGCAAACTGGCGAAAGGAGACATCACAGAGCTGCCGAATCATCGCCAAGTGTATCACGAGTTCCCGAAACAGGAGTTACGTCAGATGTACTCTAGTCTTGGCTTGTCGATGGCGATGGGGACTTTTGATCTAGATCTGGGCAGAAGCATCCATCTGCAACTCCCACATATAAGGATGATGACTGTGCGAGACATGCTACAGGACATCTGGGCTTCACGACATACGAGTGCGAGTTAATTGAAACCTTTTCGCATAGTGCTCGTCAACCGGAGGCTGGGGCCGCTGGCGCGGATGGCGGCGGGTAGAAAGGGACGGGACGAGCCGAAATAATATTACGGGCCGTGCGAAGTATCACGGGGCAAGATTGGACCAAGAGCTGTCCATTTCTCCGTACGACGCAACCATCGGGATACATGCCATTTCCAGCGCTTGCGTAGGTCGACAAGCAGGCACCCCATGCTAACACCCCGCTAGACACCTTGAGTGTATAATGGGCAAACTTAGCTCAATCCTCTGACCACATGCCGCTTCCAGAGATGTTTGATGCCGAGTTGATTGGGAACATAAAAGAGCCTGTGATTTTTGGGCCGTTGCTGAGTGTCAATTGCAGCTCTTCCGTACCAACTTCTCCGTCAAAGTTTTGGCGGGTGGCCAGTTGTTCCATGTCGCCGTATTCCAGACTGGCCTCGTTGCATGTGAACTCCTCGACAGGGAGATCAAGGTTGCCGCTAAAGTGGAATTGAATGTCGTCAATGATAAACGTAGCGATAAATTTGCTGCCGCCAGTAACACTTTTGACAAAGCCTGGTGCAGAAGGCATCTGTTGAGAAGATTCATTAGTCGATAATAAAAATATTGATACGTGTAAACGACTTACTATAACAGGCTGTCTATATGCGTGTGATGCGTGTAGATGTGTGTAGGTTTGGCTGTGTTCGTGTTTTGAACAGAGGTTGCCTTTGGTGGGACAAGAAGATGGAAGAGACGGGAGGTTTTTGGGTAGAAGGGAAGGCCCGGTCTTATATATAAATACTTTGAGATCGATCTCCCTCACGGGGCTCTCTCTATCTGGTCCCATGCTAGGCCTGCATTTGCTAGTGTCGGTGTTAAGAGCAAGTCAACAGGATTAGTATGTGACGAAACAGAGTAAACCAAATTCTGGTGTTATAATTGGGTGGAAAAGGGACCGTTGCGCATTACTCAGATGTTAACATGCTACTTCTTACTTTCAGCTCCCCACTAATGAGCGATCATGTCTGCTTCCGACTGTCCTAATTACCTGAGCGATGTCACGTTAGGATGAGGTATCTCGAAAAGAGTGCCATGCAGCGATTCTCTCCTACCTAAGACGTAGGGGAAAGTACACTACCGAGCACACTGGCTTTCAATATTACCGTATGAGTATATATAAGTCTACGGAATGTGGCTCGCTCTCTTTTCAAATGCAAGACTATGCGGAGGTATGAGAAATTAAGAACGGCGAACACCCAACATGAAGGCTTCATACCGGAATTGAAACCCCTCCTTGATTTCTTCATGTCTAAGACCTTTACAGGCATGACGTATCTTTTTCACATTACATGTACGTTGCACCCGCTCGCCGTTTGAGCCTTTGAGGGGCTATCACCTTGTCTCAACCCAGCTGAGCCTTTTTCTATCGCTGCGCTAGTACTTGCATCCTAAGGCTGCATGTTTTTCATAAAATTCGGCTCGGCAGTGCATTTCCGTACTAGTAGGTACAAGATCTTCAACAGACAAAAGCTGAACCTTCAGAATCCGAGACATGCATAGCTAGTAACATGAATTACTTTTCCCGGACAAGACTCGGATAAGTCTCCCGAGTCCCGAGAGAGATCAGGTACATTATATCTCGACATATCTTGCTCTCAGCGACGCAATCCAGTCTTCCAATAAAATACACCCTCAAACTAGGTCGATTCCCTTTTCCGTCGAGCCGTTCGAGTTTCGAGAAAGCCTGTCTGGATAGGAGTGTAGTTGGTTGAGAATGTAGTTGGTTTGGGTAAGGATCACCCATGGCGCGCGCTCCCTTTCAAGCATAGATCACTGGATCACAGCAGAGTTACGCTCCTTCAAGACCATCTTTGGATCCTCCGCGTCCCAGTTACGACCTCAAGAATCAAAAGCCACCACTGGTATGAAATAACACCCATTTCACCCAACTATATGTACAGTATCACAAGTTCTTCAGCTTGTGATACCATCATCAACGTTTAGTTTCACCAGGTCCCATACCAAGCACATCGACTGGGACGACAAGCCGGCGCCGGACTTGTACACACCGCAGCGTCCTACGAAACAGACATAAGCTGAATTTTGTCCTGCAGCCTACCCCTTTAGAGCGCATATCACGTTCCGCCGTCTGAAGAACTTAACCGTATGACCTCGCATCCGCTTGTCGTCCCCTCCCCACTGTCTCCACGAACAAACACCTGGATCCCGAAGCGCTACTCCGTGCTTGGGGACGGATTTACATCTTTTCGAGGATTGCCGACCTTGTGACCGGTACGTTGAGCCCGAAGAAGAACTCCACTAGCATCGATTGAGTAAGTATCTGGTAGCCTACTACTTGGAGTGTCGACGCTTTTCGGGGTCCAGCTCTTCCATCGTTATGTCGACTCCCCCCAACAGAGGGATGACTTGCCCCTTAAACTCTCATCGGCTTCGTTGAGCAGAGGGCTAGCATTAGGTCATTCACTCCCTAGGCGAGCAATATGAAGTTCTTCGGGTTGAGATTGTGAAATCAGCTACCCACCAATGACTCCTGCCTCGTGAAGCGCATAAAGGCCAGGCTCATCCACACCAGCGACCCAAGAGCATCAACATTCTCAGCCCAAAACATGACATCCGCGACATCATCCGAAATCATGGCACTCACCGTTGTATCCGTCAAAAACCCCATAGCATCGTAATCCACGAGATCCGTCGCTGTAATGATCTTGTTCCCTTTGCGGGCCGTCGCGTACCGACCAAACGCCGCCCGCCAGGCGCGGTTGCTGCGCGCGGACCAGAGCTCGCGGTGGCTCGGTAGGGGGAACGCACAGACGCCGTGGTGAATGTCCTGTTGGGACTGCGTGCGGATGCCCTCGAGGAGAATGTCGAGGATGCCGAGGGTGGTCACTATACGGATGAGGGACTCGACGTAGACCCATTCGGTGCGCTGTGGGCGGATGCGGGAGATTTCGCCGTTCCAGATGATGGTGCCTGAGAGGTGGCCTGCGACGTTCTATGATGGAGTTTGTTAATGCTGCTCGATAAGGGTTGAGGAGGACGGTTGGGCAAGGGTGGTGCTGACTTGGACTTGAGTTAGGAGACGGCCTGCTCCGTTCTCCTCGGCTGTCGCTGGATCACCGGCTTGTAGGAGGGTGTAGACCACTAGGGCTTGGAGGACGGTGAGTTGCCGGTTAATGTCGTATAGCAAGTACTACGCCGCGTATTAGTTTAGGGTTATGAGATGTCCTCGATCAGCAAAGTGCATACATTGCCGTGCAGCTTCTCCGCCTCGGCATATATGCTCTTCCACGCATACGCTCGAGTACTCGCGGACCGGTCGTAGAACATCCGGACCAAGCTGGCGCAGACGGAGAGGTCCTCGGGAAGACAGCAATGGCGTCCTGCTTCGCCGCACTCAGGAGCTAGATCTTCACGGATAAAGCAGGGAGGTGTGATGAAGGGTGGCAACGTGTCGCCTTCGACCATAAGCTTGGGGTAGCTGGTCATCTGACCGACAATGATGTTCGAGAGGACGCAGTGGCGCCAAAAGAAGCGTCGTTGCAAGGGCCCGCGGGTTTCTGAGACGAGTTGGGTCTCGGGGCTTGTGGTGGGAAATACTCCTGACAACGGCCGTGAGAGGTCCCTTGTTGGTGCAGACTTTGGGATAGCGCCTGATCTCGCGTCTTCCCCTGGTACAGAGGCCTCAAGCGCTACGACTGGTAGCGCCTGAGGTGCAAGAAGCTTCATACTGTCCGCGAAATCTATATCAGGCGACTTTTGAAGCCAATCGAGGTCGTCAAGCAGGGGCTGGGTTGCGTCAACCGTCATCGTCGCAATCGAGGAGGATTCACTGGGCATCCAGGGATCCATCTCAACCCCGGTCGCGGCGGGTGTCCATAGATAGGGAGAGACGCGTGCCTCGCCCTCGTATACGCAGTCGATGCAGCGAGTGATGCATCGCGAGCAGGTCAATTTCTGGTCGCACCGTGCTTTGGATCGGCGGCAGGGTACACACGACTTTTTGCGGGATAGGGGCATTGCGGCGGCGGTGTTCCGAAGCGGACGGAATACCGTAACGAGAAGATCTCTGGGAACTTGAGCTCTCGAATGAAAACGTATTCGTGTAAGATCTGAGTCGAGGGTGAGGTCCGGAGTTGAGTGAAAGAGGATGATTGGTAATCGCCAGCTCCTTCAGGGGCTTGACGGGTCCGGGACTCCGACCCCGGCCCGGGGTTCAAGTGGAGTCTCGCTCGGAGTTCAGGTGGAGCTGCCGGTATCCGGCATGCTCATTGGTCGCCGGCGCTGAGGCCGTCCGGCGTGTCAAGTGTATGCGAGTATAGATGATAAAAAGCGACCCCAAAGATGTATGTTTGGCGCGATCAGGGTGGTCTCATTCATCTCCAGGCGAGCCAGTTTTGGGTTGACCATCCTACGGAACTCCGATAGTCCCGCCTGCAGAAGTAGTCTAGACCTTGGGTTCCGGAGTATTACCTAAAATTACTTCGACTTTAAAGATCACAAGTGAGGATCGACTGTCCTTATCCTTCCGTCATACGTAAGAATCAAATATAAGTATATAGCGGTTAGCCTCCTAGTAACATTGCCTCATCTTCATCAACTCCAATTCCAGTCTTCATATCTCCGCTACCGCTCAAATCGCCCACAGCTCAGGACTTACCCTAAATCAGACCTTGTCAAGCAGTTCAACGCAATGGCTCCTATTCGCGTTGGTATCATCGGTGTGGCCGGAAAGTCCTCCGCCCAGTACACGCCCGGTGAATGGGGTGTCCACCATCTCCGTGCCGTCTTGGCCAACACTCAGTACGAGCTCATCGCCATTTGCAACTCAACCGTCGAATCCGCCCGCAGATCAATCGACTTCCACCAGCTCGATGCGAACAAGGTCCGAGCCTACGGCTCAGTTGCAGACCTCGCGGCCGATCCGCAGGTCGACCTGGTCGTCGTGGCCGTAGACGCCAGCAAGCACGTTCAGCTTGCCCAACCAGTAATTGAAGCTGGCAAGGACGTGTATGTCGAGTTTCCATTGGCCCCGACTGTGAAAGAATGCGAGCATCTCGCCCAGTTGGCAAAAGATATGGGTGTTAGGTCCATTGCTGGCACGCAGGCGCACTCGGACCCCGCCATTGCGAAGCTCAGGTATCTGGTGCAGAACGAGATTGGCAACGTCGTTTCAACCGTCCTCGTCGGTACCTCTCCGATAGACAGCAGTGCGGGCTGGCCTGCGAGCGCCGCCACGTTCTTGTCCGTGGACGGTTACGCCAGTCGTATCCGGATCGTGAATGGTCATAGTGAGTACCCGTTTGACGGGCAATTGTCCGGGATTAGAAGCTGATCAGATATAGTTCTTGGTGGGTTTAGTAGCGTCGTTGGAGAGTTTGAGGACCTCCAAGTCGTGTACAAGACTCAGTCGCCGGTCACTACCCTGCTTGATGACACGTTCCAGCCCATCAAAACCAACTATCCCGTCACGAGCCCCGACCATGTCGGCATTCAGGGCGTTCTAAGGTCAGGCGCTCTTGCAAGCATCAATATCCGCGTATCGGCCGCGCCAGTTGATGATTGTGGCTTCAGATGGATTATCTCCGGTACCGCTGGGGAAGCCGAGCTCGTCACCAAGCCGGGTTTCTTCCAGACAGGCCTAGATGGCGCTGTCATCAAGCTGAGGAAGCGTGGTGAGGAAGCATCCAGAGAAGTTGACTGGCATACAGGAGATTTGGATGCTGTTGTGGGAGTTAATGGCTGGACCAAGAGCATCTCTAGAGTTTATGCTGCTTTTGCCGAGGGTAGGGAGGGCGACTACGCCACGCTCGAGACGGCTCTCGGAGTGCACAGAACGTTGGACAATGCCACCGCTGGCGCTCTTTGGGCTTCCAAGTAAGTACCACAGTTATTTCGATTCATATCATAGCTTTCTTCAAGGTCATAGCTCTTTGTATTTTGCGTCGACCTGTTGGGTGGAAGATGAATCGAGATGCTGTGACGATCGGGTCTAGACTAGCTATAAGATCGTCGCGCGGCCCGCTATGCAGCGCGGCTGTAGTATTACATTGTCAATGAAAACTCGTTCCTTGCTTCTGCCCCGTTTAACTTGACAATGGCCCCATTGTCACCTGCAGCAATCGAAGACACTTCAGCGACCGACGCACGCAAAGAGAACAACACCCTGTTGACGGTGAAATCGTAGACCCTGATCAGTCCGTTGTGTAGCCCGACAACCAGCTGTCCGTTTGACCTAAAGGCAACCGAGCATGGGACAACACGCCTCCGCCGAAAGATCACGCGGCAGGTCTGCAGGCAAACCCCCGTCGCCGAATCCCACATTTTGACGATGCCGTCTATGTCAATTGAGACTATGCGCCCATCCGGCGTGTACTTGACAGCAGCAATGGGTACTGTGTGGCATTCAATCGTCATGAGGCAAGGGCTCCAATTTTCCTCAACAGGAGGGCTCACCGTAAGCCCAATGCCCTCCATCTCACTGGCGTAGAGTTGTTTGACGATACTGCGACTCGGGCTGAACAAGAGCGCCGAGAAGTAAACCTGGATGGGTGACATTGCGATGACATACGCATTGCCTCGGATGAAGCGAAGGGCATCTGTGACCAGTGCCGCGAGCTGCGGCCGCTGCATCGCGTGCTTTTTCTACAAAGGACACCACAGGCCCAGGTCAGTATTTGGTCGTTACACACTGCCGAGCTGCCGAGCTGCTGCACTATGTTGGTGAATGCGGTGTCTTACAACATATTGATCCAGATTTTGCATGGATAGCACACCTTGCGGCACGCTCTCGAGATGACCAAGAGCCTCCAGCCAGTTCAAGAATTTCGTTCTGAAAAATTCGTGCAAGAGGCTGAATATAGATTTGTTTGTCGGGACGTCCGAATGTTGAAAATGGTCCATCAAGTGTACGACAAAATACTCAATGGAAGACAGGGGATCAGATGTCGATGGTGGATGAACTCGACCTGTGCTGTAGAGCTGCCCCTTGAGGCGATTCTGCAAAAGTTGGACAGACTTTGTAAAGATGAGACTATGATGCCGACCCGTACCGTTCGGCATGACGCGCGAGACTGCTTGGTTGAGGAGAAAGTCCTTGGCCGACTGGTGCACGAAGAAGATGGTATCATCGCGTGCTATAAGAAAGGAGCCGCAAAATGGTTCCCGCAAGGGTCAACCCGTCAAAGCTAAAGGTGTCCGGCATGAATCCTGATTCCAGTCACTTATTACCCCTCTCTTGCCTCTCGCCCAGAAAGTTGAAGGATGGGCATCGCCAGATGAGGAGGAGCAGCTTCTGCTTACATCATGATTTGATCTCACTGGATTCACTCTGAAGCAAGTCCAGTCGGTGACAGGTGACCGGACCAGACCTGTTTGCGACCGAAATCATGTCGCAAAGATCCGAGGCAAGATCGCCCTCCAACTATACCGTCGGCATCATCTGCGCCATGAGCTTCGAGATGAGCGCCATCCGATACATGCTGGACAATGAGCACGAGATGCGGCCCATTGAGGACGTTGACTCGACCATCTATACCCTCGGTGACGTCCACGGCCTCAACATCGTGCTCGGCTGCCTCTCTGGCCAGCAAGGCAAGGGTGCTGCCGCCGTCGTCGCCGCCAACATGTCCCGCACGTTTCCGCACATCAAGTGGCGGCTCCTTGTAGGCATCGGCGGCGGCGTCCCAAGTGACAAGCATGACATCCGACTAGGCGACGTTGTTGTGAGCATGCCCGAGGGTCAGCATGGCGGCGTGGTCCAGTACGATCTGGGCAAAAGCTCTGGCGCAGGCTTCCAGCTCAAGGGCTTCCTGCAGCTCCCACCCGCCCTGCTGAGAAGCGCTGTCGAGAGGATGGAGTCGGATCATCTCGTGCGCGACAGTCGCATCCTCGAGTTCATCGACACCATGGTCGGCAAGTGACCTCGCCTCTCCATCTACAAGGAGCCACGAGATGTCGTCGATACTCTCTTCCAGGATGACTTTTCTCACGGCGATGCTGTTTCCTCGTCTGCAGCCCATGACCCTCCCCAAATTGTCACGCGATCTCCTCGTGAGTTTGAAGGTCCCTATATCCACTACGGACTCATCGCGTCGGGCGACAGCGTCCTCAAGAGCGCCTCAAAGCGTAAAGAGCTAGTCGGGGCCCTTGGTGACGTGCTATGCTTCGAGATGGAAGCCGCGGGTCTCATGAGCGAGTACCCCTGTCTTGTTATTCGCGGGGTCTCTGACTACGCAGACTCCCATAAGAATGACGCCTGGCACAAATACGCTGCCGCAACGGCAGCGGCGTGCACCAAGGAGGTCCTGTCCTACCTCCGAGTCAAGGACGTGGCTGCAATGCTCGAGATGCCTGACGCAGACGCAGCAAGTCAGTCTGCCAGCTCGCAGTCCCCTTATCTTACGCGGGGAGCCATGGAATGGCACCACCAGCAGCAGCCTCACGCGAACGTCTTTCACGGAAAGGGATTCCAGCATACCGGCACAGGCAACTTCTCTATTGGAGGGGACTCTAACATCTTATGACGAACGGCGGGACATTTCTCATTGTATCCACCGCTTAGTAGTGCCGGCCCACTGTGTTCCACGGCATGCCATTGTCCGGGACGGCAGAGCTAGATCGCGCATCTGATGTTACCGAAACTTGAAGCGTCCGTCTCACCTCTCCATTCTTTTTCTGATGTTCCCCTTCAGGAGCTTTGCCACGGTAGAGGGCCTCTTGAGAGTCATTCGGGCTTTGATCATCCATTGGCATGCCATCATCGGGAATCTCCACATGACCACGCTTCGTCTTTACGTTCGCACCGCTTCCACCGATTGTGACAATGGGGTTGGAGTTTCCACTTGCACTGGGTCTAGAGCCTGCACTGATACCGAACAGCGACTTCACGGTCTGAGGCAATGGAGACTCGGCCAGAATCTTCGGCAAGCAAGGGAAGCAGAAGATGAAGAAACCAGCCGTCATCTCTGCCCATGCCCAGAACAGTAAGGGACCAATGTAGTACATTTGGTCGAGTTCCTTCGAGAAGGTGATAGTGTGAGACAGGCGGAAGCAAGCAGCGATGCAGGCACTGGGGTTATCGAGTCAGCTTTGCACGTTTTGCCACAAGTCTTCTAACAACTTACATCATGCCAACGCCGAACAAGAGGGCAATACCAGTCTTCCTCTGCCAGTTCATGTGCAGTCTCCAGATCTCACGCTGAGGTAACAGAACCATGCAAACGTCCGTGATGACCTGAACGGACGCTGATGCAAGCATGACAGAGGGAAGTTTGTAGCATTTAGACGGGACATAAAATTCCCAGATGGCCTTATGCGGTCTGCATTGCATGTTGAGAAGAATAATGCACATGACGCCCCAGACGCATTGGAAGGTACTGAGGGCAACACATCCCCACCAAAATGGGTTTCGGTACTTGTCGGTTGGCACGAAGACGCGGCACCAGTCGAGCAGGATAGCGGTCTTGACCAGGGGCAGGACTACACTGTAGCAACATCCGTAGACGAGAATGAGCTGTATGGGGTGATCAGCAAGGTTCCCAACCAATAAATAATTCGGACAAACGTGCGTAAAGAGGTCGAACAAGGTCTCCGTTGACCAAGTTCCACTGGTGAACGTAGTACCCAGGCGTCTCGACCATCTCGTAGCCAGCATAAGCTGTACCACCGAGAGCTCCCAATGCGAGAAACATGCAGACTACAACAGATAGCATTGTTAATAACCAGTAAAAGAATGTACAAAACAAGAACGTATGGGTTCTTACTCTCTTCCATGTGGATTGCCCGGATTTTGTAAACCCTTGCGTACGTTCGCAGAAGCACACAGAGTATAGAAACTGCAAGACACAGTGTGGTGACGGCCAACGCAAGCCCGTTGCGGTTGGGATGGTTTTCAAAGTCAGGAGTGACGTCCTCGGGAGTCTCCATTGCAGGAGCAGCCAAAAGGCCGTCGAGCTCTTCCTTTGTCATCGCCATCGTGAAGCTTTGTTTTCTTGTGAGGTAAATCAAGGAAAAGAAAACATAATGCACAAGAAAGGAAAATGGCCTCAGAAACGTCTTTCGCTGTCCGAACATCGAGATGAGCGAAGGGAGGATACAAATACTATCCTCCAACAACAAAAGTAACAAGTAACCAATGTCGGCAGTTAGATAGGTCGTACAATCCCCCTTTTCCCCCCGCCCCCAGTAAGCACAGCTCAATGATCTCTCGAATGCCGACAGCGAGACTACGAGTCAGCCTGTCAGGGGTGGATGGACGCAAAGAGCCAGGGCACCTGGACAACTTCATCAGCCGTTACTAAAACCGTTATACATACGTCCAACATGCTACCTCTCCACGGTGCCTAAAGAACTATTGACTCCTTCCGCGAACACATTCCCGACCTCTCTCAAATCGTCAGTCCGCTTTTGCCACTGATAGAGAATGAATACCCCCTACGTATACTTAGTACACCCTTCACGGATTCCATTTGTTGGCGTGTTACGGAGTACCTCTGGCAGTAGTGCAGGGATCAAAGATACCTGGTCGGCCACTGATTCTTGCTGGAAAGATAGGTATCTCCATACATGTAGCCTGCAATCCTGCATTGACCCTATTAATTAATTAGCAACTTCTAGCCAAATGTGCATTTACCCTCTAGAATGATCACTAATCCGTAGTAAATACAACCGAAGAAGACTGGGCTTCGTATATATGCTAACAAATGGAATCCCTGAAGGGTGTAGTCACGGAACGCAGCCATGCCCAACTCCTTTGCGAAATCACGCTGATATGAGCCGCCCTCCGCGCCGTCCCCATAGCCGGGAGCCCCACACATGCCGGGCGCACCGCTAGCGCTGATGCTCGACGCCAGCCTAAAAGGGTTAGGCGCCATTCTCAGAGGGAACTTGGGGAGACCAATAGCCATCGTCTCAACAGAGCTGAGCCCCGCCGAACAGAATTACGACACTGCCGATCCCGAGCTCCTTACCGTTGATTGGGCGAAACCGGAGGTTTTTATCACCATTATGGCAGACCCCGGCCGGTAGGACTACCGGGTACGAATCCCTGTCCCGCAGCCAGCGGTAGCGGCCGTGGCTTCAACAACGCCCGGCCCACGAGTGGCTGTGATCTGCAATATCTTTGGTCCCTTTTGCTAGGTATGGCACCGCCTCCAAAGAGGGATAAGGTCACAGATTACAAATACTCGGTGTCCGATGTCAGGTTAGGTAGTGACAAGTGACAGGTGAAGTGGTGAGGGGGTGTCAGGTTGTCTGTAGACTCGTGTGACCACTTCTTATTATTGCGCGTTGGGGTGAAACTATGCAAATCCAATGTCGCCTTTAGCAGAAGCAATGTTTATTTGGACTTGAAGTCTGGGTGCAGTGTATTACTGGCTAGATCGGTTTCTGTTGTGTCAAGATACGATCGAGCGGTGAGCTGCTTGCCGGAACTTTGCTACACTAATTATCTACGAGTGGCAGGGAACGCTCAGGCCTGGTCTCATGTCCACAAGGCAAAGTGACAGCATCCACCACTAGGCTCTGGCTATCTTCCAGTGAGCCTTGCCTCACGAGGGTTTCCTTGAGCTGATACCCATGGAGGTACAGGCGGTGGAGCGTAGGAACCGTGGTGTGTACAAGGGTTCTGAGACGTACCCTCCTACCCCTTTGCGCAGGATCCTGCAGAAACGAGGGTCCAACATGACCCAGTGCCGTCTTCCGATTATATTACTCGCGTGTCGTACGATGTCCCATGCTGTGCAACTTTTGTTCTCTGTCCATCTCTTCACAAGCAAGCGAGAGTGCAGTGCATTCCAGCCAAGGTTGCATTGCAGAAGCAACGTGGAAACGAAGAGGAAATACGTAATCCGGACGCTCTTTAGCCCAGACGCGCAACATGCCTTCCTGTGAGTGCTACCCAGGTCTAGGTACAGGTGGATGGGTGATGACCATTAATTACCGGGTACCTCGGGGTTCCGAGAGATCATTGCCTTGCAAGGGTTTGCTGACAGCTGGGGAGAGCAGACACCAACGGCACTGGCGAGGAAATGCCTCCTCGTGCGGACTTGAGGACACTTATGAAGGAGTATCCCTTGCCTAATATTCCTCCTGGCATAGTGTCTCCGGAGTCTACGGTTGACAACGCACCAACTGTCCAAGCACAAACCGTGTTGGATCGTCTCAGTGCTGGCATTGCTGCGAAGAACGCAAGTGCAATTGCTGCCTGCTTCTACGATACCCAAGCCTGGTGGAAGGATAGCCTTGCCTTAACTTATCACCTAAGGACATTTATGTCACCTAATGTTATAGCAGAAGCTCTTCTGGAGTTAGTGGACCATCGAGGCTGCGGAAAGCTCTCCGCCGAAGGAGAAGCAGTCTTCATCCCAGCAACCCCATTTCTCGTAAGTCGCAATATCTGCTTTGCTGTACACAGCAAAGGCTCATAACTCTGGCGACAGCAATTTATCGACTGTGCAATTAACTTCCGCACCTCGACTCCTGGTGCTACATGCACTGGCAAGATTGTCCTTCTACCATCCAAAACGGCCAATGACTCTGTTGAGTGGAAGATTTGGGTTCTCAACACCAGACTTGAAAGTCTCAACCTCCATCCAGAGGATGAGAAACTGCTCCACGCCCCTGCCCAGCGTATTGATAGCGCTGGCGACCTCGAGACGGATGTGTTGATTTTGGGCGCTGGAAATGCAGCGGTGTCCCTTGCTGCCCGCCTCAAAGCACTCGGGGTGTCCTACATAATGGCAGAAAAGAATGCCAAGGTTGGAGACAACTGGGCACTCCGATATGACAATCTCAAGTTTCACGTCCCAACGTCATTCTGCGAGATGCCGTATCTGAGTATGCATGCCCTCCTTGCTGATGACGCGTTTGATGCTGATACGGTACAGACTATCGAGACGAACTCAAGTCCCCCCATCTACTATCCAAGAACGACCTTGCTGAGCAAGTCATCAGATACGTTGAAGCCTTCCATCTCAATGTGATCACGTCTGCAAAGTTGATCTATACGGTGTGGGACAAAAAGACTAGGACTTGGCAGGCTACCTTTGACACTTTGGCTGGGCCCCGGGCCGTCAAGGCCAAGCATTTCGTGCAGGCTACGGGTGTTGGCTCTCAAAAGCCTTACCTGCCTCAGATTGCAGACGGAGGATACCAGGGCAAATCTATGCACTCGCAAAGCTTCCGCAACGGCAAAGCTCTTGCTGCAGATGGTGTCAAAGTGAGGCCATTGCAAATGCCTGTAATATTTCGTCAGCTAATGGAAGTTGGATAGTCCGTGATTGTGGTCGGATCTGCCAACACAGCTTTCGATGTCCTAGAGGACTGCCACTCGGCCGGTTTGCAGGTCACAATGGTCGTCCGCTCTCCAACCTTCATCTGCCCAACCGAATACGTCCTGGACCAGCGCAGCCTTGGAGCGTACAACCTCGGCGTCGAAGCTGCCGATCGCCTTTTCCTTTCACTTCCCTCTCCTGTCGATGGTGCTCTTGCCAAGGGACTCTTCACAATGATGGCCTCTCAAGAGCCCGATCGCTACAAGCCGTTGGCTGATGCTGGCTTCCCCGTCCTCACAGCACTTGATCCCCAGTGCGCACTCATGTCGAACCTCATTGAGAACTGCGGAAAGCATTACATGGACGTGGGAGTCACACAGCTCATTGCCGACAAGAAAGTCTCACTGAAGACATTGGTAGAGCCGAAGGCGTTCACCAAGACCGGTCTCGAGTTCTCGGACGGAAGTGTTTTGGACGCAGACGCTGTCATCTGGTGCACCGGATTTGACGACATGAACATCAAGAAGAACGTGGCCGACATGCTAGGTAGTGAGAATGCCAAGATTGAAGATGGTCAGTTAGGCCCCAAGGAGCTAGCCTCTCGTCTTGACACGACCTGGGGAATCGACGCAGAAGGCGAGATCAGGGGTATGTGGAAGCGTCATCCGCGCCTTGAAGGTGTGAACTATTGGATCGCAGGTGGCTATACTCAGCTGCATCGCTTCCACTCACAGACGCTGGCTCTGCAGATCAAGGCTGAGCTGGAGGGGATTCTTCCTCCTCCATACCTCAAGACCCCAGGGGGTTATGTTTAGCTGTAGCAACACAAATATCAGCGGTAAAGGACATCTGCATTAGGACTGAGCCGTGCGAGATGGGTGGATTTGACCCGTTGATGAGGCCGTAGTTGGGGAAGTTCTCGACCTGCGTGGCGAAGAAGGGTTCTCGACCTGCGTGGCGAAGAAGGCATATGGATTCTCCGTCCACTGGTCCTCGAACGTGGCCCCGTTACGGCCAACGCCCTTGAACTACGGGATCCAGCTGCTGCCAAGGCCAGACGCACAGAGAATCATGCCAAACTCTTCCTCTTCGCCTGAAGCGGTCTTGGTGCCCTTCTCCGTGAAGCATTCGACTGGGTCCCAGTTGTCGCGGCAGTTGAGGTATCCGACTACAGGGGAGATACGGGCGGCAGCCGGCGTGGGAGTCTGGGCTGATCCTTTTCTCAAGTTCTGGAGCATCTACCATGGAGGTGTGTGTTCTTTGTCAGGCATGTTTGCCTTGCTTAGTTCGGCTACACATTCGGCCTTGTCCCGAGAATCCATAGGAGGTGAACCCGACAGCGACACGACAGTACGCACGTGCGGACATGCGCACTCCGGGACCGACTCAGTTTCTTTGACCGATTGGGTTTTGCGCTCCTGCTACCAATACTTTCCTCCGCAATCGTGTTCAGATCACCCTCCCAAGTGTCCTAATCCTTGATCTACTGAGACAGTCCCTGCTCCATCTAATGCTTGTAACACCCTTTACTCAGCATGCGCTTTACTTGGTCGTCGGTCATGTTTTTTTTTTTTTCAAGAACATCAGAGTCCTCGTAAAGTTCTCGGAAGACGCCTTCTGAAAAGAGTCAATGCACGACACTACATGTAGTGACTGCTGGCAAGCTCGCAGTGTTCATGCGCGCAGGGTAGGCTGATGTCTCGAGCTGTTCCTTTACCAGACCAAGGCTGGTGACTTGACCTATCACACAAAGAGCAAAAGAGAAATCTTGCCCAGATAGAACTGGCTTTGTTAACATGTCGTACTTCCGAAGACCAGAGTGTCGACCCTTGTAGCTTCCTGCCCGCCTCCACAGAAGGGTGACTCTTCCAAATGCAAGTAGGCAAATCTGCCTAGCTCCTGTCAAGTTTCTGAGCTCATTGTATGGATTTTGAATCACGAGCATAAACAAGGCTTCTGCATTCATGTTTACACCGAGGGCACATACCCACATTGTCCCAGGCCATCCCGAGAGAGAGAAGACTACATCACCGAGCAACCCTCCTCGACCTTTCGCTCCAGCTCTGCCTTTTCACGCTGCAGCTTGGCGTTCTCAGCATCCGAGGTGGCGAGCCTCAGCTTCAGTTCCATTTCAGACGTTTTGAATTGACTCGCGACGAGCTTCGCCTCGGCCTCGTGCATCTTCTTCTCGTGCTGCAACTGGAGCTCGTGCGCCAACTCGCGCTCCTTGGCTAATTCCTCGGCGCGCTCGGCGCGTAGCGTCTCCATGTCGACGCGCAAGCGGTTATGGTCCTCTACATCCTTGCGCCACCTGTCCTCCATGTCGGCCCGTATGGCGGCGATCTCTGCCTGAGCTTCCATGTCCTGTTTCAGACGGGCCTCTTCGTTCTCCCGGCGCAGATTCTCCATCTCCTTCTTGTATTTGCGCTCCATGGCTTCCATCTCGGCCTGGACCGCGCGACCGGCGGCCGTCTGGTCGAGCGTCTTGCCGCTGGCCATTTCGCGCTGCAGATCGAGGCTGACACGATGTCGCTGGGAGAGGATGCACCGCAGTATCTCCCTGGCCGACTCGGCCCCGTTGTCCTGACGCATCACTCTGCTCCCCTTGCTGATCATGCCGGCCCAAAACTCGGGTTTGGTGCGAAGCTCGTGCTCGCGCTGCGCCCCTTGCTCGGTCGACACCTGGTTCCACATGGTGGTGGCGAGGACGACGCACGAGAGGGCGTCGTCTCCGCACAGCATCTTGAACATGCGGAGGTTCTTCATCGCCGACCCGCTCATGCGGTTGTCAATGATACGGTGGAGGTATATGATGCCCGCCAGCTTGATGCCTCCCTCGTACGCTTTGTTCAGCCAGTCAGCCACCTCGCGGAGGATATCAGTGTCGGAGCGGTTTGTGTCATCGAATCCCGGCGTGTCTATCAAGTACATCCTGTGCTGGTCGACGGTGATGTCGTAAATCCCCACCTCTGAAGTGCCTGCTCGACTGTCAATGCTCTGACCACATGCATGCTGCCGCCACGAGGCTCGACTGGGGATTCCCCTCCACTCGCCAGGGACAGCCAGAATCCTCTGACAGACGCACAGCCTTTGGCAAGAAATTGCTGCCGTGCCACTTACAAGACGCGAGCGAATAGCCCACCTTGGCATCCGGGGCAAAGTGGGATATAAACGAAGTCTTGCCGGAACCCGTCACGCCCATGACGGCGATGACGGTGTCGTCGGGACTATGAAAGCCAATGGGTTACCGAGTCCAAACAGAAGAGATCGGGACGATGCTCACTTCACCTTGGGCCAGCGGTTCGCACCGAAAGCCGCCAGTTTCTCATCCATGGTCTCGCGGACGACGATCTCCTCGTGGCCGCTGCCACAGGGGGGTGGCCCGACGTACTCATCGTCGACTGGGGCTCTAACCATTGTGGTCTTGGTTCTGTGTCTCGTTTCTTGGGGAAGCGCAAAGGTTGACGGACGGTTTGAGCAGGTCTAGCAGGAGACGGATCAGTGCAAGATGAGGATCTTCTTTTAAAGAAGCCACAATACAGTGCATGGATAGCGCAATCAGCCCAAAACTCGCATGTGCTCCGGCGCCGGTGGACGAGTTGATAAAGGTAGCCACAGCCTCCCAAACTAGTGAATGGGGCGACGAGCTACGAAGCCAATATCAACGAGGAACCAACACTAGACACGGTCTAAGCCCCATGCCGCATGTGAGAGTATATTACATGTAGACAGTCGACACACAGGCTCACAGCCACATGCACATCCTACTAGTACCAATACTAAGTGCACTAATCGCGGATCGGGTCGCTAAGGTGCCACGCGTGACTGGCGAAAGTCCGATTCCAAGTAATTTACTTAAATTTAATAATATAATATAAAATATATCATAGAATAGTTCTTATAATTATAATAATTAAAATAAATATAATAAGTTATATTATTCTAATTTAATTAATATTAATACTTTTAATATATTTTATTTATTCTTCTTAAATTTAATTATAGAATATTTTATTTTAATATAGCCTAGATATTTTATAATTATTATACTACAAATAATGTTATTATTATATTTAAGTATAGTGATATTACTTAATAGTATATTTACTAGGTCTTAGATAGTGTATACAGATACTGCTACTTGGTACGTATCTTATGTCCTTATATCTTTAGCCCGATGTAGCTCATCATTTATGTTATTTCCTTCATAAGTTTACTAAGTGAAAAACATTCCCTCCACAGGCCCGAGTCAGCCCGTCAAACCCACGACTCGAAATCAGCCGCAGCTGGACAGCCATTTCAACAGTAATGCACCCAACTGCAGCTCTGGGTCGATAGTTTGGCGTTGTTGCTTTTTCTAGCGGGACGCTCAAGTCGGGACACGAGGACGTGACTGGCGGCGCTCAGTCTAAGTCTGTCTGGCCCTCCCACGCTCGAGTGCAGCTGCTCTTGTCACTGCATACGAGCTGAACTAATAACCCTGGCGGCGCGCAGTGGGTGGCTATGCTGCTAGGAGAGCGTCGTCCGAGACCAGACTGGTCCATGTGATACACTGCGCCTGCAGCCATCGTCAAAGTGCAGTTTTGCCTTAATTTGGGTGGTTTCCCACTTCACATGCATTCACTAGCTTCAAATTTGGTGTCCCCAAGGAGTTGGCGTACAAGCTCGTGTGTACATGAGAGTGCCTCGATTAAAGGCACATGGCAGCTGTGATCGACTCTCGCTGATTTCATCGGTTTTACTTGCCTCTCGTTCGTTTTCTAAAGTCAGCTGTGACGCACAATGAAAGAGACCCAAGACTTGACAACTATGCCCAAAGTCGTGGATGACTGCAACGGAACGGAGGTTGCTCCGATCGAAGGAGCCAAGCCCTGTGAAGAAAATGGGCCTTGCGAAGGATATAAGCCCGGAAATGATGAGAGTATGAGTTCTGAATCCATTGAGGAGGAGTACGATGACGGCGTCGAAGATGAGACTGGGGAAGTAGGCTCTCTTGGGTTTGTGACTCGGCCCATGCTTTCCAAACTGCTCGCTGTAGGATCGAGCCTTTGCTGACTTTTTGACTCACAAAAAGAGAGAATGACCTCGTCATTGCAATTATGGGAGTGACAGGGTCCGGCAAAAGTACCTTCATCTCCCTTCTCGCGGATCAGTCGCTGGAGATTGGCCACTCTCTCAACTCATGTTAGTTGTCTGTGCCCACGCCGAGAAGGCACTGTACATACTGACACTGACACAAAACCTTCATAGGTACCGTCCACGTCGGGGTGTACAGCTTCTCCCTCGGCGACCAAACGGTCTATCTCATCGACACGCCTGGTTTCGATGACACGAGTCGACCTGACTCGGAGATTCTCAAGGATATTGCCTTCTTTTTTGCCGCCATCTATAAAAGACGTGTGCGCCTCGCAGGCATCGTGTACCTGCATCGCATCACCGACACGCGCATGCCCGGCTCGTCCATTAAGAATCTGCACATATTACAGAAAATATGTGGCGACCGTGGCATGGCGAGCGTCGTACTGGCAACTACCATGTGGCAGGTGCTGGACAAGGACAGAGAGAGAGGCATAGATATCGGAGATCGCCGTGAGAGAGAATTGCAGCAGCCCGAGTTTTGGGGCGTCATGATCGATCGCGGCAGTCGCATGGCACGTCACGATGGTAGTTTCGAGTCCGCCAGACGCATCATTGACAGCCTCGTGAAGCCAATTCAGAGCAGCGACCCTTCCCCGCCAGGCGGTGCATGTGTCCTCGACATTCAGGAGGAAATGGTTGACCAGGAAAAGAACTTGGACGAGACGGCAGCGGGCCAGTTCGTGCAGTCCGGGATGCTCGAGGCGCGGCGCCGGTTCGAGACCGAATTGGCAGAGTACAAGGAGAGCATGGAGCTTGCACTGCAAGAGAAGGACGTTGAGACGTTCGAGCTCCTGCGCCGGGAGAAGGAGAAGGCCGAGACGCTCATCGCCCAGCGCGATGCCGACAGCCAGAAGCTCAACGTTTCTCTGGAGCAATTGGCCCGTGAGAAGGATGCGCAATACGAAGCCCTGGCCAATGCATTCGAGGAGAAACAGCGACAGCGGCAGGGGGAGACGGCTGACGGGACGGCGGCCGTCTCGCGCCTCCAGCATGAGCTGAGTACAGTCACTTCCCAGCTCCAAAGCATGCACAGAAGACTCGAGGGGGCCCAGGGTGAACAAGACCGGGCGAGAGAGCGCGAGCTCCATTTACTCCAGCGGCAGGCTGAGCTGGAGGACAAGATCGCTTTGGAGGTCCGTAGGGGCCAGAGCAACCCCGTTGTCGTCTTCTATCGCAGCTTGATGACTCTCGTGACCGGGCACGAGACAGAAGATGATCCTCACATTGCTCACGGCGCCTCCAACTCTACAACGCGCAGGCATCGCGGCAGAGTGAATGGAGAAAAGCAGAGCAGCCGGCGCAAGGAGAGCCATCATCGTCGTCGGTTGCACCGCTCCCGACAAGATGAGCAACAGTATTTGATGGACCACCACTGGTAACACTGACGCTGCATGTATCAGGCCTGAATCAACAATTTTCGTTCGGATTCGAGTTGATATGTCGCCCAATGGCCACCTTGGAGCAGATAGTACGTGGACTCAGCTCCTTGCACTAAACAGGACAATCTTCTTCAATCCACATAGCCCTTGATCATGCAGATTGCCAGACGTATCTGAGTGATTTCTCTGAAGCGAGCCATCTCTTTTGCACGAATTTTCATCCAAGACTAGACTATCAACGAGACATTCCCTTGCATGCGCCCATCAGCTCCATCATATATTCACAGTGGTTTGTTTACATTATGGAGCAATCAATATGGTCCCTCAGGAGAACTGGACGCGGCGTCATCCACGGATGCGTCTTATCCCCACAGTCATTGCCACATTGGCCGCAATGAAAATATCGATCATGGTCGCAGAAACAGCAGTCTGTAGAGTGACGCATCAGCTTGTATATTACGCGTGGTGGCTATCATCACCAACTCAAACTGCTCGACCTGTGCTGACTCGGACGGCCGCAGCGGTGACATGGCGGAGGAGAATGTTCCAGGGGTGCGGACGGAATACTCACGATAGTATAACGGGTATGCAGTTATGCTACCATGGCACTTGTCACAAGGCCATTGTGCTTTGTATCCGATGCATGTATAGGCAGCCTGGATGCGTTGCCGCACTACAGCCGCCTCTAGTCCACGCGTCCGGACATCCTCGATCCGGCGCTGCATCTCGACCGCCTGCTCGCGCCGCCGTCGCTCCTGTCGCTCCATCTCGAGATGAATCTCTGCTTTCTGTCGTTGAAACTCTGCGTCAGCCTGCCGTAACTCCTCGTCTTGCCGCTCTCGTTTCGCCTGCTGCTCTGCCGCAAGTCGCTCCTCCATCTCAAGCCGCTGGAGCTCGATCTGCCTCTGGCAGATGCTTTCTTGTCGCTGCAGCGCCTGACGCAGGTCGTTCTCCTCTCTCATTCGCTGCGCCTCGAGAGTGCGTCGAAGCTGCTCAACCTCGGATCTCTGATCTCGCGGCACCTCCGTTTCAGCTCTCGTCTCGCCTTGATGGAAAACCTCTTCTTGAACACTAAACATGAGTTCTCCCTGTGTGCCCATCTTCTCGATCAAATCCAGGCCCGACGCCCGGTTATTCTCAAGTCTCCCCATTTGAGCGCCCTGTTCAACCATGGACCCCCAGAACTCGCGTTCATTGCGAAGCTCACGCTCACGCGCAGCACCAACCTTCTCCGTGACCACGTCCCAGAAGGTGGTGGCCAGCACGACATTCTTGAACCCGTTGCTGCCAACAAGCTTCCTGAACATGCGCGTGTTTCGGAGGGCCGATCCCGACATGCGCGGGTCAATAATGCGGTGCAAGTAGATGACGCCGTTGAGTTGAGTGCCAGCCGCAAACAACTCCTTTAACCGACTCAGGATCAAGGTTGTGATTTCGTTGTCCGGTCGAACAGTACCGTTGAAACCAGGCGTGTCAATGAGAATATACCAGACGCCCCGGTGCTGAAATTTATAGGCGACTACCTCTGAAGTATCTGACGGGTATTCAAAGTCAACAACGCGTCACTTGACCGAAATTGAATAATCAAGGACGTAGCGGTGTACCTACCTGATGAAAGCGAGCTGGAAACGCTGACACCCTCATGCCCTGTGACATTCTTGATGAATGTGCTCTTGCCAGAGCCAGTAACACCCATGACAGCAAGTACAATCGCCTTTTCACCCCTTGATCCCGACCCCTCATCGCTACCAGGCCAGGCACCTGGCAAATGCATGTGGAGGGCGTGTTGGGGATGGGATACCTGAGATGATCCGTATAGTTTCTCAAGCTACCAAACAGCGCTTTCTCAAGGCTGGCTATTAGTTAAAGACAAAGGGGGTTGACATGCAAGCAACGGCGAGCTCGGCAGTGTTTTCAAAGATCCAAGGAAATGCGCAAAGGCGCGGACAAAATGCGTCTCAATAATGCAGGACGCAGCCGCAGGAAAAGAAATTCAGATTCCTATCGATGCAGGATTAGTAGGCTTGGGAGGCTGAATGGCAGTAGGCCGATGGGCTGAGCCGCCTGCGTTGCAAACAAATATTACGCAAATTGACTTTCTAGCCTATTCAATAACGCCCGCAGGCACTCACACTATCGACCGCCGGCCGGAAAGTGCACTGTCGCGGCTTGATCAAGAGGTTCTGGCGTCAACTAGCAGATCATGATTGGGTGGTCTCATTCAGCTCAGTCAGTCAGCCCCTTCAGCTGCTGGAACAAGAACAGAATCGGACGTTCACACCCGTCATGTGTCTGGTGTTTCCGCGCCATGCGCTCGGGGCTCTCACGGCAAGGACTTTCAACAGCGGCAGCCCTTCGCAGGCTTGCTCACCCCTTGCGGGAGTCCTACTCACGGATGACTTATAATACCTGAGCGCAAGGATAATCTAGATAGAGTGTGAGCGAAGTACTTCATTAAGGTCATTACTCAGGTACTAGTATGTGCCCCTGTACCTTAGCTAGGGGATGTGTAGGCTAGGCCCTATTAGAATAGCTTAACTTGCGTCCCTATATACTGCCTAGAGCACAGTGCGACGACCCGACGCAGGACAACGCGAGGCTCAGCAGCGCCTTCCACGAATGGGTGGCCTCGAAGCTGAGAACAAGGACCCCGAAGACTTCTACAACCCGCGATTCCTCGACTGTATCATCATCAACGAGGAGTCCATACGGTCACTCGTCGCTCTTGCCGATGATACACCGCCTTTGATGGTCTTTGCAACCTGGAAAGAAAAGCTGTGTTTTGGACATAGCGGCGGTGCTTTTGTGCGGTTGCTCGATAGTCGCGCCCACCTAGCGCAGCATATGAACACGAACGAGGACTATGATGGCAAGGTGCTGGTCAAGTTAAAAATGGCAGACATCCGGTCAGCATGGTTCTTTAGGCAGAATAGATACGATGGGTGGGAAGGCTTGCCTAGTGGGGAAGGGGACGGTGATTATTACATGGGCTATTGAACCAACATGCAATCTTCCCCATGCTTTTGAGTCAAACCTCACATCGTCATCCAGGCCGCACCGCCCAGCGCATGCATGATGTCCACCGTCTTCTTGTCTGCTCTCCACAAAACCCTTGGCAGCAACAACTTCGCAGACCCTGGCGACATCTTGTCACGGTACGCCTGCATCCGCGATGATAACCTCATCCAACTAGAGCACCTCCTCACCGCGTCGCAAGACGTCGCCTCTCTTCTCAACACTGTTGTAGAGCCGAGCTTCGATCAAGAAAATGCTGGAGGCTGGGGCACGCCGCTGCAGTTCGCGATATGGATGGGAAACCTCGATGCCGTCCGCATGCTCCTCGATGCCGGTGCTGATTCCACTCTTGCCACCCGCGTTGCGCTCCTGGAGGACCACGGGAATAAGGAGCCGCTTATGGTCGCCATCGAAGGCGGTCATCGTTCCGTCGTCCATATTCTCTGGAGACTGGCCGGGCCTCCTCCTCCGGAGGACACAGAGGAGCGACGAGAACTGAGTTATCCCGCATTCTAACCTTACCACGCCGCCAAAGTCGGCCATGCTGGTATCGTGCAGGATCTTCTCACATGGCGAGACTGGGGCCAGTACGTAAACAGACAGATATTGGACGTCGGCGTCAAGCTTTGGCGGCTCCATGCCGTCGATGAGATCCTCCGTCTTGTTTCCTACGACCAGGATGACCTGAACATGGCGTTGCACCATGCGGTGAATCCACGGGAGGAGTATGATGGCGAGATCTATCCCAAAATCACACCGGCCGAATACGTGAACCAGCAGGTGCTCATAGAGCATCTCATTGACGCTGGGGCGGATCCAAACTTTTGTAGAGATGGCTACGCACCACTCGTTATTCAAGCCGCTGGGGCCGGATCTGCATTTTCAGGGGCTCTTCGAGTGCTCCTCGAGAAGGGCTCGGACCCAAATACGGCGGATCGAGATGGCAACACAGCACTTCATATACTTACCCGGGGTACCAGAAGCGTCAACCCAACCCCGATTCACTCGCGCCTGACAGCGATACGCTTCTTGTTGACTCACGGTGCGGATGCTTGTCTTGCTAACAACGCAGGCGTCACCGCTCTTCAACTCGCTGCCCAAAATGCTCCGGATCCCTATGACTTTAACTATCTTCTTCACAAGTGCGTTAGCTCTGGCCGGACAGTGGACGCCTTTGTTACCGAGTCAAACGAGTCTCTGCTCCATTTTGCGGCGCTCGGCGGCAAGAGAGAGACCATGGAGATGCTCATCTCCTCGTACAACATGGATATCGACAAGAAGACGCACACCGGCTGGACACCACTCATGTACGCCCTCCTCCCTAAACACCATGCGCATAATAGTCGTGGCACGGGCACGCTCCACCAATCTATACGCGCCGCACGATTCCTCATATCCCACGGCGCGGATCCTCTCATCACCACCGACGAAGGTTGGACACCCCTTCACGCTCTCTCCCTCCACTTTGATCGCGACGAGGACGGGTCCGCAAAAGCCCTCGCCTTAGATCTCATCAACCGCGGCGCCCCGGTCAATCCACCTCAACACGCACTACCCCCTCTGCAGAAAGACCATGCCATCAGTAAGAGTTATAGGAAGTCGCTAGACGGTTGGCGGAAAAGCCCGCTGTTGCACTGGGCTGCGCAGCATGGCGCTGTTGATGTGGTTAAGGCTCTGCTCGAGCGCGGGGCGGATGTGACGCAGGAGGATAAATATGGGTATACAGCGGTTGAATTAGTTTCCGAGTCTCACTTTGTGAGGGAGCCTTCTTTACGGGGTAGTGAGCAATGGGGGGAGATGGGTAGCGTGGGGAAGAGGATGATGGAGATATTGGATGAGGCTGGTAGATGACATACCCTGGAGTCTGGGCCCTGGGGCCTGGACCCTGGAACAATGTCTAACGTGGAGAGAGGCAGGCGCCAGGGCTTTCATCGAGCAGGATAGAGAACGAACCCGAATGTTTTCGAGAGCTATTTCTCGGATGATCTAAAAAAGCATTCCGTAATTAGCGTTCAGTTTGATGGAACGCGCGGCGCGGAAACTTTCGTAGCGTATGTCGGTGACCCGTCCGCACGTGACCATGGTCTACAGACTGGATCCAGCCGGATTCGTTCCGTAAGGCACTTCACTGCCTTCACTCTCCTGCTTGATCCCTCCCCTGTAAAGGGCAACTACAATGAATGATAATGTCTCTAGGAATGACGAGCCCTTGGAGGGAGAAGGCTGCAGCCAAAGCCTCAATCCCCTCTCACGCGACTTGACCACCAATGCCTCGGGCGACGAGATCGCGTCTCCTCCTCCCTCGGTTAGCATCCATCGCCATGCTGGCCAACCATCGGGAAAAGGGGCTTTCCAAATAGAACCTCCGTCACGACTCGCCTCTCGCTCCCCTCCTACTCGTCCCTCGCCCTCGTCACCGCCCATCGCTCCCCCCGACCATGGCTTGAATGGTGATGGTTCTACCACCAGCAGCCAGCGTCGACGTCAGCGTTCCATGGCCCAACGCGTCAAGTCTGCCTTGTTCAAGTTTGGCTCCTTCATTGGGCCTGGTTTCATGATTGCTGTTGCCTACAGTAAGTCCCATGTCTGTCTTTTTCCCCCAAGCCCATTGATGATTCAAGAACGCTAACAAACATCCCCTCACCCAGTTGATCCCGGAAACTATGCGACGGATATCGCCGCCGGTGCCTCGTACCGCTTCAGGCTGTTGTTCATCGTTCTCCTGGCCAACGTCTTTGCCATCTTTCTGCAGAGCCTTGCCATCAAGCTTGGTACGATCAGTGGACTCAATCTCGCCGAGGCTTGCCGGGCCTTTCTCCCACGCTGGCTCAACTACACCCTCTACTTCTTTGCCGAGGTGGCGATTATTGCCACGGACATTGCTGAGGTAGGCGAGCACGTTGATCTCGATTGTTTTGTGTCCCAGCGACGGCTGGTTATAGCCCAAACTAACTCCAAACCCCAAAGGTCATCGGAACCGCCATTGCAATCAACCTCCTGTTTCCGCAGGTCCCGTTGGTGGCTGGCTGTGCCATCTCCATTGTGGACGTCATGATCATCCTCCTCTTCTACCGCCCGGACAAGTCGATGAAGGGCCTTAGAATCTTCGAGTACTTTACCATGGGCCTGGTGCTTGGTGTCGTAGTTTGCTTCTGCATCCAACTATCCCTGATTCAAGACACGCCTGTCGGACAAGTCTTTAGGGGCTACCTCCCTTCGAGCGCTATCATCGAGCAGCAAGGGTTCGTTCTCTCCCCCCTTCGTCGCATGTGAGCCTTTCTAACCCCATAAGACTCTACCAAGCATGTGGTATTCTTGGAGCAACTGTCATGCCGCACAGTCTTTATCTCGGGTCCGGCATAGTGAAGCCCCGTCTACGCGAATACGACACGAAACGCGGGCTGATCCCTCCCGAGCCACCCTCTGGCTCTTCGTCCACCAACGATGGCATGGATACGGCCTATTATATCCCGTCCCTGGCGGCTATCCGCCATTCGCTCAAGGTCTCCATCCTCGAGCTCGCCATCGCTCTCTTCACCTTTGCCCTCTTTGTCAACTCGGCCATCCTCATCGTCGCGGGCGCCTCCTTGTACAACAACCCGAAAGCCCTCGACGCGGACATTTTTAGCATCCACGACTTGCTGTCCGCGTCCATTTCGCCCGCTGCTGGCATCATCTTTGCCCTCGCCTTGCTCTTGTCGGGCGTCTCGGCGGGCATCGTGTGCACCATTGCCGGGCAGATGGTTAGCGAGGGCGCTCTCAACTGGAGGACCCGCCCATGGGTGCGCCGTCTGGTGACGAGAAGCATCAGTATCACGCCGAGCATCATCATTGCCGGCGCTGTCGGACGGTCCGGGCTGAGTGCGGCGCTCAACGGGTCACAAGTGGCGCTGAGCATCGTCTTGCCATTTGTCTCGGCACCGCTCATCTACTTTACGTGTCGCGACAAGTACATGACGGTGCAGCCGGGCATGGGTCGCTTCCATGCCAAGGTTGATAGCGCCGGTGTGGCCTTGTTTAGACGTCCTGTGACAGCGGGCCAGGAAGAGAGCGAAGGTGCCGTCAAGATGGGTAATTCGTGGTATACGGCAATTTTTGCTGTTCTGGTGTGGCTCATCATGACGGTGATGAACGTGGCCAATCTAGTGTTGCTAGTAAAGGGCCAGTGAGGGAGGGAGGCAGAAGAAATACAGACATGAGCTTGCTCAGCGAGCGCGAACAAAACATCTTTTGGCGGTGTAGCTGTAAGCCTGACTAAGCAAGGCAGACAGCCTGACAAACAAGACGCGTTTTCTTTCTCGATCAAGCCGCTTCTTTTTCCATCTGCAACGTTCACTGTTGACAGCCACTGCCGCGACAATGAGCTTGCTCAGCCTTCCCAAAGAGATCCTGCGCCTGATAATGCAGCTGAGTAGGCCAGACGATTTCGAGAGCCTCATGTTGAGCTGCAAGCGTGTCCACGAGGCCGGACAAGTCTTCATCGCAGAGCACAACGACTTTAAACACACCTTCTGCAATGTTCAGATCAACGCGCGTAGCGAACCGTCAGATAATGCCATGCTATGCGGCAGCTTCTATGAGCTATTGGGGACCGTGGCTGCGAATCCACGGGCGGCCACTTATATCCGAGCACTCACGATACACGATTACCGTCCCTATATGCCTTGTGTGGACGGCATGGGCGTGCATCTACGCGGCGACAAAAACACACATAGGCCGGAGCCCGACAGAAATTGGACACTTGTGACAGATCTGATCTCGGACTCCCCATGGCTACGAGCTGCAGGATGCAGTTCTGCGGCCTGGGTCACAATGACCGCTGCAGTACGCGATGCTGGCCAAAATGGCAAGGAGGAAAGCAATGAAGAGTCAGACAACGAAGAAGAAGACAACCAGTCGTGGAAGCAGTACGCTGCTTTCTCTCTGTTCGTGCTTCTTCTCACACAGCTCACACACCTGGAGACTCTGCATATCAAGTACGACTTCCACTATGGATCCAGCTACGAGGACGACGAGGGTGGAACTTCCGTCCTCGGCCAGGCCAAAAGAGTCCTCGACATCATGTCCATATGTGCCAACAAAAACAGTCGCCACTTGATCAACCAAGCATCTGCCAACGTCTCTGGTCTTCCCGGCTCACCGCTGGAGGCTTTGGCTGAACTATACTACTGCGCACCAACCGGCGGCTCTTACCCCCTGGACGCGACGGCCTTGCATCCCTTCATTGCTCTACCCAATCTTCGCCGGCTGCGCGCGCATGATCTCAAAGCTCTGTCCAGTGTGGAATATGCCTACTCGTGGCCTCCATTGCGATTCATGACGCCCACAAGCAAGGATAGCGCAGTACTTTGCGATACGGGAGACGGCCCTAGTGCCCAGTTCCCGTACTTTTACAATGACCTCCAATACTCGCTCCTCGCTTCGCGTGAGCATAGTGCAGTGGAGTATCTGGAGCTTCTCCGCTGTGACATCGCCCCCCAAGGCGTTGCGTCTCTTCTGAAGCGCATGCCGTTGCTGACCACGCTTCGCTACATGTACCACCACAAGTCCGGGCTGACCGAATACGATGCCCAGACGGGCTGGGACTTTGACGCAGGTGGGTTGCTGCAAGCGATTGCGGACTCGAGTTGGGAGTCGGAAAGACACAGCAGCAGCCGTGGAGGAGATGGTGTAGAACACTCCACAGCAGCCAGCCGTATCACGGACTTGTCGATAGGCATCGAAGACTGCCCTAGACATATTATTACGGGGATCACCGGAGGAACCCTTACAAGATTTACAAGAATACAGAGGCTGGCATTGGATGTCCGCGCATTTCTTGGTCCTGCCCCTGAGAGTGGTGAGAGGCGAGATTCCTACCGCAGCTGGGATCCAGCGACATCCAGCTGGAACCCTGCAACTGACATGCCTCGTCTGATTGACGTTCTGCCCCGTACACTGGAGAGTCTAGAGCTGTTTGTCGACATGCAGGGCTCCGAGGGCTACTCCCATCGCCAGTATTGGGACGTGGAATTCCCCCACTGGACGAAGCTGTTGCGAGGGTTTCGGGAGGATAGGGAGGAGCGGTTGCCAAACTTACGGGAATTTGTGGTGAGGGAGAATCCGCTCATGTATAAAGGCCACCGGCCCAGTGGCGTATATGAGGAAGTCGTGCTGAGCGAGGACGCGAGAAGTGTGGCAAATCGGCAAACGGCGTTGGAAGCAGGGGCCGACTTTGTCTCTGTCGATGGGGCCCAGTTGTCGTGGCGCCAGGGGCTTGAGAAGGAACAGGCTACTGTTTATTAGGAGGGATTCTGGTAAAATATGGCACATGGCGCAATGGAGAAGGACAATGAGAGCGTACAGTTATCACAGCTCCAACCTCCTACCACCACGGCGCCCTAAACGGATGAGCACCTGAATCAGTGCGGCATTCTGGCATTCCCTCTGGGCAGCACAGGAGCGTGTGCCATCCGGTGTCTTGTTGTGCTGCCTATCTCTATACTCACTCCTCGCTTGAGCTTCTCCGCTGTGGCATGGGCCCCCATGGAGTTACGTCTCTTCTAAAGTGCATGGTTGTTGACCACGATTCGCTGCATGTACATAGCCGTATCACGTGCATTTCCCCGCTCCTAGTTCATAGTCGTTTCGAGCAGGAATTCAGGCTGTAATTCTTCGTACACAGTACTTATACTGCGGGTTCGTATCTCTAATTATCATGCAAATATCCATCGACGTCTATTCCTTGACATCGCTCTGCGCAAATTTAGGCTACGACTTCATCCAAGGTTCAGCAGAGACGGAGGCGTCGCCTTTCTCAACGCGAACAGGCAATAGCAACGTAATACATCCACCTACCCTGCTTCGCGTTAGCTAATAGCACATGTAACAGGTCGAAATTTTTACACTCAACTGTGGCGTGGATAGCCCACTATGTCAACTATCATATCTATCCTTCAGGATAGGATCAGTAGTAAAATATCCGACCTAGAACAGATGAGAGACAATCTGCGAGGCGAGCTGGATATTGTTGCGTCTTTGACTGACAGCGTGAAGAAGATGGTCAGCAGTAGTGGCTCGAGCGCACAGGAGCGAAGGAAGGTCAAGTCTCTAGACTTGGAAGAATCAATTGCACAACATTAACAACAAATTAACGACATCCAGTCCGCGATCACAGAGTGCGAGGAAGAAATCAGGCAACTTGAGGAACAGAAGGACGACATGGAGAAGAAGTTCGGCTAAGGGGGAAAGCGAGTTCCATTTACAAACTATACATCAGATTCTTTCCGACTCGCGAGCTGGTCACAAAAGATCTGCTGATATACCCGAGATGCTTCTAATTTCCTGTGAATCGCTGTTGAAAAAGTGCCGCTTTGGACATCTTCCTCGAGAAATTCCCGTATCTTCTCTCGTCGGTTGATTCCTCTGAAATACCTGGGGAACAAAAACTTGTAATATATATTCGTGAAGTTTTCGTGGCGAAGGACAGCAGCAGGGAGATAGAGGTCGAGGCTGGCGCTTAGATTGGGTGCCCATTCATTGGCAAGAATGCGGCACGCGGGATCAGACTCGGCAGCTTTTGTAAGTGCCCGATGGAACTTGGAGTATTCCAGATTGTAGGCGTTATCAAAGGAGAGCGGTACGTCGTTTCCTGCGAGCCACAAGGGCGGTATAAAGAATTGGCGAGGCACAGTGCAGCTCCATTCCCAGTCGATAATGGCCTTGATGGTAAGATCCTCATCGACAATGATGTTTGAAGGGCGAAGATCTCCATGGGTAAGCACAAAGGTCTTCGAGGATGAATCGACATGATTGAGTAACCTCTCTCGATAGTCCATAAGCGCAAAGACCTCGTGTCGAGCGTCGTCTTCATCCATCTCAGCTGGCTGGCTTAACCGGTCAAACAGGACTTGATAACTGAAATGAGCGAACTCGATTGCCGACTTGGGTCTCTGATTGAACGTGCCTTGTTCGTTGTGTAGCTTGACGCTGTTCGAATCGATGGATTGTGGAGAGATCAAGATAGTTTTCCCTTCTGCGTCTGTTGCAAGTGATCCCGAATAGTCGAATTCTTGTATGCGAAGCTGTGATAATATACTAGCAAGTTGCGTGTAAAATAGTCTGGAAGCATCGGCAGAACATGTCAGAAGGTCATCGGAGTTCAGTGGTCGGCCAGACACATATTCGAGGATAAGGTAGGGACGTCCCGTGATACTGGTATCATTGGAGGCCCCTATGCCATATCCGTAGATCTCAGGTACAGGAATAGTCGTATTGCGTTTGAGATAGCTAAGACAGTGAGTATTAGCAATACGCAATGCCCAACTCGAAAACAGACCTGATAGTGGCGATTTCGCTCTGGATCTTTCGCCCTGGGTCATGTAGAACTGGGCCGATCGGGAACCTCACGACCCATTTCCTGCCGTCTGACGGAAAAGTGACGAAAAAGCAGACATTGAAGCTTCCACTTTCGGGTTCGCGAAACGTCCGACAATGCTTGTTCATATTGTGGCTAGAAGCGAGTCTGTAGACATCTTCAACGTCAATTGACTCAGCGTACGTCTTCCGCCACCTGTCTCTGTCCAGCTGTGACATTGCATATGACTCGGCGTTGCCGGGGGACAGGCGATCTTGCAAAGATTGCCACCTCGCATCCCAACCCTCCCCATTGCCATGTCCAGGGAAGATATTGTCACAGGCAAATTCATCAGTGGAGTAGATCAGATCTGTTGTCTGCTGGTCCCCACGCTTTGAAGGACAGGAAGAACGCCTAGTCAGCCTCCGGATCTGAAGAGGTATTGTAGCACTGAGCAATTGGAGAAACATATTCCAAGAGGCTGCTACCCTCATGAGAATATGCCGGATTGGTGCAAATTGGACGACATGATTGATGATGCCGTACATGTTTGGCGCATATGGCGAACCCAGGACGTGTCTTCGAAGAAAGTTGCTGTTGGTCCGCAACGGCTACACAGAAGTATGGTCCGAACAATCGGGAGTGTTCATGTCGATTTGGTTCTGTCGGCCAATATACTGTACTCGTCGCGTGGCAGGTAAGACGAGATGGTGTCGAAGGGGATTTTTCGAAGACGCGAGCAATTGGAGTATTGGACCGATTCTTGTTGGTCCCGGAGTGCGGTCACCTGATCCCGTTCATTGGCTGAGATAAGGTAGGTAGCACATGACCCCGCCTCACCTCGCCTCACCTCACCTTCACTTCGTCCAAATCAAACCAGAAATCAACAAACGAAAAAGAAATACATCCAGTACAATGGGTTCGGGCTGTTGCGGACCGCCGCCAGCTCCAGCCACCGAGCCACCTGCTGCCCCCAATGCCGCCCAAAGCGACGCAACGAGCAGCTGCCAGGACGAATGCTGTGATGCCGGCGACAGCAACGACGGCGACGCCGCGCCTGTTGAGGCCAGCGAGCCAGGCCAGGCATCGGCGACTTTGGACAACAACAACTGCTGCTCCTCTGGCCAGTGCGCGGACAGCAACTCTGAAGACGATAGCGACGCGCCTGCTTGCTGCCGTGGCACGACTGCCCCATGTTGCGACACGTCTTGCCTTGACCGTCTGGCCTTGCGGGAATGCAGCATGAGCGAACATCTTCTACCCAAGGAGGGCGCCGAGTCCACAGATTTTGACGGAGCGCCCGAAGGCAAGGCCTGCAACCGCCATATCACCTCGGCACTCGACCGCTATGGCGCCACACTCGAGGCCCTGGGCTGCCTCTGTCGTTCCCTCATCGCTCTCGGCCAGGAGACGTGCTGTGAGATCCGCGAGCGTCACTCGCTGAGCAGCGCGACTTCTTCCCCCAGCATTGACCAACCAACCGCTCGCCGCTCCCTTCCTCGCGCCCAGCTCGATTCTTGCTGCAGCACCGGTCCCACCACGCCGAGCCAGGCTGCGCAGAACCGCCTGCGCCTGCGTAAGACGTGCGGCCAGAGCATCTCGTCTGCCACCAAGCCATCCGCGGGTGCCTGCGCGGGTTCCTGTTGCTCCAACGACAAGCCCGCCAAGGTTCCATCCGTCAAGAATGACAGCTGTCAGGTTTCTTGCGCCGATGCCTGCTGCTCCTCTCCTCCTGCTGATGCGCCTGTTGTCGGAAAGGTCCCGGTCCAGACTATCAACGACGTGGAAAATCAGGGCGCCGGCAAGGAGCATGTCGTCCTCAGCGTGTCCGGCATGACCTGCACCGGCTGCGAGACAAAGCTCAACCGGACCCTCGCCACGGTCCCCGCCGTGCGCGACCTGAAGACGAGCCTGGTTCTCTCGCGGGCCGAGTTCGACATTGATCTTCGTCTCGGCTCCGTGGACGAGGTCGTGAAGCATCTGGAGCGCACGACGGAATTCAAGTGCGAGAGGATTCGGAGCCAGGGCGCGAGCCTGGACATCATTGTTCCCAGCGAGCCCGCGCAGTTTATGAGTCAGGCGTGGCCGGAGGGTGTCATCGATATGGCGCTTGTGTGCAAGCAAATCGTACGCGTTGCGTTCGACGCGAGGACTGTGGGCGCCCGAGACCTCGTCGAGAAGATCTGGGGTCCGCCAGTTGAACTTGCTCCCCCTCGTGGCGACACGGCGCTCGAGGCGGGGAGCAAGCATGTCCGTCACGTTGGATATATGACGCTCCTCTCTGCCATCTTGACAATTCCTGTCCTCGTGATGGCCTGGGCTCCTCTTCCCGACAGCCGGGAACTGGCCTATTCCTCCGCCTCTCTCGCGTTGGCAACTATTGTCCAAGTGGTCATCGCAGGTCCATTCTACCCCAAGGCACTGAAGGCGCTCGTCTTCTCCCGAGTTATTGAGATGGATCTCTTGATTGTCCTGAGTACCAGCGCTGCCTACATCTTCTCCGTCATCTCCTTTGGATACTTCGTCGCGGGAAACCCGCTTTCGACGGGCCAATTCTTCGAGACGAGCACCCTCTTGGTCACCCTAATTATGGTCGGCCGATGGGTTGCGGCGCTCGCTCGTCAGAAGGCGGTCGAGTCTATATCTATACGCTCACTCCAGGCATCGACAGCCGTCCTTTGTGACAAGGAAAGTGGAGGAGAGCGCGAGATCGACGCCCGACTCCTTCAATATGGAGACACATTCAAGGTCCTCCCGGACACCAGGGTCCCGACCGATGGCACCGTTCTCACCGGGTCTTCCGAGGTCGACGAATCTATGCTCACGGGCGAGTCTAGACCTGTGGAGAAGTATCCTAAATCGGTGGTCATTGCTGGATCGATCAACGGACCGGGCGTCATGACCGTGCGGCTGACCCGTCTCCCCGGCGACAACACCATCCACGCCATTGCCGCCATGGTAGACGAGGCCAAGCTCTCCAAGCCGAAGCTGCAGGATCTGGCAGATCAGGTAGCGTCCTACTTTGTTCCCGTGGTCGTGGCATTGACGATTATCACGTTTGTCATCTGGATCGCCGTAGGCGTGGCCGTCCGTGGCTATGGCGCAGCAAAAGCGACCGTCGAGGCCATCACCTACGCCATCACCGTCCTCATCGTCTCGTGCCCGTGCGCAATTGGACTGGCTGTCCCGATGGTTGTTGTGATCGCCAGCGGCGTCGCGGCGGAACGGGGCATCATCTTCAAGTCTGCGACAGCCATCGAAGTCGCCCACAAGACGTCACATGTCGTGTTTGATAAGACGGGGACTTTGACCAGAGGCAAGCTCGCCGTCGTTGGTAACGAGTGTATTGATAACGAAGCACTTCCTCTTCTTCTTGGTCTGGTGGAGAATAGTCGACACCCGGTTTCGGTTGGTGTAGCTGCCCACCTCAGGGACACTGGAGTCACGAGCGTCACCGTTCCTGAGCCTAAGAGTCTGACGGGCAAGGGTATCGAAACCACACTCGGCGGTCGGAAGCTCCAAGCTGGTAACTCCCGGTGGCTGGGCCAGTCGGACAACGAGCTCGTCCAGCTATTACTTACCCAAGGTTGCACTGTGCTTTGCTTTGCGATTGATAATGAGCTCAAGGCGGTCTACGGACTTGAGGACGAGCTTCGGCCTGACGCCGCGAAAACGGTTGAGACCCTGCAGGAGCGTGGCGTCTCGGTCCATGTAGTATCGGGCGACGACGACGGAGCCGTCCGGGCCTTGGCGTCCAAGCTGCGCATTCCCTCTGACAACGTCCGCTCTCGAAGCTCACCCGCCGACAAGAAAGATTACGTCCAGACTCTCCTCGGTGCTGCCACCGGTCACAAGCAGCCCGTTGTCGTCTTCTGCGGCGACGGCACGAATGACGCCGTCGCTCTCGCGCAGGCTACCATTGGCGTCCACATGAACGAGGGCACGGACGTGGCGCAATCCGCCGCGGATGTCGTCCTCATGCGTCCCACCCTGGGTGGTATCCTGACCATGATCAACGCGAGCCGCAAGTCCGTTCACCGCATCTGGTTCAACTTTGGATGGAGCTTTGTCTACAACACGTTTGCGGTTCTCCTCGCTGCCGGCGCCTTTGTCAACGCGCGGATTCCTCCGGAGTTCGCCGGGCTGGGAGAGTTGGTGAGTGTGTTGCCGGTTATTGCTGCCGCGGTGCTCCTGCGCTGGTCCAAGATCTAGACGCGGAAGTTAACCGCATGGCACGAGCGACGACGGTCATGGTTTTGCAAATATTCTTTCCGCGGGGCACGACTGTGCTGCAGTTCTGTCGCCGTCAATGTTTCGTCGCTTGCCTCCATTTCAGAGAAGGCTCCGACTGGAAGTCTCTACACTATCCGTACCTTTCTTCACGTATCCTATCCTTCAGGATCTATCTTCAAACATCCACGACTCTTCGGTAAATTGGAGTGTCCAGGATGTTCTGTAAGACCTCACAGTTGCCAATCTTAGCTCTCCTCTTATCGTTCACGAGGCTTTATACAGCTATTGACAGCTGCCTTTCATGATTAGCTTAGAACACTGGCAATTTTTGCCAAGGTCTAGACATAGTATTACACTCGTTTAAAGGAAACGCTTTTGCTACCTACGTACTGTTCTAGAAACTGTTAATCCGGGCTCCTCTGCCAAAAAATAGTAGCGTCTGTAAGATTACGAGCTCAGGCCTCCTGGACTTGCATTGCGTCGAAGTTCGCTGATCTAGGCACGCAGCCAATCAGCGTTGATGTTCTTCCTAGAAAAGGAGAGATAGAATGTGGAGTATGATGTCCACCTTATATGACTCGATTCCGGACTCTTCATCGAGGCGCAGGAGCAGTGACGCATACTTGGCCTGATTATTGTCCTCTCCCTTGCTCTGCCTCTGTATTGGTGATGAATTGAGAATTGTAGCAATAAGTAACAGTTTTACATCTTATTTAGACCCGCTACACACTACACCCCAGCTCTTCGCAACCGCCCTAAGAACCTCTCGTCCTGGGTCTCCTTGAGGTCGATCCCAAACAAAGATGCATAGAGGGGAGCTAGTTGATGAGGCCCGCAAGGTCTGGCATCACCGCTCGCGCGTCGTTTGTCGATGAAATTGCTTAGTAAACTTCGCACGACACTGTCGAACGTCTTGTCCTCAAAAGCTTCAAAAACTGAACATGAGCTGGTACGCTCTTCATCCGCTGGTTGTGTAGTATCGTTGTCGTCATCGTTATTGATATGTTCAAGCATACCACCTAAAGCGTGCTCACTGATTTTCGTCTCGACAACAGCCGATTTCACCATGGCGACCTCATCTTGGCTAAAATAGGGTAGGCTGATATAATGCTCATCGGTCGTCGAGTTAATACGGCGCTCCGCCGCAGGATCTTTGGTGAACTTCAGAAAGTCGTGAAGGAGAACAAGTAGCTTGTAGCGCAGCGTCAGATCGGAGGCAATGGCTGTCGTGGACGTGAGAGCAGTGGTGGTAGGTGCTCGTGCCGTTTCTGAGTGCGACTTGGGTACCCGGCTGGAACGATTGTCAGCGCGCTGCTTTTGTTTCGCTTTGGCCATGATAGAAAGATTTGAGCCCTTGATAGCTGTGGCAGAGACTTGGATTGTGGTTGTCTTCTTCTGTGTGGCGGATGAGGATCGAGGAGAATGGATCTGATGAGAACAGGAACCTGTAGGTGTAGAGCTCCGAGGGCTGATCTTGAGGGGTGGTAGTAGAGATGCAGAAGTTGTGTCAATATCAAAGAGAAAGCGCCCACTATGTACTTGGTACACAATATCAAGATGCACCAATGTCGTAGAAGGGTGAGTCACGGGGCCGTAATAAGCTTTAGCTGGTCCGACCACCTCAAGTCAAAGTTACAATGCCCCTTTAAGCTGTGAATAGCTGGATTTAAACAGTCGGGGTTAGGTCAGTGCCGCAAACTCTCTGCACACACATCGGGAAGGCAAGCAGTGCGGCGAGACCGATTGTGTGTCCATGTAGATATCCCACAGTTCTCCTGCACAATGCTACTTGGGGAATATCATTCACATGAAAGAGACTGCGGGTCATCTTTCTCTTTTCTCAATGTGTGTAGAAATAAACTCGATCATCTTGTGGCAAAGATTGCCGACAGAAGTGACTTTGAAGGACTAGCTAGTAGCTTGTTCCAGCGCGGAAAGACTCATGAAGGCCTTGACTTCAAGTTCCCAAGATACGGATCTCCACAGACGGTGCGCTGAGTCTTATCCGAATTTATACTGAGTGATGATATAATCTTTTGACGCTTAGCTGTGTCACCGAGTCACTCGTTATCGCCCGCAATGCCCCTGACTTCAAAGTCATTTCTGGTCCTCATCAACGCCAGCATCTGACACATCTGTGCCAGCAGTCTCATCGGAGACCTCAGCAGCTTCGGATCCATACGTCGTACCCGAATCCTCAGTCTCTTCCTCATCCATGTCCTCTCCATCTTCATCTCCAAGATGACCCAAGGCACTGTACATGTTCCCCTCTCCAGCAGCATAGTCTTGCAGACCAAGTCGTGCATTCGCTTCCCTTCGCTCCTCGCCCCCTGCAGGCTCAATCAAATTGTCGAGGGCCAGGGCGATCCAGTCGGCCGCGAAACGAGCACCACCAATGTTTGGCGCCGAAGGCCCAATCCGCAGTGCCGCCAGTTTGCCACTGACAAAGAGCGGCACGTCCTTCCTCCACATGAGCTCCTCTGTCAGACACGGAAAGCCGCCAACGCCCTGGATCGGGTACTTTTCGCACATTGTCTGGAAGTATGGCAATGCCGCAAAATCCGTCTGAATGCCAGTGGCAAAGTATATGTAATCCATGGCGGGCAGTCCAGATAACGCCGGCTCAGTCTGGCAAACCCACTTGGCTAACCCATCCGCCTCCTGAAGCTTGGCGTCAGTGAGCTTGGTGCATTCCATGAAGCACAATTTCTTCGAAGCAATGTTCTTCTTCACCACTTCCTTGTAGAATCGAGGCGTAATGCTGCCGCCACCACGTGCTTTTTGGAGCATCTCCAGCCGCTCCTCGTCCGTGTCGCTCGTCCAGAACTCGGTTTGCATGGTGTTCTTGTATTTGCCCATCCATTCCAGCGTCACATCAAAGTGTTTGAGCACGAGCTTTCCCCGTAGCAGATGCCACACTTTCGTGACGCCTGATCGAATGACCAGGTCGGCAATCTGAGCAGAGGTGAGGCCACCTCCAATCACAAGGACGTTGCTATTGCGGCCGGCCTCCACGCGTTCCTTGATGATCGGGCTTGGGACTTGGCTAATGTCAAACGTATGCGTAGCCTGTGGTACAGGGCCTTCCTGCGGCATCGAGGGAGTTCGAGGTATCGACGCCTTGGTTGCCGGTCCGACGGCCATGACAACCGCTTTGGCATACTTGATCGTCTTGTTCGTCGTCACTGTGAATAGCTTCTCGTCGTCAACAGAGACATCCCGGACCACACTATAGTCGATGTCCTCCAGACGTTCTTGCCGAATCAGGCCTCCTCCAAGATTGTACCGATCCACCACATCGTCGCAATGCTCGCAAAACAGCTTTTGGGACGGAGTGTAGTAATCGTTCTGGTCCCGTAGGTTGATAGCCGCACGTCCGCTCTTGTTTGAGCCATACCTCCAGTCGCCGGTTCCCTTCTTCTTTTTCTGGTGCTTGCTGACCTCCGCGCCGACGCAGTTCTTGATCTCTACCAGATCCTTGTCCATTCCCGTCCGGTACGCGTGGCCTAGCATGGCGTCCCGGTCCAGGGGGTCGACATGCCACAACATGGGACTCCGAAGGTGCTTGATGGCATATGCGCTGAAGAGCCTCTTCCATCGGTTCAGCCATGTATCCCCCTCTGCGTCAATCACCATCATCTTATAGTCCGCCCGAGGTGTGTTCTTAGAGGGCTTTTCCTTGCCCGACTTTGTTTGCTTGAGCGCCACCTTTGAGCCGTACTGTTTCAGCCAGCGCCAGCGCCGGTGCTCTTCGTCGGTGTGTGTCGCTGCTGGTGCTCGCTCGCAGAGACGGGCGGAGATGGCGAGCCCGCAAGGTCCAGACCCAACAATAAGCACGTCGAGAACCTCGTCCTCGACTAATCTGGGTTGTGTTGTATCTTGCAATGACAGGGAGTCTGCTGTTGGCGACGGCTTGGTTGGCATGGCTTCTTGTGCAAACGATGATTCGGTAGCTGCAGCATCCGCCGGCGAAGGACTCATGTTGCCCTGTCTTGTATCCTCTGCCATGGGTCTCGATATTGCCTCGTTCGTGTCTGGCTGTAGCAAGACTTCTCCTGGTGGCAGATGAACGTCAGTCTGCGTGGAGCTGTCCGTGCTCGTCATCTCAGGCATTGTTCTGTGTCTTTGCAGATAACCTCGGCAATGTATTCACGCGTTAAGACTGCGCAGCAACGTCTACAAGAGCAAGTCACAGGGAATACCATTGTCCTTTAGATAGGCAGTCCTGGACAGCAGGAGCCCCCAGTTTTTGCACTTCCCACATCTGGCAGAGACGCGCCATGGTGGAAGTCAAGACACCTTGATGGGCCATTTTTGCAATTCAGATCATGCTTGGAGAGAGATAAAGTGCGAGATTCCTTCATAGGCACATTCCACTTGTTTGCGCGTTTCTGCAGCATCTCGAGGCACCTTGATGGCCGGCTTCCACAAACAGGGGTCGTGAGCGTAAGAGGTCGCGACTTGTGACCATCAAGGTGCGTCTTCCTATAGCACGTGAGCTCGCGTCGCTCACGACACTAAGTAGTGACATGCGATTACACTCACGCGAGAGCTGGCTCAGCAGAATCGCGTCTTCTCAGGTTTTCCCCATCGTGATGACTGTGAAGGGTCCTGGTGCGGCGAACGCATGACGTTGACGGCACATGCACACCGTGACCCATCCCCTTTGTCGTCGAATCGCCTGCCATGATGAGCTCAAATTGATTGGCTTTTGAGTCCCAAATAAGATTCAATGAGCCAAAGATCGACAAGGCAGGGCCAAGGCTGCCAATGATAAGGAAAGTACGACTGTACGAGCATCGAGATGGGAATTGCATGCCACAGGTGACATCACAGCGAATGACATCACTGGACCCTGCAGACACCATATATCGATCAATTCTGAGCTTTGGCTACAGCACTTGTTCCACATGCCAAGCAACACCTTATTGATCCCAAATCTATCGAATTTTCAATCAATATTCTGAGAAAGACCAACTTCACTCAAAGATGTTTCCTCGCAGAGTAATCACCACCGTTCCCCGCGTCTCGGCTTCGGCTTCAAGCCGCCTTCTTCACACGACGCCTCGCGCATCGCTCGCAAGCAACCGCGGCGCCGTCCCTGACGATCTGGCCGACAATCCAGTCAAGGGCCGTACAGGCGGCGGTGAGCCCCTCGACTCGTCTGCACCTTATGGCGCCTCGCAGCCCAAGATCTCCAACCACAGCGTGCCAGGGCCCGACGGCGCCAAGAACATGAGCCCAGAGCAGCAGAAAGAGGTCGAGGAGCACAACAGGGACTTTGCGGCCAAGCATGATACCAGCAGCCCGGCACCGGAGGATAAGGTGGACAAGAAGTTCTGGACTGGAGAAGCCCAGGGCAAGAAGGGTGTTTCTGGTTAGGCGGCGCAGCGCATTGCGCGAATGTCAGCGTCGCGGGCGACACTGGCTTGTACGAGTAGGAGGGCCGAAACTTGAAACAACAGCCATCGTATTTTCTTTTGTCACACGGCGGGCGCGATGCCTGCGGCGCGACTGCTTGCCTAAGAAATTGTCAGCTCGAGCTTGCAGAACTTCGTCGGAAAAGTAGCAGTAGAGTGAAGCTTTGATCAGGAAATTATGAACTTTTTTTGAAAATCAGTCGGGCGTGAAGCCCGTCAAATACAATCTAGCGGAAAGTTTGTTCATCATGCTAGTATGGGTGCTGGCGGGAGGCGCAGATCAACTCGAATAACGTACCGTGTTGTCGCCCAGAACGTGGGTATGGATCCAAAGGGGTCGTTGACCATTATGAACATCCCTCATGGCCGGTCCAGACCTTGGAAGCCCTGTCCGATCGCGCCACGGATCGAATCGACAATGTACTTGAACATGCCTTGGTGCTTCACCTTGCCGTCCATGTCCCGCGTGGGCTCTGAGGTGCCCATCGTGGGCAACACGTTATCGCCCGCCGAGAGACTGACAAAGAGCGAGAAGGGCACGAGCCAGACGCAGAGACCAAAGTACGAAGCGATCTGGGTGAAGCTCGGAATGTCGACGTCGTCGTAGTACCCAGAGCGGGAATAGGAGCGCGCCTGCGCCTGCGAGAAGTGTCGGAACCAGATGTAGTGATCAGCCAGGACCAGTACTGCTCTTGTTAGCCTCGTGCCCGACTAACTCCACGTCTGCCGCAACTCACAACATGTCAGGATGAACAGGGGGTCTGTGAGCTTCACGAACGGAAACTTGCGCATGTTGCCCAGGTAAACCACGTGGCAGAATATGCCAAACAATGTTCCCAGAAAGGGCAGACCGTCCACCAGCCACAGAAAGACCTGAGCGACGATGATGCCGTAGATCAGCTTCGTCAAGAATCGCTTCGCGATGACCGTGTTTTCCTCGACGAGCTCCGACATGTAGTACAGGCCCGACGCAATGGCCATTGTAAGAAAACAGAAGCCGAGTATGGCACCAATGTACCCGATGAGCGGTAGAATCCACATCGTGCTGGTTGCTTGTGTTGTTGTGGCTGGAATCAAGGGGGATGGTGGTGAAGCATGGCGGGATGGACAGGGCGCGTCGGGATCGATGGGGGCAGAAGATAAAAGACACGTCCTGCAGCAACTCCAACCTCAGCCCTCAGGGGCCAGAGTCCCGTCGGCGCGGGGCTTCTTCCGGCCCGTTCAGGTGATGCACAGCAGTGACGATTGCCATTGGGAACTGGTAGCTATCCAAACATTGGAAGCCAAGTCATTGTGAGGCAAATTAAATCCACAACGAAACGAAGAGGCGGACGAAAGAAAAGGTTTCGAGGCTTTTTAAAGCTGAGCTGGTCCCCCGGTTCTCGTGGGCGGCCGTCTTGGCGCCAGCAGGGTCTTCCTTTATCTAATCGGCGCTTCCTAATCGATAAGCCACAAAAAAGTTCGCGACTCTTGGACACTCAACCATCCATCCCACTGTCTTAGCAGCCGAGTCCGTAGCTTGCCAGAACTGCTGTACAGCACGCATAAAGCCCCCTTGCGCCTCTCTTTTGGAAAACCAACACGGTCTTGACTCATACAACCAATTACTCGCAATCATGTCGCGTCCTGAGGATGATCTGTGAGTTCCCACCGCCCCTCATCGACCCCTCCGAGTCTGTTCTAACACTGCTTCCAGCGCCGCAGACATCCACTACGATGATGTCGAAGCCCGCAAATACACAACGTCCTCTCGTATCCAGAATATCCAAGCGTCCATGACGCATCGAGCGCTCGAGCTTCTTGATCTATCCCACCCCTCTTTCATCCTCGACATTGGCTGCGGTAGCGGTCTCTCCGGCGAGATCCTCTCCTCCGAAGAGGGCGGGTCACACGTCTGGGTCGGCATGGACGTCAGTCCCAGTATGTTGGACATTGCCCTCCAGAGGGACGTGGAGGGAGACCTCATGCTGGCCGACATTGGGCAGGGCGTGCCCTTCCGGGCCGGTACCTTTGACGCGGCGATCAGCATCTCCGCCATCCAATGGCTATGCAGCGCCGTCGACAGCGAGTCGAGTCCCGCGGGGCGACTGACCCGGTTCTTCAACGGCCTGTACGCGAGTCTGAAGAGGGGCGGCCGGGCCGTGTGCCAGTTCTACCCCAAGAACGACCAGCAGAAGAAGATGATCACCGAGGCGGCGGTCAAGGCTGGTTTCGGCGCCGGTTTGCTCGAGGACGACCCCGACACCAAGAACCACAAGCTCTACCTCGTGCTGACGGTGGGTGGTACGCAAGGCAGTGACATCACCAACGTGGTGGACGGCATGGATGGCGTGGATGTCATGGATGCGCGCAAGAAGATCAAGGCGGAGAACGGCACCGTGAAGAAGGGCAGCAAGGCGTGGATCGTGAAGAAGAAGGAACAGATGGAGAGGAAAGGAAAGGTGGTCAAGTCGACATCCAAGTACACTGGTCGCAAGCGAAAGCATTTGTTCTAGTCTAGAGGGGCGGAGGTGGGTCTGGTGGTTACATGGCACGGCGTTCCGGTTAGTCGATCAAGCACGTATGGATGATACCCTTTCAACGGGATGATTGAATGACACAACATTGTCTTGTTCTTTCTTTCTTTCTTGCTTTCTTAATTTCTAAAGTCTGGTCTACTCCGCTACCGCCGCGGGCCCGTGCGACTCGGGCTTCATCGTGGGGAACGCCAGGACCTCCCTGATACTCCAGTTGTCGGTGAGGAACATGACCATGCGGTCAACGCCCATTCCCCAACCGCCAGTGGGCGGGAGCGCGTGCTCGAGAGCACGACAGAAGGTCTCGTCAATCATCTGTGCTTCGTCGTCACCCTGATCCTTCTGGCGGGCCTGCTCCTCGAAACGCAGGCGCTGCTCAGAAGCTACGTTCAACTCGGTGTATCTAAGGCTGTTAGCGGTGGCCTGTGATAGGTATTGAAAAACTTACGCATTGCAAATCTCCTTCTGCGAGACGAAGGCCTCAAAACGCTCGCAGAGACCGGGCTTGTTGCGGTCCGACTTGGCCAGAGGCGACATCATCTGAGGGTGCCCGTGGATGAACGTGGGGTTGATGCACTGGTCCTCGAGGAAGTGGCCGACAAGGGCATCCAACATGCGCGGGTTGGTCAACGGAGGAGGACACTCAACACCAGTCTTGGCCAGCACCTTCTTGAAAAATTCGCCAGTCTCGGCCGTGTGCAGCTCCTCGGACGGCGGGAACTTCTCACCCGTGAGCTCCTCGAGGGAGGGGATCATCTCAATGCGTCGCCATGGCGCCTCCCAGTTGATCTTGCGCTCCTCGCCCTTGGCAGTGTGGTACGTGGTCACGTAGCCGCCGGTGACGGCCTTGACAAGGCCCGAGACCAGCTCCTCAGTCATGTTCATGATATCGTACATGTCGGCGTACGCCATGTAGAACTCACACGTGGTGAATTCAGGGTTGTGGGTGAGATCCATGCCCTCGTTACGGAACTGACGGCCAAGCTCATATATACGGTTCAGCCCACCAACGACCAGCTGCTTCAGGTACAGCTCAGGCGCCACACGCAGGTACATGTCCATGTTGAGGTCGTTGTGGTGAGTCATGAAAGGCTTGGCTGTAGCACCTCCGGCGATGGTGTTCAGCATGGGGGTCTGGACGTGGATGAAGCCACGGTCGTCGAAGTAGCGGCGGATGTAGGAGTCGATCTTGGAACGGGTGATCAGGATGTTGCGCGCCTTCTCGTTGATCATCAAATCCAAGTAGCGCTGGCGGAAGCGCTGCTCGGGGTTCTTGAAGCCATAGTGATCGTCGGGGATCTGGTGCAAGCAAGGGGACAGCAGGATGACCTCTGTAGCGGCGATGGACAGCTCGCCAGAGTACTCGCCTTCGCCTTGCTTCTTCTGGGGGTTCGTCCGGGTGGGGTAACCGCGGACACCGACGATGTCACCGCGGCGCAGGTTGACGTGCTGCTCCTCGAAGCTGGGGGCGTTGGGGTCGGCGTTGTCCGCCTGGGCGAGAATCTGCAGCCTGGCGTTGTCGGAGCGGAGATCGTAGAAAAAGAGCTTGCTTCCCGCAGATCGGCGCACAAAGATACGACCACCCAGCTGGATTGTCTTCTCCTTGGCCGTCTCGCCATTCTTCAGGTGCTTGAACTCGTCTGCGAAGTTGCGGATGTCGTAAGTGACCTCGAACTAGAGCCTGCGTTAGTACTGCGTGGGGAGATCCATGCTAGCAACTCACCTTGTGAGGATAGGCCTTGCCTTGTGAGTGCAAGTCGCTGACGATTCGTGAACGAATCTCGAAGTACTGTGGGCCGATTAGTACGAGCAAAGCAGTACTTCATGGGTTTCTGGGCCGGACCTGGTTGGGAGTGAGATCCTTCTCAGCGGACTCGGCGCTCTTCTGCGAGGTTTGCGCAGGCCCCTTGGTGGCAGCCTTCTCCTTCTTTGCGGCATCGCGCTCACGAGTCTTGGTGCGCTTCTTGAGCTCGGTCTTGGAGACGTGCTCGCCGGTGACCTCGTCGAGGTAGAGCTTGGCAACGCCATCGGCGGCCTGGTCGGCAGGATTGGTGTCGGCCATTGCGTAGTGCTTTGCGATCGATCGAGTGTTGATTGAAATATGGCCTTGCACCGGTCGCCAACGTGATTGATGCGTTGCAATAAATACCAGTTATTGAAAGGGAGAAAAAATCGACGAGTGCCCCTCGATAGTGCCCCGCGGTCGGCGCCGTTGCCATGACTCTTGTTGACCCCGCCAGCGATCAGGGAGGTACGTACCGCGGGGTTGATTGATTGATTGGTCGCTTCTACAACCAGCAAGGAGGCTGAATGACAAGTAAACAACAGGGTGACTCTCCGTTCTCCTCTCGTGTCCGGACTTGTATCAGCAATGTTGAAATGTTTGCGAAATCCTACATGAGAATATGATACTGTTCTCCATGACAGCACTTAGGTCTGGGCTACGAAGGACGTCTACAAGAACGCTTGTCCCAAGCTGTAACTATTCAAGGTTCCAGCCTTGGTGAGGTTGAATTCGCATATATTACGTTTTGCGAAAATGTATACATAGGTGAACTCAACAAGGGTATACCGTATCTGTAACTCATCGTCGAAAGTAGGAAAGGCGACTGACGCTGTTTCAAAGCCGCTACAAAAGATGATGTATGGTGGCCAGGGTCACAAGATATGCTCCCACACGTGAGTCACGGCCAAAGGAAACCCTTGCATATCACCTATCATGGTATCGAGAGTTCTGCTGGTGAGATGATTTAAATCCTTTCCATTCTCGTGCTCCGATTTCCCAACCGGTAGGTTGCTTCACACATTGAGTCACTGACTGTGACATCAATTCGGTAGATTGACGTAGCATCTTTGACCAACTCCTTGGGACCGCTCTGTCTAAATAGCCTTGTTTCTAAAGCTCAAAGGGTCTCGACTGCTGCTGCTGTGTAGGTTCTATACGGTGTGCTGGTACTGTGCGAATCCCATTAAAAACAAGGCTCTCAACCCTTTGAAAAGGATGGCTATCAAATCTTCCACACATCTCTTATTAACTAGAATCTATAAACCCGCGTTCCTATGTCTTCGCCTTTGGATTGAGGAATGACTGGAATTGGTCGACGTTTGTATGAGCATTAGACCCTCTTTCTCGCTTGTGTGATGTGTAGGGTAGGCATGTCAGTGAGATACTAGAGATATTTATATGCCCCCAAGTATCAATACACATAGCGTGGATGAGGATCCTCGTGCTGCGTCTAGAGTGTATCGACCAAGCTCGCCGAAGATGCATGATCTATCAGTGATCCTAAATGAGAATGATACGACGACGTCTCCCAGAGCATCCCCGTCCATGTTTGGTACGTGCTTGCACGGTGTGCGCTCACCATCGGAACGATATCTCACATCCTCAGCGCCAAAGGAGGGTAGCAAGATTCTCTAGTAGCGACGTAGTGTCCGAGATGTTGTTCATGATGGGCAGGACCATTTGAGCGATCGCACTCGATACGAACGATCCGCGATGAAAGTGTGGGATATGCGGCCTCTGAAGACGCCCGTAGTTGTACTATCGCCCAAATCAACTATGCTAAGAATGCGCACTGCTCAGATTACTAGGCCAAGCCGGGAGACAGCGCATGCCAGCCGAAGGAGACGAAAGAGTTGCGTGGGTGACTTGTTGAGGCTTGGCTTGAACTCCGCAGCCGCAATACCAAGTGCGAGCGGACTCGACTTGAGTCTGACTGTCTGATTGTCTAGCTCCTATTTTGTGCCCGGGACTTCAGTCAGCAATGCTCTCGATTATCCGGGGACAGACGCCCATGTGAAAGGGTGGAGGGGTCTGGCTCGCAGTTGGTCCAGTGAGAACCCCGCCATTAGCCATCCGCGAGTCGCATCCCGCAGTGGAGTGACTGATCACTGGTGACTTGAACCAACTCCGGCATAACCCGACTGTCACTGCACCCCATCACTCGATCGCAGCCGACGTCAGGATCGTGCCTGTGCATGAACCGAACCGCTCGTCCGACTGACTGACCATCCGTCGTTTTGGGCCCCAAACACCGTCGACGAGCAGCATCAATAAAGCAACACACCTCGTTCTTCACGTCCGCGCTGCTTTGGACGACACACTCCAACCTACCGAACTGGCGCTGGACGACCAGGCGAGCAACACCCATTCCCCCACACACGACCATCATCGCCATGCCCTCCTCTCAGCGACCTTTCTTCCTCTCCTCCTTCATCGCAGCCTTCCGTCCCCAAGGCCCCTCTCTACAGTCCACAGCCACATCCACATCCTCCCAACAACCGACGAAACATACGACGACGACCGCCGCCGCCGCCGCGTCGCACGCGAACACACCTGCGTCATCGCCGGCGGCGCGGTCGTACTCCACCACCACGCACCATAATCAGCAACAGCCCTCGCGACCTCTACCCATCCAGCAGCAACCAAGTCGCCGACGCGGCAGCGACTCGAGTAGCGAGGGGTTCAGAGATGCGTTAGGGGCCGACAAGTGGTACATTGGCGGGAAGACGGCAGGCGGGGAAGAAAAGTTCTTTAAAATGGGTGTCATCAAGAGGGTCAGGAGCAACGACGGGTTGAGTCTCGACAGACTCAGTCTCTAGCGACAAGAGGATTGAGTGGGATCATTGTTTTTGTACGGTACAATACGCTGGGCAACGCACATATGGACCATTGGATAGGATTGGGGGGATTCAAGGGGCACCAACCGGCTGGTGAATACGGCACATTCGGCGTTGCGGGACTGTTTATTTGGGATACATTCAGGCATACTCTGAAACGAAGACATGATTGACTGATTGATTGATCTACCACATGAAGCGCTGCAGGCGCCCTCCGTCCAGCACTGTTCCGTCCTCTGCGCGCCATACGTAGGGTTTGTAGAGAAAGATGGCCATGGTGACAACGTTGATGAGAATGAACCAGACGGTCTCGAGCACGAGCCGGATATCGTAAATTGCTGCCCAGGCTTGAGCCTTGGCCATCGACCCTGTAGATTGATATTGCCTTGGTAGTGGCGGGTGCCATGCTGGAACCAGGAGGCGCCATGTTACCCACGGGATGATGCAGTATCTTGGTTCGACGAGTGGTGCCGTGATAAGTGACAGAGCGGTTGTCAACAGGAAGATGAGCGCAGTCGATGTGGAGGCAGGCGTCGTAGCTACGGGAGTTGTGCTCTCCGCTGGGCGAACCTGACCAGATGTCGGCTTGCCCTTGGAGTGTAAGTCGGGCTTCGCAGCCTCAGACGATCTCACATTGACCGCCTTGAAGGGGTGACTGCGATAGATCGTATCGATGGCCCCGCCGTTCTCGGGGCCAGCCAAGGTGTTCAACACTAGCCAGCGGCAGATGCTATAAGGCAAGACAAGAAACTGCCTGATGGCACCCGACCGCCGGATGATGTATCGAAATACGTAGAACATGTAATGTCTGTTGTCAGCAAGGGTGAATGGATGCACAATTGTGTTGTACTTGACAATCCCGCAGGATAGTAAAGTTGTGGCCAAGACATATCCAGACCTGAGGAGCGCCGCCGGCGCGGTCCAAGTCTTGACGTTCTTTGCTGAAAAGACCCAGTTCCAGGCGTAGGGCAGGAGCAGTGGGAGTGAGAAGAATGCGAAAAAGGGCCAGATATAGAGCATTTGTGCCAGGTGCACAGTCGCAACGTGGTTGGACTTGTCGCCCAGCACCACACCCCCGTTCCAGACGACAAAGGCCACGAATACGCCTAGGACAGTGATGTGTGGCCAGATTTTCCGAATGACACGGAGCGGGTTGCACGCGCCGGCGATGAGAAGACTCAGTGCGCAGAAAAGCATGTCTGCGACGCGTCAGATATCCCATCGTACTGGCGCAGGCGCAGAACTTACCATCTTCCCAGGCCACATTCAGGGGCAGGTCGTGCACGTCGCCGTTCGTCCATCTTCCCAAAGAGAACTTGAGCTTCTCCCAGAGCGTCAGCCCCTGTGGAGCGCTCGCCTTTCTAGGGTGCAGCGTCTTGACAGCGTGGACAGCCTCCAGCCCGCCGTTGAAGACAACAACCCAGAACACGTTGGTCTGTCTCATCAAAAGGGCCAACACACCAAGAACAACCGAGGCGATGTCTCGCGCCAGCGTAGGCTGAGCAGGTCCCATGCGGCGTAAGGAGTTCTGAAAAGCAACGAGAACGACGAACGTCGACGCCACGTCCGTGTAGTACAGTCCGGAGAAAAAGAACAGGAGTGGGAAAAGCGCAATGTTCAGAGCTGTGTGAGCAGCATATGACGACGGGTCTCGACGTATTGTCGAACCATGTCCATTGCCTAGTGATTCGATGGCTTGTCTGCATCCAAGCGCGGCGGCAGTCAGGGGGGCTAAGACGATGGCATTCGCAGTGCGCAACGACAACACGCCGCAGCTGGGAGCAAGAATGATGCTGCTCCACCAGTCAGTCACGGAGAAACTCGTGGTCAAGAGGTATCTAGGAAAATGTCAGCCTCATGCTCAAGCTGGTCAAACGAGTCCGCTCACAGTCCAGGCGGTGTTGTAATTTTGTCGTCCCATTCGCTCCATTTCCCTTCGCAATACTTCTGCGCCTGAGGAATGTGAAAAACCTCATCCTGAGGCTGTCAGCTAGCTCAGCATATGTCAAGGCTTGGACACTCACGAGGTATGGTTCCGGGACGTAGGAGGTGGCAATCTGTGCCCACAAAGTCGCCGCGCAAACCACGATGGCGCAGGTGAGGTACAGCCATTCAATCTTGCCCTTATACCAGCCACGTCCTGCGATCAACAGCACAGCAAGTGTGCTCCATCGCGCAACCCTACTGAGGGCGTCAAGGACGGCCGGCTCAGGCTGAGGCATTGTCATGATATGATGTGGGCAGCAGGGCGCGACGGTGAGTTGCTGAGAAGATGGTGAAGTTCATTTGCGGCGCATAGGAATGCACAGTGCGACGAGGACTGTGCGCCTCGATGAGTGGTCGCCTCAAGCCCCATTTGTGCTATTTATTGGTATCACAACTGGTACACAATCACAATGATGGGCAGTCTACGTTCACGGGCACCATGATTAAATCACTCGATGCGTTCTGGACGCAAAACGTAGGTCACATGAGCTTGACGTGGTGAACATAGGGAAGGTCTATTGTAAGTCTCTTATACAAGCAATTCGCTCTGCTACACTGCTTCCATACATCCCACAATCTAGGCGAAAAGATTTAGAAGGGCTACATAGGTCAGCTTCGAGTTCTTCTGCGGGTGTATCGAGAAGGAAACTCACGTTGTCGGCAGGGTGGACCTCCTTGATGAAGTAACCACCGATCAGGGGAAGACCCTTTTGCAGGTTAGTATGCGCTGGTCCAAGAGCTCAGTCGGCAGAATACGTACCTGGAGGATGTCGGTCTTGACACGGGGAATGCCCGAGGCGAAGAAGAGAGCAGCGAAGCCAAGGGCACCACCGAACGCGGCGGTCTTGACACCACTGTCAATGTCATCAGCCAATGTTTCCATCCATAATTTCGTCTCCCCACGCGTCAGGATATTCCAATATGGCATCCTCCTCACGACACAGGCGCCGTACACACCCTGGAATCGCTGTACTTGGCTCGAACAAGCGACCCCATCGTGCGTACGACGCGCCGTGCCCTTTCCCCCGAGCGATAGAAGAACCGCGGTATTCCAAGAAATTCCAAATAACAGTACAGAAAGTCGGCACTTACGTGCGGGCAGCCATGCGGCTGGTCATGCCCTGGAAGTTGGGCTGGTACTGGTAGCTATCCCCACGTCAGTCCAAAGCTCAACACCCGCAATGCCCCCCTCGACCGTTTCGCAGTGATCCGTGAACTTCGCTTCCGGTCGCGGTCGTTCATGCGATGGCTCATCGAGCGGGTCGAGCGGAGGGTGTGATCGCAGCGTACTTGGGGCCGTAGGCACTGCGGAACTCGGCAGCGCGGAAAGGAGTCTGCGCGGGTCAGTATCGCCTGGACTACCCCTGAAGACAGTGTGAGTAGAGAAAACGTACCTGAGAAACCATCTTGGCGGTGTTGATGTGGTTGAACGTGGTCAATTGCTTTCGTCGTCGTCAGTCAGTCAAGATCGAGAAGTCCAAATGCCTGCGCGAGTTTGCACAGCTCGCCGTCGGCAAAACTCGGGCTCGCCAGGCCAGCCAATGACAGCGAGTTTGATGACCCACACATCTTTAATTCGTGAGCCGCGTGCAAGCTAAGGTACCTCACATTGTACTGAATATCAACAGCCTCGTGATTCTTGTGCTTGCCAACCACTTTCAATCACGTCAACGAGATGGACGAGCTCATCGATGCCCGCTTTGACCGCTTGGAAAAGGCCCTAACAAGTCTCATCAACTCTATTCATCAGTACCATCCGTCAACGGCCTTTGCGAAAGATCTCGATGCCGCCGATCATGAATTAGGCCACGATTTAGAGCAATGTACGACGGCTCCCAGTGTCCCCAGCACGATGATCAACGCAGCTAACACCCCTTCCAGTGCAAGCTCATCAAAGTAACCACTTGCGTCTAGAGACGCTCCGCCAGACCTCGTCGACTCTCGATGCCCAGATCAAGTCCACCCTGCAGTCCCTGGCGTCCACGCGCAAGGACATTACCACCACGCAGACAACGACGTTTCCCTCGACACCAAATTACCCCGTTTCGTACGCCGAACTACTTAACTATGCGCGACGCATATCCAAGACTACCATGCCGCCCGCTGGCATGGCGAAACAAGACGTGGTCAAGCCCGCCCCGGAAACCAGCATCGCACCAACACCGAGCGGCACGCAGTCTCCAGCGGCCACAATGAACGGCGGGAGCGTGTCCACCCCCTTCGCTCCGCCAAGCGCCACCGCCAACGCCAACACGTCCCTGCCCGAGATTGTCACGCAGTACCTGAACCCGCTATCGGGACAGCCCTTTATCCCCTGGCCCACAGAGAACGCCATCCGCAACGGTTCCCTGGCGGCAAACCAGATCCTCGCCGAGAAAGGCATCGAACCTAGGGGCTACGATCCGGCCGAGGAAGAGGAACGCAAGAAACGGGAGGAAGAAAGTCGCAAGCAAAAGGAAGAGGAAGAGAAGCTCGCTCTCGAGGAACGCGAGCGCAAGATCCGCGAGCAGAGGGAGCGGCAGTGGAGAGAGGAGCGCGAACGCAGGGCAGCGGCGGACGCGAGCAGGGAGAATGGCACGGGAGCGGCCGCGGCTGCGCCTGCGAGGCAGGAACCAAAGCAGTTCCAGTTTGCTAGTTTGGACGATGACGATGATGACGACGAGGAGTAGACATGGATGTCCATGGGGTGATAATAAAAAGGTTCATGTCTATTCAGAGTTTCATGCGATCTACTAGTCCCCAACTCGTGAGGGTTGCTTTTTGCTCTACACGCCGGCCCATGATACAGTATGGTACAGTGTTCAGCGAACTGCGGTCGGTCGCAGCCTAGTCGATCTTGATTGACCGGTAGATGCGGTGGACGAACCACCAGCTCGCAAAGTAGCCGATAGAGCCTGTGACGGTTAGCCATGTCGTGGAGGAAGAAATAGCTTTGAGACATACCAGTAAGGATGAAGAAGAGCATCGAGATGAGCGCGCTGTACCCGATGTACAGGACAATGCCGGCCAGTCCACCAAGCTTCACCTTGGTGATTAGGTATAGCAAGCAGTTTAGGAAGATGTATCCGCCGCTCATTCCAGCCCCGATGAACGATCTCCACTGCCAGTGGTAGTTCTCCGCGCAGAGAAGGAAGTAGGTCATCAGGATGGTGACCGACGCAGCGACGGCAATCATGAGACCGTAGCAGAGGAACAGGAAACCAAACATGTAGTAGATCCTGCTGAACCAGATGGAGCTCATGATAAAGTACAGCTCCACAAAGATGGCGCCAAACGGCAGCAGGCCGACGATGAGCACGCTGGGGACGGGCTTGAGCCAGCTCTGCGCCGGGGGGATCTGCCGAGGAATCTGGTTCGTGCGCACAGGAGGCTCGATGGCAGGGCCGCGGAAACCAAGCCAGGATCCGGCAAAAGATAGCGGGATGGAGATGACGAACCAGATGCCGATGATAACGAGCATGGTCGTAAAGGGCACCGCGCCAGACGATTGCTTCGCCCAGAGGAAGAGATCGAGGAAGAAGAAGGACGAGAAGACAATGCCAGGGACAAGCAGGGGCGTCAAAGCAATGTTCATCTTCCACTGCTCGCCTTGCCATGACTTGTAGGTGCGCGCCGACGCGTAGCCACCGACAAAGCTGAGCAGCGTGTACATGAGGATCGTGATGGTGCCCAAGGACCCGCGGTTCGAGGGTGAGAGGAAACCGAGTAGAGCGAACAGAATCGTGCAGCCGGTCATAACAAATAGCTGCACGCCGTTGCCCAGAAGCACGGAGAGAAGCAATGGTCGGGCGGGCGTGCGGAAGACATCGCCGTGCACCAATTTCCAGCCCGAGTCTTCCTGCACGCCGTCCTCCTCGAGTGCAGACGTTCCATTCAGATCGTCCAGGTTGATCGAATCAAGACGGTTGTAGCGTGCAATGTCACGCTTCAGCGCGCGCACCAGGATGGACATGACCGTGAGGATGAGGATCACCACGATGATGGCCGTATCTACCAGCCAGAACCAGTGGATCTTGGGGTCGAAGACGTGGAGGTACTTGTCCCAGCGGGTGGCCCAGGCCGTCGGGGACTTGCGCCAATACACGCTGTACGTAAACTTGACCTCCTGCGAGCCGGTGTCGCCAAGGGCGATTCCGCCGTGATTGTCCTTGCAGTCGGGTTCGCCATCGTACTTCTTGGAGCTGGGTTGAACGACCACGCCGACAACGCGCAGCTGGTTGGGGTCCTTGTTCACCAAGTGGTACTCGACCCATATCTCATAGTGGTTGTTAAGGAGGACACCGGCGTCCTTGTCGCGCTGGCCCAAGAGGAAGCCGGGGCTGTAGAAGGTGGTGCCAGTGAGCTGATCGACAATCTGCTGCCCAGCTGGCAGACCGTCGACGAGCCAATTCATGCTGTATCCCTGCATGATGCGCTTCTTCATGAATTGCAGCCCCTTTTCCGGATATTCGACTGTGCAGAGAGACTTGCACGTCTCGTTCTGCGCCATGCGCAGGTCGAACGGCGAGGTCATGATGCGGTCTCCAAAGAGAATACTGCCCAAGCTCTCTGACACATATTCGGGACCACCTTCGGGCTTGCAGAATTGGAAGGCCGGATGGTAGTAATCGTACGAGACGACCGAATGGAGTCGGGAATCGGACGGCGAGGCGACGGGCTTGATGCTGTTGACGTTAAGAGGGACCTTGTCGCCAGGCTTGTAGGAGGTCGGCGCTACACCAGGGAGGTAGAATGCGGAGGCGAGATGCGGCGTGATCGCAAGGAGCGACAGGAGCGCGCGAGGCGCGAGATCCTTCAGTTGCATCTTTGGTGTGGACGTTATTCGGGATCGTTCATGTCAGACGGCAGGGTCGCAGGCGGCAGGCCTGATAGCAAAGGCGAGCTGCGCGTCGCTGCGATGACGCGCGTCTGTCGGTATCGATGGACTAGTTGGAGAATATCAAAGGTGCGCCAATGGTAGAGACTGGACGGCGGCAGCCTCGATCGATTTGATTGTCGAAGGTCTAGGGATGTCTTGGGAAAAGATACGAGGAGCTGGGCGAGGGAGCTCCTGATCCTGGTTTCTGACAGCTGTCTCGTCAGCCACCACCGGTTGGTTGGTTGGTCTTGGCTGGACGTGGTGATGAAAATGCTTAGTAATCACACTGCGTCACAATCTGGTACCTGAAAGAGAGACCTGTGCCTCACCTGGCGTTGCAGGGCTCACTCAGGTATAATGACAGTCTGATTCACGGGTCTCTTACGGGAGTAATGACTGTGCATCCTCAATATCTCGAGAAAGGCATAATCTACCTTAGTCCTTGACACTGGGTGATCGACTCCCCACGTCGCCCGACGGCGCCGCCGCTACGCATGGCAGCCCCACTAAAAAGTTCTGGTCGGCCAAGGCGCGCAACAGAATTTCCGACTGTCGAAATTCTTCCATCACCTCTGGCCTCAAGCACACTCCCACAATGGCCGCGCCTACGACTCTCTCGGCGCTCTTGACGTCGCTGACGGACTCTCTACTGTCCGCGCAAGAAGTCACGCCCAAGATCGCCGCCATCCCGCACTCGAGCGACGGCATCTCCCTCCTCGACGTCAAGAACGATCTGCTGCTCACCTACCTCCAGAACCTCGTCTTCCTCATCCTCTTGAAGCTGAGGAACAACAAGGATGGACAGCAAGACCGCGAGATCGACGAGGCTGTGAGGGCGAAACTGGTCGAGCTGCGCTTGTTCCTCGAGAAGGGCACCAGGCCACTGGAGGAGAAGCTGCGTTTCTCGATTGAGCGGTTCCTGTCGCAGGCTAGGGACGCACAAGCCAAGCCCTCTGCCAATGGCACAAACAAGGACGATTCTGAATCGTCAGATGAGTCTGCGTCGGACGAGGAAGCGGAAGACGAGGACGACGTTTCAGACGCTGGCTCTGTCGCTGAGGCCCCCAGATCCAAGCCAAAGATGCTCAAGACCAAACGCACGGGCGCGCCGCAACTCGCCTCTCTCAACGACGACCCTACCATAGCCCCTCCCGCCAAGTCTGGCTCCGCCGCCGACGGTGCAGGCTCCGTGTACCGCCCTCCCCGTCGTGAGCGTCACGTCATGGATGGTCCCTCTGGCCGACGCGACCGTCGCCCCCTCAAGTCCCACACCATGGACGAGTTCATCGCCTCGGAGCTGGCCTCTGGCCCGCAGGCCGAGCCATCCATTGGCACGACGATTGTGAACGGTGGCCGGTCCATGAAGACGGCAGGCCAGCGTGCTGAAGAGGCCGAGAGGCAGACGTACGAGGAGACCAACTACACCCGTCTGCCCAAGGAGAGCAAGAAGGACAAGCGGCAAAAGGCCAAGCAGGGACGCAGCAACAAGATGGAGTTTGGCGGCGAGGAATGGCACGATCTGGGTGCGGGCGTGGAGAGGATTGACAAGTTGACGGGCCGCGCGCGTGGAGGTAAGGGTGCCGGCGTGAAAGCCATGCTGGAGAAGAGCAGGAAGCGAGGCCCGGAGACTGTCGATGGGCCAAGGGGCAGCGGGGAGATTGGAGAGAGATTCAACAAGAGAGTCAAGACGCTTGATCGGGGTCGAGGCAGATAATTAGCCTTTTGAAATGAAAGAAAAGTAGTATCATTCAATGCCTGGTTATCCCTGCGTATGTGGTATCATGAAAGGATCTATGAGAATATTAAGTCGACCGTTAAAAACATCCGTCAATCATCAGTCCCACTACCCATCCCTGAACAGTTCAGGCTCAACGTCCGCTGGACACAACTCCTCCCACTTGAGCACGGGGCCATTCTCGGCTGGGATGCCCTCGACCAGCTGGGGTGCGCCCTGCGTCCGCCGCCACTCCAGGAGCTCCCTCGCACGACCATGCCACCAGACCTTGTCCCACTCCGTCTCGCGATTGCCCTTGCTGACAGAGTTGTGGTGAATCATGACAGGCACGACGCCGACGCAGATCTCCGTGTACAGCGGGAGAGACTTCCAGGTGCTGGGCTCTTGACCCGCGAGAATGGGGATCTTGCCCTCTGGCAAGTCGGCAAGGTCGGAACCCTTGCCGGGACAGTCGAACCACCCCACGTCGCCTATCTGCTCCTCGATCGGCTGATCGTGGCGCAGGTAGCGGTAGTCGTGGGCTGCGTTGGAGGTCTGGTGGCCCAACGTGGACCAGTAGTCCAGTGCGATCCCAAACTCCCAGGGCTTGTCCGGCACCCATTTCGCGCTGCGAAGCTCGTGGTCGAACTCTGGGTTCAGCATATCGTTGATCGGTGCCCCTTGGATGTGCGTGGCAGGCGGTTTGGAGGCGGGCCTGTTGGCGACAAAGGTGTCCAGCCAGTCGTCCATCGTGGTACGGTGGTGGCGCCGCATCGTCTCGCGGTGAAACTCCTGTTCACCAAACATCTCGATGAAGATGCTCTGGTCGCTCCCGCGGAAGCACTCGTGGGAGCCATAGCCATTGTCGATGGGCAGGTCGCCCTGGTTCGCACAAGCCGCGAGTTTCTCGGCCGCGCGTTCCAGCAGCGGCCGCAGCTCGCGGACAGGCCCGATGATATATCCCGAGTTGAGATAGCGCGTCCTGTAGTTGGCCCACTGGTTGTAGCCCAGGACGGTGTCGGTGGCGCCACCTCTGAGATCCATGGGTAGAGGCGACTCCGGGGTCGGGTAGCAAGCGACGCTGTGGAGGATGTTGGGAGCGCAGCGCTTGCCTGCGCCAAAGACAATCTGCGACCTGATGCCCTCCTTTTCGTAGGCTTTCCCTAAGCGGTGCTTCACGCGCGCATTCTCTTCCTCGAGCAAGGCGTCGTACCGATCTAGGAGCTGGTGGACAGGGAGCTGGAACCAGATATCGTAGCTGTCCAGCATGAACACCAGCTCGTCTTCAAAGGCAGGGTCCTTCCTCCGCTCCTCGTTGTTGAGGTACTCCAGAACGCGCGTGATCTTGGCAAAGTGGGAGCCGCCTCCCAGCAGACCGCCGCTATCGTGGTCGTCGCCCCAGGCCAGTATGGTAGGGTTTGGATAGCCGAGAATGGTCATGCTCAGCAACGTCTTGCAGAAGTTGACGTTACTCTGCGTTGCTGGGAGCAGGATGTGCATGTTTCGCTTGGGAGGGTCCCTCCACGCCGCCTTTGATGCTGGCTTTGCGCCGCTGTGGATGATGCCCGCGTCCGTGGCCCATGGTCGGAACACCTTACTGTTCTGTGCTGGCTGTGTATCATGTAAGTCTCCCGTCCAACAGAAAGCGTGCTAAAGACTTACCGAGCTGATCAAGGCGAAAATCGTGACGAAGAAAACCAAGGCCGCTGTCGCTATGGTCATGGACCGGCGCGGAGCGCGCATGGGTAGGCCCATGGTACTGTCGAATCGCTACGAGAGAGTGACTGGACGCCTGCGCCAAAACAGAGAAGCGAAATCAGGAACAGACGGCGACGTAGATACTAAGTACGGTGCATCTCTGCTGGATGGGAAACATGAGCTCCCGGGAAACCATGAACAAGTAGTATCTGGTTCCAAGACACGGTGGGCACGTCCCGCAACAAAGTGTGCTGCCCAGAAAATGGTCTTTTCAAATTTGAACCAGTCATGCTGGGGGCACAGCGTGAGTTGCCGACGCGTAACTATTTGCTTGGCTTTGAGCTTGGCAGGTCCCACGGATCGAGCAGTAGCCAGGCGCTTGCCTGGTGCCAGGGATTCGGAGTCTTAGATGGATAAGATCACAAGAGAGAGAGGCCAGTCCGTCCGGGGTGCTGGATGATATCACGGATTGTTTGCTCCGACGGGCAGTCCTCCTGGCCGCAGTGACATGTTCCAACTTAGTAGTGTAACGCTTTGAGGGTGGGCGTCTTCGAACTGTCTCTCGTCGAAAAGGTGTCGCTCTTGGCATGAGACTCAGCCTAGGAACGCGTTATACTGCCTAGTGCCACGCCGCCACGAGTGAGTGGCAACGCTGGCTCTAATGAGGATAAGATTTGGTGCACTTGCCGGCAGAAGTGCCAATAGTATCGACACTACTCTTGAGCTCCCCCGATATTCGAGATTCGAACCTCAAAAATCAGACGCCCAGCCAACATCGGCGGGCCTCCGACGCTCCGGCGCTCCGCGTACCCCACGGAAGATGCCGAGCCCTTGGCGGGGAAAGATGACCTCTCAAGGCGAGCCTACTGGACTTGGCATGGCAAACGAAGCCGGGGCCTGTTGGTGCGTAACCCCAAGAGCATCCGCGTGGCGGCGATGAATCGTCAATCAGGATTCAGGAAGAGCCAGTCTGCCAGGAAGTGGCGTAGAGCATGTAAATTTCGACGTGTCTCAGCTGAGCTTGCGGAGGCTTGGTATGCTGCAGCTACGGCCAGTCAAATCTGACAGCAGCAGGATGACGACGAGTGGATTTTGTTGGGCAGCGAATCGCGGTCCTTCGGTGGCTTCCCCTTTGGACGCTGCCGCTGGTATGTAATTGGGTATCGGATGCTTGTCGATAAAATAAGCAACAAGATAACGGTGCCTAGCGTCGGAATGAGCGAGTCTGTGAGACGTGGTCGAGTCTCTCGTCGAGTCGTTAGAGCAACAAATGTGTCGATGTCTTGGGTTTCATTCCCACCCCGACACGCTGGACCAGAAATGCAGAACAGAAATAACACCACGTTGCTCAGTCGATCTAGGGTACCATTGAAGGAAGGCCTTGCCTTGCATCCCACCCCTTGCAGGCTGGGAATCTTGGATGGGTCGTCTCCGTTTCTCACTAGCGAAGGACACGCGAAGGACACGCGAAGGACACGCGAGAATGAGATATCGCGGGTAGGCGGCACGATCTGATTCTGGCATGAGGAATCAAGAGGCTCGTGAGGGGGAGATACCGTCCACGGCGCAGGGTAAGCCAGAGCGCTGTGGGCATGGTTGACCAGGAGCCATAAGATAGAGTAGATAAGATAAGATAAGATACGTAATTTTGCTGCTATGCTCGACCCCCACCATAGAAAGCTCTCCCACCATGTCGACTGTACATACAGGCAGGTCCATCATCAATAGTAGACACCCATTGCAACCCAATCCTCGCCATGGCGAAGCCCGTCGATTTCGCCAAGATGGACGTCGATCCGCCCCAGGACGAAGAAGACGACCCCATCACCGCCACCTACCCCGTCTTCCTCAACCCAGCCCTCCCCGCCGGCCGCCGCCTCCTCGTCCTCCAGCAGCCCAACCGCACCGACTCGCAGCACCCGCGCGCGCCGCCCACTGAGCTCCGTCTCAAGTCCCACGCGGGCATGGTAGAGGTCGACGTTCCACTGTCGAGCGACCCCGTCGTGTACGATCGAGAAAAGGGCCAGCGCTGGGGCCGCAGCCTGCACCAGTCCACGCAGATGAAGAGCGGTGGCAGTCACGGCTTGGCGGGCGGCTTTGGCTTTGGTGCCGTCCAGCAGAAACAGGGCGGTCGGAAGAAGCAGGAGGACGAGGACAATGACCTCATGATGGACTGGAACGAGGCTGTGCGGCAGGGCAAGGCACTAACCACCCAGACCCTGGGTGGCCAGTACCCGGATACAAACGAGGTGCAGTACATGGTGGGCGTATTTCAGGGCCAGAATCTGCACATCACACCCGTCTCGTCGCTCGTCCACCTCCGGCCGCAGCTGCACCACATTGACGCGACGACGCATCTGGAGAAGAGGGCGGCGGGAGAGGCCAGTGCGACCGGGGGCGCAGGCGGTGCCGGGGCTGGCGCTGCTGGTGCTGCGGGCGGCGCAAAAGCCATCCATATGACGATAAAAACGACGACGGATGGCGAGGCGGCGACCACGGAGACCATGGCGGACCGACTACGCGCCGTGCAGAGTGAGCCGTGGCGCAAACTGCGCTACACGGACGAGAACGAAGAGGCCGCGTGGGACATGTACAACGAGTCGCTCTTCTTGCAGAACCCGGCGAGCGGCGAGCCTCCAGCAGACGGCGACGAGGCCGAGGCCGTCGACAAGGGCAAGAAGAAGGAGGGCGCCGCTGAGGACGACGAGGGCGAGGCCAAGAAGGCCGCCATCCCCGAGGGATCCAAGTTGGCTGAGCACGTCCCGCACTTTTCCACCAAATGGGGCGACAAGGAGTTGCTCGAAGCCATCAGCGGCATCAAGAAGCAGGAACAGGACGAGCCCGTGGAAACCCTCAAGCCAGAGGTCAAGAAACCCGTGGTGCCAAAAGCCTCTGAACCCGCGGCGGAACCGGCCAGGCCGAGAGCGACGCGGACACGAGGCGGCGCCGCCGCCGTGGCTGGCGCGAGACGCGGTGGACGGCCAAAGGCGTGAAAGCGGCGAGACGTGATCTGTACATTTATACATATATCCATCAACGAGCATTGCACGGCGCAGGGAACAAATGAAATATTTGGGAAATCATGATTCGCAGAAAAAGAGACAGTCTATCAAGACGGACTGCCAGGTTATGCGCTGACTGCACGAGCATTTCGCTTCCCATGAGTTGAATCCATATCATACACCGTGATTTTTGTTGTTCTCTGCCATTTGAGCCTCGTCTCTTCAAATCCAGGCCCACGGTGGTCGGAGCCCAACCCTTCCACACGCTTTCAATGGCATTTATCAAATCCCCCTCGCAAAATGCAGACACACCATCCCAGCACCCAACCAAACCCTGTAGTCGTTGCAAAAGGTCATTCACTAAATATACTCGGCTACTGCAACAGCTCCACGTCCAAGCCAATGGAGCGCATGAACAGGTTCACACTGCCGAGACGGTCGCTCGCCATGGCGGGCGGCAGCGTCTTGGACAGCTGGACCGTGTCAAGGACGCGGTCTTTGACGGCCAGCACGAGGCGTGTCTGCTGGTCGTGGGAGGCGGTGACACCCATCGCGGCGAGGAGCTGCCAGACGTAGACGTCTTCGCCGGTGTTGACGCTGCCGGGGAAAATGTAGGGCAGCGACGGCTCGAGTTTGTTGAACAAGGTCTCGAAAGTGCGATCCCTGGTCAAATGTCAGTACCGTTTCACAAAAAGACAACTGCCGCACACAGGAGGAGTCAACGTACCACTTCTCCCACTGCTCGGGGTTGCCGGCGCCCGTCTGCTTGAGCAACACGGCGCGGCTCAGGATGAGGGTAAGCATCGAGACACCGATCCTCGTCTTGGCAATCGTGTCAATGGGCAGTTTCATGGCGACCAGGTTAAGGACGCCATCGACAATGTCGAGGCCGGTCTCGTTAAAGTACCCCATGAGCGAGGGCATAACCGTGGAGATAAACAGCTCGACGTTCTCGCGTGTGCGTGCGTTGAGTGTCGTGTCCGCGCTGACCACGGCCTCTTGGACAACGTCGAGCTGGTCGAGGTGGTAGATGATGAGGGTCAGAATGGTCGTACGCTTCTCAAAGTCCAGATGAGGGAAGATTCGGGGAATGGCCTTCTTGCCCTTGGCGCAGGACAGGAAAGCGATGAAGGGGTGGGGGACAATCTCGTCGACGGGCGCGTGCACTTGCAGCTCGTCCCAGAGTTGGGCAATAAGAGTGTCGAGCTGAATCTTCCACTCGGCATGCTGCGTGCGGAGTTCGTCATCGGCTGTCTCGCTCATGGGCGGTGGGATCATGCGCACATGGTCTTCAATCTTCATCAGCGTGTTGTACACCTTCTCAACGGCCCTCAGCACGGCTCTACGGTTGAGACCGGTGTGGGTAGGCTTCTTGGCGCTGCTCGGGCGCTGCGTCTCACTGTCGTTCCGCTTGATGTTCAGGAGAGGCTTTGGTGTCTTCGCGTTGCTGAACGAGATCTTGCCCAGGCTGCCGGCGATCACCAGCTGGGGGTTCTTGGGCTTGTTCTTGGCTGCCTCCACGGCTCTTTGCACCTGCTGCTCCATGCGCTGGAAGTGGTTCTCGGCGGGGCGACCGTGCCTCCTGAGGCCACCGTGACGGCCGCCAGTCTGGAACAAGTAGGTCTGGGCAAAGTTGCTGAGGGGTTGCGTCGGGTTCTGACGTTGCCCAGCGCGAATGTGGCTGTAGACCTGGTAGTAAAAGTCCTCGGCAATGGACGTGTCCGTGTCGCGCTCGGCTGGGTTACCGGTGGCGGACACAAGCTGCTGGAGTTGAATGCGAGTGATAAAGTTCTTGTCTTGAGGAGTCATCAGGCCATTATCCTTGGACAGCAGCCAGATCTTGTGGTTGCGCTTGGCTCTCTTCGTCTCCTGATCAAGGAAGGCGGCCTTCTCCTCCTCGGACATTTGGTTGAACTGCGGGTGTTGCTGCAACTGGCCCATCTTGGGGAGGGATCCCTGGGACGGGTGAGGCTGGTGGCCCATGGCGATGCGTGCGGCATCCCCAGACAGTCGGTTCGGGTTCTGAAGAATCTGGGTAGGCTGAGCGGGAGGAGCCTGCTGCTGAGCAGGAGGCGTAGCCTTGTTGGGCTGGCCGCTCTGGGGGCGCTGAAGGATCGTCACTGGTTGCGCTTGGCCTTGCTGAGGCGTAGTAACTTGTTGCTGGAGCTGCTGCAGGCTCTGGAGAGGATACTGCTGCTGCTGCTGCTGCTGCTGTTGCTGGTAAAACTGTTGCTGCTGCTGCTGAAAGCCAGGCGGGGGTGGTGTATGACGATATTCCTGAGGCGGCGCCTGGGATGCGGGCTTGGGCTGTCGCATGGCTGCCTCCACCTCTTCCAAGCTCATGATCTTCCGGCTCGCCGGGGGTTGAGCTGGTGGCTGGGACGCATGCTGGGGCGCGTATTGGGCCTGCGGCGACGGAGCGGCGTGTTGCGCAGCGGCCTTGGAAGGTCCAATACCCCAGATGCTCCGATCCACGTTCAGGTCAGGCATAGCCTCGGGCTCCCTGTACTTCTCGTAGCCCGTGCGGGCGGGCTGATACGCTTGCTGTATCGGCTGGCTGGCATAGTAGGCAGCCTGAGACTGCGGCGGCTGATGATATTGGTTCAGAGACTGCTGCTGGACGGGACGCGCAGTGGGCTGCTGGCGATCGAACCGCATGTGCTCCTCCTCAATGGCACCAGAGACCTTGGCCGTCTGACCGAAGAAGTCAAAGTCTTTTCCCACCTTGCCCGCCGAAGGGGCTCCGCCGTGGCTGGGGGCAGGCGCAGCTCCTGACCCTCCGCCAAAGGTGTCGTCGTTGAAGGCATCGTCAGCGTCGTCAAGCTGGTCGCCGAGACCGTCGTATGTGTCTTCAAACTCGAGGGCGTCGTCGACGTCAGCGTTCCGGCCGGACAGGCCAGCAAAGGGGTCGTGGGCCTGGGAAAAGCCAGGCTGGGCCTTGTCATGGCCGCTGGTGTCGAAGCCGAAGAAAGACATGGTGTGAACGGGTTGAATAAAACTGGTAGCTATTGTACTGGGCTGGTCAGCTAGGTTCCGTTGCAAATTTGGTCCACGTCTGGAGAAGCGATGTGTGGCAGGCCTGGAAGGGATCAGGACTGCAGGGCAATCTGCAGTGGGGCTCGATGATGATGACGCTAAAGAGCTCCCCCTCGTTGGCAGAGAGAGCTCTTGCGCTGCATCCAACGGCGAGCGCCTCTGATCCAGGACAGTCTGGCTCGTTCGTCAAGAGATCGAGTCATTCGGAGACTCGAGGTGTCAGACGCCCAAGGATCAAGGCCGTGCCATGCCGCGTACAGCTGCCAACGTGTTCAACCTGCGAGGTGCAGTTGTTGCGTACCCCACGCCGCGCCGATGTCGCCTTCTCCCAGACTCAAGAATGCGACTTACCACTAGGTGGATGATTTTTCTGCTAAAAAGAATGTTTGACTCAAATCGATCATTGTGCTGCCGCCGACGGTGGAGGAAGTATGGGCTGATTGATTGGGAGCGAGTCCTGATAGCTCTGTTTCCGCTTCGTTGCTTCGAGGCCGTGTGCGTTCATTCGACTGGAGCAAGGGTGCAATAGCCGCCTGATCGGCGCTAGGGCAAAGTTCGAGAGGAGCTGCCGGAGCTGGCGGGATGCTTCGATAGATGCTGATCTTGGACGCGGCGTCGCGACGAGATCTCTTTCATCCGTCGATGGCTCTGTGGAATTTGCTCGCAGCGGTTGCGGTTCTATCGGGCGCACGATGGCTGCCGGTGATTGGCTCGTTGTTGCTTAGTAAACAGCACGTGACACTCCAACATCTCCGTACCCCTCGATAAACTCATCAGACACTCTCGGTCGCTGGCTGGAGTAACATTGGCTTTGCTTCAACTGTGTTCAGTGCAATAGGTATGCAACTACCACATGCTGCTGCAAGCTTCTGCGCGCTTTCGTGGTTGATTGAGCGTCTTCTGGTCTGACACCAGAACCCTGGTCCTTGACTCCTGGTAGGTGGGCAAATGGATCAGATCTCGACCTCGACCTACCCTACATGACACGCATCGCTGCGCCGACTAGGAGACAACCTGGGCACCTTGTGATGAATCGTTCATGCACGTCCTTATAATCAGATGCTTGGAGGTGTGAACCTTTCAAACTAGTCACGGACACTGTAGTCACGTTGCAACGAGGCACAGATCCTGTCCGTCACGTGAAGTCTTCTCCAACTCGCCCACCAACGGACGTCAATGTACCACGTCTCGACTGTGCGACGTCAAAACCGCAGATTATAACTTTCTAAGTTTCAATCGCTGGAATGGCTATGGACCCAAGCTAACACCAGAATCGCTATCCACCACATCAAAGCGAGGAACTCCGGAACCCAGCCAAATATCCGAGCAAATCGAGCTACGCGAAAACGGCCAGAGGCTAGAGCGTCAAGTTCACATCACAAGTTTCAATTGTCATTGTGTATCATCATATCATATCATATCCCAGAAGCACCCATCATCGTCGCTGCCCGTGCGCGAGGAGCGTGGCGGCGCCGCGCGCAGTTCAGGTAAGGAAACACACAACCAAAGCACCGAGCAAAAGATCGCACGAATGGACACCCATGGCGTTCCCTAGAACCGGGATAGGCCAATGGAAAGGGTGCCGGAGAGGAGAGGCAGGACACTCAATTTCATGAAGCGTGGGCCTGGTTCCCCAACAGAATCGCTGCTTTACCTGTGCTCTCGCGCAACCAAGTCGTGTGTGTCACTCATGCTTGTTCACACGGGGAACATCACCATCAATCATCATCATCGTCGTCACGAACGAATCGCCACACGCGCATCACGAGAGAACCTTGAGCACGACCATGCGGGCCTTGACGTCCGCCTTGCGGCGGTAGTCCTCGAGCTCCTTGCTGATGAGTTGTACCCGGCCCTGGTTGACGAGGCTCTCAATCTTGGCCTCGTAGCCGCCCGACTCGTAGATGCTGCCGAGGATGGTGGACACGACGAAGCCGTTGGGCTTGGTGATGCGGACAAACTCGTCGAGGGCGACGGGGCCGACGTGGCCCTGCGTGAGGGTGCCGACGCAGCAGATGGCGTCGTAGGAGTTGTCCTTGTGCGCCAGCTGCGTCGAGAGGTCGGCGGTGTCCAGGTGGCGGTAGACGCCCGCCTTGCGGGCAATGTCCAGCATGCCGGGGGACAGGTCGACGCCGTCCACCTTCTGGGCACCGAGCTGGGCGAGGGCGATGCCGGCGAGGCCGGTGCCGCAGCCGGCGTCGAGGATCTCAATGTCGGACTGGATGGACGGGGTGCCGAGGTGCTTCAGGACGTGGGCCGCCGCCAGCACGGGGCCGACGTAGTCCTGGTCCTCCTTGGCCATCTCCTTATCGTAAGAAGCGGCCCACTCATCGTAGAGGGCCTTGGTCTCGTTGACACTGGTGGCCCCGTAGGCGCGAGAGAGCTGAGACATGGTGAAGGTAGTAAGGTGGTTGTGTAGTGGTAAGGTACTGCAGGAGCAAGGGGTATGGTGAAGTGATATCTGGCGAGGAAGACGCAGGAGAAACAGCGTGAGCACCGAGCCTATTTAACCACCTGGCGGAGGACTGGACGCGCCAGGCGAGCTGAGAGTAGAGACCACCTTACCTCGCCTTGCTACGTCAGTTGCCCACCCACCCAGTGGAGTCTGAGGCTAATTACTTACACACTTACATACGTACGTAGGTACATGGAGTACAAGCTTCGGAAGAGAACATTCCTGCTCGGACACCTCGCGGCCTTGCATGCTGCATGGAGCACGCACTTGTGTTGCTATGGACACGGAGGCCAGGGTCGTCATTCGTCCAAGATCAGCCGAGGGGAAGCTGAGCCGACGGGTGGCATGAACAGTCTAGGGAGGAAGAGCTCGACAGGCGAGCCAACGTCCTCAGCAATGGGGCGTGGGCGGGCAGGGATCGTCCCACGCAATCCACCCGCAGAGAGTCCGTCAAGGCCGGCAGCTAAGTATAGAGAGGGCACTGTACGTAGGATGGATCCCATGGCGCCACTCTCGGGCTCTAGTACAACGTGAAGATGTACATGGACCTGCCAAGCCTGGCGGACAAGGCCACGATGCCTCAGTTGAAGGGAAAGGGGTATCAGGTGGAAGCGGGGGCGGGGTCCTCGACTCCTCGCTCCCGTAGCCGACTTCAAAGGAGCAGAAGATCGGAGCTTACGGGTGGGGGGCAGCCACTGAGCGGTGGTCTGGGATGACGGGGGAGTTGTAGGAGGGTGACTATGTTCTTGTAGCGTGTGTTAAATATCGCAAGTCGTTTGCTGTCGATTGGGTTGGGGACTTGGGGTTGCATCGGCCGGTGAAGCGTCTGGTGTTGTTCGAGGTAAATTGACGTGGCGAGGCCTGCCTGCACGGTGAAAGTGGTAATCAGCTGGCAAGGCTTCGCTAGTCCAGGTTGATCTACTCAGAGACACGAGATGAACACGTTCTGTGCCTGCTGTTGCTCGCTGTTCAAGATCCAACCGAGCTATGTCACTGCCCGCCTGGCTGCTCCCTCCAGTCGTCAGTGACACCACGGTCAGCGGCGCGATGCATCGCCCGCATTAAATAGATCCCCTTCTCTCGCGTCGTCCAGTCAAAATCCCTGTCTCACCCTCCTTGAAGATGTCCCGCGAGCTCCAGCCCCGACCCGGTTTTTCAAGGAAAAGGCGCGGCTTGTCGGATTCGGTAAGCCAGAAGTTCATGTACTTACATTACGACTTGCCTTTGGCATTTTGTCCACCTGTCCTGAGCGCTCAGTAGGTACAAGAGGCCAGGTAGACGTAGGATTAGCCAGGCCAATTGACGGCCACGTCACAGTGGGCTCTTGCGCTGTCTGTTTGTGGGAACCAATGCATTGGATCGCGGCAGAGGCGCGAGTTGAAAGTTGAGGGGCGGCGACGACATGGCCTGCCCAGGCCCTGTCTGGACTCCTGACTAACCCGGCCTACCTCGGGTCGTGGCATGTCTCGATCGCAATCATTTTCTCGACCCAAAAAGCGCTGGGATCGGATTTAGCTTTGCTGGGATGAGGCGCGCCCTGAATCCCCGGCGCATGCCGTTGAACGGCGCCGTGATCTTCGGTGATCCGGCACCGTCTCGGTGTCCCCACCACGGGAGGATGCAACGGACACGGACGTGAGGGGCAGGGCTGTTTGGAAAGCACCTAGGGAGAAGTGGACGATGAATAAAGTAAAGCGCTCACGCTTGGAATAAGATCACAAGTCTTAGAAGTCGACCTGCTACCTTTAGCTGCGATTTGATGTCCTGCAGGCGCACCAAGGCGACCGGTGTGATGTTCGGGTCTGGGACATGGGACATGCAGCATGAAGGTATCGCCAGTCGGTACCGCAGGGCGACCCAGATTGACGTAGAGGGCCACAATCCGGCATCAAGACAATGAAAAAGAATTGAGTGTCATATTTGAACATTAGACTACACATTACTCGCTTTTGGAAAGAAATGAGACCTCGTGGGAAGAGTATTGTGAGTCTTCAACCATGTCGACGGTACGTGACAGAGGTGGAGAGCGCGGGGCTACTGGAGTCTGGACTGACTCTCATCAATTGACCGGTCTTGAGACGCAGTATTAACCTTCGATCACGACTTTTGGATCAGTCGCCTCTCAGAAACCGTGCGCTTGCAGCCCCCTAAGCCAGCCTCATGGGAGATCATGTATCGCAACAACCTGCCCTTCAGATATTCTCTCGCAGGTACCTGAGAAATTTCCATAGCCGCGATCCCGGTTCCAGATCGTCCGGGCAGGTGTCACTCTCGACGTGCTGGAGGAGACCGCTCATCTTCTTGAATGTCCTGTCGCAAGGCGGGCATTCAAACTTATACACAGCGTCGTTGGTGATATAATAGTCGCATACGTAGCACTCATTAGCATAGTTGACAATGTCCCACTCGTCGACAGGTGCAGCACACGCTCCGGGCTCCAGGTGTAGAAGCATGGCCGAGTAGGTTGCGAAAGACCGAGGGCAGCCGAAGCAAATCAATGACTTCTCATCATGTTTTCGGAGATGCTACATCCATGTTAGAAGACTGGACTTGACCAAGGTCGAGCGGTGCGCTGGGTACCTACAGCCTTGAGGTTATGCTCAGAGTCATTGTACTTCCTACACACCGAGCACATGTAATGCGCCCATCGATCATGGTCGTCGAGGTCGTCGGACGTTTCGAAATTGATCCTGCAGGGAATGCAGCGGTGATGCACTCTTTCAAAGTGTCGCTCCAGGTCACTGTTGTTCTCAAAGTCCACCACATCATCGCAGTAAGGGCAGGCATCGTGCGCGTAGGAGTTGCGCACGTGTTGCTCCCACGCTGAGTGAGAGCCAAAGGGTCTGTCGCATCTCCAGCAATAGACGTGACGGCTAGACTGGCGATGGTGTTGGCCCAAAGCCACGTCGGACGTGAAGTATCGGTCGCAAGTATGGCAGTACGCCATTGGGGGCAATGATTACTCAATTGATCAGCACGCAGGACTCAATTGACTGCGCAACTGGAATGCGTGAAGGAGATCAATGTCTGTCGTCCAGGCTCAGCAGCCATATCGGGTGCGCGGGTATGAAGATGAGGGACGCGACTGCTAATAAAAGATCCCCATCAGTCTGATCTCAAACCGCGCTTGTGGGAATGACCGCCAGAACAATTCTCGACTCTGTTCCATCCTCTTCCATGTTGTATTGACGGCCATTTTGTTTGACGAGGTCAGCGTCGGACCCACGTTGTGTTGGATTCTGATTGCATCGAAAACTCGTCGCCCTCACAAGCTACTGTAGGCACGCGCATGCTTGCCACGCGCCTATGCGCTCCAAACTACTTAGGTTGTTAGTAGACTAGGACCAGTACCAGAACGAGCCACGAGGCCGAACAGAGTGGCATAAACTACGCCAATCGCCTGTTGTAACAAACATTAATACAAACAATGGTCGGTGACGGTCTGACCAAGCGCAATTCTTGGCCGCATGGCAGTTTGACAGTTTCCCTGCTCACCTCGCCTTGCCATCCCTCCCTATGCGCTGTCCAGGGGTTGATTGCGTCGATACGAAGTCACACCCACAATTCGTGGCCTCCCAGTGACGAGTCCCTCCAGTCAAACCCAAAACACGCCCTCACGGTTCTCGATTCACCATCGCGCGCCGCCCCCTCTCCTCCCCCCATCAAACGATTCATTTCAAACCATCGGAATTCCGTCCGTTGAGCATTGGAAGTCCTGGTAGTTCGACAACAGAGCAATGAGTGCCTGAGCCAGCGACCCTTCTGAGACATCTGGCCAGGCCCTGTATTCGACCCTTCAAGTCCCTACCTTACGTTATCTTGCAACAGTTGGACGAGCCCCTGACTGATTCCCTTGTTCAACCGTCCTTCCTCCATCCGCACCATCCATCGCCCACCGCCACGCTGGCTTCAGAGAAAGACGCTTCCTCGCGTCCACCTGTCAGGATGATGGCAACAGGCAACACGCGCTTTGTGCGCTACATTGCCATTGCGCTTGTCGTAAGTCGAGGCCCACAGCTGCCGGCCACCCTGGGATCCCAAAGCTCAAGCTAATCACGCGACGTCCCGTCGTAGTTCCTCGGCGTATACTACTTCCTCTCGCACACCGACTACCAGAGCGTCGACATTAGGCCCGGCGGCCTCAACACTGGCGACGTCAAAGTCGACAATGGCGCCATCTCCCCCGAGGCTCCTGTGCAACCGGGCCCCGAATCGCCCGCCGAAGCCCCGATCAAGGAGGCGCCTGCTGCGCCCCAGGTCCAAGATACACCCGCAGAGCCTGCGGTCCACGCCGGCTACTCTGGATCCTCCAAGCTGCTGGAGGACCAGTTTGGCGCGGAGCACCCTCTGGCCATGAACCCTGGAGCTCCTGGCTGGAACAACCTCGAGGGCACCGACCCGGGCCCGCGCATGAACGCCACCTTTGTCACGCTGGCCCGCAACAGCGACGTCTGGGAGATTGCCAAGTCGATTCGCCAAGTCGAGGACCGCTTCAACAAACGCTTCAACTACGACTGGGTCTTCCTCAACGACAAGCCCTTTGACGACACGTTCAAACAGGTGACGAGCTCCCTCGTGTCCGGAAAGACGCACTATGGCGAGATCCCCGAGGAGCACTGGTCCTTCCCCGAGTGGATTGACCAGGAAAAGGCCAAGAAGGTGCGCGAGGACATGAAGCAGCGCGGCGTCATCTACGGCGACTCGGTCAGCTATCGCCACATGTGCCGCTACGAGTCCGGCTTCTTCTTCCGCCACCCCATTATGCTCAACTACGAGTACTACTGGCGCGTGGAGCCCAGCATCGAGCTCTACTGCGACCTGCACTACGACCCTTTCCGCGTCATGGTCGAGGAGAACAAGAAGTACAGCTTCGTACTCAGCCTCTACGAGTACCCAGAGACCATCCCCACGCTCTGGGACAGCACCAAGAAATTCATGAAGAACCACCCGGAGCACATTGCCGAGGGCAACTCGATGAAGTTCCTGAGTGACGACGGCGGCGACACCTACAACCGCTGCCACTTCTGGTCCAACTTTGAGGTCGGCAGCCTCGACTGGCTGCGCAGCGACGCCTACATTGACTTCTTCACCTCCCTCGACAAGGACGGCGGTTTCTTCTACGAGCGCTGGGGCGATGCCCCCGTGCACTCGATTGGCGCCGGCCTGCTCCTGCCCAAGGAGGAGATCAAGTTCTTCAACGACATTGCCTACTTTCACAACCCCTTCACGCACTGCCCTACCGGCGAGCAGACCCGTATTGACCTCAAGTGCCACTGCGACCCCCAGAAGAACTTTGACTGGAAGGGCTACTCATGTACGTTCTCCACCGCATCTGCCCCGGACGCGTTACTGACCACTGCTACACAGGCACCTCCCGTTACTTCGAGGCCAACGGTCTGGAGAAGCCCCAGGGCTGGGAGGAACAGAAGGGTTAAAAAAGGTTCCGGGATGAAATTGAAATTGTACTATATAGATCAAATTGGGCAGGGCGGATCAGGGTCATGGGACAGGTCCAATACGGTCTTTGACACGGACTGACGGTAGTAGAAACGGCGTCAAGGTGATGGCTGAGCATGTTTTGTTCATGTATACAAGAATGAACCAAGTCTTGTTGATCCACGGCTTCTTTGCTGTCTGTGTGTGCCTTGAATGTTTTATTTGTACAGTAGAGATACACGCTCCGTCATATGCTCGCTCCCCTCGTGCCTTAACCAACCGTCGCCTTCTTGGGCTTCTTTGATCCGTATTTACTCCTCGACGACACACGGTTCGCAATACCGCCCTGCATCATGTTAGCACCCGCCCACGATATCTCCCACAGCACGGGATAGTGGGGTTACTTACCAGATCCATCGCTCCACGGACCAGATGGTACCGCACACCAGGACAATCCTGTGACCGCCCGCCTCTCACCAACACGACGCTGTGCTGCTGGATGTTGTGACCCTCACCGGGGATGTACGCCGAAATGTGCGTCCCGGAACTGAGCTTGACACGCGCAATCTTGCGCTCGCCCGAGTTGGGCTTCTTGGGACGGACGACACCGACACGTAGACAGACACCCTTCATCGCGGGGCTCTGCGAGGCCGCCAGTGCAGGCGACGTGGCGTGGCGCGCCTTCTTGCCCTTGCGACAGCCGCGGAGGACCTGGTTGAGGGTGGCGGAGACGGGGGATGTCGTCGAAAAGGAGCGCTGCGGCGACGGATTGACGATGGTCCTGGGGAGGGCGGATGTGATTGTCGGCGCGAGACGCCGCGTCGGCGGGGAGAAGAGGTTGCGCAGTATTGAACCGACCATCTTGACGGTGTGGCACGGTCCTCGTCGTGGATCGGATCGGGTTGGTTGGTTGGGACCTGCGTCGCTGTCGCGCGTGAAGCTATCGCGGATCTCGAAATTCTGGGACAGCTGGTCACGTGGCTCGGCGGCCGAAATCCTCCGGTCGCCGGGACACTGCTGATGTCACATGCAAAGGGGCGTCGGGAAAACTGCGGCCATCGATCTCCACTGCTAGTCCGCCGCCCCGCGAAGTCGGCAGCCAGGCAGCTGGGGATGATGGTTACCCTCGGCTGAAGCGCTGGAGGGTCCATTCTTCCACCTCTCCAGCCGGGGCTCCATCGATCTGCCTGACCTCTGCGTACGCCGATGAATCGTCGATATTTCTCTTGCGTGGTTGTACCTCTCCTTCCTTTATTTGTCCCCGTGAGATTCATTCTGCCAATCTTGTAATCAGTGTAGACGCCTGTCTATTCCACCATTGGCTTAGAGCAACAGACGCCCTCCTCACAATGTCGTCTTCACTTACACGAGCCATGAGGCCAGCCGTCCGCGGCACACGCGCTCTCGTGTCCAAGACCACAACCAGCACCGCCTCCGCGACTCTGCGATCGAGCGTCGCCAGACCAGCGGCCGCGCGTGCCTTCACGACCACGTCCGTCCGCGCCCACGCCCAGCCCGTGGACATCTCCGACCTCACGCCCACGCCCATCACCCACCTCTCCGAGACCGAGGCCGCCATGGCGGACGCCGTCTCCAAGTTCGCCAACGAGGTTGTCCTCCCCAAGGCGCGCGACATGGACGAGGCCGAGTCGATGGACCCGGCCATTGTCAAGGCGCTCTTTGAGCAGGGCCTCATGGGCATCGAAATCCCCGAGGAGTTTGGCGGCGCGGGCATGAACTTCACGTCGGCCATTGTGGGCATCGAGGAGCTGGCGCGCGTCGACCCCAGCGTGAGCGTCATGGTCGACGTGCACAACACCCTCTGCAACACGGCCCTGCTCAACTACGGCAGCGACCACCTCAAGCAAAAGTGGCTGCCCCGGCTCGCCACCGACACGGTCGCCTCCTTCTGCCTGTCGGAGCCGGCCTCGGGCTCGGACGCGTTCGCCATGCAGACCAAGGCCACCGAGACGGCCGACGGCTTCTCCATCACCGGCGGCAAGATGTGGATCACAAACTCCATGGAGGCCGACTTCTTCATCGTCTTTGCCAACCTCGACCCCAGCAAGGGCTACCGCGGCATCACCGCCTTTGTCGTCGAAAAGGGCACCCCTGGCTTCGAGATTGCCAAGAAGGAGAAGAAGCTCGGCATCAAGGCCTCGTCCACGTGCGTCATCACCTTTGACGACGTCAAGATCCCCAAGGAGAACCTGCTCGGCGAGCGCGGCCACGGCTACAAGTACGCCATCTCCCTCCTCAACGAGGGCCGCATCGGCATCGCCGCGCAGATGACCGGCCTCGCGTGGGGCGCCTTTGACAACGCCGCCAAGTACGTCTGGAACGACCGCAAGCAGTTTGGCAGCCTCATTGGCGAGTTTCAGGGCATGCAGCACCAGCTCGCCCAGGCCTGGACCGAGATCGCCGCCGCCCGCGCCCTCGTGTACAACGCCGCCCGCAAGAAGGAGGCCGGCGAGGACTTTGTCAAGGACGCCGCCATGGCCAAGCTCTACGCGTCGCAGGTCGCGCAAAAGGTCAGCGGGCAGGCCATTGAGTGGATGGGCGGCATGGGCTTTGTGCGCGAGGGTCTCGCCGAGAAGTTCTGGCGCGACAGCAAGATTGGCGCCATCTACGAGGGCACCAGCAACATCCAGTGAGTTTTCTGTCTGCTGCCGACGTTGGGTCTTGCATGCTAATCATTTCCGACAGGTTGAATACCATCGCCAAGTTGTTGCAGAAGGAGTACACTCAATAACGGAACGACGTCTATGAACATGGAGTTGGGGCATATCACGGGCGTAGAATAGCATGAATACACTATTAGACAACCTACATCTGCATGTCGGTGAGACTTTCAACGATGCACATAATCAAGATCCTATTTTTCATTCTTACGCCCGCTTAGCCACTCGCTCGTCGGCCATCTCCAAACTGCCACCAAGATGAATGTGTCCCGCTGTGCTCTCTCTCTTAACTTCGCTTGGTCTTCATAATTCGTCCATGTCTACATCAGATATGCTCCCCCTCTAATCAAAGTCTCCAGTGTACGAGAAGCCCCGGAACTCTTCCTGCATGGCTTGCGAAAGAACTGCTTCTGTTAGCTACCTTCGAGAACGACGACTGGCGCGGGCTCCACTTACCAGACTGGACGGGTGTCAGAACAGGCGTCACGCTCGTGAATTCAGAGTCAAAGTTGCTCGTGTCCGTGGCGCTCTTGATCTGCGGCAGGAAGGGCGGCGCCACGCGCTTGTGGTAAATGTCCTCCCAGTTGATGTTGCGGAAGAACGGCTGGGACATGATCTCCTGCGCATCCGTCGGCCCACTGCCCAGCCGCTGGTCCACCTCGCGGGTCAGGAGCTTCTGCAGGATCGACACAGAGTCTCTAGGCATGTGGATCGGGTAGAGAGGCTCGTCAGCGAGAATCGCGTCGTAAATCTCGTCCTCGTCTTCGCCTCGGAACGGCGACTGTTGCAGCAGCATCTGGTAGATGAGGACACCAAAGGCCCACCAGTCAACCGCTCGGCCGTACTTCTTGTCCAGCAGGATCTCGGGGGCCATGAATTCGGGCGTGCCGCAGAAGGTGCTCGTCGTGGAGCGGTACCACATGTCCTCCTTGCAGAGACCGTAGTCGGCAATCTTGATGTGCCCATCTAGCGTAAGAAGAATGTTGTCAAGCTTCAAGTCACGGTAGATGACGCCGTTCTCGTGGAAGTACTTGAGAGCCAAGCACACCTCGGCCGCATAAAACTGCGCTCGCTTCGTGCCAAACTGACCCCTCTGAATGTGCCACATGAGATCACCACCGCTAATGTACTCCATGACGAAATAGACACGGGTCTCGGTTTGGAAGCAGGCGTGCAGGTTCGTCAGGAAGGGATGCCTCTCGCGGTTGGCCACAAGGAACACGCGCTTCTCGGAGCGGATGCTTTCCACCTCATCATGCTCAATGATGAACTCCTTCTTGAGCACTTTGATAGCGAAGAGGCGCCGCGAGCGCTTTGTCTCGGCCAGCATGACCTTTCCGAAGTTACCCTTACCCAAGACTGCGAGAAAGTTGAAGTGGTCAAGACCGATGCGCTTGCCTGTGCCGGCATCGGTGGCCAACGGCAACGGCTTGCGCTGCGTCGACAATTGATTGGGACCAGTGATCTGGAGCGGCTCCCCCGTGGGTTCAATGCTGGTGGGCGACTGGGCTGGGAACGACGGAGGATAGGCGGTTTGAGGTGACTGCGCGGACGTCGGGGGCTGCTGTTGAGGTGGCGGCATTGGCTGGGCCTGTTGCGGAGTAGGTCGCTGCTGCTGCACGGGCTGAGGCTGAGGCTGCTGAGGCGGCGGACTGGCATAGCCCTGGTGGACGTTGGCATAGTCCTGGGGGTTGTACTTGCGCTGCTGCTGCTGTCCGAGGTCAGATGGCGCATGAACGTCGTCAGGCCGCGCTGGAGAGTCGTAGCTATGCATCGACTGTTGAGCAGGGCGCTGTGGCTGCTGTGGGCTCTGTGGCGAGTACATGGCCGCTGATGCTGCCGCGGCTGCCGCGGAGCTCGACGAGCGATCCGGCCCAGCTGGCCTCTGCTGGGATTGAGGCTGGTTGTACATGACCTTGGCGGCTTCAGCGGCCTCCGAGGATGGCGGCGGCGCATAGCCACCCGATGTCGAGCCCGAGTACGACGGTGAGGGAGAGTGCGTGTTCGGAGGACTGGATTTGCCTGGCCGCAGCGTACGCTCGGTCATGGAGGTGGCGTTGGCCTGTCTCTTCTTCTGAACTCGGATACCCTCGAGAATCTGGTTGGCGACAGCCATGGACATGCCACAAAAGTCAGGCACGAGATGCACGCACTGCGCGTGGGAGGTGAGACCGCACTCGGAGCACTTCCTGCAGTTCTTCTTGCCAAAGGGTAGGATATAACCACAGTGGCAGCACCAGTTGGCAGTCATGTTTGAATAGGGGTTGAAGCGATGAGGAATGCGATGGTTGATCTTCTCCTCGTCCGGGTCCGTCTCCGCGTTGCTCTTGCTGATACACTTTGTCACAACGCTGGTATAGCATTTTGTGTGACAGGTGTACTTGCAATCCTCGCACTGCATACCAGCCGAGTACTTGAGGAAGTCTCCGCACAACGCGCAGCGCATGATGTTGTAGAACTGGTGCTGGACAAACTTGTGGCCGTACATCTCGTGCACCTCCTCTTTGCGCTGGCGGACGGCGCCCTTTCGGCCGAGACCAAGATCGACTGGACGGCGGTCCGCATTTGTCTTGACAAAACTCATCTGGAGCTGGATCTGTCCGGCTGGCTCGAGGTTGAACCAGCCATCGATCGGTCCAGTGACGACTTGTGGTTGCGGCCCTGGAGCACCGTAGGCGGCGCCGCCGGGGGACTGAGGACCTCCTGCGCCAGCAAACGATCCAGATGAAGGGCTCATGGGGAATTGCGATGGAGCGCTACCGCCTGCTCCCGAGTTGCCCATCCTGTCGGCAGAAACCCAGCCAGAACTATTCATCTCGGCTTCTATCCTCTTGCGACGCATCTCCTCGACAATGTCCGATATCCTGACCCAAAGCAGGCCGATGGGCAACGGATGCTCCCCTGGCTTGTCATACACAGTCAGCTCGATCTCATTGGCCTTGTCCACATCAATGGTGTGGTACTCGGCTTCCCAACGATCGGTACGTGACACTCGCGTCCGTGCCATGACGGTGTCTTCCACTTTGACCGCCACAAAGGTCTCCGGACCGCGTGCAAATCGCCCAGTCGTCGCGTGGTCAACGTCTTTGACGGCCATGACGCGAATGGCAAGCTGACCGCTCAGCGGTTTGCGGAGGTTGGGCATGTTGATCGAGTCGTCGTCCTGGTTGTCACTCGAGTCCATGTCAATGTGCAGCTCCTCGTATCCCTTGAGTGCCTGTTTCAAGAGAACGATCTTCTGCTTGCTCTCCACTCTCCTCGCAGCCGCGTCGGCCTTGCTCTTGCGATCGCCCTCCATGCCGTACAGCTGCACCATTTTCTCGACACCCTTGAGGTACTGCTCCTCGACGTTGAGCTTGAACTGGAGCTGGGACAGCATCAGCTGGATACGAGGGCCCAGGTAGGGATTGTCGTATTTAATGAGGTCCAGCTTGGTGAAGTTGGGCCTGGCCTTGGGCATGCCGCTGCCCGGCGCTGGGGGCGCGTACGGATGACGGGGTGGCATGAGATCGCCATGTTGCCCAATTTGGCTGTAGTTGGCCTCGCCATAGTTCCCACGATCCCCATAGCCCGAAACATCTTTGGGCGGTGGCGCGGGGGCAGATTCTCCGTCTCGCCCACTCGGACCGCTGAGCGACATGCGGTCCATGCGCAGCTGGATGTCGCGCAATTTCTCTTCGAAGAAACCGACATTGCGACGGCCGTCGCGGATCTGGCTGTCGAGACGGGAGCGGACGGCTTCGTTGTTGGTCTGGGCACGCATGGCATTGGCGGCGTTGATGAGGGCCTTTTCGCGCTCGATCTTCTTGTGAATGGTCTGAATTGCTTCTTCCTCATTCATGATCAGGGTGGTTGCGCGATGCGTTCGCGGCGGACGGGTTGGGGTGGGTGAGGTGGTTGAGGGTATTCGGGGCCTTTCTTTCTTTCTTGCTGGATGATGCCTGCAGGAGGGGGGCGGCAGTTGGTGGACGTGCAAGGAAATTGGACACTTGAAGATGACGAAATCGCCCGCAGACAGACTCCTGCTAAAAGGCGACAAGTGCGAGACCCTTGTTCAGCGGCGCGTGAGGGCTTTGAAGCCGTCCCTCAGCTGCCACGCGGTAGGGGGGGGGAGGACTGGCTGGAGTTGTGAGGATGTTGTGATGTGGTGGGGAAGGCGAAAAGAGGTCCGTCGCGGTTCAGATCAGATCAGGTCGGTCAGGCAGCCAGTTGGAACTTGGGGAGCAAATGGACATGGACATGGACCCGGAAGAATGTCGTCAGTGCCTGGTCAGGTAAGGTACTAAGGTACGTACTTGTTGACAGACGGACGTTTTTGGTGGTGCGGGCAGCGTTTTGCTTAGGGGCTGCAGCGGGTGATAGAGGGGTTGCGTCGAATTTCGCGGGGCTCGGTGGGAAGTGCAGGGTAGCCCAGATAGGGTAAAGTGCCTGCTGTGTGCCAAACAGTTAGTGAAAACGTCGCTCTGTAGTTGATGAAAAGCAAATAAAAAGAGAGAGACTACAAAGGCCTTGTTATGATGTAAGTTTCCAGCACCGCCAACCTCGTCAATCTGTGCCGTGGCGACCGGAAACTGTCGCGTCCTAGAGGGCGTAGGACTTGCATCCCAACCCAGCCATGGTGGGACGAAGTGTTGGCTCGGCCGATGAAAGATACGACTCTATGCGGCAGCTTTGGGCTGTTGCCGATAAGGCATCATTTATTACTGCAGCATCTATGACAAGGAACCGAGAAGAGAAGAGGAGGCATGCTGTCCTGCAGTGACAAACTCGAGTGGTCTTGCGATTTGTAAATCGACAGAACAATGCGATGCGCGCTATGATTGACCTTCCAGTCCTTGAAAACACCGCTCTACAGTACAAGTATCTGATACACATGGCCAATTTTGACAACAGTGATAAACAGCTTCATCTTCGTGCCATCATCCAAAAGACGGCTCCAGCAATGGCTGCTCCCGCCGCAGCACCCTCCAACGCCAACGCTGATGCATCTTTCATACGCAACTCTAGTCGTCTGTCGCTGTAAAGATCTTTCATGGCAATCTGCCATCTCTCTGTCTCAGAAAGAAACTGCTTCCATGTGATTGCAGGTTCTGGCGCGGATACGTGCTCTTCTAGCAACGCAGGAAGTGTGGTGGTTGGCTCGGCCGTCGTGACAGGTTCCCCCGAGACAGCCTCCATCATGCCAAGGACAGGCTCATCTAGCTCCTGAGATTTTGCTGCTGCCGCCTCCAGAGCAAGCTTCACGGCCGCCAGCTCACCCCGAACCTCCTCGAGGACCTGCTTCTCCTCGGCCACGACACCATTCACCAGGCGTCGCCTCTTCCACGGCTCGGCAACGAATTGAAGCACCACAAACAGCAAGAAGTTCATGCCCATGAGGCCCCAGGTGCCCCACGTACTTGCTCTGCGAATGCGATCACTCCATATCTGTTCTTCGTGATACCGCTTCAGTATGCCCGCGTTCAGCTTCTGGCTGAGCCTCTGCTCCTCCGCCTCCGCTTCTGTCAGGGCCTCTTGCGCAGCAGCCACCTCGCCCTCTAGGACATGGTCTGTGCGATACAACTCGGTGAAGCGTTCGAGGTCGGTGGGGCTCCAGGACTCCTTCCTCGCGAGCAGCGTGGTGACTTCTCGCTGCGTTGCGGCTCGTTTCGAGTTGGACGATTTGTACTGCGAGCGAGAGGCTGTGAGATGGGCGTGGGCTTTCGCGAGGGCATCTTCGAGGGCGGTGTTTTCGGCCTTGATGGACTCGATGGCAGAGTACCCGGTGAGGTCGTTCAGGGTTTGCGAGGCATTCAAGGCGCGAGCTTGCAGGTCGTCCATCACGACGGAAAACTTTTCTTTCAGGCTGTTCTGAAACACTTTCGAGGAGGGCAGTGTGCGGTCGTTGACAGTCGGCTCTTGTCCATGGATGCTGCTGTTCTCTGCTTGTTCGCGTGTGCCACCGTTGGCAAAGTCCGCTCCCGATTCGGAGGCTGATATTCTATTTGATGGTGTTTCATCTGTTATTGAGTCGGCCGGTTTCTCTGTCGTGGCATTCTTGTTTTCATCCTTGGGAAATGTCGCGTAGCATCGCAATGGCACTGTCAGCTGCCTCGACCGCCATCTCTCATGCGATTGCTCGGTCCATAGTCTCGCCCCGGGCCATAACGGCCTTCCATGGAGCTGACGTGCCGCCCCAAGGACAGTCCGAGCTACAGGCCGCCCGAGGGATTGCATCGTCGTTGTGGTCGTGACCAGGTGTGGTGCGAGGCTTCTTCCCACCCTCGCTCATCGTCGGCATTTCGAAATCAACCTGAAAGGTACGTACCTGGGGAGTTTCCAGAATACTGCCCCTTTTATCCATTGACCGCTTGCTGTTTCGGGAAAGGCCCGTGCTTTGCGGCGACACGCACGCCAAGACCTGCAATGTGCCTGGATGTGGGGGCACCCACGCGCCAATGACGGCAGCAACGCCAATGCTTTCGCAACGAGGACAGCCATGGACGTTGCTGGCTGGTGCAAGCAGTCAATGGGTGTATGGATGCGTCTTTTAGCCCTTGTGTGAGCGAGTAAGACCTTATCATTCCCAGTCTAGTATTCGTAAATTTTCTCGTACCTGTAGGCCAATATAAGGTAATTGATGCTCTGCCCCTCCAAATTGTGCCCCTCCATCATCACGACGGCCCCTCCAGAACCATCATCTTTTGCTATCATTTTTACAGCAGACGCAAAGATATCGCGAATCTCTCTCTTCAAAGCCAGTGCATATAAGAAATCAGACCAACATGGGTTCCATCTCCAGCGAAACACCTGCCCTGCGCAACAATCCTCCTGCCATCTTCTTCACCGACTTCGATGGCACCATCACCACTGCCGATTCGAACGACTTCATGACCGACAATCTCGGTTTTGGAAAGGAGAAGCGCGTGGGTCTGAACAAGGATGTTCTCTACGGCCGCATGGCGTTCCGCGACTCGTTCCAGGAAATGCTCGACTCCGTCGACACCCCGTTCAATGAGTGCAAGGAGATCCTGAAGAAGAACATCAAGCTCGACCCCGGGTTCAAGGACTTCTACGCCTGGAGTCGCGAGAACAACGTGCCCATTGTAATTCTGTCGGGTGGCATGACGCCCATTATCAGCATGTTGCTGGACAACCTGCTGGGCGAGGGCTGGGACATTCAGATTGTCAGCAACGACGTCCAGTCGCGGGACGGCAAGGACATCAACACAAAGGGCGGATGGTCCATCAAGTTCCACGACGAGACTGACTTCGGCCACGACAAGAGCCTGGAGATCAGGAAGTACTCTGGCCTCGAAGGGCGGCCGACGATGTTCTACGCTGGTGATGGTGTCTCGGATCTCTCTGCCGCCAAGGAGACAGATCTGCTCTTTGCCAAGGCTGACAAGGGTAAGTTTGCACATTTGTAATGGATGAAAGATTTGCTAACGCGTGTAGACCTGGTGACATGGTGCGAGAACGAAAAGGTCCCCTTTGTGACCTTCAGAGACTGGACCAGCATCACGCAAACGTGCAAGGAGATCCTGGATGGCTCATTGGCCCTCAAGGATGCCGCCAAAGGCCGCCTGGATTAAACACGTGAATGAGATGAACGACGAACGACTTTTCAGATACGAGGCAACCAATAGAAAAGGCTGATAGAAGCTTCTGCGCATTTGGATAGACTTGGAAGAGGGCGAATCACGATCTCATTACTTCTTTCATTCCCACACGGCCTCACTTTTAACTCATTCTTGCTTGTGCCAATTAATTTTTGAACAGTGTCCGCTTCCATAATGACCACCGTTCGGTATCTGTGGTGCTCCTTTGCACTCCTTTGCGCTCCTTTGCACTGGCGCCATGACGGCCTACTCATCCCTCTTCACCTCTGCTGGGATCGCCCACCAGCAGAGCAGCATGACCAGAAACAGGAAGATGACAATGGGATGCAGCACAAAGGTTCCGACAGCCTGCGCCAGCAATCCCGTCACAAAGGGGGCCATGGCACCCCCAAGGCTGCCAAAGGCACTGATAGTCGCCATGCCACTCAGACGCTCACTCCGAGCCAGTTTGCGCATAAAGACCGCCGCGCAGCACGGATAGATTGGGCCCAGCATGAGACCAACAATGGACACAGCCACGGCGTTGGTGACAACATTGGGCACCGCCCATACCAGGGCCTGGAAGAGGAGCGCCATGATGGTCGAGAAGTACACGAATCGTTTCTCGCCGATCCGCTTGGCGGGCCCCGAGAGGAGGAAACGACCGAGGGTGATACCCGCCCAGAAGCCAGAGGACACGTATCCAACGGTGGACGGATCACCTCCACGGGCATTGATCAAAAAGGAGATGACCCAGCCAGAGATACTGACCTCAGCACCTTGGTAGGCAAAGATGAAGAGCGCGCCCAGCAGTACGATTCTGGTCTTGAGGGCGCGCGCCATGCCCAGAATCACGGACTCGGTCACCGCCGGGGACTCGGCAGCGCGCGCAGCAGGCGACTGCTCCTTCTCAAAGTTCCAGAACGACCAGAGCGACCCGCCGAGCGTGAAGACGGCGAAGCCCAATGGGATGAGGTAGAACCGACTCCAGATGGTCTGCGCAATGGTCATCATGGCCGTGGCGATCAGGGGACCCGTCGTGCCACCGATACCGTAGCTGCCGTGGAGCAAGCCGAGATGAAACGTCGAGTTCTGCAACCCGCCACAGAATATGTTACCCATGGCGACGTTGACGGCCAGACCGTAGCCGATGAGGATGAATGACAGAACGTTGACGACCCAGGGTGCGTTGCAGATCAAAGGGATGTAGCCCAGTATCATGAGGGCTTGGCCGAGCGCAATGGTCTTTGCGCGTCCCAGCTTGGCACGAGAAGTTTCGAGCAAGACGGCGCTGAGTATGAAGCCGAGGCTCTGGCCGACAAAGATGAGCGAGACGACGCCATACTCAATGTCGTAGTACTTCTCCATGTACGGGATGAGGGCACCGGCCGCGCTGTCTACCATGCCGTTGCCCAGGCTGAAGGCGCATACGACAAGCAGTCGAAAGCGATTCATGTATGGGTCCCAGACAGATGGGACAGTTTCAGCGGTGATATCGACGGGCGTGGATGGACGAGACATCTCTAGGTCGGTCTCGCGACGAGGGTTCGCTGGGCCTGGCGGTTCAACATGGTGAGAGGGTATCCTGGGCAGCTCGATGGATTCTGGTGCCCCTGGATACGTTCTCGATAAAACTTTGGCAGGTTCCGTTAGTGCTCTGGTGCCTTCATCATGATGATCGGCGGCTTTGGACTGGTCGACGTCGACGAAATTGTGTAGCATGGAAGCCATGGCGACAGACTCGCAATCCGACTCTGTGCCAGGTTACAGATAAAGTTCGTCTATAACTGGTGAATGAGACCAGCAGCGATGCTCAGCCTGGACTTTTGACTTATATTACCTGTATGGCCGTGGACCCCGCAGGGACTTTTCTGCCCGTCATATTTTGGGCCATCATCGTGACCCAGGAGAAACTCCATTGGGAAATACTCCCCACCGACGATCGACGACGGTGGCCCATGTCACCGATGTAGGCAGTCGGGACACATCCCGGGCACACGCTTGGTACGTATTAATAATGACTTGGCACACTCGGTGAGTGACTCTTGGGCTAGTGCAGCAGGCTTGGAGGCTGGGGGAGTTGAAAGGGAGGGTATCGTGATCTAGGGACGATATCGGACGCGGTAGGGGTCGCCTGGAGCTTGATTGTAGTATTCTCCGGGCGGGCCGGCAAAGGCGCACCCGCGAGGCAGCATGACAAACGGATTGAACAGGAGTGTCCGCCGTTATCTTGTACAAGGGTTGCATACGCAGACCGCTGTTGGGCAGAGGGAGGATGGTTGATGGTAGCCTAAGTTAGAATGTGGCTATCCGCAAGAAGCAGTTCCGTTGAGGTTGAGATTTATGCGTCTATCGAACCGTATCGAATTAAGGAGGGCTACCCCTCAAGGTGCGGACTACAGGTGCGGTAAACTCACTCCAACCCCACGTCCAGGTCAGGTCAGGGTCCAGAAAAATATTCCCGACTCTTTGAGTTCACAACCACCTGCTTCACGCACAGCCAGACCTCGACCATGGGCCGTCCCAAGCGCAATGTCCTCGCCGCGGCCGAGGATACCCTCCTGCCACCCACAGCGCTGTCTCCAAACCAGTCCGTCGTCCGTGTGATCAAGCCGGAGGGCAACAACCTCTACACATGCGAGTTCCCCGACACAAAGACCCGTCTCCTCGAGCTTGCGCAGCGCTTCCGCAACACCATCTGGATTCGTAGAGGCGGCTTTGTGCTGGCAGAGCTGTATGACGGACAGAGCGAGGAGGTCAGGGCTGAGGGGGAGATTGTCAACGTGGTTCGCAACGAGAAGCAATGGCGCAAGCAGCCGTACTGGTACGTGGACCTCTTTCTCCTGTCATCTGCGCAAGCAACCGGGAATACCATTCTTACATATGCGTCTAGGCCTAAAGAATTCCCTGAAGCAAGCGATAGCGACTCAGAAGAAGAGTCGACCGTCGGAAAGATGCCCCCCTCCGACTCCGAATCGGACTGAATCATCTCTTCTTCCTCGATTCGGTAGGTATCTTGACAGCAGACGCGCCACCCTCCAGCCGGCCGCCTTCGTTGCCCGCGGCCATGCTTATGCTGCGATCCTCGCGCAGGGCGACTGCGCTCATCCCCGCCACAGCGACCGCCAACGTGCCGACGACCTTGAGTGAACTCAGCGTGGTGCTGGGGAAGGTGTTCCACCCGTCTTCTTGCAGGTAAAAGAACGCCAGCGCGATGCTTATGTTGTTGGGAAAGGCGCGGGCGATGAGGTATGGCGTCGACCATGCGACATAGGCGTAGAATTGGTAGTGCAGACTGCGGGCGAAGAGCATGCCAATCGTCATGCAAGTGAGAATGGAGGACATGACAAAGTCTGGAGAGAGCCGACTGGAGATGACAATCTCCTCCTGGGCCGTGAAGGGCGACTGGAGCTTGAGGAATGAAGGGAGCATGGAGAGGAGAGAGCGGTCGACTGGCTTGATCCATCGGTGGATGATAAACGCCGATAGGACGGCGACATGTCCGGCGAGTAGCGTCAGTGCGAACCCACGAGATAAAAAGATATCCTCGGGAACGAAGCGCCAGTTGACTGTCCACTCGTACTTGAATTGCCGAGACAACTCGAATGCCTTTCCAAAGTATCCCTTTGCATTCTTCGCTAGGAATGGCACGGCCAGAGCGAATTGAATCTGCACCATGAGCCAGATGAGTCGGAGATTCGGCCAGAAGCCGCGTCCCATGAACAGCAGGATGACCACGGCAGGCAAAGCCACTAGCAGTGACATCTTGATCCCCAGGCCCAAGGAGAAAGCGACGGCGCCAAAAGTCCAGAATCGCCGCTGGAACAAGTAGATGGTTAGCCAGAGAAAGAAAGCCGCAAAGCAGTCGTTGAAGCAGCGCAGGACAAAGACGCTATGCAGCCGCTTTGAGACGATCAGCAGCGCGAAGACGTAGGGGGGCATCTTGGCCTTCCAATAGCACAGCATGACCAGCGCCAAAGTCGCCATGTACAAGACTCCAAAGACTTGCTGCGCGAGGAGAATGTTCTCGCCATGGTCGGTCAGATAGTAGAGCCCCGTGAAGGTGTAGACGTGCGCGGCGGGATAGACAAGGGGCCCCGTCTGCCCTGTGATGAGGGTGTAGTCGCGTTCACCGGCGAGGAATGTCTTGATCTGCTGCATGTAGGCGACCCAGTCGATCTCTGTATCTTTTCCATGTTAGCCACATGCGCTCGAAGCCGCCCAGTGAAACATACAGGGTATCTTCCAGATGATGAGTGAGGTGAGTGCTGCGTCAGCCAGCCAAAGCAGCGGGGGCATGTATCTGCCGACGGGATCTTTTCCGTGGAGAATATCGAGTGGGATTTGGATCGGCCACGGCCATTTGCCAGGCGCGGTGGCCTCGACTTCTGTCGCATCTGCCATGGTGGAAAATGAAGCTTCTGGCGCGTTGAGTTCAAGATCGCGGCTTGGAGAAGTTGGGGTCTAGTGATTCTAGTCTGGGGTGCAGCGCGAGATTGGATACATGCATCGCCCCGATATAGCTATCTGAGCGTCCAGTCTCACCAACTCATGACCGACACAAACACCAAGTAATTGAAGGATCAATCACTGATTTGCTCAAAGCTTGGCTTTCTGTTGTCTCTGAATCTTCTCCACCAGCACAACGACCGCTTCAGCACAGCCGAAGCTGCCTTGATACCCCCATCCCGAATGCCCATAATTGTGCACCACGCAAGTCCCGTCTGCCAGCTTCTCCTCCTCAATTCTCACGCCTCCCTCACGGAATGGCCTCAGTCCCACACCATGGCGCACAATACTGAGTCCCTCCACGCCCTTGCCATTGGTAAGCCCGGGTCTGGCAGCAACGGCCCTTGTCATGATTCGCTGCGCAATGTTCGGGTCGGGTTGCGACTCCCAGTTGCCCTTGTCGTAGGTGCCACCGAGGATCGTACCACCTCCGCCGGCGCGCTGCATGATATACAGCAGCTCAGTCGGTCCGTCGTCGGTGCCTGAGGTAGAGACCATCGGGGTGCATTCATTCCTCACGACGACAATTTGGCCTCTGATCGGCGCCATTTTCTTGTCTTCGACGCCTCCGAGCTTCAGTGACCCGAGACCAGTTGCGTTGACGATGATGTCTGCTGCCTTGCCTGTGTGGTTCAGCGCCTTGGCTTCGCTAATGTGCGTGAGAATGTGACGCTTGACCACTACGCCTGCTTTCAAACATTGCCCCAGCAGCCAGGGGAGATAGACGGCTGTGTTGATACAGATGCTGTCCACCTCTGCGCCCGAGTCGTGTCCCGGCAGCACCTCTGAGGAGTCCAGCTCGCGAAAGTTGGGGAGCACTTCTTTGAACCAGGGGTCCTTCTCGAAGAGTCCGTCCGGGAAGTATCCACCAACTAGATCCCCATCTCGACGGTAGATTAAACTCTCTGGACAATGTCAGTTTGGTGCTTTGTAGGCAGAGACAAGAAAAGGCACATTACTTTGAAAGTGGATGCCCGCTTCGGGGACTTGCTCCGTGATGCGTCTGAGCTCAGGCCAAGTTCGACGCTCCCACCTGCTGTTGTCTCTCAGGGACATGCTACGTTTATCAGTACGCTGACCAGCGATGTAGGCAGCAATAGGGAGTCTTACGGCTGAACGTTGGCACCGGCCCACGGGGAGGCATATTCAATATCGTAGTCACCGGGCATGTGCTTCGCTACGACTGTGATCCTGTTGTTCTTGTTCTTGGCGAGCAGCAGAGCCGATGTGAGGCCTGATACGCCTGCTCTGCAACCATTATCAGTTTGTGTTCTGTTCCTGGTCAAGTGATATGTTACCCCAAGACGACGATAGTTGTCTGCATTGTGGCCAATTGAGCAGGCTGTGGTATCGTGTGTATACCTGAGTCAATCGCGGTATTGTATGAACATGCACAGTGGTGGGATATGGGTAAGACAAGCAATGGCCAGCTGAAGACTTCTCAAGGGTTCCTGGTCCCTGTTAGCTGGCGGGATGTTGCGAGCGGAAAGGGAACCAGCGCGAGCGGGATGCGCATTGCGTCGGCGCAGCGCCGCAGCCCCGCTCCGGCTGGTCAACCGTTGGAGACTTTTGTGTCTTCCCGCCATCAGTTCGCATTTGGCATGGACCGTGCAAGCTCGCATCGTATCCAAGCTTCTTCATTCGCTGCAGGTGGCGATCGGGGTGCTAATTAGTGTAAAAGTCTCTGTTCGAACCGAGCATAGGATGAACGGCTCTGTCAACAGCCGCAACACATGGTCTGGGAACATCGCATTCAACGCAGCTGCATCGCATTGTATATTCCACTTGGCCAAGCCAAGACAAGAAGCCCTTGTATTCGAATCACGTTGTTCTTTGCGACTGCGTCTGGCGCATAGTCTTCCATCCATTCTACCTGCCAAGTCAGATCCACGTTTACGCCAACAGAGCCTCGGCCTTGCTCTTGAGACCAGCGGGGTTCGCGCCCATCATGTCGTCCACCTTTTCGCCGTTCTTGAAGAAGTAAAAGGTCGGCATGGCCTTGACGCCAAGCTCCTGCGCCGCGTCGGGGACCTCGTCGACATCGAGCTTGATGAAGTAGACGTCCTTGTAAGCTTCCTGGTTGGACATACTGGGAAGAGTAGTCAGCATCATACGGTGTGTGTGTGGTATGCGCGCGGGAACGTACTCGGCCAGGATAGGCGCGATGGCCTTGCAGGGACCGCACCAGGTAGCGAAGCAGTCGACGAGAACCTTCTCGTGGTCGGCAATGGCGGCCTTGAACTCGCCGAGGCTGCGACTCGTTAGCTACAGCTGTCCTCCTCGACCTAGAGCTACCGGCAGGCTCTTCTTGGAACGTACGTGTTGACGTTGTGGACAACCATGTTGGGCAATGTGGTGGTGAATGTTCTGGTGGTGCGGAAAGCGGTGTTGTTGTATCGAGGTACAGTACGGGCACGAAGAGCAGATCGGAGGAACGAAGACATAATGTACAAGAGACTGGCGCTCCACGAGGAGGGGCTGAAAAGGCAGCGAAAGGTGGTGGGACAGTACTACTAGGTGGTGGTGGTACAATGACGGACTTGCGGAACCGCTGTGAACTGTGTCGCAATCGTAATGTCAGGGCATGAAAAGCGCGAACCAAAAGCAACCCGAATGCAGTCCATCGAAGCTCTGATTAAATCTCAACTGCCTCGAGTGTGGAGTATTCTCGGAGCCGCTGCCGCGCTGATTTGTCAATGGTGCCATGACGAGTGGTGCCATGACGAGGGTGGTGCCGTCATCCTCATAGGACCCCTGTCGAGAGTCTCAGACTCTCAGTGGGATGGATTGGTCTTAATGTCATCTTCATTAACATGTCAGAAGTCTCAGATATCCTCGCGCTGCCGGCCAAGATTGTGTGCAGCTCGCTAAATTGGTTACCAGGTAACACTTACACTGGTACATGTGCGCCTCAGCAAACGTCTACCTGGGGATCATCTCCGTCGACATGACGTACCTCGACGTGACCCGACCGATCCATGCATTGTGCACTTGACTACCCTGTATCACACTCGACAACCCAAACATCTTCCATCACAGACCGAATCCCATCCTCGCAACCTTGAGACATCTCTCTGCGAATTTCACCACATCCTTCTCCTCATGCCACGCATCGTTGTACGCTGCACTCAGACTCAACTCGCCCCTAAAAGTACCCAAGAATAAGCCCAGTGAGCTCCTGAGCTCCTCGCCTGTCACCCACGGGTGGAAAACATCGATCACTCCTTGCTTCGCTGTGATCAAGTGATCAATCTTGCCCATGGATGAAATCGTCGCCGAGGCTTGCTCTGTAGGTGGCGGGATGGGTGGGACAACCTCAGCCTCCTCAGAGTCGGTAGGCAAGGGCTTCGTCGCTGCCCCAGCAAGGAGTGGCGCGAGCTGATAGTGAAGAGGATCATCACGGACCTTGTGATAGTAGTCCCTCATCAGACGCACGACCCGCAAGAAGTCCTCCCTCTCGTCCTCCACGGTCACGGCCGTGCCTTTGCCAGGAACTACCAGGTCGACCTCGAGTGGCTCGCCCTAGATAGAGTGATACACCGACGCAGCATGCTCATAGCCGTTGTAGGGCGCCGCGCAGTTGGGCCGCTCGTTGCGTAGGAGATAGCCCCTGTACACGACCTGCCTATCCAGCTCTGCTTTCGGCATCATGTCGCGCAGGACCAGTGCAATCGCGGCATGAAAGACATGCGTCACCGTAACGCCGAACTCTTTGCACTTTGTTGCGAGGGCACTGGTCTCTTCGGCTGACAAGGTGATCTCGATGCGTTTGTGAACGCCAGGTTTGGTGGCACCTGCTCGGAATGGCGATGGCACGACTTCGACGTCCTTGGCGTCGATACTACGCCTGACTGTCATGACTTTCTCCATGCGGTCTTTCACCTGCGGGCTAGGCTGGGGTGGGATATTGGCAGCAACACGGAAAGGAGGACTGAGGTTCTCGATGACCCGAGGTTCGCGCAGATCAGGGACAGCATAGGCGTCCCCTTGCTCAAACGCTGTCGCCGCGTGGCCAACAAGGTTGTTGAAGAGCATGAGTGTGCCGACGCCGTCCATGATGTCGTGCGGCGCACGGATGACAAGATCCCTCTTCACCAGGCCCTGGTCGTCTTGCGGAGGAACCACGACATTGAGGGTTGGAAGCTCTGGCGCGGGCGGGTCCGCATTGGCCCATTCAGTCCCCGTCTGTCCAGTCGAGATGATCTTGAATGTCTCATCGAGCCAGCCGTTGGGGCGCACATGATACGTCTTGAGATACGTCCCCTTGTCCGGATGCAATTTCACCTGCGAGGCAACAGTGGGGTGATGGAAGCGCAGCGATATCCACGCCTTGCGCAAGGCATCCTCGAGCCGCTTGCCCTCTTCGCTCTGCGTCCGTCCTGGTGGAACAGGCACTTGCACGGACAGATGGCCGGTCATGTGGAAGAACATGCGGCCACAGCCTCGCCACGTGCGGGCGAGCGAAGTATAGAAGAACTCCACTTCATCGACCTCGCGTGTCCATACGTCAGGACTCGATTCTTGCCATTCATATCGTGAGTAGTCCATGGTCATGATGGGCTGCGTGAGTCTAGAAGAGTAAGATGTTGCAATAAGAAGGCACACCGCCGAGTCTGATGCCAGCTGCGTTCGTGGTATACTAGTAAGGTAAGCTGATTCCAGGGTCCTGCCACGTACCTAGGTATAGACGCATGTGCCGCGCTTTTACCCGGTGCTGGGAGTACTTCCCCTTTCAGTAAGGGAACGGTGCTGCCAACGCAGGGCCCAGAAAAATGGGCGACCCGATGAAGCGCACCTTGGGACGGATGAGGACATCTTTGAGCATTTCAAACTTTGTTTGCTAAATAGTCTATCCTATTGTAACTATGGTACAGGCTGGGGACATGATGTACACCATGCCCTTCCAGACTATAACTTATCCTGTCGTGTCAAACGTCAGGACGATCCAAGCCTTCATAAAATGCGCCAGACCGGGTATAAATGGTTCTGAAAAGGGCAAAACATAACGCCTTGCTGGATGAAAAAGAAGTAGGTATCCCACAAGCGTGCACTTGGCATGATAGAGGCATCCAACGAGTGCCTGGCTTTTTGCTCGCTTGAGGGGGGGTATCAGTCGTCGGTATATGCAGTAGAAACCAGAAAATCACCGTGTACGCCATGTCCATTGTCGCTCGAGGCAGGGATTGAGCTTGCTTCAGAAAGCAGCCATGAGCATCGAACTTTGGTGACTCGACCACCACACTGAGGAGAACTGCGGCTTTTTTTTTCTATTTTGCTTTCAACTTTTTTTTGGTGTTGTTTGGTTGAAAATAGGGTCGTTTTGTGACTTGACTTGTTTTTTGCCGGTTTTTATGTTTTTTGTCGTGACAAGGAAACTTCGTAGAGAGTGAATGGACCGAGTGTCCGAGATACAAGGAAAATTTGCCAAAGGGGTGTGGCCGTAATCGCGGCATCGATTCGAAAGCAGTTCGTTCCTCAGTGTGGGTGTCAGCTGTCACCTAAAGATCAAAAACTCATCAGCTGCCCACTTGACCTTCGACGCTCGTTACTCTTTGCTTTGCTGTCAACAGACGTGCGAGGAGTGAGTTCAAGCAACTTGGCACTGCCGGCACTGAAGTTGCGGGCGTGCCCACCCTTTCCCAGGTTCACGCTCTGAGCGCGACGTAGGTCAGCCTGCTCGTGAGCAGATGGCGTCACAGGGGACTCGCTTTCCGCCTCGTCCCCTGATTCAATGTTGAGTAGCCCTTCGTGGCTCTGCATTGTCATCCGATCATGTCTGTGCACGTGTATCACCTGGGGGCGGGCTCCAATGGCGCCCCAGCGGGCACCGGATTCGCGAGTGCCAAAGTCTTCTTCGTCGCTGCTAGGGCGCCCATCCTCCGAACGTCGTGGCGCGTGCATGTGGCCCGAATGGCGATGGGGCGCGAGGCGAGCTAGGTAATCGTCGTCGGCAATGGCCAGGTCCTCTTGCGTGCTGTTGGACGGGGAGGCACTTACTTGCTCGCGACGGTTGGCCCGAGCAATGCTGCCGCGGATGGCAGAGCGTTTGGAATTGACGCGACCCGAGAGCCACGACCCTTCAGAGTCGATAGATGCCAGCGACATCGATGTGATGGGCTCGGCCGAAGTCGAGGAAAGATGGGCTGCGGCCTTACTTGAGCCGGGGATAGCCACTGGCTCAGTGGGCGACTGCGCAATCGTGGCTAGGGCTGGCTCTACCTCCGGGGACTGAAGTCGCGAATCCGGGGGAGACATGGGGTACTCTGGCAAGTCCTCGCGGAATCGCGACCTCATACGCAAGGCCGCTCCCGCGCTCGTCTTGCGCGCCATGTAGATGCCTGTTGTCGACGTCTCGCCACCGGAGAAGGCGTCGTCTCCCTGCAACTTTGCGAGGGCTTCATGGTGAGCCTGCGCAGGATTTTGCGCGGCGGCCGCGGCCTGCATCTCCTCACGTGAAGTATTCGAAAAAGAAGACGGTGGGCCTCCGGAATGTCGCTTGCTCTTGCCACCCCATCGAATGAAAGATGTGAGGGAGAAACGTCCTCGCTTGGATTCGGTGGACCAAGACCCTTGGCGGGCGTTACCTTCCTCGTCAATGATTTCAGGTGGAGGCGACATTATACGGTCTCGTTCCGACGCCAAGGTTGATCTGGATTTGGACTTCTTCGACCGCAGTATCCCGGCAAAGCGAGAGCTCTGGCCCAAAGACGTTGCAGAATCTTGGGGTTCAACTGTTTCATTGGGGTGTTGCGATCCTGCGGTAATGGTGGGCTGTGCGCTGTCCAGCTTCTCGAGTTGATTTTCTTCTTCAATTACAGCCTGCTCGGGAGCATCAGGCATTGGCTCCGACACTGTCGAATGTCGTAGTGCCGGCTCGGGCTTAGACTCGGGCTCAGGCTCAGACGTGGTGACTACAGCTGATGCTGGGTCAATGCCCAGGCCAACAGCACGCCCTGCAGTGCCTCGTTCGAGATTTTCTGGTGGTGTGCCTGCTGCCCGGCTGGCCGCTTCTTCGCGCTTCTGTCGTTCCGCCTGCCGGTTAAGCCGCCGTTGTGCTCTTTCTTGTTCTTGTTGTCGCTTCTTCTCCTGTCTGCGATCTTCGCGCTCCATCAGCTCGCGCAGATCTCTTGCATCCAGTTCGTCGGCCAAGTCGTCCACACGACGATGACCTCTGAATGGCTCCTCTGCAATGGGTTCTTTCTCAAGGTCCTTTCGCGGGTATGTGGCGTGAGGCTGGCCTGCATGTCTGGAACCAGTCCAACGTGTGCCCTGTGAGTAGCGCAATGTCGGCCGAGGCGCCAGCGCATCCAGCGCAGATACCTTGAAAGCTCCAAATTCAGAGTCCGACGAAAGGCTCGAGTGGACAGACCCAGGGATAGGTAGTGAAATGTCCGAAGCCGGATGTCGTCCCAGGCCAGATGTGGCCTTGACACGCCTACTGTCCTTCTTCATGGGTCGTCCAGCATTCCATGATTCGGTCGTCGGCCGCACAGGTTGAAACTCGCTGAGGGCCTTGATTTCCGCGGCCCTGTCTTTTTCCTCTTGTTTTCTTTTGGTACTTTTCCTTCTGGATGTATCACTTCGGCTTGTCTTGTGGTGCAACGTCGGTGTGCGTGTCCAAGGATATGGTTGTGATGCGTCCGCGTCGTCGCGCCTGCGAGTGCTCGGTCCGGCTCGATCTGGCGACGCCTGCCGCCGCTGTGCTGGTCCCAAATCATCCTTCTTCCCTGGTGAGAAGCTGTATGTGCGTTGTCCACGCTCAGCCTTATTCGTGCCAATGCGCTGCTTCTTCTTGGAATCCGCTCTGGTGACGGCCCCTTCAGTTTGACTCCTGACCGGCGGCCCCTCCACATCAGAAAAGGCGGCACCGCTGCGAGGGCGTTTGCGCCCGCTCTTACGACGGAATGGCCACAGCGGCATGGTCGGATGAGGCGTGAATCGCCTGGCGATCCTCACTGATATGTGTCTCCCGTTGTCACTTGTCTGTCGCTCAATTTGAAGTCACTTGGGAAAACGCGCTGTTGCATGGTGTTGGCTGAAGTCTATCGGTCGTCGGGATTCGTAAAGTGTCGTCGCAACTGCTTCTGCTGTGTTGCCGTAGTTCAATCTTCCATGAAAGAAATCTCACGCATTCGAAAAGCATAGGCTATCGAAAATGACAATGATGCGCGCTGACAATCCAGGGGTGCCGAGAGAATCGCAATCTTGCTAGCTTTCGACTGGAATGTACGCGAGGAGGCGAAGAAGACGGACTTCGAGCTGTGGTCCTTCAATTGGTGTGGTGTAATGTGGCGTATTGAGCTCGCTCGAAATAAAAATCGCCAAAATCAACAAATCGATGGATCAGGGTTCTCGAAGGAATGTGAAAGGAGAAATGACCAGACGTGACGACTTTGTCTCTATGGCCGTTGCGTTGTAGATTGGTTGGATGAAGATCAAGCAAGGAAGACGAGACCTGACTTTTGGGGGGGGGGGGGGATGTGTGGGAAGGCGAAAGTGGAAGGCACTGTCTGGGGGCGTGACCGGTCCAGGATTCTTGGGGGGGGGTTTGGGCTCCAGTCCTCTTCCTCTGGGCGACTCAAGCGCCCTGGTTGGCCTAATTCGTCAAGCTCTACCTCAGCCACACCACAGCTAAAGCCTACTGGGCACTAGCCACTGGGCAAAGTCACAGTGAACCATGGACTGTACTGGTCCCATCCGTAGGTACTGCTACTCTGCTAGACCGGACTCCGGGGACTCGAGTCTCGACACGCGACAATGATATGACAGCCCGTATCTGTTCTGCTTTCTCTATTGCCATTGATTTACATGGCTTGGCTACTGGGGGTAAAGTTCGTATCAACGTAAGTAAAGGAACCCGGGGGTTTGTACAAGTAGACCCTGAATTCCTGGAATCGCAAAAGCAATGACGTCTTCAGCTCCAGTCATGATCTCCAGTCCCCAGCCCTGGTCCTCAGAGGCTAAGACCTACCCTGCCTGCCAGGCCCGGTACTCAGCACCACGCAATTTAACTCAGGTAGCATTCGTCACCGAATGACACGAATTATTAGCAGTCGACTGGATCGAGCCATGGCGGTGCCCGTGGCCGTCGTATCGTCATTGCTGTCTGCCGAAGAGACTGGGCCAAGCCACAGTGTCTACTTAGCAAATAGCGGCAAGCCTCCCATAGTGCCCAAGTTTTACTGCAATGCAGCGCTGTACTACCTCAAGTTCCAAACTGTGCTGCGGCTTGGCGTACGCCCCAGCCCACCAACGGGGAAGAGAGCTCGTAAAAGCCGACGAAGCAAAAACGACATGGAATGCGCAAGCTGGGTTTCGACTACGCTGTCCAGTGCGCTCAAAAAGCATTCTACATGCCGAAAATGCAGCTGCTGTATGCGTCCGAGTGAAGGGCGTGCGATGTATGTACCTTGCCCGAGGGCGCGTTGAGTCTTCGAGGGGTGTTCAGGTACCACCCGAGTGCCGTGATATTGCCTCATGCGGGTAGCCTCCTTGCCCAGGAACAAAGCCACGGGGACGGAAACCCTCATCGATGTAAGCATTGTCGATGCCCACAGGTAGCAGCACTAGAGTATGCATTGGGTGCTGGCCAGTGGACATGCGCTGCTTCGTGTTGCCTTGAATCCAAGACTTTGCGGACCCGCTGCGCATGATTTCTCCTCGTATCCAGGGCTTTTCCCAGTCGCGACATTTCACGTATCGGCAGCCACGCAGGGTGTGGAGGGTCCCTCGCCGGAAGGGTCTATCCTAATTAATATGTCGAGCAAATGTGACCTTAGAAAGCTTCTGGTCGTATCCAATTCTCCGCAACACAATCTACAGGCTGCCCTCCTGGGCAAAGAAGGTCGCAGAAAGTACCAAGTAAGAGTGGCATCCTGCCGTCTGCGCGCCCCTCGGCACTAGTGTCAGACCGTGCACTGTCCTCGTTTTGTTGAGGGCGAAGTTGTACGATCCTGGCCCTGACACAGAATGTCGCAACGGATGTGACAGCCGTAGATTCTCGACTATCCCGTACGTCGAGGTTTATTATTATCCTTGAATCAGGGGAGTCGAGCACAGCTTAATTAACTTTTAGTGTCAACGCTAGTCGTGGAGAGATAGAGTTGCGACTCATGTTAAACTTTCATCGCTGAAACACTACGTCGAGCAACGAGATCAGGACTTTCTGGAATGGCGGCTTCTCTCGCGACGTCTCCATGTCGCTCGTTGATTGGACAGTCAGCTGGTACCACGACTCGTCGACTCCCTACAGTGATCCGTGATTTTGGGCTACACAGCCAATGGGCATGCAAGAATGCATTGGCCTTTCTTGCCTGCCGGACTATGTCTTGAGCGGCCCTTGAGCTAGGAGCTACCGTCGCCAATGGCTTGCTAGTGGCGATGAAATCTGCGGTTGACGCTACGGGGAGCATCCCAGTCCCCGGGGGCAGAACAAGGCGGCATCGCCGCATCGCGCTGATCATCCTGATCTTCACAACCGAGCAAGGTCCCTCGGTCTGTACCGAAGGAAATCAGATGAGTCAGCAATCGGCCAGGCCAGTCCACGTGGGATGCTGGGCCCATCCGTTTGAATCGGCAGAAGATGCTAGGTGTGATATAAGTGCAACAATTTTCTGCGTATCCCCGAGATTGGTACGACTGTAATGCTCTGTGCAAGGGCAAAACGTGCAGTACGGAGTACTGAATGCTGTGCCGGCGTCTGTTCCTGTGGGTCGGTGACTAGGACGAGCAAGTGCCTTCCCGCGATGAGCACAATGTGCCACGAAACACCACAAGGAGCACGTACGTCTCAACAACCCTTTGACCTTCTGTTACGTTTACCGGTGATCATTGGCTTTCCGAAAGTGAAGACGGGGTTCGCTGCTTCGGTACCTGAAGAGGCTGAGGTGCCGTGCGTGGGTAAGGTAGAGAGGCTGTTCATGGAATTATCACGTGACCCTTCTGGCACCCCGCGCCGTAGCAACGCGCCCGAGCGCGTTGCTTTATTGACATTCGCATTGATGACGGACACAACGTACGTAATTGACCATCGCAACACTCACACAGCACGACAAGATGGCGTATAATCCGCGCCATAGTATTATACCGGGTTCCCAGCAAGGCGGCCAGAATCGCCGGAAGAAGGAGGAAGAGGCAGATGCATTCATGAAGCTGCCAGACAGCGAGATAGTTGGCTGCATCTCTGACATTGGCATCCCCTTCACCGTCGCCGACCTCAAGAAACCGAACCCATCGCAAATCCAGCTGATCTTCGAATGGTTCGCCGAACTTCTCCTCAATGCGACCCGCGAGACAATCGAGCCGCCCATGCGGGCCGCAGCAGAGGATGTTTGCGGCGAGTTCTCCGACGTCATTCCACCCGACACGCGCAATCTGATGGGCTTCTATGTGTCGCTCCGCAAATTACTGTACGAGTGCGGGATTCTCGACTTCACATTTAACGATCTCTACAAGCCGACCTACGAGCGTCTCGTCCGGATCTTCAGTTACATGATCAACTTTGTGCGCTTCCGCGAGTCGCAGACAAACGTGATTGACGAACACTACAACAAGGCCGAAGGGACGAAATCGAGAATCGAGTTGCTGTACCATGAGAACCAGGAGAAGGAAGGGCAACTGGACGACATGAGGCGTCAGAAGAAGGCGATGGAAGCGCAGGTCCGCGAGAAGACCCAGCGGAATGAGCAATTAAAGGCCCAATTGCTGGAGCTGCGGCGCAACCAGGAAAAGGTGGCCGCGCGTCTCGACGAAGCCAAGGAGCGCAAGGGCGATTTGACGTCTACCTTGGAGCAGAAGACGCAGGACAAGATCACGCTGAAGCAGGAGAGTAGCAAACTCAGGCCGTATATGCTGCAGAGTCCGTCCGCACTACAAGAGAACTTGGCGGAGCTTCGGGAGATTCTGAACAACGACAAGGCGCACATCGAGGCGCTCGATCGCAGAGCACGCGCGCTGCAGACTTCCACGGATTCGTTCACAGTGGTTTCGGCAGATGTTGCATCGTGCATCAAGATCCTTGACGAGGTCGCTACGGAGCTGCACAAGGAGGAGGAGGAAATGGGACGCAACGCCAAGCAGCGAGATGCTCTGTCAGAACGCGGTAACAACGCGCGGGAGGTCGAGCGGACGGAAGGGCTGCTGAAGCGCCAGCTTGCAAAGTGGACTGAGCGCACGGAGAAGCTGCGCGAGCAGAGCACCCAGAAGGCCGAGGAGGCCAAGGTGAAGATGCACGAGCTGAGAGCTCTGCACAAGAAGTTGAATGAAGAGCGCACAGAAAAGGCAAAGGAAATGGAAGTGAGAAGGGTACGGATCGAGCAGACGGAGAAAAAGGTACGAATCATGATCTGCCTCCTGTAATATTGCTGACCACTCTAGATGCTGGACCTCAAGGAGAATATTGAAAATGAAGTGCACAGCGCTTATGAGGAGTATCAGAAGATGGAGGCGCACATCAAGCTGTATATCACAGAAATGGAACAGAACATCCAGTGAGGGCTGGCTGACAGCCACATTGGGCTTGCTTCATGGCGTTTACGGTGTATGACAAGGGCATGATGGGATGAGATACCACTGGTTCGGCGTTGGAGGCAGCTTCTGTACATTTGGCATTTCGACAGGCATGCAACGATGGACGCGTTACGTGATGACTTCTTCATCTGGAAGCCTCTCAATTTCAAACCATCGTCCTAGAATGCGCCCAACCTCAATCATGCGTCCAGCCCAAGCGCCCGACTCTCTCATGACTGTGCCGTTCAGCACGGGTGCTTTCTCCTCTGCGAACGAGCTCCACGATTCAAAGCCATCGCCTCCGCCTCTTGGCTCCACGATGGCTGCTCTGAACCCATTCCTCATAGCTGCCTCGACGAGGCTCCCGGCAGAAGTACCCAGACCCTGCGCTGACCACTCGGTCGTCATGCGATGAACCTCGAGAAAGCCGTACGCAATCAGCAATGGCTGCTGTGAATTCCTCTTCTGCTGCTGCTGAGACTGGTGTGGTGGCGGGCTCACGCGCGAGTCTGACTGCGTGAAGACCGACAAGAAACCTCGTAGGTGGGTGACTGTAGGCGCAAAAGCAACGCGGATATGTCGCGAGACAGAGGTTTGCAACAGCGTTTTCCGGCGTATCTGGGGTAGCGTCTCTTCAGGGAGGGCATTGACTTCGTAGATGAACGCCTCCATGAATGGCTGCTTGGGAGACCCGACGATGACTGTGGTAGGGTGCCAGTAATGGTGCAGAATGAGTGTGACGAGCTCAGCAGGTGTGGCTGGATGTAATATGATTGGCCTCGTCATTGTGTACAAGACTTCATCTTCGATGGCGTGCGCATCAAAACCATCAATTGACCTCGTGATGTTGAAGGATCTTGTGTGCAGGGTGACCAAATCGTGAAGATGCGACTGATCATTACCCCACTACGTGTACGTAGGTCACGGTTGAAGCTCTGATCAGACCGAACATCGCACGCAGTCCACCCAAGTTACCAGCACGTCATACACGCCCCCCCAACAACCTCTTCATTAGCAGCCTGTCGCGCCGCAGTGGGCTTGAAGCCTCAAGATGGAGTCCATCGCCAAGATCACGAGTCTCATGGAGACGGGTGCGTTTCCAGGACTCCCTGTACCCAGGAAGCAAGCTTGTACTGACGTTCGCTAGCGAGGGAGCTCACGCTTGATGCCGCCCAGGCGACGCGCAACATGCGGACGACGTCGGCTCGACCGCTGGACCGCAACCAGATGAGGAATCTACTGGATAGCAGGAACGACAGGGACGTGCTGGAGGGTCTGCGTCGCGTGATCTCTGTAGGTACCCTTGCGCCCAGCCCAGCCCAGCCCCCGTCTGCGATTGGGAGAGCGTGCTAACGACAGCCAGATGATGTACAAGAACCAGAAAACGCTGCCCTACTTCTCCAACGTTGTCAAGAACGTCGCCTCGCCGAACCTCGAAATCAAGAAGCTCGTGTACATTTACCTCATCCACCATGCCGAACAGGAGCCCGACCTCGCCCTCCTCTCCATCAACACGATACAAAAGTCCCTCTCCGACTCGAACCCGCAGGTCCGCGCCCTGGCACTGCGGACCATGTCCGGGATACGCGTCCCCGTGATCAGCCAGATTGTGAGCCTCGCGATCAAGAAGGGCCTCGTTGACCTGAGCCCACACGTGCGCAAGGCAGCGGCATTGTCAATACCGAAATGTCACAGGCTGGACCCGAGCCAAGAGCCCCAGCTGATTGATTACCTCTCGACGCTGTTGGGGGACAAGCAGTACTACGTGGCCGGAGCGGCGGTGGCGGCGTTCTTGGAGGTCTGCCCCCAGAGGATAGATCTCATTCACAAGCATTACAGGGGGCTGGTCCGCAAGGTCGTCGACATGGATGAGTGGAGTCAGCTAGCGGTCTTGCGGCTCATGACATACTACGCGCGCAGATGTTTCCCGAGACGGCTGGAGCAAGGCAAGGAGAAAGCGGAGGTCAAGGCGGACGCGGACGACTTTTATGGCGATTCCGACCGCCAGCCGCAAGTCGCTCTGGACCCGGATCTGGTGTTGCTGCTCAACGGCATTCAACCTCTGCTACAAAGTCGCAACTCGGCTGTAGTTATTGCGGTGACTCGATGCTACGTGGACCTCGGAAATCGAGAATACGTGAAGCAGGCAGTAGGACCGCTGGTGGCGTTGCTAAGGAGCGCCCAGGACGTCCAGCAGATTGCGCTCTACAACATTGTCTCGGTGTGCTTGATGCGCCCGAGTGACTTTGTCAAGTACGCAAACCACTTTTTGGTGCGGGCCACCGATGCGGCACCAGTGTGGCAGCTCAAGCTGGAGATCTTGACCATCATCTTCCCACACAGCCCTGCCCACATCAAAAGCCTGGTTCTGAAAGAGCTAGAGCACTTTTCGCAAGGCACAGACAAGGACCTGGTGCGGGAGGCTGTGAGAGCGATCGGAAGATGTGCGCAGACGGACGCGGCGACGGCACCCAAGTGCCTGCGGCTACTGTTGGGACAGATCACCAGCTTGGACGGCACGTTGGCGGCGGAGTCACTCACGGTCATCCGGCATTTGATCCAGCAAGATCCGGACAACCACGTTGGCACCGTGATACGGCTGGCGAGGAACCTGGACTCAGCGACGGACCCGCAGGCGCGGGCTACGATTGTGTGGCTGGTGGGGGAGTTTTCCGGGATCAACGGCGAAGACAACATTGCGCCTGATGTGCTACGCATCCTGCTCAAGGGGTTTGCGAGTGAATCCGAGGCCGCCAAGCAGCAGATCCTGCTGCTGGCCGCAAAGGTGTACCTGCACCACATCAACCGGACGACAGAGAATGAGAAGGAGAAGGAAAATGAGGAGCAGAATGATGCACCTATCATGACAGACGAGCATCCCACCAAGAAATTGTGGGACTATGCCATGCTGCTCGTGCGGTACGACGTGTCATATGATTTACGAGACCGCGCCAGAATGTTTCGCGCGCTGCTGAATGTACCCCAGCTGGCGACGCTCATGCTCCTCGCACCAAAACCAGCGCCGCAGGCCCCGAGCCCATCGGAATCTAGGAAAGGGTTCAGGCTGGGTTCGTCGACACTGGTTCTGGGCGGAGGCGGTGGACTGCACGGCATCCAGGGGTACGAGGCATTGCCGGACTGGGTGGCGCCCGGACAAGAGCCCGATCCTCGATTACGAGACACTGAACCGTCACCGTCCTCTCGATACGATGGCGAGAGGACAGTGGTACCTGCGGGCGAGAAGCTGGACGAAGCGGCGCGGAACATGCCTAGCAAGACTAATGGTCTGGGCGAGGCTGTTGGTGCCAAGACACTGGATGACTGGTTGGGCGAGGACGAAGGGGAGGAAGAGGAAAGTGAAGAGACGGAGGAAGAGTCTGATGAAGAGGATGAGGGCTCGGAAGAGGAGAGCAGTGAAGAGGATGAAGAGGACGAAGAAGACGAGGAGGAGGATGAAGAGGACGATGATGGCGAGCAGGACAGGCTTGTCAAGTCATGAATACACAGAGAGGTGCAAACCTGTGGAATGAGGCCAACAAAAAGAAAGTCCGACAGTCCGTACAGGACGGGGCCGATGATATATGCCTATGTAACAAATGAACGCCATCTAAATCCCAGTTTACATTCTCCCGCACCCTCGTCTATCTTTTGTGCTCTTCTCACCTACACGGCCGTCGCCCGGGGCGTGTCGTTGCCTGACTCCCCCATACTGCTCTCAGCCGGCTTTTCTCTCGACTCGTCTGCTGCTGCGGCGGCTTCTCCAGTAGCAGTCTTGGACTTGCCGTGCCCGTTGCGCATCTGGGGGAAGAAGATGCCCGGATGGAAGATGGTCAGAAGATACGTCGCAATGAAGATCATTGTGGGATCCAGGACAAGGAAACTCGACTCGTGTTGCATGATTTAGGAACCCCATCCGCCAGCCATCTCGGCGATTCTATTGGCATTGTTAGCGAGAGTCTTGTTGCACAGAAACTGAACGTGAGGCGCGAGGCCCAAGGACAGCGGGAGCGTGCGTACCGGTAGATGCATCGGACAAAAATGACGATGAACGCGCCCATGACAGCAATGCCAAACATGCGGAATTTCCCGTCATTCCAGACGGCGAGTGACTCGGGCGCGGGGTTGTCGTGGCGCATGTGCTTCTTTGCGCGGAGCCAGTAGTCGAAGCCGAGGACGCCAAAGACGAGGAGGACGACAACCTGGAGGACGATGCCGGCGATGATCATGTTGTTGCCCGAGTCGAGAAGCTTCTTGTCGTTCTTGCCAGCGGCGGCGGCGAGGCCACCGCCGATGGCCTGGACGATGAGGCATGAGAGATCGGCGGGGAGGAAGATGCGTGGGTACCACGTGGGCGGGATGCGAGACAGGGCCGGGTTGACGGTGAGGGCGACGTGCTTGAGCGTGAGGTAGATGGACACGCAGATGAGGCTCGGGGCGAGGATGATGGCGCAGATCTGCAGCTGGAAGGCGCCCGAGTCCTATGGGTTGTCGTAGAGGAGGATGCGGCCGATGTAGCCTGGTGTCTGGGTCAGTACATGTCATCTGGGGTGTATACGTCAGGAGAGCAACGTACCGAGCGTCTCGAGCAGCAGGCCGATGGTGATGGCCGCGCTAAACGTCCACGTCCGCTTCCAGACCCCCAGGGACGCGGCGGCGATGGTGCAGATGCCAAAGGCGATGGCGAAGAAGTAGCTCGACCCCAGGTTGGGCCTGTAGCCCAGAACGGTGGCCTCGACGGGGCATTGCGGCGAGAGCTCGGTGCAGGAGTCGAAGCTCATGGTGGCGGTGATGCTGGATACGTAGTCCAAGTCCGCGAAACCACTGAGTAGAGACGCTGCTGCTGCTACTGCTGACGTTGAAAGAAGGTTGGGCGAGGGACAGCTCGCTTTTTATCCGGTAAAGGGGACTGAAGGACAGGCAGGTGGTATTATATAGCAGGCTGCCTCCTAATCTTCCAAGTCATGACTAGGCGCAGGATGAAGAGGGAAAATAGGCCACCACGCTCATGGCACAATCAAATCAAATGCGAATGCGCATCGGGGGGCGTCCATGACCCCGGGCGCAGCTGTTTGCGATAGGTGGACAATGGTGGGCAGTTCTGACTCCTTGCTCGTCATTCATCCGGCGTCGCTCCACACACACTCGTTGTCGACATCGAGAACTCTCTCTGCGCAGCCCAGGAAGAGTGAATCCGCGTATTTGCCTGCCATCCATCCATCTGCTCACGTCAACCTGCTCTGATCGACGCGTGCTACAGGCAACCCTCTGCTATCATTTGTCGTCTTCTTGCGTGGATGGCCTTCTAATTACGTTTCGACTGTCGACACAAGGCGGGCGGACAAAGCAGGATCGGAGATGCGTGTCAGATTTGGCGGCGGTTGGAGGAACTTCCGGGCCCAGCGGGTGGAGATGATGCGGCCGCCTCTGCCAGTTGAGCAAATCTGGGCATTCCTTGCGCACGGATACGCGTATTTGCGGGAGGATACTGGCCAATGATGGAAAAGTCAAATACGCGTATCCGTATTGAACGGTTGCTCGTGTTGAATTCGATGCTTGGGGCAGTGCAGGCCTTGGTCGTCCCCCCAAGATGATGATAGCCACTGGTGCCCCTGTCTGTGCTCACAGCAGTATCAGCCTCCATGGTTCCGCAGAGTGGCCAAGGAGTGACTTGCCCAAGAACGCGCGAGAGAGGGCTAAAACAAAACCGCAGGGAAGCAAGCACTGGTCAGGTCAAAGGGTTTGCAGGGGGTCACTTTGTACATGGCACCACCGGCGGGCTATTTCAAAGCTTGATATTCGACATATACAAGGCCAGCTTTCAGTTAGGATATGTCAAGTCCGTGATCATGTCAGCGTGCCACACAGCAATCTCTCTGCGTGTTAGAATACACTCCGCAGCTCTCCGCCTCGCTGATTATCACCAACATCAACATCTTTTATAGATAAAGCTGAAACCTCAACTCCATTCAAGATTGCTGATGAACGTCGCTAGTCAATCGTCCCAAATGTACATGTACTTGCTCTAGACCGGCATGACCTCGTCTTTACGCTCAAGCTTCGCAGTGATAGTTGTAGTTCGGCAAGCCCATGGGTATTCCGGGGACGGTACTTGGCACCTGACCAACGCATCTCTGGCCCTCGGGGCACCCACCGCACTCCGCCGCCTGCGCGTCAAACGCCCAGCCCCAAGTCGGGAACTGGCGGGTTTAAATATCGGCGCTGATAGCCTGGAGCTGGCGCTTCCTCAGTTGTGCCTCCTCGGGCGTACCGCAACGATGCTCCAAAATCATGCCCGTCCCGATCTTAGGGCCGCCGGGGACTATGACCGTGACACACTCTTGACCCTCGGCGCAGCCTCCGCACTGATCAACCGTCTGGCGCTTGTGGACGTCTTCGGCGACGGCGCGGAGCTGGCGCATTTCACGCGCAACGTCCACCTGGCGCTTCACGCTGCTCGGGACGCACATGGGAGAACTGGACCCGATGGCGTAGTCGTCGCACTCGAACCCCTCCCTACATCCGCCGCAACTATCCTGCCGCTTCTTGTTGGCGGGCTTGCAGCCTGGCGCGGCGACCTCGGGGACACCGAAGCCGGGGATAGTGTAGGTGTAGCACACCGTGCCCTCAGGGCAGCCGCAGCCGGTGCTGCGGCCGGTGCTGCGGCTGGCCAAGGCGTCGTCGACCACGTCCGCGGCGCTGGTTGTCGCGCGTGCCAGCACGGCGACAATGGCAATAGCTGTCTTTGTGGAGAAGAGCATCTTGAATAGGTGGGTCGGAATGTGAAGATGAGAAAACTGTGTTGTTGTGCGATGTGGTGGATGAGAAGGAGAAAAGTACAAAGAGACCAGCTCTTTAGGAATAGAAGTGTATAAGCAAAGTGTGTATGATGAACTGTAGACTGACGAGCCAAGAACCTTTCTTTGGAGCGACCTGTAGCTCGACTTTATACCCTCTGAGGGCGCTCGAGTAGACCATTCTCGTTCGGAAAAAAAAAAAAAAACAGTGTCACCACGCATCATGAACTTCCTGGGAGATCCTACAATCGGACTCCTCACTAATGACGTGGCTACGACATGAGCAAGTATACCTCATTAAATCCTCGACTATGTACGGCTGCACGGACATGACGCTACACGTCCAGGGTCTTCATGCTTAATCCGGGGTCATGCCTTAAGATTGGCGTTGCCTATATGTATGTATGCGGAAAGATGTGCGTTGCCGTGGCCCCTCGGGGGAGGATTCTTATGCACGCACGACCAGCTCGAGTACGACGAAAACCACAATCGCTTACATCTTCCAGGCAGGATCGACATGCATATTCGGTTCTTGAAACCACTCTTTGCCACACTGCAACCCGACCCATTGATCCTATCAGCTTTTCGGCCGAGTCCTTTTCGTCATCCATCGGGCCAGTCAATCGCGACAAAGTATCATTGCAGTGCTAGTTCCAGTCCTGTGTCTAACTAGAGACGGCTCTGTGCTAGCGGTTCGAGACCACCTAGAGTTATTGTCTTTGTGGTCATATACTCCTCAATCCCGTATCTACCCCCTTCACGCCCGAATCCGCTGGACTTCACACCGCCAAAACTAATCCATTCTTATTAGTAAATATTCGGCTTCGGGTGCTATACAACTCACGGAGAGGCTGGGTCACTTATTAGCCCTGTATTCACACCAACCATGCCAACTTGGAGTGCTCTGGCTACGCGCCAAAGTCTCTGGATGTTACGACTGTAAAAGTATCCAGCAAGCCCCATATCAGTACTGTTCGCAAGGGCGATGACCTCCTTCTCTGTGGTAAACCGAAACAATCCGGCGACGGGTCCAAAGGTCTCATCGCAAGCCACCTGCATGTCGTGTGTCATATCTGTGACAATGGTAGGCTCCAAAAAGTGAGGTCCAAGCTGAGGCATTGCACTCCCCCCCGAAGCAATCGTAGCTCCACGCGTCACGGCATCGCGAATATGAGCCAGAGTCTTCTCCAGGGCTTTTTCGTGGATCAGAGGCCCATGTGTGACGCCCGGCGTGGTAAGGCCATTCCCGACAACAAAGTCCCTTTGAACGCGCGCGGCGAGCTTCGACGCAAACTCGGCGTAAACAGAGTCGTGGACGTAGATGCGATTCGCGGAGACGCATGTCTGACCAGACGATCTGAATTTGCAGATGATGACACCATCAACAGCTGCATCAAGGTCGGCATCCTCAAAGACGATGAAAGGGGCATTGCCACCAAGCTCGAGAGAGATCTTTTTGACAGTGGTCTCGGCACATTGTCTCATCAGGATCTTCCCAACATTGGTTGAGCCAGTGAAGGAGACCTTGTGAACCAGCGGCGAGGATGTCAGTGTATGTACGACCTCGACGGTGTTGGACAGCGCAGTAACAACGTTGATGATGCCTCTAGGGAAACCGGCACGGTAGGCTAGCTCGACGAGAGCGTTGACGGTGAATGGGGTCTCGGCAGGCGATTTGATCACCACGGTGCATCCGGCTGCGAGGGCGGCACCAGCCTTTCTGAGATCAGGAGATTAGTGACGAGACAGGGCCGAATTATCTGCTGTCTTAGTCCATACCTCGTGATCATAGCAGCAGGAAAATTCCATCTGTCGAACGAGTCAGAAGGGCTCCATGATCGAAAGGGTGTTTCCATCGGCCCATTGACTCACGGTGTAATTAGAGCGCAGACCCCAAGAGGCTCTTTCAGGGTCAAGACCTGACTGCCATGATTCGACGCAGGAATCACATCGCCATACGTTCGAGGCGCTTCCTCACTGAACCACTCAAGAAAGCTCGCAGCGTAAGCAACCTCGTCCCTGGCATTACTCAGAGGCTTGCCATTCTCCATGGTGATCAAAACGCTCAAGTCTTCTTGATGGTGGATTACCAACTCGTACCATTTGCGGAGGAGACGAGATCTCTGCCGGGCGGATGTTGTCTGATACAGTTGGAAAGCATCATGGGCAGATTGAATTGCCTCGTTGGTTTCTACTTTAGAGAACTCGGGGCACCGTCCTATGAGCTTCGTCGTAGCCGGTTCTAGAAAGACATGTAAGCTTCAGCCTGATTCTTCTGCAAAAACCTACCGTGGATATCAAAAGTTCTTCCTGATATCGAGTATTTCCATTTTCCATTCAAGTTTCCCTTTTCAAGGAAAATGGAAGGATCGCTGAGCTGCTGCCGTGTGAGCCTCTAACTCGTGCGAGGAGGAAAATTACAGAGCTTGACTAACCTTGGGCTTGACTAAAGAGGAATTCATAGTGACCTTCTTCAATATCAGAATAATGATTTAGTCAAGCTTAGATACTAGAGCACTTGTGAAGCCGTCGAAGCAAAATTATGTTGCGGAATAAATACCCCTAATCCATCCGCAATGTCCCTAGGCTAATCCTTTCGTTCGGACTTAGGTTCGTCATTTCCCTATCGGCTTTTTGTATGCATAGGCCAGAAGTCTGCTCGCAACTTAGTCAAAAGTACGTTGCTCAGAAGTGGAAGCCTACAGCGGCTTCGAAGATTATGGCGACAAGACAGCGTAGTCCGTGACTCCGGGTCCGGGTCCGGGGCCCGGGCCTCCGGGGAGTTCGGACTCGGGGGGATCCGGCAGAAAGTACCCGGCTCCCGGGAAACTTTGTCGTCGGCCAACAGCGGGGAAGTTTGGCGCTGAGGTAGCCGGCTGGCTTCTGTTCAGGAAGCCTTTAGCCTGTTGTCGGGAGATGACGCGAAAAGTGTCTGTTGCTGTCAAAGCCTACTTCACCTCTCTGAACCTATCGCAAGCTCGTAATCACATTGCTTCAACTCGTTCTAGAAATATCCTGTCTATAATAATGTCTTAGTAATACTGGAATGATACCCTGTGTGGCTTCGAGGACCACTTAATACTGTTGAAGTAGCGTAAATCTCACGAAACTTAACATAACCAGCGTTAGGTCATACAGCCATGTCATGTGCATGCTTATGCATTGAGTAGTGAGCAGAGCTAGTTATTGTCTCGTCATCGTACGATCATACGAAGGAAATCAATATTCTTCTCTTTATATTGCATTCAACTGTATCCTTGCCTTCAGCTCAGCGCCATCACCTTATGTTCAAGTAAGTCCATTGGAGAGAAGACTTTCCATACAACCATAGGGGCCACAATTGAACATTGAACTGGTTGGAACAGGAGCTCCGAGGTGGTGAAAGTATCTCATCGAATGTGGTCAGGGGTCTGTATTGGCTAATCGCTCATAGTCAACCGGAGTGCTCGACAGTACTCAAATAGTGTAAACGAATCTCGGGCTCCTGTCCCCAAGTGCATTCACCTCCTCGTCCGTCATACCTTCAATCTTGTAGTCCTCCTTACCAGCCTTGCGTCGCTTGTTAATCCTGTGAAAATGCAAGAGCAAGAAGGAATAAATGAAAACGCCCAGTCCCAAAAGCCCCATGGACACCGAGTACCCCATAACGTAGCGTGGAGCATCTGTTTTTGGATATAGCTGGGAATCTTAGCACACCTTGAAGCAAGAGAGGAATAATAACGGTTTCAAACTTACGAAAGGCGCCAAGATACCAGAGCAATTGCAGATCGTGATTTGTATGCCAGATGCCGTGGTACGTTTTCCATAGCGCGGGTTGTTCGACGGGAGCCAAGCCAAGGGCAGACCGACCGCCACGAAGAGGCCGACGGATATGACAAACATAGCAAAATAGTGGACGGCGGCGGCCACCGGAGCGAGGGATATCCCATATCCGATTATGCATACGATGAGAGACATGACCTGGTATAGACCACGCAGCTGCTGGCGGTCGGATATCCATCCGACGGCTAAGTAACTGATAGCTCCCAGAGCGTAGCATGGGATCGTGAGAGCTTGGGCCTGGGGTGAGGTCCACTGACCGAGACCTAGAGAACAGGTTAGTGTTGATGTCAAAATATAATTCAGGGGCATCTTGCCTTGAATGATCGAAGGGAGGAAAACAGAGTAGCTGTAGAGCATTGTGTTGACGGTGAACTGTCCGACCGCAAAGCACCATGTCTTCCAGTCTTTGGCCGCCAATATGGCGTCCTTCCTATCGAAGTCTTCGTGGAAGCCGACTTGGCGCTGCAATCGCGCGAGCAGCAATTGCTTCTCATCTTCGCTCAGAAACCAAGCATTGCGAGGTTCGTCAGCGAGGATGAAAACCAAAACGACGCCAAAGACTACAGTAGGGACTCCTAAGTGTATGTTGTAAGCTCAGAGTCTCGAATCGAGGGCAGACACAGTGCTCTTTACCTTCCAGGATGAAGACCCAGCGCCAACCGGAGTATCCGGCGACACCATCCATAAAGCTGATGCAGTATGCGAGCAGCCCACCGCATGCCCCGGCAAGGGCAGAGCTCACAAAGAGAAAGCCAATGCGGAGGGCAATCTCTTTCTTCGTATAGAAGAGAGTCAGGTAGACCGTCAATCCGGGTAGGAGGCCACCTTCGAGTAGTCCGAGGAGGACGCGGACAGCAACGAGACCAGTAAAATTCTGAACAAAGCCGGTACAAGTGGAGACAATCCCCCAGCTGACTGTAATGAAAGAAAGCCATCTCGATGGCCTGAGTTTCTTGAGGACCAGATTGCTGGGAACCTCAATCAAGACATAGGGGACAAAGAGTACGGCTACCGCGATCTGGTATTGCGATCCCTCGAGACCAAGGTCCTCTTCGAGTCCAAAGAGCCTGGCGTTGCCAATGTTGGTGCGGTCTAGGAAACAGAGAAGATAGGCGAGCATGACAGTGGGCACGACGAATTTGTCGATCCTCCGGACGAGCTTGTCCTCCGCCTGATGGTCAATCTCGTTCATGTTGCTCCGAGTGCTGCTGGGAGCATGCTCGTCGACCTCGGCGGGTGCTTTTTCAGAAAACATGTTGGAAAGCTTGTTCGGCAAGCGCCACAATTGAAGCTTGTAGTGATGAAGGCAGCGGATTGTTGATCAAGAGATTGAAGAGAGGCAGCCACGGTGAATGAACCCGGTAAGAATGATGCGAAGAAGCAGAAAGGAGTTCGAGCTGGGTCCGGGACTCGCTGACTTTATGTTTTACGGAGAGACCATGAACTCGGCATGTCTCCGCAAGTGTTGTTCGTGGGGATGTTGTCCGGGGAGAAGGGTAAAAGTCTGAAGAGATCTCAATCTCCCCACGTCCCTGCGAGGCAGAAATATCCTTGGGGTAATCGTGGGGTTGACTACAGGTAGTCTAGATCATGGTGCTAAGCCGGTACGTACCAGCAAAACGCGTAGCGCGGAACGAGATTTCATGAGCCAACGGTCTAGAGTCTAGACTCTAGACTAGTTCAGAATCACGACCCCGGGTAGTTAATCCCGACGGTCGACGGGATCACGGGAGCGGCGAACGGTTGCGTCTCCTCTAGACCCGTAAGGGACTGAAATCGAGTCGTTCAGATGAAATTTAGATGCGTGAGATTGCCTGACGTCCACGCGTGACATGTCGCCTTGCATCATTCGGATGTTTCGAGGCAAGTATTACTATTTGATTACCCTATACAGCAAGAAGACACAGGCTTGTCATACCTCGAGCTTTCTGATCAAGGAGTAGTGCAATCCCTAGAGGTGTATATAAAGTAGAGGCAGTATAAAAATTCTTGATATTTAACAGGCACTTTAAAGATATACTTAATCCGGCTTTCATGAAAGATCAGGCAGGGACAAAACTGTGTGCAAGCTTGGATGTTGCTTCCGTTGGCATTATGTATGGAATGAATACATGTGCCAAATCTTTGTTAACTACATGTATTTTGCATTTTCAGAGACTTATCGTTCAAAGTACAACCGGTGGTCGACTGAGCATTGATCCGGTTTGGCAGGCGCCAGGACAATTACCCTTTGATCCTCCATGAAGTCGAGTTGCTCTTCGCGCTCAAAGAGACACCAAAGCTCTGCAGATTAGACCAAATGCAGTTTGATACTGACCTTCTCACATTGACGGCTATTCACAAAGGCAAGCCTCTCGGTGGGCCGCATAAAATAGTGCCCACTAGTCGCTCAAACCGAATTAAGAAAAGAAACCAGCGCCGAACCTACCGAGGAGAAAGAGAGAGAATGTGGATTGGGCAAGACCAGATTGTATCACTAAGCCTCACAATAGCCATTCCGAATAAGACTTTGAAGATTTGTATTTAAACTATGGCTTCCAAAGAGTACATGTATTTACAACTTGGACGTAGGCTGGGCACTCTTGGAGGGTCGGAACCAGTCCATGTACTTGTCTTGCAGAGACTTGACCACACCCGTGTCCGGATCGAAAGGCTCCCGGCCACCGTTCAGATACGTGGCTACCGCGGTGTCGGCATGGACCTCCGCATCGTATCCATACACCTCCAGAACGGTTTGGGGATCCCCGTACAGGTTACTGCTTCGGACATAGTACTTCCCCTGGAGCTCGGCCTCCATGGCCTTGTCACGCGCCTGCTGCTCCGGGCCATCCGGCAAGTGCCAGATGGCGCCGTTGATAAAGGAGACCTGCTGCTTGGCGTAGGCTTTGGGCATACGCTCCTCCTCGTAGATGCGCACGGCCTCGTCCAGACGGATCTGGCCCTCCACCACCTTGCCGATGCAACGCGCAAGAAAGGCGCCGTCTTCCATCGACGTAGCGGCCCCTTGCGCCATGTGGTTGACCATGGAGTGCGCTGCATCTCCCATGAGGACGACATTCTTGCGGCGGGAGGACCAGGACTTCATGGGTCCCGTCATCATCAATGGCCAGCGAGACTAGGCGCATCCCAGTTAGTCACATCATGCATCGCACAAGAAAGACAATACAGTACATACCGTGCTGTCAATCATATCAACAATACGCTTGATGCGAGGATCGAAGTCTTTGTATTCATTTCGCAACTCCTCGATCGGGACATCGGCTTGTGTCGCCCGCAGCTTCTCGGAACGGTGATGCGAAAGCACCAAGTTGAACATCTTGCCTGCGTTGATCGGATACGTGATGATGTAGGCGTTGTCCGCCATCCAAACCTCCATGGTGAGCTTCTCGATCAGCTCTCTCGCGGCCGGGTCCTTGCGAATCTGGTCGTAGGGCACCAGAGCACGATAGGCACAGTTGGTGGTTGGAGGCTCAGGGGCCACGTCTGGGAACAGGGATCTTCTTGTGATGCTGTTGATGCCGTCGGCTCCGACAAGGAAGTCAAACGTATAAGTCTTCCCTTTATGAGTTCGCACAGTGACGCCCTTCATGCTCTCGGGATCCATGCTGGCGACGGCGGAGTCGATGAAGATCTTGGCTCCCAGGTCTTGGGCAATCTTCGCTAGGCCCTCGTGCAGATGAGCCCTGTGAACGACCCACCACGGGCGCCCAAGAGACTCTTCCAAGGTCGCGATCTTGGTGTATCCAACACGCGTGCCGTCTTTACGACGCATGTTGAGTTCCTCGAACTGGACGAGATTGTCGCCAATGACCTTGTCTACACCCCATCGTTGAAGAAGGACAGAGACGTTGGGTGTCATCTGAATGCCAGCTCCGATCTTGGAACGCAACGTTAGCAAGCTTCTGGCATCGTGGAAAGGAATGATTGAGAACGAACCTCGCCAAGCTGGGCTGCCGACTCAAGCACTGTGACTTGCGCTCCGACTCTCCGCAAGGCAATGGCAGCGGCCAGACCGCCGATGCCGGCGCCCACGATTCCGACGTGAAGGTTTTGACCCGTAGACTTTGTCTCGAATTAGTGCATCATTTTCCCTTTATACTAGTAGGTGCATACCATGATGGAATTTACGAGTTTGAAGCCGTTGACTAGGCGAACGAACTGAACCTAGAGTGATGATTGTTCCAGGACGTCGTGGTTTTTGAAGATGAGCTTCTGAAAGATTCAAACCAGCGCCTTGAAACCATCTGTTATTATACCTTTAGAGCGAGATAGCTTTCAATTACACGTCGGGTGACGAACCGCCATCGGGGGCATCTCGTTCTCCCGGCTGGGCCGTCGGGGAGTTAGGGATCCTCAACCCGGCTCTTTTAGCAGTGGCAATAAGCACTCAACTCCGGTTGCATGAAATCGAGGGTCTTCGCCGGGATGCTTCTCCCCGAAGCGACAATATTAAACATATTGGGTTTACGGGGAAAATCTCCAATATTCTTGAAACCTCCTCGTCTGGTCTGAAGCTATCTCAAGAACGAGGAACGCCGGCCAAACTTACGAAAGTATCGACATCCCACCCCCCCCAACAGAAGAAATGATTGAACCCATCAGAACCGTTCTCGTCCCTCATCTGGGGGGTATCAAGGTCGGGTATCGAGTATCCGAGCCTGTGTTGGACCCGGCCAAGCCTGTCGTTGTCATGTTCAATCCTTTCACGACAACTGCGGAATACTACTTGCCCGAGTTCAAAAATAAGGCTTTGCGAGACTCACTCAACCTTGTTGCTATTGAGCCTCTCGGCCATGGACAGACTCGACTTATGAAGACCGAGTCCTTCACGTACTGGGACTCTGCCATCATGGCCTTCCAAGTTTTAGATACCCTGGGCATTGACAAGGTGTTTGCTCTCGGGACATCGCAAGGAGGATGGATTGCGGCTAGAATGGCTCTACTAGCTCCAGAAAGGGTATTATCTGACACAAGAGACATCCATTTTCTCCAAGCTGCTGACTTTGCGTAGGTAAAGGGTATCATCGCTCTGGGTTCATCAATGGATGCAGAAACAGCCAAGAGCCGCGAGCTCGGATGCTGGGATGGTCCCGCTGCATGCTCCGGGCTGGTGACTCTAGCAGGGAATCTCGCACCGGCGCATGACTTTGAGCCTGGTGATTCTTACTATGATTTTCTCATGGAAATTGGCTACGGCAAAGCCATCGACAAAGAGATGCGCGACTTTTGGGCGAGGACTATTCGGGAGACCTACCACGGCGATAAGGGCAAGCGGAGGATTTGCATGGCAGCTGTGGCCCTAGCAGGACGAGATGGCCTGCACGAGCGTTTGTCGCTTGTCAAGTGCCCCGTGCTGTGGATGCAGGTATGACTTCTTCGTGACCGGCCTCTCGATGGTTGTTGGCGCTAACCATGTTTGGCTTAGGGAACCGACGATGTGGTGTTCAGCTTCAGACAGGCCGAGGAGGATATCAAGCTCTTCATTAATTCTGCCAGTACAAAGCTGGTCCGATGCGAAGGGGGCGTCCATTTTCTAGGAAGGACGCACCCAGAGAAAATCCAGCAAGAGTTACTTGAGTTTGTTTTCGCGTGGAATGGGCGCGGAAAATCGGTACTTTGAATCCAGACCATGTTTGGCACCAGCCATAGCCATGCTGTAAGCTTGCGGTGATCGACTGAACATACATGTGACGAGGCAACGAGCACTGAGCATCCTCGATGCTTCGAACCCCTCGGTTGGTAGAGTAGCCAACAGGCGATCCGTCCTCTCTTTGACTTTCCCTTGCAACTGATAACAACCTGTCTCACCACACGGTCGTGAGCCGTTGGGGGCTCGGTTAGTTTGAGAAATATCTTAATGATTGGGGGGGAAACCGGCGAATGCGCTCTCGTAGAAGTTAGCTCTCCCCGCTTCCCCACAGATGTCACGGATGTAAGGCGGTTATACCAGAGCTTGACAACCACGACGGGAGCCCGCCGGGCTTAAAAGGCATCCGTTCTCCCCCCAGTGTCCCGTTGGCATCATACTCCCCTTCCCGCGAATCCCGAGACGGGCACAGAGCAGCTCTTGAGGATAACGAGTGTCCACGAACGGCCATGTCCGAGCAGATCAATCATGCCGAAACGCATCGCACGAGACCAGCGAGCGATGTTGCATCTGGTCCGAACAAGAGGCGAAGGGTGGCATTAGCCTGTGCCAACTGCAGACACCGCAAAACACGTGTATGGCCCAGCATATGTCTTTGGGCACGTCTTAATGTCTCGCTGACATGGAGTGATCTTGCAGTGCGATGGCAGACGGCCGAAATGCTCTCTGTGCACCGAGCTGGGGTGTGAGTGTCTTTATGAACAAGCGGGAGTCACCACCAGCCTCACTGTCGGGCGCAGGTAAGCTTTCACGCCGCCGTACTCCATTTTGTTCTCTTCTAAGCTACAGCATAGCTATCTTGAACGCCTTGAAAAGCGTCTTAAGAAGATTGAGTCCGCTTTGGGGCAAGTCCAGGACAGACAAGCATCGGAAACCCTGAGTCCGGCCAAGTCTTTGATCAACGGAAAAACCGGGGATGATCAAGATGACGATGTTAGGCAAAGTAATGTTGGCTCGAGGGAATCTGAACACCTCGAGTACGGAGGTATCGGAGAACTTGACACGGCGGAGGACTCCATAGATGGAATGGGCGCGATCAAGTTCACAGATGAGGAGGACTGGGGATATTTTGGTCAGTTCTTCCAGAAATTGATGCGCTGCCACAGACTATTCACGCCACCACAGGTCCGTCATCCAACATTGCCTTTCTAAGGCATATCTCCTTGGCCTTGGCCCGTGTCGGCGATCCTAGCCCGGCGTTACCGTCACCGTCCAATCCGGCTGGCGCCGTCGCTGGAGGCATGAGTGTATCACGGCCACACCACGCCGAGGAAGAGGGTGCCGGCCACTACCGGGGCCGCGTGCGAGATGTTGTCAACATCCACGGACTGCCGTCCGAGGAGCGCACCTGGATCCTGATCAAGGAGTACTTTCAAAAGACCGGGCAGCTTCTCCCCTTTGTACATGAGGAGTCCTTTTGTGCGACCTATTTCGAGATGAAGAGGAACAACTTCAAAATGGCGCGGAGAACATGGCTGGGTCTTCTCAACATCATACTCGCCATGGCAACAACCTTGCATGTGGAGGCGGGCATGTCAGCGGAGGAAAGAATCGAGGAGTCCGACGTGTACTACCAGAGGGCCAACGGACTGTGCGACAAGGAGTCGAGGCGGAATATTAGCCTCGAGCTAGGTCAGGGATCCATTTTATGATGCTTACTATGCTAATGGACATCGCAGTGCAATACCTCTTGGTGCTTGGGCAGTATCTCCAAGGCACCCAAAAGTCCGTCCAGGCATGGACGGTTCATGGCCTGGCCATTACCACGGCCTTTCAGCTCGGCCTCCATTCTCCCAAGACGAACAAAGATTTCCCGCCTCTCGAGGGCGAGATTCGGAAGCGAGTTTGGTTTGGATGTATTATGCTCGATCGGTAAGTCGACTCGGACCACTCACACCGGCGTCGTCGACTTACAGCCATGTGTTCTGGCAGCTCTCTCAGCATGACGTTCGGGCGACCATCCATGATAACAGAAAGCTACCTCAAGTTGGAACTACCCAGCACGACCTTGCAGGTACTGGGACAAACGCCTATGCCGTACCCGTCTCCTCAAAAGGACGGCATGTTCTATACTGCTACTCTGTACAAGCCTCCTGCCAACATGAACCTTGATGGAAAAGTACTAGTACTGATGAAACCAGAACATTGTACAATGTCATGTACAAGATCATTGACACGTGCTACGGCCAGAATCTCGGTCTCGAAGAGCACCAAACAGACTCGGAAATCGTCTCGCTCGTGCTCAAAGGCGAAGAACAGCTCGACGCATGGCGAGCCTCCCTCGCGCCTCTCCAGATGTCCGTGTACAACACACCGCTGGGTCCCCATGATCTAGAGACAATGGAAGTGGAAAACATGACAACTGAAAGATTCATCATCGTTCTTTCGGTGCGCTACCACAACCTGCAGATCCTACTGCACCGCCCCATGCTGGAGAGATTCCTGAACGCATGCGGATCTGCCGGTGCCAATGCGAGCAACGTGAACCCAGCCAAGGGCAGCGGAGGAGAGCGTGGCATGTTGCAGCACCTCTGGAGCAGCAGTATCGAGACATGCATCAATTCCGCCGTGGTGCATTCCGTTGTGCGCACTGTGGTGCTCTCGAGCGGCTGGCGTCGCGACCTCCTTGGTGCTTGGAATTATTCTTTATTCTACAGTGAGTTGAAGACTTGCAAGTCGCCTTGCTTTCCCCTCGTCTCTCAGTCCCCGGATCAAGGCATATACTAACTCAATGAAGCGTTCAACGCTGGTTTGGTAATATTCGCCGCCATGCAGGTGGCGCACGACGATTGCAAGAAGGATCCCGCTCGTGTCTCACGTTGGAAGTTTGTCGAAGACGCTCTGCCCTATTTCAACATGGCTGTCGAGGCATTGCAGAATCTCGACCGCGGGAATCGTGTGGTCGAACGATGCGTCAGCTATTTATCCCAGCTCAGTCTAGGCCCCATTGCCTCCTGTAAGCCAGTGTCTCTGCCTTTCTGGATCGGCCTTTGCGAGGACCCTATGCTGATCTGTACATGTATGGAGCAGCCTCTTTAGATGATGCGATGGCGCAATACGGCCAGCACACCCACGGACGAAGCACGCCGGCAGGGGGCGCCACCCAGTTATCGTCAGCGCGGGCCATGGCGTCGATGACGGCGCCTAGCCAAGTGCCGATAGAGATTGACCTGAATGAGTTTATGCTTGATACGGATCTGGACTTTTTCAGCCGAAGTTTCGATATAAACTGAGTATACAGCGGTGGGGTTTCGACTGGCACCAGCGTTTCTATTGTCAGTCGACTTTCTAGAGGAAACAAGATCAGACCGCTGACATCCTGGTTCCTGATACAACTCGTCTGACGTATATGTTCAGTGCCGTCTGCATTGAAGTATTGGTGTCACATATCAGAAACAGAGCGTGAGTTGGAGATTTTCGATAGTCTGGTCTCACCCGTTCTTTCATCGTTTAACCAGGCAGGCACCGTGACGTGCCTTTGATCTACCAGCCGAGACTACACCCCAGTCGAGCTCATTCACCGTGCAAGGAGTCGACACAAAAAAGCGCTGAAAAGGGGCCAGCTATGGCTGACCAAAAGCAAACACATACAACAGCCGTTATTCTCTCGTCTTCGCCACCCAATGAAGAATCAGCCCCTGAGTGCCAGTGGGAATGATGCCTTCTCCAGGGGAAATCCCTACCCTCAAGGATACGGCTTGTCGCAGATAAGGTGGACTCTGAACCATGTCCCCTGGGTACCCGAATTGTAATTATAGATGTTGCGGTTGTCGCCCAGCAAGGCGCAATAGGTCCGGCAGCGACGTGACTTGTAGGCGGCCACGTCGTAGCCCTGGCAGTCCTTGGAGACGTCGCCGGTGCACCAGACCTCGGCGCCCATGAGACCCGCGCTGCACATGTCGCTGGGCCCGCGTCCGACGCCCGAGTGCTTCGTGTCCTCCTCCTTGCCGGACGACATGTCCTTGACGGCGATGGAGTAGTCGTGGGTCGTGTAGCCGATCCCGTTTGTGGGGAGCATCGTCATGACCCACTTGTCCTTGACGCCCACGACGTACCACTGCTCAGCGGCTGGTTGGATGGCGAGGGTGAAGAGGGTGATAGTGGAGAGGAGGGGGTAGAGGGCGGCCATGTTGGCGGTAAGGTTGAGTATGGGTAGATAGGGTGATCAGGAGGAAGAGTGGGATGGTGAGAGTGGTAGGAGGCCGGGAAAGGGGGACATACATGCTTATTTATAGGGCTGTTTGAAAGGGAGCTGTTCTATCGACCTCTTCTGCCACCAGGAGCTTCCAAGTTAAGTTGGAAGTTTGCGTCCCCCCCTCCCTCTCAATCGACTCGTGACATCCCTCGCTCGCAATACTACTCTACTTGTTGGCGTGAGTCCATGTCTTTTGCACTCCATTCGTCAAGTAGATGAATTGGCAGCCGTGGAGTGAATTCAGCCGGTGTACTCACGCAGGGACCTCGTGTTATAAGCAGGGTGTCAAGGCGACGTGTGGAAATCACCAGGTCGTAGGGGAAAATAGCCGGTCAGCAATGCAGCAGTCCATGCTGCCACCATGGGATACTATTATTGTAGTGGTGGTGCCAGAAATCACCTAGTAGCCGGAACCAACCCAGAAGTAGGTCCGAGACACGATGAGAGAGCCGTCAGTCAGCCTGCATTATCGAGTCTAGACCAGACCTGCAGACGGCAGAAGACTATGCAGCCCTTACTTCCCCCGTCTGCTTCTACTTGAATCCTTGTATGATCTCTTTGACACCCGTCGAAGAAGCCATCAACCAGGTATCTGCTGCAATTTCATGTTATGAGCCGCCAAAAGCCACCCGTAAAAACTTTACGCTTCGTGGTGAGTGTTCGCATAAGATACATGTACGCAATGTTTTTCAGACTTAACATGAACATAACAGGACGTCCACGCGTAATAACGCGACATGTGTCTGATTCCATCCTCAATACGAGCAGGTTTGACTCCCACTGCCGGTCAAATGCTCTGGACATTTTGGGCGCCTGAACAGCACTTTACCACATGAGCATTCATTATACTGATTCGCTGCAGGCAAGACAGTCCATCATATATGAGGCTGTCAAATTGTACTGATAGAAGCGTTACTGTGAGCGGAGTCTTTCACTTTTTTGCTTCTTCTGTCAATGTGCGGTCACCAGGCAAGTTTTCGCAACGCAAAGCATATCGGAATGACTGGCAATCTATTCACGTCTGCCAACCACTATCTAGTCCATTCCACCTGTGCAAGTTTTGGCTTCACTTCTTTCGAAGCTACTAGACCCAGCAACCACGATGAGGTACGAGCACGTCTGCTGGGGCCCCCTCCACGTGCACCAAACGCTTCATCGGGGACCCGGGAGCAAGAGGAAATCGCTTTGGCCCTCCCGGTGGCCTGCCTAAACGGCACGCTGTCAGCACGCCTGAAAAAAAAAAAAAAAAAAAAAAAAAGGAGGCTGAGGAAAAATGCAAGGCTCAGGGGGGGACGGCCTGGCCAGGGGCTAGGTGTTTGTCGGGAAAAGAGAAAAGGGGAGTACTCAACTTCATAATACCCCCACTCGAACATCACGGCGAGGAACTAGGGACCGCAGCCCGGCCGGCTTGCGGCCCCCCCCATTGGAGCTGGCTCTCGTGAGTGCGATCCATCGGCACGCGCTCACACCTCGCCTGACCCTGGCCGCGGGTCCTGCGACTGCGAAGCCACCTCACCCACAGCCTCCACATCCACATGCTCAGGCTCCGCAGGGGTTTCGTTCCTCCGGGCATCGCGGACAGCCTTGATCCCTCCTTTGACGGCAATAGCCGCCAAACGGAGGACCTGCCGTCCCATGCCCTCTTGGGGAGGTTGAGGAGGCCCTGCGAAGAGTTTCTTCCAGAGCCACTTGACAAGTCCCAAGACCGTGATGATTGAGCCCACAAGGCCGATAATCGAGAAAATCTGGTCTCTTGTAAGCGCCATTTCGAGTTGGGGGGACTCACCTTGGAGAAGAAGAAAAGAGAGAAAAGAAAGGAGGGGGAACGTACGCTGACTCGGTCATATACGTCTTCCACCTCCAATGCACCTCACATGTTTCTGTCAAAGTAAACAATGTCAAAAATTAAAGTTGCCTTGTTCGAGATACTTTGAGGTTATTTGAAACTCTAAAAGGGACACGCACCGACGCACCCCTTCTGTTTGCTTTACATGGAGGTTACCACTGCTCTATGAAAGTAGACTGAATACTATGGGTTTCTCTCGCTTAGAAGACTTGGGCCATACTCATTCAAGTCACCCATGACGTTGAGCTGTCTAGTACCAATGTTGAACCAAATGTTAGAGTTGTTCCCTGCCCATTGCAAAAGTAAACAGAACTAGAGATTTGGGTTGAACTTTAGGATAGTGGTGGGTTTGAGTTTCGCGAGTGATTGAGTTTCGCGAAGGATTGCCGACGTACCCTGCCTACGAATGTGCCTTCTCTTTCAACCAGAACCCTGAGGCAGGCTGCTAATAACATACTTTCCTAAGCCAGGTACCAAGAGAACGTCCATCAACACGTTGCAGGAACAGGAACCCCCTTGACAACCCCTCTTCGACACTTTCAAGTTCGCTTCTTTGAGCCCAAATAGGAGTTACTCGGGCGCAAAGTCAACCTTTCTCAGGTCCTTTGCCAATCAACTGATTCGAAGAGCAACCTGGAGTTTGTGCAGTCAGTCTGTTATCCATCTCATGCCTTGTGCCGACCCAGCTACGAGCTATTAGGTATTCAAAGTCCGTCGACAGAAACACTACGTGGTTTTCTTTTCAACAGACTGATGTGAATGACATTGCATTGCGTGCGATCGTAACTGCTTTTGATATCAGTACAGCCGCTTTTCCGTTCACTCCGCTGCAGCCGTTCAATAAATTCCGTTGCTCGTTTCATGGCTGAATTCATAGTCAAGCACCAATTCTAACCCGCTGCTCGAAAACATTAAAATAACCGTAGCAGTTTGCAATCGGTGCTCCGCCGCAATTTTAACTTGGGAAGTCGGAAGGCCTACAGTCTTCTGTCCTGCTCGTTCTTTTCAGTTGACATGTAATTGGCGAGATGTGAAGGTCAAGGAGTCAATGGTGTGAGGACCAAACCATCAGTGCACGGCGTAGACACGGCCTTCTTTCCTTACACAAGGTTCCATGAGTAGCAGCCCTAAGGAAAGGTATCTGTCAATTTTATGATTCCTCTTGTGTTTGCTATTTTTGCCTCGGCGCCTTGTATACCATAATCCTTCTAAGACGACGCAACGCAATAGATACTTGACGGTTGTAGGAATTCTCTCTTCAAATGTACTGCATATATAATCCTTCTTTTGGTACCTCTGATGATTCTCTTGGGCGTTAAGGATCGTCTTTCTCGTCGAGCTCAGTGATTATCTTGATTGTCGGTCGTCTTCAACTGTTGCTCTCCCGACCTAACAGCGACTCGAGTACTTGGAGCCTTCGGCCAAGGCCACCACCCCTCCAACGGCATCTGGGCATATATAGCATTGAAACACGCTTTCGGATCAGACCTGAACTGATACACTTTGGCATTGCGCACATTCCACCCGTCTACTTTTGTGACCGTGTCACGACGGAGCCCTTTCAGGTCAAAGTTCACAATCGTGGAGCGACTGCGCGACCACACAATGACTTTACCATAGCAACCCAGCTCGGAAGCTGGTCGACGAAAGAAAAAGATGCGCGCATGACACAAACTTAAGGATAGAGCAATGCTCAGCCGTGACTTGAGACTGATAGACGACTCGGCGTGGCTGAAATGGGCCGACGTCAAACTGAAGCCTTTCCTCATTAGTTTGGGGATATTAGCGTCATGCACAAGAAGCTGTGCACGCCATCCGTGGTGAGGGTCTCTCATCAAGTCGGGTGAGTTGAATTCAAAGATCAAATTCGGTTTCTTCTTCCATTGTTCATACTTGTCCTTGGGGCAAAAGCGAGTCCACTCTTTCTCGATGATGGCTGCGTCTGACTCGGATGGTCCCAGCGAGGAGTAGGTCGGGGGTGAATCCGATGGAGAAGAAGCTGTGTCCATGATGCGGGGACTTGATAAGAATCTGCAGTGGTGGCTTGGTTGTGGGAAAAGAAGTCATTCATAAAACAGTCACTGGGCGACAAGAGTGGCTTTATATAGTAGTTGAGCAGTGCCAGTAGCGGCATCGTACACTCAACTATTGTGTTCGAGCTTATGTAACGCACGGCCACGTCACAAGACCGTGGAAATAAGCTTTGTGGTCAAGTCAGTTTAGAGTCCGGTCCGTTGGAAGGCTGGCACAGTAGCTTCTTACACGGGATGTAGGGTTATTCCCCATGGCTTGGCTTTTACGCACCCAATGCTTGGGCCACGTTTACACCGAGTCTGCGGTTGACTTGAGGTCTCCTGTAATCAGTAGAAAGACTCAAAGTTCAGAATATTCAGATTATTGAGAGCAGGCGGAGTGAGGCTGAGCACAACATGGTTGGAGTGAGGAAGCCCTCACCTATAATGCGCATGGTCGACGATACGCCAACAGAGTATTGTTAGCAAAATGTCCATGACTGTAGTGAAGGAATGTGACATGGTATTTGCAGGCGCCTTGGTGAGTCTCGGGAACCGGATGAGGCATGGACAACGGAGGCCACCCTCTGTGGACCAAACTTTGTAGCCGCGTGAAGGCGCCGTCGCAGCAACCCCAGCGCGAGCCTGCGCGGTGTGAAAGTTGGTCATGGGCAAGTCATTTGACCCTTGGCCAGCTTTTCGAGCATGGGCGTGGCGATTTACGAACCGTACGGCCCAATATCGCTGAAGCCAAGGTCATCAGCGACGATGATCGATGAAATGGGTCGCTTGGCGGATGTCATGTTTCTGGGCGCGCTCTTCACGGGGGATGAGGAATGGGGAATTGAGTGAACTTTCCTGCAGGCAAATTTGCAGACAACGAACTATATAGATAGCTCTTCAGAATCGATCCAACTCATGCTACGGTTGTTTCTCGTCGCTAGCATCGGCGTATCATCAACGCTCTGGATGACACCATCGCGCCTTGTTAAGGTTAGTACACGTTGCCTCACCTTGGAAAAATGCTGGGTTGGGGGAGCGGCACGTGACGTGAGTCCGTGACCAAGAGGGGTCTCAACTGTCTCTTTAAAGTTTGAAGCTTAATTACATCTCCTACATCCGACAAAGCACGCCTTGTCTAGACCTCCAACCGACCCACGCGCCCCCGCGGGCCCCGTGGATTACAACGCATATTGGCAGCCTGAAGGCTTCGATAAGATGTTGAAAACCTCTCATCCGATTGACCTGAACGAATACTACGTCCTCCGAGACCTACTAGACGTGCACAAATGGGGAATCCAAGACTCAAAGGACCCGTACACCTGGGGTTTCACGCTTTATAGTGCCCATCTCGCACCTCACGCCAAGGAGCGCTTTCAGCGTGGCATTGCAAAGCTCGACCATTGGCTTCGATACCGGGCCACGCAGACACGCTACACCGACCTCGATCCGAAGGGGGATTACACGCAGCTCGATGCCCGTCCTATATATGATAAGATACTTCCTTCTCATGACCTTGCCCGTCGCTTCAAATTCGACGTCATCGACGAATACCCAGCTATGGAGACCGTGGTGGCAGGTTGTGAGACCAAGGACGGCGACGAGGATTTCATGGCTATCGGGCAGCATTTCACGCAGTGGGTAGAGGAACACGCTCTCAATATCCTGGATCAATACGTGCGCAACGACCATTGCCTCATTGTGGACGAAAAGTCCCTCCGCACACTCGAAGCGCTACCAGAGCAAACACCGCCACCTGGTCCAGTCGCCGACGATGGCAACGGTTGTTTCCTACAAAGTCAGCCTAAAGGTGCTTGGGTCTGGATGCTCGATCGTGAGTATTTCCAAAAGTATGCCCGGGCTCAAGCCTCTGGCGGTAGTGTCCGGCTGCCACCCTACGATCACCCTGATGAGAGACGGTTCAACCATGGGTTCGTATATATCTCTGCGATCTAGGACGTGTATGGTTCTTTCGCCCTCGGGGGTATTCGCCCGCGACGTGGGAATCGGTGGTGGAGAGGGATCGAGAGAAGTTCGACCAAGTGAATTGGTGGGGAGATGCGCAGGCTGGAACTGTGAATGATCAGCGACGAATGCGGAGGCGAGGAGAGTCTGTTCTGGATGCCATGCTCGCAAGCTTATTAGGATGCCAGAAACCATGAGCGGCAACATGTCCGTCAGCATGGTCAACCACGCCTCGCCAAGTCTGTCTACCATGCCCTGCTCGCACTTGACGGCCGCCAAGCGCACAGCGCGCTGCAGAAGCAACCGACTTGATGTGCTGCAATGGATTATAGCGCCGTGTTGAGCTCCTTCTGCGCCGCGGGACTGGCCACCCTCTCGGCGAGCTCGACGCCAGAAGATCGCGAGACCACAAAGACAGCGTCTTTAGTGTCTAGGCCGGAGCGGTGCAGCCTGATTAAAGGCGTTGTTTGGCGCAAACTGCCTGACGCCCACATCAACAAGCGCCTCAACCTCGGTCATGGCAGCGTCATATGCAAGGAAACAGTCCCAGAGTCGATGAATCGGAGATGGTGGCTGTGTCAGAACCAGCCAGTGTCTCCAGTCATTCATCACCACCTCCGCATTTGCCCGTCATCGCCATGACCGCGTCTTGAACTCGCGTCTGCTCTCCACACACCTGCTCCTCTCCGCAACGCCTCTCCAGCCGCCACATCCAACTCCTCAACTCTTTTTCGGCACTGCCCACATACAGACTTGGCGATCCGATGTGCTCCCCTCCCCCTCGCGCCCTCGCGTATAGCGCCTCTCGGGCGTCACCCCCGAACTGTCCTAGGGGCACCGGCAGCCAGCCAAGGATCAAGAATGCCGGGCCTCGTCATCTCAGCCCGTCCAATACAGCGCGAGACTTGGCGAGGCCCTGCTTCCACTGTCTAGCCCTTGGCCGGGGTACGAGCATTTTCGACTTACGAAATTGTAGTACTTGGGCTGTGAGGAGTAAGCAAATAGTATTACCGTGCTCCCCACAAAGTTCCGGGCAGTTGTGGGGTAAATCTGGGGAAGCTACGCTGTAAGCCTAAACTCCAGGGGCAGGGGGGGCCCTGTTTACGGTTCTTGTTTAAACTTTTAAGGTTGTGTGGCGCATTGATGTGCGCGTCAGCAGCTCAGATCGGCCCAGCCTAGCTTCTCACTTGTCAAACGATATGTGCCCAAAATACAAGGCCAAGGCAAGACAACCTCGGTATCGTGCTAGTTGTGTTTCCTTGCCGTGTCTGTCTTGGCTGGGCAAAGGAGCAGCGATTGGTCCCTCAATGGAACATGCCTAGCCACGTGCCCCAGAAGATTTGCCCCTTGTCTTTCTCGTGCGTCCATGTTCAGCAGTGGGTGAGTGTCAAAATGTATTAAAAGCCCCAGATGCCACATGTGTCTCGTCGCTCAGCCTCCCCTCTGTCAACCAACTCTTCCTCGTCACATTTGGCCCAGCTGCTGAATTATCCTGATACACCTTGGACATGGCATTCGACGCTGAAAACATCGAGCATAAGGATGCCACGCCCCGGTCGGCCTCCGCCGATCACCATGAGAAGGAGGTGAGCCCGATGGTCGAGGCTCTCGATGACGATCCTGTGTATTCCTACAAGGAGCAGCGCAAGATTATCGGCCGCGTAGACCGGCGCCTCATCACCGTCGCTGGCATCATCTACATGAACTCGCTCATGGACCGCTCCAATCTGCCCAACGCTGGCATCGCCGGCATGAACGTCGACCTGGGTATGGTCACTGGGTTCCGCTACGTATGCCTCACCGTCCCCATCGCTGAGATTTTCACCAGGAACACGTCTCGCTAGCTGGCTAACTCGATCCAGTCCGCCGTTGCCCTTGTCTTCTTCATCACATATACGTTCCTCCAGCCCCCTGCCACCATCCTCACCCGCAAGCTCGGTCCCCGCCCTTTTCTTTCCGGCATCTGCTTCGCCTGGGGTGTCGTCATGGTCGGCTTCGGCTTTGTCAACGATTGGGTCGTCCTCATCCCCCTGCGCCTGCTGCTCGGCCTCTTTGAAGCCGGCTACTTCCCGGGCATCGTCTACCTCATCTCGACATGGTACTCGCGCTACGACATGCACAAGCGCTACGCCGGCTTCTACTGTCTCGGTCTCGTGGCCTCGGGCTTGGGGGGCATCCTGGCCTTTGGCGTGCAGCAGATGGATGGTCTCGGTGGCCTCGAGGGCTGGCGTTGGATCTTTATCATTTTCGGCCTCATGACCGTCGCCGCTTCGTTCCTCGGCATGGTCTTTCTCGTCGACTTTCCCGACGTGGCCATTGACAAGAACCACTGGAAGTTCATCTCGCGAGACGAGATTGCGTTGATTATGCGAAGGATCGCCAAGGACAGGAACGACGCCTCCTCGGAAAAGTTTAATGTCCGCCGGTGGGCCGCCGCAGGCAAGGACTGGAAACTCTGGGTCTTTGCGATGCAGTTTTTGTGAGTACTGACCACATCACCATTGAACATGGAGAGGACACATGCGCTGACACGGACGCAAGTTCCTTGACAACCCAGGCCTATGCCCTCGCCTTCTTCCTCCCCATTATTCTAAACTCGAACATGGGCTTCTCCGTCGCGCTATCACAGCTGCTCACCGCGCCGCCCTACGCAGGCGCCGGCCTCGTCATGTTTCTCTGCGCCTGGGTCGGTGATAAATACCATGTCCGTGGGCCTCTGCTGCTCTTCACGGCTTCACTCGGTCTGATCGGCCTCCCCCTGCTGGTACGTGCTTGCTTCTCCTGCGCCATCTTCCCACAGACAGACACTGACATCTATCTCCCTTAGGCCTACGCCGAAGCCGTGGGCGCCCGCTACTTTGGCTGCTTCCTCATCTGCGCCGCCTCCAACGGCGGAATCCCCACCGTCATGGCCTACCAGGCGAACAACATCCGCGGCCAGTGGAAGCGCGCGTTTGCGTCCGCTACGCTCGTGGGTTTTGGAGGCCTGGGCGGCATCGCGGGCAGCACCGTGTTTAGGTCCCAAGACGCGCCGCAGTATATCCCTGGTATCTGGGTGTGCATTGGCCTGAATATCTTGATTGTGTGCACGACGATTATCAACACAATTATCTTCCGCAAGCAGAACACCAAGGCGGATCGGGGCGAGGTTGTCTTGGAGGGTGAAGCGAGCTTTAGGTACACCGTTTAATGGGGTTGAGATATTTTAATCTGTGTCAGCAAACAGATTGTTTTATACTTGATTGAGTAAGTTGTAATATGTTGTGCTGAATGTAAATGTGCTGACCATGACGTGATCGAGTCCGTGGCGATTCACAGCACCAATGCATTCTATAGTGCTTTTTTTGAGGAAATGACCGGGTTTCAATGGCGTTTCAAAGAAAGACGTCTGTCTTACACCTAATGGGTGTGCTACACTCTGGGAGTGGAATCAACAGAGAGAGTCGACCCAAGGCCCTGGTGGATTTCTCCTCTCAGGGGAGCCACATACTCTTCAACTAGGCCCATCGCTCAAAGAGTAGAGGCCATGACTGAAGCCCGCGGCTGATTTCGCGGTGTCATTTTGGCTGTCGACCTAAATATCTGCTCTCTTGAGCTACTTACAGTCATACTCGCTCATATAGTGACACCGATAGAGTAAGAGCACTAAAAATGCATGTATTCAGTCTTGAGTCACCGCTCGCTGCTACAAAAAGATTCCTACTCGACATCCTGGCATGAACCTTGGACCAACTGCCCCAAATTCTTTGAAATTGGTTAGACACTGTGCGATTCTTGAAGTGTTCAAGTTCTTATGGGACACAACTCGTCGCCTAGTCGGATTAGGTGGTTGCCGCGGCGGCCAACTTCTCGGCCACGTGCGACGCTGCGATTTTGACACATTTCTCTTGGCCCTTTTCCTTCAACCACTTTGTCGTCACGTCCGCAAGGGACGAGTCCTTGAACTGGAACAGTTCAGCGGGTATGGAGGAGACTTTGAAGGCGTGGCGTCCCGCCTTCTTCGTGTTCTTGTTGAGGATGTCGAAGACGACGGTTGGTATCACTAGCTGTCGATGCACCTCGGTCGCCTTTTCGGCCGATTTTTCCAAGATGGAGGTCAACTTGTCGTCCATCCTTTTGTACGCAAAGGTCATGGAGATGAGCTGGCCGATGATGGGCTTCATGTGTACGAGCTCGGATGCTGTGTCCACCGCCACGTCCTCGGCAAGCGAGTCGCCCAATTCCAGGTAATGCTCCAGGGTGATGGCGCCTGCATTCAGCGAGAGCTTGCAGGCCAGGTCTTTGTTGGTACTTTGTGCTTTGATAAAGGCATCGTGCAACGCCTTGAGTCCCTCCGTGTCGGCCAGGCCGTGGAGCCTGAGAGCCATGCCGGCAAATTTCCTGCCTTTGGCGTGGCTCACAATCGTCTTTCCAAAAGGAACCAGTCCACCCACGCCAGCAGCCAGCTTGTAGTTGGAGTACTCGTCGCTATCTTGGAGGTACGTCGTTTGGCGACTGATGAGCTGCTTGCATGCATCATTCAGCTGGTCCGTCAGCACCTCATGGGCGTTCTGGGTACTCGGGCCGATTGACGCAAGCCCTTGCTCTGCCAGGCTCTCGTAGGCGCGAACCCAGGTTTCCACATTGTGGAGTGACGTGGCATTAATGCCGGAGATATCGAGGGTCATGGCGAATGGACAGGAGTGGCGTGTACTGTATGTTTGTTGAGAGTGGTGCAGCGTATTCGCCCAGGACGTGCTCAACGAGACGACAGCCTGCCTTTTTATGGTGATCCAGGGCCTCTTAGTCTTGGGCTCATGGTCGAATTGTTAATTAGGGCCGTGCAAACCTTCTGGACTGGCATGCCAGCCTTGGTCTGGTTGATGCGAGCAGACTCGATGCCCGACGGCATCTCGACGAGAGCCCAGCGAGGCTTCTCGGCAAGGCAACTCGCGAGCCAACGCTAATTACATGCGGAACAGCAGTCTGGACTCTGGGCGCTTTGGCAGAGCAGCGGTTCAAGCATGGCTTGGTTCATGTTAGTGCCGCGGACTGGAGCTGGGGACTGGAGACTTGGCGCGCGGCTGAGGCGAGCTATTGACGCCAACGCCAAACCATTTCAGATCCCGCGTGCTAGCGTTCGCCATGTGGACGACTCACGAGCCGCCAAGGCTCACTGTCACTGACGAGATGCTTCGTTCCTCTTCAGCTGACGAACAAGGAATGTGGGCGTGGGCGTGCAGGCCTTTGGTGCCGCCACGCGCCAGTCTAGAAAAGTCAAGACTCAAGACTCAAAACGCCCAAGCCACTGCACATTGAAAAACGCCCGCGCTCGCATATTCGCGGCGTTGTGCCGTTCAAAACGCCCGAGACCTCCTTCAAAAAGCCCCGTGTTCTTCTGACTTGGGGGTAGAGTGTGCCGGCGCCGCAACCTCCCAGTCCTCCTCCAACCACGTCTAGTCTCGATGAATATCGCTGGACGCCAGGCCCAGCGCCTTGCCGGTGTCGAGCCAACCATGGCAGACTGGGCGCACCTGCGCCCCGTCGTGAGGGAGCTCTATATCGACCGTCGCTGGACCATGGCGCAGATCAGCCACCATTTAGTCTCTCTTGGATACCGTGTCAACACGCGCATGGTCAGGACTAGAATCACCATGTGGAATCTGCAGAGGAACAACCGGACCCGCGACATGGTGGCGGCCCTCTGTCTGCTCGACCCTGACCCTGCCATGTGGCCATGGCCCGAGCCCTGCTTTCTGATACGGGGACGTCGTGTTCCCATGAGTGAGGTGCTTTGTTTCTTCCGGCGCAAGGGCATCCGGAAGCCTGTCCAGTGGGCCCGGGCGACTGCGCACACACTCGCGCGCGGCGGCCACCACCATCATGAGACAGCTGTCACGCTGCTCCAAGGGAACGGGGGGAGCGGCACTGGTCACCCGGGCCCGACGCACATGACATGCCTTGAGCAGAGGGCTGTCGCCAGCCTACGTGACTACTGCATGGCATACATTGGACTAGGCCGTGCTGGGTTGGTCCACGAGCCAGAGGTCCATCAGTTCACCACGCATGGACGCTTCGGGGACCGCATGCAGGAGGGTCTTGCGCAGATGGTACATGTACGGGGCGGCAGCGCTGGCGGCGCCTTTGTACACTTTGGTCGAGCATTCGATCTAGTCCGCCCTCTGCTCCAAGACTGCCACCCGATGAGTCTGGCCCAACTGCTGGCCGTTGCGTGCGAGCTGGCGGCATGCACGGCGCGCGGCGGGCCTCCTGTCCTGGCGTCTCTGCTCGGATACACCGCCGCCATGGCCTCCATCCTGCGGTTGCCAGAGTCGCTCACCATGTTCCTCGGGACCCTCTCGCTCTGCTGCTCCACGCCGCACACGCTCCTGGTCGCCGCCGTCTCGAGTCTCCGGGCCGCGCTGGCCGTCTTTTCGGAGCGCAGCCCGACGACCTGGCATCGACTCTACATCCAAGAGCGCCTGTGCGACTGTCTGTACCACGGGCGAGACCGGACCGAGGGGCCCGTCCGACGCGCGCAGCTCCTGCGGGACCAGGAGTCCTTCTACGTGCCTTGTGCGCGGAATGTTCTGTGGACCATGACCAACGTCGCGGACGACCAACTGTGGACAGGCAGCGCGGACGGTGGTCGCCTGCACTACTCGACGACGCTGGCGCGCGCAGAGCGCCTCGGCGGTTTCGGGCGGGCCAAGATACGCTTTGCGGCACTTGAGGGCCTGGCCCGTGTCGAGCAAAGGCGCTTTGAGGAGCTGTCCGGGCGAGGCGGCGGCGACGATGCGCACGCTGTCGGCGAATGCCTGCATACGATGCGCCGCTTCCTTGACGAGGCCTTGGGCGAGGCCCTGATCTGGTTCGAGCCGACCAGCAGGCGTACCACGCGGGTCAAGGAGAAGGCGAGACAAGTCCGCCATCTCTTGGCCGCCATGGGCTCTGGCTCGGCTTAAACGATTTCCACCTCGCTCCTCTCGGCGCCGTCAAAGAGGCATGGCTGTCGTTGCTCGACACCAGCCGTCCCGCGCACCACGTCGTGATGAAAGTACCCTACTCGCGTGAACACAGACGGGCGTCCTGCCACGGGCGTCAAGACAAGTCCCACCTGCGTCTCCCAGCTTGAGGTCTGCGGGTTGTTGCCCGTCGTCCGTTCCCCGAATCCACCGGCGACGTGAGCCACGAGCAAGCTGTATAGCTCCACGTTTTCTGGGAGGTCGCAGTCTGGGTGAAAGGGGCATTCTGGATGGTCGTCTCGCAAATCCAAGCAGTTCCGGTGAGGAAAAACGCCAGCTCGACTGGTCGAGGCGGCGTCCGGAGCGCCGCGTCTCAACTGTCCGACAATTCTGACCGAGTATTTGTTCGCCTCACCCTCCATCATCGAGATGGACGGTTGTCTCGCAAAGTCCGACGGTTCGGGCGCCGCTGTGACCTCGGCGACGAGCGAGACGCGTGTCGCGGGATCGTGCACGACTTCACCTCGCCGCACCTCGATGCTCGCCCAGGACCAGGTGGGCGCCCTCTCTCGACAAGGTGCTCCCCGGCCCCGTCGCACGTACCACAGCATGTCGCGCAGCAAGTGCTCTCGCCACAGGCCAAACGACCAGGTGAGCTCCCAGGTCTGTTGGATCCGCGTGCCCAGACCGGCCAGGGCCACGAGAAAGTCTGGACGGCGGCTGAGGCTCGTACGGCAGTATCGTCGGACCAGCTGGTGCCAAACGCCGAGGAAGCCATCCACGGCCAACTCGTCAAGCCCGTCTAGGCCTAGGCCGCAGGCGGAAAACATAAACAGGGACTGGTAGTCCGCCTTGGACACGGCGCCTTGGTGGTGGCAATGATCGCCGTCAGGCCACGCAGCTTCGCACCTGAGCTCGGTCCTGCACTCGAGGTGAATAAAGTTCCGCGTGCAGTGCACTGTCCGCGGTGACAGAATGCGTTCCTGGAACACCCACGCCCTGCTGTCAAGGTGATACTGCGCCCGGTCAAAGGAATGCGACAGACAATGGGGTGTGCAGGGCGGGACGACTTCATAGGGGATTTGCGCGCAGGAATCCAGGCGGCAGATGGTCTGGCCCAGCGGATTCCGCGACCTGATCAGGTTCTGTGTACCGTCCACGCACTCAGAGGCGGCAATGGTGACCGTGGCGTTGCCGAATATGTCGCTCATCTTGCCCGCCTGATCGACCCAGTCGTCCGACGCGGCCGGCAAGGTGCCTCCATCCTGCATGATACAGAGAGCGTCGATCCACAAGTACCGGAAACCGAGACGCCTGGCGACTTGAATGGCATCCCTCAATAGGACGGGCAGCGTTGGCAGCGGAATCTCTCGATGGAAATCCCCCAGGGTCGCGGACGTCAACACGTATAGCTTGCTGAGGCCCCAGCTATAACTCAACGCGCAATACTCCACCTGTGGGACCATCCCCTCGGTCTCGATGAGCCGTATCTTTTCCTGGTCCTCGAAAGCCTTCAGGTCCAGCAGACGCCTCGGCCACCCCAGCGTCTGACCGTGACCAAGCAGCTCGAGAGCCAAAGAGTCGCTCCCGCACAAGAAGTGTGTCGTCTGGCATTCGCGGATCCAGGATTGTATAAACTCGGCAGACGCCTCGGAAAAGGTACTGGTCCGCAGCCGCGACAAAGCCAGTGGTTCTTGTGCTTGTTGTTTTTGGTGCTGGCCGGGAGACTCTGCGCCTTCTGGACATGCTGACATACCTCGAATTGGACGCAGCGTCAGTGTATGGCTATTCAGTATCTGGTCGTGGCTCGCCACCCCGGACTGTTCACAGGCGAACAGGGTGATGAGAAACGTGCCGCTGTCCGGGTCCAGCATGGCTATCGATATGTACATGGGCCTTTCATCACCGCCCGGAGGCTGCTGTTCACGTCCATGGCAGCCGGTGCACCCAGAAATACTCGCCACGATGATGGAGCAAAAGTGGCAGCCCAGCGAAGCGTTGGACACCACTTGGGATTGGCGAGGCGCGTGGAAGAGATGCTGCGGCGCGCACATGGTCGCTTGCGCGCTCCACGTGGTTTTCCAAAACGTCTGGCAGAGTGAACAGAGCGTGTGCGGCTGTACCGTAGCATTGGGAACATTGTTGTCGCCGTTGTTGCGTGACATGGCTAGAGATTCGAAATCATAGGGCTGGGTGTGTCGTGACTCGTGGATGTGATCACGCCCGTCATCAGAGAAAAGGGTTTCAAGTTTTCAACCAGTTTAATAACGTGTACGAACAAGATTAAGAACCCCGCTCCCACCCCCTCCCTAACCACGTGCATCCTGTCGGGGTCAGGGTACCTTAGTCGTCTCTATATGTGGCTTCGTATCTTCTGTAATGCCTTCTTGCGCCTTGCGTTAGCACTAGACGCCAGTCAGTCTGCATTGTCGAGTCTATAATAGACCTATAAACGGTGGAAGACTATCGCCGACCTTGTCCTGCCGTCCCCCTCTCCTGAAAGCCTTAGAGCACCCTCTCTAACGCCCGTTAAAGAACCCAGTAGGGTATTGACTAGGTATTTGCTGCGATTTTACATTATTATTATTATTCACTTAAGGCTACCTATCCCTGCTTTGGGCGTTCTAGATGAAGGCGTGTAGTGCATTTCATTGTTAGCGGTCCACTTTCTACCATTTCTTACTATCTAATCAATGACTATTCCTCGCACCTGGTCGTGTGGCTCCCTCATGTGCAAGCCTTCCTTCCCAGATCACGCCCTCAAGGTGTAAGGACATACTCCACGACATTGCCCTCTACGCGCGGGTAGAACTCAAAGGTAAAAGTGACAGGCTGCCCCAGACTGACTACCATGTCAATGATGGACGCCCTAATAATCACATTGTCGCCCTCGAAACTCCACTGTCCGTCCCACGTGCCCCTGCCTTGCTGCAGGGGACCAAGGTACTGGGTCCAGTCATCCACAAGATACGTTCCATCCTCGGCCACAAACTTGACCGTGGCAAGACGTTCCAAGCCTGCCCACTCAATGGGTATGACGAGGTCTTGACCGGTGACAGCGGTTCCCTCGGTAGACTCGAGTGTGGGCGCGTCCCACTGGACGATGGTGGCAGTCGTGCTGGCGCCGGCCGAGAAATCGATCGTGAGGGTCTCGTACACACCAGGCTCCGAGTCAGCGGTGATATAGGTGCGGATAAAGTCCGGGGCAAAGGTGATGGACGAGCAGCCGACAGTATAGTCTGTGCCCTGGGCGAGCTTGGTGCCCTCGGACGTGGTGATGCTCTCGACAGTGTTGCCGTTGAAGAGGTAAGGCAGCTTCTGCTCGGTGATGGCGGCACCCACTTGGTTGGAAATGTAGGCAGATGTCCACTGTTCAGTGGCCGAGGCGTCGACGGTGCTGTCGGGCAGAGAGTTGGCCACACCATTGGCGGCGTTGCGGATGATGTCGACGACAGTTGGATCACGGAACTCGCCAGTCTCGCGGTCTAGATAGTCCAGACCATTGTCCCAGAGGGCAACGGCGGCATCAATGTCCGTAGCAGCAGACACAAAGTAGTCGAACCACTTCCAACGCGCAGCAGACTCTGTGCTCTGAGGCGTAGCGCTGAATTCGCCGACGTAGATGGGCACGTCTGTAAAGTTTCCCCTGACAAGGCCCAGTTCACTGTCCATGGCAGCCTTGTCCTCCGTGCTCCCCCAGATAGTCTTGCCCCAAGCAGAAAAGACAAAGTCGTACGGGCTGTAGTAGTGAATCTGAAGAGCCCAGGGGTTGGCTACCTCAGCAGGAGGCTCGAACCACTGCGAGGTCTTGGTGGCGTCATTGTTGCCGCCGGCCAAGGTGACCACACGACGGGTATTCCAGTCGCCCGTCTCCGAGAGCGCGTCAAGGAAGATGGTGTTGAACTCATTGACGTGGGCACCATCCTCTGCGGTCTGCGCCGGCGGCTCATTGATGCTCTCAAACGCCACCGAGGATGGCTTGCAAGCGAGCTTCTCGCCAATCTGCACCCACAAGGCCCGGAACTTGGCTTGGATGGCCTCGACGTCCGCATCGGAGGCACTCACATCCGCCCACTCCCAGCTGTCGTGGTGGACGTTTGTGACAACGAAGAGGTCCCGCTCCAACGCAAAGTCAATCACGTCGGACACGCGCTGCAGCCATTGCGGATCGACCTCGTAGTCGGGCGCCTCGCTCACAAAGTGGTGCGTGTACGTGACGGGGATGCGCACGCTCTTGAAACCGGCTGCCTTGACGGCGTCAAAGGTCGCGGCGACGACGGGGGGGTTGTTCCAGGAGCCTTCGTCGGGGATGGCGTCGAGAGTATTGCCTAGGTTCCACGCTGGGTTGGAAGCCGCCAAAAAGGCCTCCGCTGTCATGTCCTCAAACGTGCCGCTGCATTGGGCCACCGTGTTTCGGGCAAGGGCGAGCAGCCCTGCGAGACTGAGTTGGTACTTCATTTTGGTGGTACTGGAGCAAACCTTTGTCGTCTAATGAAGGGGCAAGTCTTGGAGGGCGATCCAGATGTCCGTTCTGAAGTATTTAAGCCGTAGCGCCATGCCTGCGGAACCAGCACGTTCTCCGGTCCATCACCTTCCGCTGCGCAGGATATTGAATAGAGGTCCGTGTTGGATCTTGACTATTTGGGCGATCCGGACTGCCTCCGGGTTGCTGAATTGGGTCGGGGATGTGTGTGGGTTGGGGCACTTGGGGGGCCAAGCAATTGATTTAGAACGGAGGAATAATTTGCCGCCGAAGGAGCAATGGTTCTCTCAGTACGGAGTAGGCTGTCTTTGGCTCTTGGATTGACCGAGGCGTCTTTCGGCATTCTATGAGAAGCTGGCGACCAGGGTTTCTTGAGATCGTTAGGCGTGACGCAGCAACAGGTGGGAATAAAGGAAGAGCTTATTCAGTGGTCAATAATTCGGCCGAGACATCAGCAGTGACTACTTCGTACACTAAGTACGAGTACGGAGCACGGTGGATTATTGCATTAATAGGTGCCAACGGTATTAACCACTAATTATATAGCATGTATGCGCACCTTTGCCCCTATAGTCACGCCTTTACCGTAGCGAGTCCGACAATGAGGATCGTCAACGACAAAGACTACACGGCGATTCGAGTGCTTCACGGCGAAAGAGATAAATAATAAATGCGCACAATAACCTAGTCATGCCATTATCAAACCTCTGGAACAGAAAATTATGAATCTAGAAGAAACTAGACGACTTCACCGGCAAAGCGAGGTAAATAAGATCCGTCATGGAATAAACGACTACATCCAGCGCCGCCGACTCCGATAATCAAACATTGCAAGGGATATATAACAACTAGCCAAAGGCGCCCGGGCAGTGTCTGAACAAGACTGTCATCTCTTTCACAATGGTCCTTAACAGCGTTGAACGCAAAGGATCTCCAATGCAAGACTACATCGATTATGGCGGGAAGGGTCACGCGACCACTACTGGCACTACAAAGTTCATTTAGGTTTCAATTCCAGCGTGCCTTTTCAGGGTCAATGTTAACAAACGATGGTTTGGATGCGCGCGGCTTCATTCATCATTTCACGCCCGCCAACGTCGACGACGCAGACGACAACGACGACTGCATCCACGTATCGGAATCTGTAATTCAAGAGGAGGTGCTTGGAGGACCGGGGATAGCGGAATATTTTTTTAATAGCGATGAAAGCTAGCATAACGGACGACGAAACTACATAGGACTCCCATCACCCATCATGGGGCGCTGTTGAATGTTAACTAATTGCAGTATAGTATAGGACGCCGATGCTTCTTGGCGTTGCCCGCGCCGTTCTGGAACCCCCCAAAAAGCATCATTTCCATTCAGCTGCCAAGGCTGTAGACAGAGAGATACAAATATTCGTCCAACGCTATCGATTCTAAGCCGTGTCTAGGCACGGCTTTGGCGGAGGCGCATGCCATCCGTATGACTGAGAATGCTCCTCCGCATGGTAGCAAAAAGGCATAAGTAGCCAAGATGCCCCATCTCGGAGCAAGGCATCTGTCTGCTCTGCTGAGTTTGGCCCGCGCTCGCGACCATGGCTACCAACGTGAACGCGCATCAGTCGGGCCTCATCGTCCATCACCGACCCTTTGACGAGTCAGATTACATGTACAGTGGTCTACAAGTCGCACCCGATACTTCCAATGCTCAGGACCATACCGCGTCGGCTCCCGAGGTATATGATGCGAGCGCCGCTGACTCTCAAGGACAACCTCTCGGCACGACTGCCACGCAGCACGAGAAACAATGGGAGAGGTCCCCGACCCCGGGGTTCACGTCTCCCCAGTCAGCGACGTCGCCACACTATGCCGGCCTCGAGGCCGTGCATCCATATTCAGGAGACGTTGACGTCGAAAGGGGTCTTGCAGAGGAGTCTGAAGCGCGTCACAGAGGCACAAGGTGCTGCGGGCTTCGAAGGAAGACTGCGTGCATCATCGCCGCCATTCTGATCAGTCTCGTCATCATTGGCGTCGGCGTCGGCGTGGGACTTGGTCTTGGGTTGAAGCACAACAGCACTAGGTGAGTCCTCTACTCCTCGCGATATCCCGTCGCAGTCCCCATGTGGGCATCTCAAGCGAACGGGCGCACTCATCGACATGCCATTCTGGCCAGAGGCCCGAATGAGTGAGATGCCCAGCACACTGATTTGATGGTTTCATCATGATTATTCCCTTTTCTCTGCGCTTACTCTACATGGCGAGCATTCTGGATACGGCTGGCCTGGATACATGTACTGAATCTGCCTTCACTCTTCATAGTCCCGACGCCGACTCCACGGCCGATTCCGACAGCTCCGGCATTTGCCCCAAGTATGACGGCAAGTCTCAATCATTTTTTGACAGCGGCGACGACTTGTCATGGGGGAGAAGTTATACAATTGAATGTGGGCTCGACGCTGCTGTTGCCTCCACCTCACGACCCTTGTGGCCCGGGAACTCGTCATCTGTCACCGCCGACTTCAAGGCTTGTATTTTCAAGTGTGACCAGCAGTCGGGCTGCTTTCTGTTTTCTTACACATTCCCCGATCATAATTGCACTATGCTGAAAGCCGATCCGGTTACTATGGCCTACATGTACGATCTTGAGAACTGGGCTGTTGATCCAGAAGCAGCAAGCGGCTGGGCTTGATAGCTAAAATAAAGTAAGAACAAATTGCATTCCATTAATATGCATCGAACTCTGTGATTTTCGTGTAGTCCGAGACATTATCTGAACTACATCAACAACAGGTCGTGACGCGATTCTGCACAAGTCTTCACAGCCGACCAAGTCAATCCCATACTCTTCTAATGTTTGAAAGGCCGGTGGGCTGTGGTAGGCTCCAGCCGTCCAAGGATGCGAACATTCTGCAAGTTAAAAAATCATTTTCTACGGACTGGATTTATAAGTCATGTGCTCGTGCGTGCGGCCAATGGACGTCGTGATCGCCACGTCCGACCCTGAAGGACAGACAACACCAAAACAGAACAGGGGCCAGCGATACGCCAGGACCGAGTACAAGTCCTATTTGTAACCCGTTATCTATGCTTCAGACCGAATTATTGCAACAGCGTGAGAGTCAAAGCAACTAGTGTAAGATAACTTTACTCTCGGCCCGTTTCTCCTACCAGCCCCAAGTATTACTCGGTCTTCAGGATGCGCCATGATCCTCCAGTCATCCATCGCTGCGGCTCTCACACCAGTCATGACGCAGCTGCGGCCATCCCCAACTTGGTGATACTTGGGCCTGATGTATGTGTCAGAACACTTGAATAGGCCCAACCGCCCTGGGTTATGACTTTCCACCCGTGAAACATGAAGTGCATCCGTACTGGTCATTCAGTGTCCGGCCTACTAGCGACACTAGCGTAGTCTTTAGCCTTCACGTTGAACCGTCGAGCATATTGAGAGCGCGTGAATTGCCATCTCGCGATCTCTAGCCAGCGAGCCTCCTTGTGAAACAGTCCTCCTGCAACGAATGTGAAAAGCTTCCAGCGCCAGATTGCGAACCTGTCCCATGCTGAGCTGTGAAAATTATGCATGCTGGCATACTCAAATAATCTGGGATAGAAGCCTGCGAGGTCCTAGTCAATGAGCCATAAACGACCGTTGGGATCTAGGATGATGTTGCGAGGTGCCAGATCATGATGCACGAAAACCAGCGGAGTGTGTGTCGAGACTTTTACATCAGGGCAGACCGAATCCTCCATGATGGTTTTCTTTAATTCACGTCCTATTAAGATATAGTTAGCCCAAAAGTTAATGAAAGCGTCAATCTGCTCTCTGCTGGCTTTAGGAGGTAACCCGAAACTATCTTCAAGATAGAAAGACCTACACTCCCCAGTTACAAGTGATCTAGCCAGGTTTGAGGTGATGGATTGCAACCGCTTGACAATGCCACGCATCTGAAAGGCTAGTCGAATACTGGTAATCTAGCCGAGTCTTGGCCATTACGCATCAAGCGGGAATCCAGGTACCCGATCCATAACGCAATGCACCACTTCCTCAACACGAACGATGCGTCTAATGCGTGGGACAGGTATGCCGAGACTAGCTGCAAAGTCTAGAGCTTGTATTGCATCTTCGGCCTCGATATCCCGATAGGATTTTGACACATAAAGCTGAGAAAGAAGCGTAATGTAGCGGTGCTTTGGCTGGTAAGGTAGCGTATCGATGAATTGAACTAGCTAGGCGTCGCTATAAGTTAATAACTCATTGTCGTTGAATTCCGACGCCATTCTGATTATATAAGGACTGGCGGGCGTGACGGCTCCCAGCAGACATTGGTTTAGAGAGGTCTAAGTTATTGAGTCGTCACTGCCTCTGAAGATTTCTAAAAGTAACCAACGCATACTCCGAAGTATTACCATTCGCTCCCACTCGCGTCAGCTTTAATTCAATAAGCTTAGCCACACTAGGAAAGTTAGACGTCCGTAATGACAACCCTATAGTAATACCGGAAATCCAATACGATACGGTCCACGTATGCAACGCATGAACACATTTACTAAATCTTCTGGATTTCCGAAACTCAATATCTCAGCCCTTTTATTTATGACCTTCTCGAGATATACAATTGCATGATATCTGCAGTGCCAAATGCAAAGCCTTGGATTATGAGCCACCACCAAAAATCAAATGTAGGTGGTGAACCGTCTCGGCCAAAGTAGAGGTAGAGGCAGAGCCAAACAAACGCCTCAGCAGCCACAAGACAAGCGATACGAAGATGGAACCCGCTGCGGAGGCTAGAATTTCGGCTCGATACCACGGTGGTACGTGCTGCGTTACTGTCCTTTGAGTTGGCCATGATGATTGCAAATGAGTTGCGGGCGTGCAGCGTAGATGAGAACTTGAAAATGGTCGACAGTGAAGCGAGACCCTGATAGAGAACGGCTGTGTTCCTTCGTTCTGATATGTGTAAATTTATCGTCAAAACGCTGCACTGAACTGTTGTCTAATGTTTTCATCTTCTTTGACAAACAAGGGAAATTGTACGTGCAAAAAGTATTGCGTCAAGATGAGGAAGAACTCTTGGCAGAAAGCCTTGGCTCCTATCAGAGCGTTTCTTACGTCGCGATTCGCGTATCTCAGTTGCCCATGCGATCTCACGCTCCATGCAGCAAAACCAGGGTCAAGCGTAGCCTTGCGTTACCAAAGTGCAGGATACCATTTAAAGAGGCAGTGCTTGGCGTTCCCAAAACTCACCACATGTGCTTGGAGAATTCGCAGACGCGGAACAATAGCCAGACAGCTCCAAACCTAATAATTACCTCGTCTGTGACAAGACTGAAGCATGTCCTCCATATTTTGTAACAACATGAAACAAGAGTCTCTTGAACGTGAGGAAAGTATAAGTATCGCTCCTACGATGAAATCTTGCAGGGTCCGGCCGCTGGATTTGATGAAGATACATGCCATCCAGGATAATCAGCTCCTGTATGGTCTCCAAATGGGCACGCGAATAGTTCAAGTTCGAGATCCAAGTATCGCCGTGCTCCTTTGGGGAAGACAAAGTGTACTCTTCCTTCTGCTGTATTGGCTGCAGCGCTACCGACGGGAAGAAAGGGGTTCAGGAGCAGCTTCCACGGTAAATCATTATGTTCATCTTTCACATCCAACCCCCCAAACCCGTCCTCGTCCGAGAGCGGGATCTGGGTTGGGATATGTGTGGAAATGACAAAGATAGTGGGCACCTTATCACACCTTCGGTTGTCGTACTGCCCCAAGCATCCATGACGAGTCTCGATGCGCTTTCATTTATTTTGAGGCTTGACGGCTAGGCGCCACTCGTGGGTGACGGCCCGTAGTCGAGCTCGCAAAGGCTCTCGAGCCAGGTCCAAGAGCAGCGCGGATAACACGGCAAACTTGAATGGCAGACTCCATGGAGATACCTAGTCCAGATAAGATATTGCTCTCTTCGATTTGGGGGCTGAGGGAGTCATATCGTATGTCACGCCATTGTTGGCTGAAGAACATGAAGGCTGCAGACGGCTTGCGGCTGCGGTTCTCCACACACTCGGGGGTTGGAGACGCGAAGCGGCTCACGACTGCGAGTATCAGCTCGCGAGTCTTTTCAGATGCCCTGATTGTCCACGGCTCGACCGGTGGCGGGCAAGCTGGACAATGGGGAAACATGAATTCGCTCGAGGGGCTGTTGAATGTTCTCAAGGTAGATCGGCTAGCTCCAGCCGTAGCTGCAACAGGGAATAGGCGCTGAACATTGCATTGGAGCCGACGGCGCGGTCTCATCTCTGCCCTTTTCTCGACAGCAGTCTCCTTTCTATGGGTCGTCAGATGCAGACAGGAGACAGGACACACCACTATGCCCACGCTTTCGCCCTCGATTCGGACGATCAACTTCAATGTTGGTATCTCGCCTCAGGAACACTGGGCCGCCTTCCGGTTCACCTGCAATTCCCACGCGGAATGCCACCGTCACAATACGCCTCGCGTCCGTCTCCTGCACGATTGACGCGCACGGATCGTGACCCGGCGCTTCTTCGTGGGCGTGACCCTCCGTTCTCTGGCTTGATCTGCATCGGCGCGTTTCTGATCCCCGAGTCGCCTCGGTGGTGCTACGTCAACAACAAGCGCGACAAGGCCCGCGCCATTCTCACAAAGTGGCATGGCTTGGGTAACGAACAGTCTCCCTGGGTGCAGCTCCAGCTCCAAGAGTACGAGTCTCATCTCAATCTCGAGGGTTCAGACAAGCGTTGGTGGGACTACCGGAAGCTCTTCGACTCCCCATCATCTCGCTATCGCGTCGCTTGCAACTGCGTCTTCGCCATCTTCGCCCAATGGGCCGGCAATGGTGCCTTGACGTACTTCCTCCCCGCCGTCCTGGACACCGTCGGATACACGGGCGATGGTACCAAGGCTCGTATCAACCTCGGCTACGCCTGCTTCCAGTTCTGTTTCGCCCTGTTTGGTGCCGCTTTCGTTGATCGCTTTGGCCGCCGCCCCTTGATGCTCTTCTCCATGTCAGCCGCCTGCATCTGCTGGGTTGGCGTCAGTTCGGCTGCCGGTATATACAACAACTCGGGTGGTGATAACAAGGACGCGGCCCGGGCTGTCATCGCCATGATCTTCATCTTTGGCGCTGTATACTCCGTCGGCATCACGCCTCTGCAAGCCCTGTACCCTGTCGAGGTTCTCTCCTTTGAGCTGCGTGCCAAGGGCATGGCCTTCTCCAATCTTTCGGTCAACGCCGCTGGCTTGCTGAACCAGTTCGCCTGGCCCATCAGCCTCGCGCAGATCGGATGGAAGACGTACTTTGTCTTCCTCGGCTGGTGTGCCGTCCAGACAGTCGTCTTCTACTTCTTCCTGCCCGAGACAAAGGGACGCACGCTTGAGGAGCTCGATGAGATCTTTGCTGCCCCTCGCCCTGTCAAGGCGTCCCTGCAACGTGCCAAGATCGCTGTCAACCACGACAACAAGGTCCTGGCTGTGGAGGAAAGCTGATTCTGCGCAATCTACCTTCCTCTGTGTCTATACCAGCTTCGGTGACGTGGCAAATCTGATATGCAGGAGGCGAGGGCTGAAGTGCCATGTAGGCGACGCAGAATGCATGTACATGAGCCATCGGCGTCACAGGCTGCGAAGAAGATACTCAGAACTAGGATGATAGCCGAGAAACTTCTCTAATACTTCTATCTTAATTCTACTTCTACTTTACTTTAATATACCGCGACTAAATGTGTCCCACACGGTCTGGCTCCGCGGACCTTGGAGGAGTGTGTTCTAATTTTCAATGGATGTCCGCAACAAAAACAGCCGCACTTTATCTATGGTTGTTATTATTATTATACACAAAATTGAAAACATTTAGACGTGGGCTGGCACACCAGGGATATGAAAAATAGCTAGCGTCCATGCCGCAGGCCAGATAATTGAAGTCGGCCCGGGGGCGTCCTCGATTGCTATTGTCGGGATTAGGTATCTAGCAATTGCAACCTTTCCATAGAATTGCTGAAGATAAGCCCGAGGTCTGAATTCAGAGGTACCACTTAGTAGATCTATTAACAGCCGCCGCCGGCTCCCCCAAGTGCAGACAGCCCTCCTGTCCTCTTTGACAATTTCATTCCCATTCCTGACAATCCTTCTGCTGGCGTCATTCGCTCTAGATCTATGAGTGAAGTGAGTACTATTCTTCGATACACAATCACGAAGGCTTACGGTCTGTTTTCGTCTGACGACTCTCGCCGACTTCTGACCATACCCTCAAACACCATGCAGCCACTACAGCGTCTCTGAAACTAGTCTGCATTGTCTGTATGATCTTGAGCTGGTGCTTGTTATCAGTCGTCAATTCCTCCTGCGCAATCTTCTTCCCCTGAGAGTCGCTCCAGAAATATTTGCCGCTGACGAAGTTGGTCTTTGCGGTTAGGGCAGTTGTTGGGTCGCTATGAAAGAGCGGATCGCTGGACGCACTGCGGCCGGGGCTGAGTTGAACCTTGTATTTCGTTTTCGATAGCCCTTTCTTCTCAATTTCCAGCTCAATGTTGCCGAGGCCGGATTCTTCCGCGCATGTCGCGAAATAGGCTGGTTTGTCGGTCCGATAGTGCGAGTTGAGAGGGTGGACGAGATAAAAGATGAGGGATTTGGAGGTGTTGGACGACTCGGAAATATTCGTCTCCCCTTCGGGAGTAGAGTCTACACGCTCGAGGCGGATCGATGATCGCTCCTGTTTCAGTGCTGTGAGGCTTCGGCTGATACTGTATAACGGTTCTCCGTCCTGTGAAATGTGGTCGTCATGCATTGTGAGTATTGTTGGCTCGACCTCTTCCTCGTCTGCTGACGTCTTCCAAGGTGTGGAGTCTGTGGATTCAATCTGACGCAGGGGTGCGCTTTCGTCCATGTTGAGAATTTGTCGGACACTGGACATTGGAGTCTTTCAAGTGATAGAATCGAGGTTGATTGTTTGAAGGTGGATTGATGAGAATAAGAGCTTGAAAGTGGCGTTGGTACCAGTTGATTAAGGAGGCGGAGTCAAGTCACACGAAGCCCCGCCCGGCGCCGTGTGTAACGTGCTCGTGTTCTCCATTTCTCGGCGCGGGCCGGAGTGGGGGCACCCGGTGGCACGCCGTAGTCTAGTGCTAGTTATTTTAGACATTTCCCAAGCAAATAAGCATAATTCCTGCTTTCACAGTTCTTGATCTTGCGCCGCTGATCTGTCGGCGCCGCTAGATTGTTGTGATATTGATTCAGTCAGGTCCTGCTGAGTGACCTGAATGTACTCGTACCGATCTTGGCTCCCACGTGACACAGCAATATGAAGCAGCCACCAATCATCTCCCTTTTCGCAACACAAGCGCAGCGTGCACAATGCCTACCCTAGAACTGTCCGCCAACCACAACGACCTCCAGAGTTTGCTCTTAGTTTTCCAAACAAAGCTCATGAAAGAGAGGATGCGGAGGGAGGATCCGTATTTCATGTAGCATCTGTGTTAAAGAGTATTGTCGGAGGATGTACGGCCTACGATTGGGACCGAGACACTTGACGGCACGGACAAGCGGGAAAAAAAGGTTGTTCTGTGGCACATTTCCACGGCGACTGCACCATCAGACTATCCGTATTGCCTCCCAATCGTGCCTAGTGTTTTACTTAATTCATTTCAAAACAGAACCTGGGTTGACAAGTACAACGTCCTATAACCACACGAGTACTACTCATAGACTGCCGGCTGCCACGCCTACTAAGGAGGACCCGGCGCTATCTTCCCAAACCCCTTTTCATGAAAAGAGCAAGACGCTCGCCGCCAAGAGAGTGGCAGCTGCGACTTTCACGCGCTCGAGAGTGATCGATTTATCCAACTTGTCGTGGAGGGAAAAGGAAACTCGAGTGGAGTTGGCAGAGAACGAAATAAGCGGCAGACATCGACAACGCACTCGTAGGCTTTTTTCTGTTTACTTGAGGAGAACCAGGGGCTAAACCTCCAGTGACACCCGCCACCCCACAGTGCTTACTACTTATGATAGATCAATCTTTCGGAAAAAGCCTAGTGGCCCACTTGAGCCGCTAAGTTAACCTTCCGAGCTTAAGTACTCGGAGGGTTCCATAACTACAATACACGGAAGCTTTACCCCATAAGCGACGTCACTCCATGATTCGAAGGGCTTGGTACGGATATCACGGCTATGCATAGTTCCATTCTGCAGTAAAAGTCATCTCAGAGCTGAGTGCGGGCCATGTGATAGCGGTATGGTCAAGAGTATCAATCTCGATCTCTTTCTTCATCCTTCCCGACGGTCAGCAGAAAACCTCCACTTGGTAGTCCGCATATCGGAACCCAATAGAATAAATATCACCCAGTCCCTGAGCATGAAAGTTCATTCAGCACCTCTGAGCCCGTCGCTTCTTCAGTCCAACATGCGCTACTCCACGATCCTCGCGACCGCCTCCGCCGTCTTTGCTCCTTTGGCTGCCGCTGACTGGGGCTGGCCGGAAGATCCCTTTGTTCTTCAGAAATGCGCCGCAACCTGCAACGGGCTTGCGCCGACCTTCTCGAGGGATAAGGTCACTGACTACTGCAACGCACTGGTGAATGACGGGTACGTATACACTCTCATGTCCCGCGACGAGCCAGGACGCATACTAAAGTATTGGTAGTTGCCACCAGGGGGTTGTCAGCCTTTTCCCAGGTTCTGTTACCTTTGCGGCGAATCGCGACATTGACTGCAAAGAGACTGGTCCAAGGGACTTGCTGCAATGCCAAGAGGGCATCGAAACCGCCGTCTTGAACACCCCCAGATGGGGTGGACCTGGTGGCACTGCGGCCAGCCAGATGTATGTCTACAACCACTATGGGCAACAAGCTGGAGCTATTGGCATCACGAGTGGTTGCCTCCCAATTGACCCTCTCAACCTTGGGGCTTGTTAAGGACTTTATCAACCTTGGTCTTGATTAAGTGGATTGAGAGGGTTGATGCATGGAGTGAAGTACCATTTCAACCATGGTTAGTCCCATCAGATATCAAGTCGTGCTTCCATGCAAGCACAAAGTGACTATTTCTTGCTTTCTTGCTCCATTGTGTCCCCATACTCTCTGTATCACCTGACAAAGGCAGCTGCTATGTAGCCTTGTAATGAGAAACCGTCGGTATGCCTTTTAGGCTTTTATTCAACAGGCCACTCGTCAAGATCCGGCGGATGATTCTCATCATTGATCACCGCCCTTGGCAATCGAGCTGTCTGTGATATGACCCCCGAATTCTAAACGTTCTAGGATACATATATATGGCAGTAGGAATGCGGTTTCTGTCGACGGAGCATCCGCCACTGGCTCTTTCAGCTGGCAGCCATATATGTGGTACATGTACTGTTAGGTCAGGCCGTGGAAGGACCAATGTATGGACCTAGATCACCAGAAGGCTGGAGCACAACGCTGCAAACGTCCTGAGTACTGGGTACTGGTCTAAAAAAATCAGCCTGCATGTGCGGTCAACTTGAACAAAGCACAGCTTTCCTCCACGTCCTTATACCTCCCAAAACCAACCAATCTGCCATGATCGAGCACCACGGCCTTGTCGTACTCTGCTGCAGCCTCCAGCCGATGTAGAACTGAGACTACTGTCACCCCCCGAAGGAGAGTAGCAATGAGCTTCTCCACGTGCGCTGAAGTATCCGCTTCGAGGCTTTTGTCGTGCCAGTCTGTCTCTGTGCCAAAAGGGGAAATGTAACTAACTGACCTGCTTGTTGCTTCATCCAAAAGAATGACGCCTTTAGGATCACGGCTGATGTGGAGAAAAATTCGAGCGAGGGCTAGGAGTTGAGCTTCTCCCGACGAGAAGGTGTTGTCGGCCCGTGCACTGTCCAATCCTCCACATTCACACAACTTCTTCCATAGGCGACACTTCTTGAGCATCTCCTCCAGCTCCGCATCCGAAAATATGCCCTCAGGATCTAGGTGATGGCGAAACGTGCTGTTGGGCTCGGAAAAAGTGTCTTGACACACCACATGAAAACGACTGCGCAGCCTCGGCATAAGAAGCACGGCAATGTCAGCATCATCAACGGTAATGCTTCCCACGGGCACAGGAATCATGCCCCTAAGTGAAAGGAGCAATGAGGGTTTTCCCGAGCCCGTGGAGCCGCAAAGGGCAACGTGCTCCCCAGGCTGCACAGAAAAGCTGACTCCTTGGAGCGTCCAAGTCGGCTCAGGTGTGCTATGATCATAAGTAGCCCAGACATTGTCGAACGAGAGCCGACCAGAGCTAGGCCAGTTATCAGACACTTGGCCCTGTAGCGGCGGCGCGCTCTCCTGCGGGGTGTTCTTTTCAAAGGTCCAGATACGCGCGATGGCTCCAAGGGATGTCTCTAGCGAGGTCCAGGACACGATGAAATTGGCCAAGGTCTCGCCAAGGGTGGCGGCGTTGACAAAAGCGACACCAACGGCTCCGGTCGTGATTTTGCCCGTGAGCGAAATAGCGATCCCAGCGACGACAGTGGCAAGGCCAGCCACAATCAGGTTGAGGACAAGCTGCAGCCATTGCTGGGCAATGAAAAGCAGGTAGAATGGTTCCTGGGATCGGTCGAGCTTCTCCATGAATTTGTGCCGCACCGGGTCGACCCATCCGTTGGCTCGGATTGTCGATAGCCCTCCTGCTGTTTCGCCAAACTTGGTGTGCAGATAGGCTTTCCACCCCAGGTCAAGAAGGCGAAGCTGTTTCGACGTTCTGAGGTAGATCCGTTGCACAATGTAAAGAACGACAAAGAGCACAGGCAGCACGCTCAGCGCCGGATAGGTGACCATGGCAATCAAGATCATTTGGAAGACGGCGGTGAACAGTTCTGCACACGTGTTGAAAAAATCGAGTGGCAGGAACGTGTCTACCAACATCAGGTCCTGGTTGAATCGGTTGAGCAGACTCCCCGTGTAGATACAGCTGATGATGGCGAATGGTGCCCCGAGAGAAATACGAAGTAGATCGGAGTGAAGTGCATGTGCCGAGCTGGGCACGATTCGGAACATGAGGTAGCTGGAACGGATCGCATCATGTTGGCTAGCGTACATGTACGTGAGGCGGAGAGTAAAGGGGCCTTCCATGACCGTCAATTGCGTTGGTTGAATCTCATCGGGCACCGGCTCATCTCCGAGTCTGGTGTTCTGCTGACTTGTTGCTTCCGGCGCAATGTATGTGTTCAGATACTTCGATGACACATCGTGAACAGACCATCATCGCTGATGTTATACACAACGTCGGCCAGCTCAGCTATTGACCCTGCGCATGCTGTTAGCCGATGACACACTGTCAGTCTCCGTTGTCCTTACTTTCATGAGTAGTGACGATGACCGTCGTCGCTGTCTCCCTCAGCAGGCCACTTCGACCTAACAGTCTCTGCGATATTTTCTGTCGGGTTGATCGATCGAGAGAACTGAGCACATCGTCTAGTATGACAATGGGCTTCCCTAAGCTGATCGTCCGAGCCAGGGCCTAAAAGCATTGTCAACTCAAGAGAAAGAGGATACAATAGGGCATGCTCTCCCTAGGATTTCCACGTACCAGTCGTTGTCGTTGTCCGCCGCTCAGTCGTACACCACCTGTACCTATCGTTCCAGTGCTTTAATCGGGGAGAGCAACGAGATCATCCAAGCAGCACACTTCACGAACCCGTTTGAGCCACTCAGATCCTCGAGTATCATATTCTGACCATGCCTTCTCTGCAGACAAGTTCTCTACCCATGGGACTTGGCTGCAATACCCAATGTCACCACGGGGCACCACAATGGAACCAGACAGTTTCTCCGTCTCCCCAACCAGCGATTTGAGCAGGAATGACTTGCCAGACCCGACACGCCCAGTGATAGCAACAAATTGTGCTCTTTTGACTTGCAGGGAGAGGTCTTGGAGAAAGGACTGCGCGTGTGACCAGCCGAATTTGGCATTATCAAGGGAAATAACGACGTCGTGCTCTATGGGAGCCCGATTGGCCTCCCCCTCCTTTGCCGATACAGGACCGGTGACTGTCGAGGAGCCGTACTGTTCAATACCTGACCTTTCGCCAATTCCCAGGAATGCTTGGATTCTTGCAAAGCACCCTCGTGCTGAGCCGAGGGCTGGCAAGGCCTGGAACAGGTGGACTAAGGGATTGCCCAGCAGTGATATCAGAACCAAGGAGGAGAACATGGTGACCGGATTGAAATGCTCGTTTACGCCTCCACTCAGGCGGATATAGGCGGCAAATACGAGCAAAGGGTAGAGGATCAAGGTTCCGTAGGCTAATTTGTCAATCACTGGTTTACGCGGCGAGGATACCACTTACACAAAACAACAGAGGCCGTCAGGAGAAGTCGAAAAGGCCTGGCTGCCTTGATTTCAGCGTTACGTAGCTGAACAATGAGATCGCTCAAACTGCTTTCTGCGCCACACATTTTGACTGCTTTGATTGAGTCCAAGACGTTCTTGGTGGCACCAATTCGTATCTCCATTGCCTGGAGCCATCCTTGCTGATGGGCTCCGATCTTCTTCGCCACGAGCGTAGAGAGAGATCCACAGGCTGTGTTCAATAACATGAATTAGCAAATTTCAACTGAGTTTAAATTATTGCGAGAATACAGACCTAGAGCGAGTCCGAGCATGGCGAGAGACGACAGGCCCATGAGTTGCTGTAAGAGGTAGGTTGCGATAGCCGCCTCTAGGAGCCCGGCCCAAATCTCATGAAGGTATTTGGTCCCAGAGACTACTCTTTGCACATCCGAAGCCATTAGGGTATTGGCTTGTGCTTCGATACTGCTGTCTTCACGAAGGCGAAGGACCTTTTCGAAAATCGCAATGACCAGGCCGCCGCGCACCATGGCCGCAGACCGGTAGACCTCGCGCCAATACCAGCTGCTTGAAATCTTGGAAAAGATTAGCAATCCATTCAGGGCAAGGCGAGGACAAGTTCATCCCAGGGGAATTTTCGTACCGCGATTCCTGTATAAACCAAGACACAGGCTCCAATGAGTCCGTACCCGTGGCTCGCTGTAACGGACGTGTCGTCGTCTGAATCAAGGTAGCGCAGCACAGACTGAACGAGAAAGAATTGGGAGAATGTGAAGCCCGACAAGAGGAGTCTCGGAAGGACTGGAGTGAAAGATAGCCAGTCTAGACATTTCATGGTTGAGATGGCGTGGCTGTTGCGTACATAAGCTGCATGTTTTGTCAGTGCCTTTATCTTCGCAGCTGCGAGCCCATCCCAGAAAATCCCATAAGAATTGGCGGGATATTACCTTTTCTGTTCCATGAGATGGAGTCGAACATCGAGGACAAACTGAGGCTGTAGAGCACAGGGCTGATTGGGCGTAGGTCGGCGGCCATAAAAGTTTTCCTGTAGCCGTGTCGAAAGAGGGAATTGAACCACCAAAAGAACAACCTGCTCACAGGAGACGCAAGATCATCTTTTGCCGTGGTTGTATTCTCGTGGAGATCTCCTGATTTGGATCGACATTCCAAGATGAGTTGGACAAGCCTTGTCGAACAGCTGGTAGAAAGCAAGGCAGCAGGTACCTCGTCTTTCATCAAAAACAGCGTACGTGTTCTGACTACACCACATAAGATGGACATAAAAAGATAAGTAGGAATCAGCGATGAGTGCTGACGCGATTTCAAGTGTTGACATGCAGTCAAAGGCCCCAGAAGAAGGGCGGCCCCCAAGCTCAAAGCAGAGGCAGCGAGAGAACTCGTCGTACGCTGTTCGCTCTGCAGCCCTTGCCACACAAGTATGGCGAGATGGATAATAGTGAGGATGGATGCTGCGATCTAAGCGCATGGTGTTAATTCTCATGATGAGATCGACCTTTGAGGGTACACACAATTTTGAACTAATATAGTCGACTCCGACTAACAAGAGCAGGCCGCCGCCACAGGACGGCCAAATTGAAGGTGGCGGCGAGCAGGAAGCATGTTGACGGGACAATGCCAAGTATAGTCTCCTCAAAAAGCAGAGTGAAGTCGAAATCTGACCGACACCCCTTGATCGCTGGGCCAAAAGAGCGATCGACACTCACTGGGCAGGGCATCCTGGGGAATCTGATGATATCCAGATCATGAAGTGATCATCTAGCGCGTGTACAGGAGAAGGAATTGGACAGCGATGAAAGATGATTCAAGTCGAGTCTGCTGGGATGTGCAGCTAAAAGGTCGACTGGAGTCTGGACTTTGGAGCGGTACTTTTGCCAGCCCTACTGTTGGCCCGTGGCCATCCCGACGCTGGTTGAGATAAGGAGTTGACCGAAGCTGTGGTGCTTTGAGAGCCCCATGTCGGAACAATATCCTCAGGTTGCATTAGTGGCAGGACTTTTGTCGTGGTCAGATTCTAGACTGGGAGCGATTCTCCGGAACAACGCTTTTCAATACCGAAGCCAGCACGTTGACTTTGCCTCTAAAGTATATAACAATGCTCGGTACAGATATCATGCAGGTTTCTATATATATAAGGGGTGGTTTCATCGTCCGGCATCTGCATTCTTGACCCAATCCCCGAGGTTCATTGGCGTCTCCTCCTCCTCCTCGAATTTGCCCTCTTCCTATTCAATTAACCGCGTGTGGCCCTGGACCAGACTAACGATGCCTTCACGCAATGATTCGTCGTCAGCATTGATGAAGGACTCGCAATTTGAGCCCCGTGTCGTGCTGACCTCCTTATAGCAAACATCTGCGGAGCTTCTATGCGACTAAGGGTGAAAGTAAGCCGTTGACTGATCATTCGTGGCGCTATCGAGGGCCGGATCTTGAACGAAGATAAAATCTAATATTTCCGCTATTCTAGATACGTCTGAGTTGGCGGTCGTCTCGAGTCCTCACGCAATCTTCGTATTATACGGCGCTTGAGACTTTCCAGCTTCCATCTCCAGAAGATTACTCCAGGAATAAGACCTCCACGACGCCGGTGGCAGTATCACAGGACTTGGAGAGATGACATTTTAGCCTATACCTCGCTGTCTCCGCAAATTGTTCCATTGCAAAACGGGACATATTGCGTACCGTGCGGGGAAGCATGCCATGATCATCCTTTGTCGAATGCGTTGAAATGGAGATCTTGTCTAGCCGGACTAATAGGGACCAAGGGAGTCGGGACAGGGGTGAAAAAGAACGGCATTTTCCCGTTCAAAACTGCTGGCTAAACAACATGAACCTGGGGTTGAAGTTCGAGCCCCATTGAGACAATGTGGGGACAAACGGTGTAGGTGAGTCCGTATATAAGTTATTCCTCCGCCATAATGGGCTCATAGCAAAGCTGAGCTTTGACCTGGGCTCCTTGAAAAGCCAAGAAGCCACGATGAAGCTGCTCAATCTCAGCCTGGGGCTACTGGCCTCTATTGGCGCACGACTTTGCGCTGCTGAGGCTGACAATTCCACCTACTACAACCCCGTCCTTCCTGGTTGGCACTCTGACCCATCTTGTACGCGCGTGGACGACACCTTTTACTGTGTCACCTCAACCTTCATCTCTTTCCCCGGCCTTCCGATATACGCGTCCAAAGATCTCATCAACTGGCGGCTCATCAGCCATGCCTGGAATCGCGAGGCTCAACTGCCGGGCGTGAGCTGGGATACCGATGAGCAGCAGCAGGGCATGTACGCGGCCACCATCCGGCATCACGACGGGGAGTTCTTTGTTATCTGCGAATACCTCGGCGTCCCTGGCGGCATCATTGGCGTGGTCTTCCGCACGACAGACCCTTTCAGCGATGAGACCTGGAGCGATCCTGTCAGATTCGCTACGGATCGCATCGACCCCGACCTCTTTTGGGACGATGACGGCAAGGTCTACGTCGCTACTCAGGGTATTCTTCTCCAGGAGTTTGATCTTGAGACAGGAGAGCTCAGCCAGCCTCCGGTGTCTATTTGGAATGGAACCGGCGGTGTCTGGCCTGAAGGTACGCAAGGAGATGAATGATACTCACTACGCCATGCTCACCAGATCCAGGTCCACACATTTACAAACGAGACGGATGGTACTATGTGATGATTGCTGAGGGCGGTACTGCGACGGACCACGCCATCACCATCGCTCGCGCCAAGGACATTTGGGGTCCATATGAGGCTTACGAGAACAACCCTATCCTGACGAACCGTGGCACCGATGAATACTTCCAGACCGTCGGCCACGGTGACCTCTTCACAGACACTGATGGCAACTGGTGGGGCCTCTCCCTCGCGACACGGTCCGGTCCAGAGTACAAGTACTACCCCATGGGTCGTGAAGCTGTGCTCTTCCCGGCCACTTGGCAGGAGGGCGAATGGCCCGTCCTCCAGCCTGTCCGTGGGGAGATGTCCGGATGGCCTCTTCCTGAAGAGACGCGCGACGTTCCAGGAGACGGGCCTTTCAATGATGACCCGGACGCCTACGACTTCAACGCTGACTCTGCTATCCCCAAGCACTTTGTCTACTGGCGCGTGCCGCGCGAGGGAAGCTTCAGCACCACGGATGCCGGTTTGGAGATTGTTCCCAGCCGCAACAATCTGACCGGTATTCCCTTTAGCACGACCCAGATCGAGCTGTCGGGCCAGCGTGGACTGTCCTTCATCGGAAGACGTCAAACACACACCCTATTCCACTTCAGCGTTGACGTCTCATTCTCACCCAAGGAGGTCGGTCAAGAAGCCGGTGTCACAGTCTTCCTCACGCAGGTCAACCACATTGACATTGGTCTTGTGCTCCTCGACTCCGGGCTCTCTCTCCGGTTCCGTGCCACTGGTACCGGTGAGGCACCCGAGCCAAAGATCGTGCCCGTACCTGAAGACTGGACAGACGCGCCAGTCAGACTGCACATCTATGCCGAGGATCCCGAGATCTATCGCCTTGCTGCCTCCCAGGGGTGCAAGAAACCCATCACCATTGGGACTGCGTCCTCCGCCTTGGTCAGCGGTGGCAATGGCTCGTTTGTTGGAAGTCTTCTCGGTGCGTATGCTACCTGCAATGGAGCGGGCAGTGGTGTGGAGTGTCTTGACGGAGGCGTACCGACCTTCCAACGATGGAGATATAGGCCCATCGCCCAATTCATCGCTGAGGACGAGGCTGTGCCAGCGTCGGATGATTGAAGTAGAGTCGGGACTTGTTTTGCCAGAAATGTCGGAAAGCATCAGGTCCACTCACTCTTGTTGTCTTGCCTGTGAATATAGCGCTCGTGGCATATCATTACAAGTCGTGACTGATGTATCGTGGATTGCTTGGGGCGATGGTATCATTCACTCAAACAGTTGGACCTTCTACCCATGATATTGGAGGGTACATGTACCCCATGGTACTTTGCAGTCCCTCCGTAGACAGCTATCGCCCCTTTTGCTACCTGCACGAAGACTTCGACTGATTGTTTTAGGCCACGAATTCGACAAATCGTGATTGACTATTACCCGGTGCGGCCGAGTTGTGGCGCTTTTCTCTGAACATTCCAGGGGACGCAAACGACTCGACGGTGTACTTCCTCCGGAAGAATTCATAGAACCTGAATCAAGAGTCACGGGTTCTCATCCCCCTAGACGTAGAGATAGACTGGAAGCTTTAACCGGGCCAGTACTAGATGGCCAACACTGCGTGAGTGTGTGACCCGTTGATCCTTCTTGACCCCCTGCTGTAGCTTTGTCATCCGCATCCATGGTCAAAGGATTACCTTGCATTCACATACATTCACTCTTCTTGCAAGTATAGACGTAGCTGTGTGCTTACAATCAGAGATACCTGCAGGATCTAACTTGGAGACATGGGTATGCCGACCCCCGCATCCTTGCGATGGCAGATGCGTGAATGGGACACTAGACCGGGAGTGCTGCATAGAAACCGGGGTAGCGTTGAATATTACTACTTCATAGGGATCTGCCGTGGCACGCCTTTCCATTTGGGGATTCTTACTTGCAGAAGTACTGCGTTCTGGTGGACGTATATCCGGAGGTTTCTGGCTGTCGGGGGTGGTCTAACTTCTACATGTCCAGTTCCGCGGCGGAGCTTCCCCGGGTCTGCACAATATACAGCGAAGAATATTGTATCAAAGCCGAGTCGGGGGTTCAATTACCTTCAAAGGATTGAGGAGATGTGGCGAGGGAACTGTGAGTGGCTCTCGATGCAAAGAAGGAGTTGAGGGGAAGTGATGCTGGTGATCTATATAAAGCCGATCACTTTCCAGCTCCAGTTCTCGTTTCTACTCTCCAAACTATCTCGCCTTTGATCTCAAGCTTCCTCTTATCTCGCAACGACCACGTCTACACAAAACATTTGTATGGTTTGGCCTTGCCCCTTGTTTCATGATACTATGGACTGACTCCCTCGGTGACAGCATCATGAGGTTCACCACTATCGTCGCCACGGCCGCCGCCTTCCTCGTTGGAGGTGCCTTTGCTGCGCCAGCACCCGAGGCCGCCCCCCAGATTTGTGACATCTGCTGGGATACCTGCTACGACAACTGCGGCCAGAAGTGCTGCTAAAGCACAGATGGCTGTGAGAGCACCTTGTCAGACTTTAGCTTGCAGGCTGACTGACACAATTCTGCCATTTGAGGCTTTGGTGGAATGCCCAGTGAAGCTTTTGTGACCTGTGTTCTGAGTCTGGGATAGGATTCGGTACTGTCTGGTGTAAGCCGCGCTAATGGATATTGTAGCTCAAGGAACTGCTGTTAGGTTGCGTCGCCCAGGGATCGTTAGGGAGATGCTCAGCCCGACAGTTTCAATATCACTTTGGCATTTTAGGATTGAACAGAGACTTTATCTTCATATTGTCTTGTGGTGTTGCCCGAGGCTCACCTCTGAGCTGCCTTTCCATAGTACGCAAGAGCGTTAGCCAGCTACCCTGTAGGGCTCCAAACAGCTTGAGTAAACGCATCTAGGGGCCACTTGATGGATGCTTTTGAGCCAATTGAAACATATAAATGCTTTTGAAATATTTGGCCGAATTTCTTTTTTGTAATTTCAGACATTATGACTTTGTCAATGGCGGGTTTGGGGTTAGCTTTTGTAGTCTTCTGTATAGACGCGCACATTCCTCATCCCACAAGCTCACAGCCAAACTCAACTTACCGCCAACATAATGTGCCATTTGAACTCCAGTCCGTGACTCATTTCTCAACAGTCTCATAGGACGAGTCATTGATCGAACGATGCATGCACCTTTCAGCTGCTTACAAGCACGAATCTCGCGACATCCGGACAAATCCCCGCTTTATACGGTAGTGATTATCGAAGATCCTCATCTCCAACTACCGGCTCGACGCGTCCGCCTGCATGTCTCACACGAGCTGTCGTCACTCATCGCTCACTCGCGCAGAGCAGAACAGCGGCGAGCATCACCAGAGGTAACACAGGCTCAGAGTCTGTCTCAATCATGCGCAGAACATCAATCACAGCTTCACATCCCGTCATATGACATTTGACCAGACGGCACATGCAGTGCACGCGCCGTGCCACGTCTCAGCTCGGAGATACACGCCAATGCGTCCTGCTCGTGCTTGTCGCTCGATCTTTTGAGTACCGACGAGGCCTTGGTTTTTGGACGGACACGGGCTCAGCCGCCTGAGATCAAGCATACAAATGTCTCACTTCCTTCATGAGGATCGCCGCCTGGGAGAGGAGACGCGATGTGACCCCAGGGAGGTGCACGATGACCAGATGTATTAAAGGGCGAACAGGTCCTGAGATTCGATCGCTCTTCTCTCGAGCAACACGAGCACAATTCATCTCACTCTCAGCCTTCTTTGAGACCAGAGTCAACAGAGGAAGTCGCTCCCAGCCACCATGCGCCCTGCCAGTCTTGTCCCCTTCCTCTCCCTCGCCTCTCAGGCTTGGGCTGCTCCAGCTCCAGCTCCTGTCAAGGATGCGGCTACCCAAGACGGATGGCAGACCGCGCAATACGACGCCATCATCGTCGGTGGCGGACCGGCTGGTCTGGCTGCCCTGAGTGCCTTGGCTCGCGTCAGGAGGAACGTCCTCCTCATTGACTCGGGAGAGTACCGCAACCAGCCCACGAGACACATGCACGACGTGCTCGGCTATGATGGCGTCACACCTGCCTACTACCGCTGGGCTGCGCGCGAGCAACTCTCCTACTATGACACTGTCTCCTGGACCAACGGCACAGTCTCTGACATCGAGCCCCGAGAGAACAACACGTACTTCTCCGTCAAAACGGAGGGATCCTCCACGGCCATGACAGCACGGAAGATTGTCCTCGCAACCGGCCTGCGGGACCTGCTCCCAGACACGCCTGGCATCAAGGAGAACTGGGGCAACGGTATCTTCTGGTGCCCTTGGTGCGATGGCCACGAGCACAAGGACCAGCAGCTCGGCCTGATCGACGACCTGAACTCGATTCCCGGTTTGGTCCGCGAGATGCAGACCCTGAACAAGGACGTCGTCGCCTTTGTCAACGGCACCGATACGCCCGCGACGCGCTTGCTGGCAGACAAGGCGATGCCCCGGTGGGAGGACTACCTCAAGCTCAAGAACGTCGCTGTGTACAACCAGACAATCACCCGGGTGGAGCGTCTCCAAACTGCCACACCTGGTGATCCCAGTCTGCCCACGTACCCGGAGGCTGACCTGTTCCGCGTGCACCTCGACGACGGCACCACGGTGGAGCGCAGCGCCTTTCTCACGGGCTACGGTGACGAGCAGCAGTCAGACGTGGGTGAGAAGATGGGCGTGCGTCTGGATGGTGGCCGCCTCGCCGCGGATCCCACCAAGGGTCTGCAGACGAATATCCCCGGCGTATACGCCATTGGCGACGCCAACGCCGACAATGTGACCAACGTCCCGCACGCGCTCTTTAGTGGCAAGAGGACCGGCGTCTTCCTGCACGTGCAGCTGGAGCGGGAGACGGCCGCGGCCGAGCTGGCGGCTGTTCCTGAGGGTAGCCTTGATGAGAGGGACTTGGATGGCGATGATATGCAGGCGCTGTGGAACCGGATGAATGGCGAGGAGGGTGATATCCTGTACGTGAGGGAGGCATTTGAGGATTACCTGTGAGCGAGGTGATAAGTTACCATGACTGAGATGAATCTTACTTATTGTATCTACATGTCTGATCAATCATGCTTCCTGACTGAGGAATATTGTCTCACGCATGCTTAAAAAGTCGTGTCCTCCTTTAATGTGCAGAAGGATGGTCTAGCTTCTATATTCCCAATGTTGGCTCGTCTAATCTGTCTACGCGCCATCACGCTCATCATCACGACATAGCAGCATTCACACCCGGGATCTCCATCCCATACCTCCCATAAGGGAAGTTCTCCAACGAAGACATGTGCTCACCCCACCCGTCATCAATCTCCCCAACCTGGTGCATGTCCACCTCGCCGGCCTCGGCCATGCGACCCGCGAGAATCTCGCCCTCGCGCCCGTTATACAGCTTCTTCAGCTCGACATGCGGGACCCAGATGACACGCATGCCCGCGCGACGCCCAGCCTCGACACCGGGGACAGAGTCCTCAAAGACGAGACATTCCTCGGGCGCGATGGGCTTCTCCTCAGGGTCGAGCGAGTCGTTGATCGTCTTGAGCGCCAACAGGAAGATGTCCGGGAGGGGTTTGCCGCGTCCGGGCTGGAGACGGGTATCATCGCCTAGGACCCGACGATGCGAGGGGAACACGGAGAACAGATCCTGGAGATGACCCGTCTTGAGCTCAAAGTTGCCCTTGTGTGAGCTCGTCGCCAGCGCAATGTGCACCCTCTTCTGCTTGTCCTGCACGTCCTTTGTCCGGCCGAGGTCGCGCAGCAGTTCGACGACGCCGGGGAGAGGGCCCGCCGAGGGGAAGAGCTCATTTTGGAGGGCTTGGTTCTGGGCGACGTAATCCTCCTGGCTGATGGGCAGCTTGGCCCAGTCGTGGAAGATCTGGACCGAGGCGGGGCCCGGGCGGCCCTGGAGTTTGGCCTTGATGGACCAGGGGAGCGGTTCGCGGGCGTACTTGTCGAGGATGATGTTGACGGCTTTGGTGTAGAGGTCTTCGGTGTCGAGGAGGAGGCCGTCCATGTCGAAGAGACAGGCGCGCACGGGGGGAAACCTGTCTATGTTAGGGGCGAGGTCACGAGGATCCCTGGTGGAGGGACTGCCTACTCTTGCTGCGGTGCCATGGTGATGGCTGCTGAGGATATGTGAGACTATGCAGTGGTTGGTCTATGTATAGTATAAGTTTTGGTTCGCACTTCGCAGTACGTAGGAATATAGAAGCGCGGGGCGCATGTGACATGTCCGAACGGAGGTTGCCGGTGGGGTTTGTCTTTTGTTCAGGGACCCCTCCTGGCCGCCAAAAAGTAGCGCCACAGGAATTAGGTTGGGCGCTAGATGATCCTTTAGTCCAAACCGCTATTTACAGTTATTTACAGTTATTTACAGCAGTGGGAAATGCCATGCATACTCCAGGTACTCTTGGGCATCATGAAATCGAGGAGCTCCTGATCTCACTCAAGTAAAGCTGTCTTGTTGCCGAGAGCGATGTCCGGAGGCCAATGGAGGGGCAGTGCCTTATCTTATCACCTTGCAGGCAGCCTTATCGATACCGTCATGGCGATCTCGGTTTCCCATCGCGAACCTCAGATTGCCAATGCGAATAACATTGCCCACCAGTTCTCAGCAGATACATAGTCCTCTTCTCTTTTCCATTCTGAGAAGCGCCCCCATTTGAGGAACTCAGTACGCGTCGTTGCGCTGCGCCCCTTTCAAGCTCTCCCTACGTCATTTGCTGGCGCCCCTGTCCCCACGCGTATTTTCCAACGTGACATTCATCGCGCTTTCACCGTCGTGACTCGTACCTCGCAACGTAGATAGCACGGCACAAAGAGACTCCGCGATGGACGCACACGACACGAAGCCACAAAAGGAGACGGACAGAAAAGAACGCACAGGTCACGAGGAAGACGAAGTCATCGAGGTGGCCCTCACACCAGAGCAAGAAGCTGTATGCATCACTCACTCACTGAGCAACTACCCCCTTGGCGCACACCGTACTCACACAAAACAGGCCGCCCTCGAAGAATCAAACACATTGAAATCAGAAGCGACAACCCTCTTCACAGCTTCCAGTTTTCAGGACGCTCTAAACACATACCTCTCCGCCCTCGCACCGCTACCCAAGAAGACACGCTTTCCCCGTGCAGTCCTATACTCCAACATAGCCGCATGCAATCTCAAACTAGAAGAATGGAAAGACGCCATAAGGAGTGCCTCCAATGCTCTCGATGAGCTCAAAGAATTTGAAGTCAGCTTGGAGCAGGAGAGAAAGGCAAAGTCACAGGAAGAAGACGAAGCAGATGAGGAGATTGTGAGCTCGGGTGCTGAGACGGCGGCGCCCATCCAGGACGCTGTCGAGAGGGACATTCTCCGGATACGCATCAAGAGTCTGCTCCGCCGCGCGAGGGCGTACTACAACACCGATCCGCCGACGTGGCACTCACTGTCGTCCGCGCAGTCGGACTACAACACGCTCCTCACGCTGCCGACCACCTTTCTCACGCCGTCGGATCTGCGCACGGTCAAGACGCAGCTGCGCGACCTCGAGCCCCGCATCAAGGTGGCGCAGGAACAGGAGATGGGTGAGATGTGGGGAAAACTCAAGGAGTTGGGCAATGGCATTCTGAGGCCCTTTGGCATGAGCACGGAGAACTTCAAGATGGTCAAGGACGAGAAGACGGGTGGGTACAGCATGAATTTCCAGCAGAACCAGTGATGGATGCCATGGCCCAGAGGGAGATCAAACAGCTATAGATTTGTACAAACCTGTACTGGGCGCGCGTCCGTGTTGCGGCTCGAGTGAGAGTCGCGACTCGCGACATGAGGCGCCCATAGAACACTGTCACGTGACCGATCTAGCTCCATCATCACGTTCCCATACAGCGCTCTCATCTTGCTCATTTTCAACAAACATCCCATTTGAATGAAGGAGTTTGAAACTTCCATCTGGCTCGAACTCTAGGACCCAAATGGATTCGTCGGCCCCGCCAGCTCCCAAATCGATATTACGCGGGCACAAATCCCAAGTCCACGCCTCCGTCTTCCTCGACCATGACACCACGCGCCTCCTCACCGGCGACGCAGACGGTTTCGTCGTCCTGTGGGATCTGACGATTCTCCGTCCGCGAGCTGTATGGCGGGCCCACGAGAGCGCCATCCTCGGCATCCGAGGCTGGGGCACAGACAAGATCATCACGTATGCTACCTAGCAGAGTCGCGAAGGATGTGTACTGACGACGGCCAGACATGGCCGAGACCACAAGCTCATTGTGTGGAAGCTCTCGCGCGAGGACGAAAGTAACATGAGCACGGCACTGCCGCTTGAGGAAGGCGTGGAAAGGCCCCAGCCATGGATCCTCCATCTCATCGAGGTGAACACTATGAACTTTTGCGCCTTTGCAAGCTGTCCCGCCGTGCCCACTATCTCTGGTCCTTCCATATCTTCTGCCGATGAGGTCCTCATCGCCGTCCCGAACACCATTCTCTCCGACGCCGTATGTTTTCCCCGCCGGTCAGGACGTACACCAGAATGCTGATCGAGTGTAGATCGACATCTGGTCTCTCCCACGCCAGCAGCGCATCCACACCGTTCAAGGCTCCAAAGACGCCGGCATGACAATGGCCCTCTCCCTCTTCCACCTCTCCACCACACTCACCCTCATCGCCGCTTTCGAAAACGGCTATGCATCCGTCCATCGTCTTATCAACGGCGAGTGGACAACCACCTATCGCGCCCAGGCCCACTCCCAGCCCATCCTGTCCATCGACATCCACCCTAGTCTCACCTTCTTCCTCACGTCGAGCGCCGACTCTGTCGTTGGCAAGCATCCCATCCCAGAAACGCAGCAGGAGACAATCGTACAGCATCTTGACCCGAGTCACCGCGTCGTGGAGGAAGTGGTCGACGAAGACGACAACGCCAACCATGTTCCCAAGACAACGTGGAAAGAGTGGGAGTATCCCATCCAGACAGTCAACACGAAGCACTCGGGCCAGCAGGGGCTGAGAATTCGCTCTGACGGCCGTATCTTTGCGACGGCGGGCTGGGACGCGGCTGTTCGCGTCTACTCGTGCAAGACCATGAAAGAGCTCGCTGTTCTCAAGTGGCATCAGGTCGGTTGTTATACGGTGGCCATGGCCAATGTGACACCCTATGCCAACGAGTCAAGTGAGAAGGATGGATCTTCTCCCTCAAAGAACGCATCAGGTGGTGTCACCGCCCTCACCAGCACCAGCACAAGCGTCAAGGACAGACGTATTCACCAGGCCAAACGCACACACTGGATGGCCGCGGGCGCCAAAGATGGCAGAATCAGTCTGTGGGACATATATTGACGCTGGTAACTACCCATCTAAAACATCGCTGGTGTGAAAGAACGCGGAGAATTGCCCAGCCATAGACGCTGTGCATGGGCTCCTCTATCTTCCGTCTGCCCTGGAACTGGCAACGCACAGTGCCTGGTGCCGTCCGCTCGAACCGGCCACCACTAATACCCGAGAAGCATCGCGGGTCTGGCGTTGGCCTCTTCTTTTCCAGGCTGGTCATGGCGCTGGCTGTACGGGGTTTTGGGCATCGTTGTGGTCATCCCGGCCCTGGCGGGCTTGCGTGGGTTGGCCGGTCAGTTTCCGAAGCCAATCCATCCAGGTCCTTCTCACGGTCATTCGGCCAGCCCGGTCGGCCCAGATGCGCAAGATCCATACTGCGACGAGCTGAGCGCGCTCCTGCTCGGTCAGAGGGTGGTGTATCACGAGCTTCCCATCAGGTGGTGGCTCTGCTGCATTGCCCGGGACCATGTAGTGCTCTGTAGCAATGATACGGTCTTCCAGGTCTTCCTCATGCTGTTTCTAGGGGCATTCGAGAGGCGCATTGGGGTCGCCGGGGTACACCGTGCTGAGAATCTTTTGCGATCGGACCGTGTAGGTCTTGCCTACTTGTTCTCGAAGGACAACTTTGAAATATTGTTTCCCAAACATGCTCTTTATGCGCCCGTAGTTCAGCGACAATTCTTGGCAGGCTCTGGCCTTGGTGGCGCGGTACTGGGGTATCAGGAAGTTCCTCGCCTCTTTGTCCGGGGTGCGGTGTAAGCGGTATACAACAGCGCCGGCGGCAGCATCAAGGTGACCTCTCTTCCTCATGAGTACGAGCCCCAGGTCTCTGTCCAACTCCCCTGCAGGCGCGTCCAGCTCAAATATGCAATCCAGTGAGTTCGTCTCGCCGACTGGGCGCTGCACCATGACATACTTCCCGCGAAGGATCAGGGTCTGGGGGTAGATGTTCAGGAAGGAAATCGGTCTGGCGACTACTGGCCTCGTGTCTGCCCCGGGGTCGCTGGCACGATGAGCCGACTGTTGCGGCGGGGCCGCCATGCCAACTTCTCTGAGGCTTTGTGGGCGTCGCTTGGGCGAGAGCGGCACATCTGCCTGCATCTCACCCTCCAACTGACGTTGGGCATCAGCCTTGACCTCGTCAAGGGATCTGACGGCGCCAACCATTGTAGTAGTATGGATCGAACGGTGGGTTTGAAGCTCTGTATTGGGTAAGCGGCAAATAGGAGCTGTTGCATTGGTAAAGATGGAGGTGTTGATGATGATCAAAGAGCTGGGTAGCAAAACAACATGCCAGGTAAACAGATGGAGGTGTTAGACAGTCCAAAGCCTTCCATGCCTCGAACTGGCAGGAGTAAAGCCTTTCCCGGGTCTTACCACTAGGAAGAGGCAGGTGCTTGCCATGTGCCTGTCGATGGACCACACCGCGGAACGTGTCAGCTTGGGCGCTGCCGACGACCATTGCACCTGCCATCCCAGCCTGTTACACAAGTCTCGCACAGGGGCACTTCAGTTGGTACCAGGTACCTTGGAATCGACTGGAGTCATTGCTGGCGACAAATTCGCTAGTTCAAAAGGCATGCCAAAGGAGATCGACATGGATACTGCAGTTGCCATAGTAGTACTATGTGCAGACCCGGTGCAGTGTAGGGCGTCACTGCGCGCATGTACCCGTGTCAAGAACATCATATCATTCAACGCAGCTGGACCTCCTCGTTTCACCTGCTCTACTGTGATGGCACTCTTTAACGCAGAACTGATGATCTTAGACTCTTCGTACCCACGGGCACCCATGTGCTCATCGGTGGACACAGGCTCTGACGGTCTGACCCGTCAGCCCTACCTACAACAAGCTTGACCATGTCGCTATTTAGCAGGCAACCGCGAGCTTACCATGATTTCTTTACTGCCTGTCATTCGGCCTCATTTACTTCAGGTATTTAGGCCAAATCCAGAGTGTGTGAGGCGGACGACTGTCGATTGAGCGGCTTACCAATAAATCCGCCCAAAGTCCGCCAACACACTCGAGGAAATGGCGCCAACTCGCACTAAGAGAACGGGATCCGATGTTGCGTTCATCTGTTAATTATTTAGTCCCCATTGTGGCGTCTGGTAAATTTTCTTTCCTTTTCCACAAGCGCGACACTAATGGACAATTGAGCGATGTTGAGCTTGCGGTGCGGACTTGTGACTAATTGAACAAATGTCTTTGACGACGCTGCGCGCGATCATCTAGGAATCACAACCAGGCGAATGGAAGCCCACGGGAGCCCTTCGAAATGCACGTGGGATCCCGATTGGCCTGAGCAATCGAGTAAGGCGCGTAGCGTTCAGAACGTTATGCTTATGGCTCATGGTGATGCTGACTGAACTGGTGGTGGTTAGCGTTGACTAGCCGCCCGTTTGGCGCAGAAAAGACTCTCAAATCAGAATTCATGATTGATTATGGCTCACGCCCGGTGACAGGTCACAAAAATGGAGATAGAGTCGTGGGTCTCGCCATGTCTTGCATGTCGGGACTGCTGTTCAATCTCGCTATCCCAGCACGATCGCTTCAGGGTTACCATAATGACAGGGCTAAAGACCAGGTTCCAGAGACATCTATTCTCTGGGCGTGCCCATGTCGAAGCTTATCTGGCTCGTGCACGAAATGGGCGTTGCACTAGAATGGCTGATTGAGGTCGTCGTACATGTAGCTTATTCCTTGTCTTCTGCTGCAGGGCGACGGCAATAGCCCAATGTCCATGGACCGAGACCCGGACTTAGCATGAGATTTCAACGTGATGACCGATAACATCCATGCTAATTAGGCACCATCCATGCCTGGACTTTAGAGCCGCACGTACTAACAACACACGGCAGCGGGTATTTGATCCACGCCGTCCGCCCGCAGCGGAGTTATCAACATGACCGGGCTATTAGACACCCCGTCGAGTCATCCACCCGAAAAATCGTGCTGACTGCCAGAATATGCTTAACAATAAGTCCGCCAGAAAAAATGGCGAAAAATGGCCGGACTGATGAGGTTGAGCTTATGGTGAGGCAGGCACGACATGGCTGGATGTAGTACATAAGTGCCCGAGCTGCCGCCCCGTGTCAACAAGTGATCACACTCAGAGCCTTATACATCACGAGCCTCCATCAGAACAGCACAATGACTTCACCTAACCTCAAGGTCCCCCAGACGGGGGATAGGTCTGCCTCAAGTGCCTCAACACTTCACGGCGAGCCCTTGTCCCTCCACGAAAAGGACGCCGTCAACGGCTCGTCAGCACGAGACTCTGCGTCCATCCTGACGAGCAAACCCGAAGCCAACACCATGACCCCGGAGGCAGAAGACGACATTGAATACCCCACCGGTATCAAGATGGCCTTTATCGTCGTCGCGCTGGTCCTGAGCATCTTCCTGCTGTCCCTCGACATGACGATCGTGGCCACTGCCATCCCCAAGATCACCGACGAGTTCCAGGGTCTCGAAAAGGTTGGATGGTACGGAGCCGCTTTCTTCATGACGGTTGGGGCCTTCCAGTCGACCTGGGGCAAGATATACAAGTTCTTCCCACTCAAGACGTCCTTCCTCATCGCCATCCTCATCTTCGAAATCGGCTCCACAATCTGCGGCGCGGCTCCCAACGCCAACACGCTCATCGCCGGACGTGCCATTGCGGGCGTCGGCGCCGCTGGGCTAGGTGCCGGTGCGTACACCATCATTGGCTTCTCGGCGCCCCCGATGAAGAGGCCTGCCTTCACTGGCATCCTGGGCGCCGCGTACGGTGCGGGCAGTGTCATCGGCCCCCTTCTGGGCGGTGCCTTTACTGACAACGTCTCGTGGCGCTGGTGCTTTTACATCAACCTGCCGATCGGCGCCATCTCGGCCGCCGTCATCTTCTTCTTCTTCCAGACACCCAAGCAGGCCAAGCCCGAGGAGGCGCCTCTGAAGGAGAAGTTCCTCCAGATGGATCTGCCCGGCGTCGCGCTCGTCATGGGCGCCACCATCACCTACCTCCTGGCCGTGCAGTACGGCGGCGTCGCGCACGCGTGGAACTCGTCCATCGTCATCGGCCTGCTCGTCGGCTTCGTGCTCATGGTCGGCGCGTGGGCCGCTCTGCAGTGGCTCCAGGGCGAGCGGGCCATGATCTCGCCCCGTCTAGCTAGGAGCCGGACCAACTTTGTCATGTCCGCGTACGCCTTCATCTTTGCCGGTGGCTTCTTCGCCGCCATCTACTACATCCCCATCTACTTTCAGTCCGTGCACAACACCTCGCCCACTATGTCGGGCGTGCGCAACCTACCCATGATCATCTCGGTCACCATCGGCACCATTGTCAGCGGCGCGCTGATCTCAGCCAAGGGCTACTACCAGCCTCTGCTGCTGGGCGGCGGTGCCGTGGCCACCATTGGCGCTGGGCTTCTCTATACGCTCAACATCCATTCCACCACGGGCGAGTGGATCGGCTACCAGATTCTCGCTGGTGTCGGATGGGGTGTCGCCTTCCAGATCCCCATGATTGCGGTGCAGGGGAATGCCGAGCCCAGGGACCTCGCGTCTGCCACGGGCATGCTTCTGTGTGAGTGACTTGACAGATTTGTATGAGACCAAGAGCTAACGGTTCATTTAGTCTTCCAGGGTCTTGGTGGAGCCTTCTTAGTCTCGGGCGCTCAGGCAGCCTTCCTGAACCAGATGGTCGCCCACGTCGTGTCGCGGGTCCCGGATATCGACAGAGCGACACTCATCCTCACGGGCGCGACCGAGATCCGCCATCGCTTCCCGGTAGAGCTGCAGGGTGATGTGATTGACGGCTACATGGCGGGCCTCAAGGTTGTATTCGCCATGTGTATCGCCGCGACTGGCGTCGCTACCCTGGTGGGCCTGGCTACGCGGTGGAACAAGCTGAGCCCGGGTGCGGCTTCTGGCGGCATGGCCTGATCGATGCAGTCAATGTTCATTTGGATCGACAGGACACAGCAAAGGTGCATGCAGACGCAGGCGAAGGATTGCGTTAATGAGGAATGAATGAGCGGCTACCTGACTGGGATATTGGCGTTGTTGGCTGCGGGTTGCTTGGATAATATGATAGATCTCTTTACTCAATGATGTGTACACACACTTTCATAAGACTATAACAGCTTGTTGATCTGAGCAGGAAGTGAAGTCAGAGCAAAGCACTGCTATACTTGAGGTAACGATTAAATCTTAAGAAAGAGAAGCAAGTTGGAAGCCTGGCGCCAGCTGCCCCTAATATATGCATACGGCCATGCATCTCCGCATATGCGACAAGGCAGTCTCATGCATGTACTGATGCACTGCAACCTCATCTCTCCACCAGTCCAAGAAATGCGATGCAGAAACCATCACCATTGCTTCCCAAAAAGCCCTCGCGCCGCCCATTGCGCCCCGATAATGGCCTCTCCTTGCGCCTCTCCTTGTATTAGTTGACTCATTCCCTTTCGTGCTGCGTTGTATAAATCTCCACACACTCCCCCGCCCTCCATGTTCCTCCGACCTCTCCTCCTCATGCGCACGCAGCACGCGACAGCTACGCCATTCTTCCGACTGGTAGTACCCTCCTCGCAGATCCGAACAGCCTGCGGCACAGCCAAGACGTCGTCCACGCGCAGGAAAATGTCGGCCCCCAAGAATAACAACAACACGATCCCCAACTCGCCCATCCTCATCCACCCCTCCATCGCCTCCCTCCATGCCTGGCGCCGTCCCCTCGTCGAGGCCCACCGCACAATCGGCCTCGTGCCCACCATGGGCGCCCTCCACGCAGGTCACATCGCCCTGATTCGCGCCGCCGCCCGCGAGAATCACCACGTCGTCGTCAGCATCTACGTCAACCCCGCCCAGTTCGCCCAGACCGAGGACCTGGACACGTACCCCTCGACCTGGGACGCCGACTGCGAGGCACTCCGCCGCGTGGACCGCGAACTGGCCGGCGACGGCGGCAACCTGGGCCGCGTGAGCGCCGTCTTCGCCCCGCGCACGGCGGAGATGTACCCCAGCGGTTTCCCCGGGCAGGAGGTCCACTCCAAGGGCAGCTTTGTGACCATCACGCCCGTCGGGGAGGTGCTGGAGGGTGCCTCGCGGCCGACCTTTTTCCGCGGCGTGGCGACCGTGTGCATGAAGCTGTTCAACATTGTGCAGCCAACGCGGGTGTACCTTGGCCAGAAGGATGTGCAGCAGACGGTGGTGCTGCGGCGCATGGTGCAGGACTTTATGATGCCGCTGGAGACGGTGGTCGTGCCGACTGAGCGTGATGCCAAGGACGGCCTCGCGCTGAGCTCGCGAAACGTGTACCTCGGTGTCCGGCGGAGGAAGGTGGCTGTCGTACTGTGGAATGCGCTGTGCGCGGCGGAGAGCGCGTACAATGGTGGCAAGACGCTCTCGAGAGAGGAGATTCTCCGCCCGGCGAATCAGTTGCTGCAACAAGTCCTGTCCGAGCAAAAGGCGCTGGGCCCCGAGGAGAGGACGCTGTTCGAGGTGGACTATGTCTCCCTCGCTGACCCGGACACCATGCAGGAGGTCGATGCGGTTGATCCCGCCAAGGGTGCCGTGCTCAGTGGCGCCATCAAGATGCTGCCCGTGGAGAAGGCAGCGCCAGGCGAAGACCTGGGCCACGGCGACGGGCCAGCGGTGCGCTTGTTAGACAACATCATCCTCCGACCTGTCGAGAAGGATATGTAGAATTATAATACCCATGCATGCATTTACATAGTGTTGGCGTTTGCAGACCAAAAGAGGATATTATATAGAATCATCACAATACAGGCTACAACATGGCTCGCGCGTCCAGCTTGCCCCTGCTACGCGCCGCTTTCCGCGCTCGCCGTACTGTATCCCTCTCCTCCGCACTGAGGCGACTGGGTACCTTGTCCTGGCCTGCTGCCTCTTCAAAGAGCGCGCGACCCAGTTCATCCGATAGACGCAGGACCCTCGAGCTGACTGTCGCGCCGTCTCGCCTATTCTTGCCCTCGCGCCGTGACTTGGCGATCTGCTCGGTAAAGTCCCAGAGTTTGCCCTCCGCCATAAGAGCGTTTGTCTCGGGGTCGCGGGGCGGCCGCCAGGACGGATCGAGCTGGACGCGCGGAGGGACCTTGGGATCCTTGGATTTGACAACGTGGACCATGGTCTCCTGCTCGAAGCGGAGGTACGAGTTTCGCAGGGTCTCCTTGTTGACGGCTTCAAAGTACGACAGATCACCTTGGTGGTACAGTGTCTTGCCGAGCTGCTCCATGTCAGTATAACATTTTCTGTGGCAAGATGACAAGGGACTCACCAGCTGCGCCGTGTTCTGCGCCTTGTTCAGCTCGATCCAAGTATCCTCGTGCTCCTTGCTCGGCGGTGTCAAGCCCATGAGAGACACGGCGGCCAGCCAACTGGCCTCGATGAAAGGCCATATCAGGAAACAATAAAAGTCATAGTTTTCCCGTCCAACATTCCTTTCCTCGTCTGACAGCCCAATCTTGACCACCTTTCCACTCTCATCACGATGGACATGAATGACGTGGTCCGCCTCGAGGCCTTTAATAGTCCTGTCCAGATTGGCGTCGAGACCCTCGTTGCCAAAGATGAATTCGCCTCGGAAGAGGGTCGACAAGAAGAAGACCTGGTCGCGCAGCTCCTCGTGCGAGATATCTTGCATCGACGGCCCGCCGCCCATCTTTACGCGCATGTACATGGCCGCACTGACGAGCGCCTCGTAGATGAACAGGTGAATTGTCATGTTGCGGTAGAATGAGAGTTGGAAGCGGTCGACGGCGTAGTACGTCGGCTCCGGTAGACCCTCGACAACACCCACGAGGTCTTTGCCGAGTACCTCCAGTCCACGATCGACAATTTCCGACAGCGGCGCATTGCCGAAATGAGCAACGCGGCCACCCTTGGCACGGACGCGTGTGGTGAGCCACTCGACGCGGCGGATGAGCTCGTCCTTGCCGACGCCGCGCCCGCGTAGGGTGAGGAGGATGGTGCCGATGAGCGCGGTGGGCATGACCACCGATACCTGGTTGATGTCCCCGAGGACCTTGTAGCCCAATATCCTGAGCAGCTTCTCGCGCGTGGCTCGCACTTCCGGGTTATGGTGGTTCGTGGAGAGGCCTGCGGGCACCTTGGGCAGTCTCGACAGCTGCGTCTCGAGGAACATTCTCAGACTCCACGGCTTGTTGAAGCGCACGTCGACTCGACCGAGCTTCAGCGACAGGACCGACGATCCGCTGCTCAGGAAGTCGGCCAAGTTCTCCTTCTTCTTGGGCACGCCGAGCAACTCGGTGACGTAGCCTTCCGTCTCGATGACCTTGTCGTACTGCGTGCTGACGGGGCAGATGATGGTATCCTCCACCCGGCCTGACAGAATGCTGTCAAGGACGAAACTCAGGATGCCGAATTTAGGAGGCAGAAGCTTGCCTGTACGTGACCGGCCGCCCTCAATGAAGCACTCGAGGTTGAAGCCCTCTTGCAGCATCGTGTCAATGTAGGCCTGCACCAGCGTTCCGTACAGCGCATCGTCGCCGAACGACCTCCTGATCCACATGGCACCTGCGTGCTGGAGGAAGCTACCCAGGGCAGGGATGTTGAGATTGTCGCCCGCAACGACAACGGGTAGGGTCAAGCCCAGGCGGTAGCAGATGAGTTGCAGGGAGACATAGTCCACGTGGGAGCGATGACTCGGCAAGAAGACGATACTCTGCTTCTTCTTGGCGGCCATGTCGGCCACCTTTCGCAACCGCAGAATCTCCTCGCTCGAGACGTGGATCCCCTGGTGGTACGCCCGCGTGAGGAGCTGGGTGCACAGGTAGTACGCGCCTCTGATGAAAGGCTTGCTCTCCATCTTGCAGATCATGTCATCGGTCAACTTCTCCGCAACCTCTTGCAGGGCACCCTCTAGCTCGCTCTTCCTCTGCGCCCTCCTCAGGGCATGGTCTTCTGCCGCCTTGTCGATCAGACCCTCCTTCTCCTCCACCTGCACCCTGCTCTCCGCCAGCTGCGCGATTCGTTTTTGTAGCAGGGGCGCCGCCATGACCATGCTCTTCATGTGGTCCGAGAACCCGGGGTAGAAGACGGGCTGGCCGATGACGCGGTCGTACGCGCGCCATCCTTTGCCAGATACGTAGAGGGACACTTCGCGCAGGAATTGGAGAGGTTCGGCACGGAATGAAGCGAACTGGTTCATGAGCGCCTGTTCGTGCTCGGCCGAGGTGGTCTTCTGCTCGACGAAGCCGCTGGGCTGCAGGGTGATCTCGTCGCCAAGAATCTGGAGATCCGGCGCCGAAGTGCTAGCCGGGTCGATGAGGTCGCCATTCTCGTCCATGGCGGCTGGGGGAGGGGGGTATCACGGGTACAACAAATGAGCAGAAGTAGAGGAAACAAGGGACGGAAGTTCTTGGAGCATCAAAAAACGGGCAAAGGCACGGATTGCCACTTGGAGCGGCTCGCGGGAGAGGAAGAAGCCATGTCAAAGCTGGGGAAGGTCGAGCTTCCGAGGTTGGACTGGGAATCTGGGGTCGATCGGCCGTGTTGCGCACTGTCTTGTGCACTGTACGTAATTAATGTGGGGAACCAAGAATAATGTCCATCGTCAAGCTCAGCATGTGACGCCTGCACCTCGACCTGTCTTGCATGTACGCAATGGCAACCAACGCAGAGAACGCCAAGGCGACGCGCGATCTCCTCGCGAGGGCGCATTCGCCCCAAGCCGTGGAGATAATCTACACAGAGAAGATCCAGCATCGAAAACTGCATTTGCGCGCGACATCTCCACCGCCCTCCGAGCTCAACAGCCGCGCTGCGCGACGAAGAAAGAGGCAAGCAGAGAAGGACAAGAAAAAACAAAAGCCGGCACCACTCTCAGCACGCGAGAAGAGGCGGTTAGGTCTGCACGACATCCCTCGCGAGGGTCAAAAGTACGAGATCTACGAGCCACTCAACAAGCTATGGCACGGCTACATCAACGAGGTGCTCGGCAGCGACGTATATACCGGCGGACCCAACACGGCGGCGAAGCTTGCGAGCGCCGAGTTCCACGGGGCGATTGTCAAGGTTGTTCGCAGTCGATGTCCTGGGCGCGTCGGCATCAAGGGGGTCGTGGTGAGGGATCGCAAGCATGTCCTGGAGATAGTGACGCGGAAGCAGGGCGTGAAGATGGTGCCCAAGGAGGGGACGACCTTTCGCGTGGAGGTACAAGTCCCTAGCAAACCAACTGAAGGCACTTCAACCGAGTCAGCGACCAAGTTGCCAGAGGCCACTAGCGACGACAAGAAGCCACATCAAGGGAACGTCTTTGTCTTTGACTTGCTGGGAGATCAGCTCATGGTCAGATCGGCGGACCGTGCGACGCGCAAGTTCAAGGCGCATTTCCAAAAGGAGCTTTGATCTGATACTCCAGTCGCCCACGCGGCTACGGAATATTCTCAACTTTCGCCCTGTGCATGCCGCCGGCGAACTATCCATATTGCGTTTTTCGCTGCGCGAAGCAACGAAGAGGTGCACCTTGTGCGCACATTTGTTGGGCTGCTGCCACGTCGTACGGAAGCACCAGCTCGCCTGGCGACATTCTCCAGGGCCACTTTTCGTGACGCAAGCACGACGTCGACGCAGATACACTGGTCTTGACTCACATGGAAGGCCTGCTGTGTCATTCCGTGGCGTCTTTTGAATCTCGCGATGGGCAGAACCACCGATTCTAATCTGCAACAAATGCCCACGTGACCTTGTCTCAGACATGGCCTTCGTGGCATTAGATGGCACACATCGGGCGGGGGATGAACAGAATAGGGACGCGACAATGATCCCTTTGGATCGGTTTGATGCTCCATGTCGAGGCTCTGTGTCCATACGGTAGCCAGACGAGGCGGTCAAGTGATTGGCATAGCCTCCCACTGGCAAAAGCAAAGGCGTGCTTAGGCAGCGCACTGGATCGGCATGGTTTACATTAAATACCGCCCATTCTCCATATGCTGTCGAATCTTGCACAGCAGGGGTTATGCTCCCGCCGCAGGTTGTACAGCGTGGCATATTGTGGTTGGCGGCCACACCGTGATGGTAGAAGATAGGCCATGTGGTTTTTATGAGGATAAGGATGCATTGTGGAGGCGCCAATTTGAATCTGCACAACGTAATTCACAATCTCCAGCAGTTCGACACAGTGATACGCAGTAGAGAGCAGGATGACCTGCATCTTGAATTCCATGCCCAGGCCCTCTGTAAATTGAAGCACGTATCCTAGCCTGCCCACTTTGCTCCGTGCCGACGAACAAATGACGACTGTGACGTGTCCAACTGGTTCTGTTAAGGCTTTCGGCATGCTGACCACACTCGGCTAATACACGGCTGTCGCACCACCCGCCTGGGACTGGATCCCACTGCCCTGGGCCAGGGCTGGCGGACCCGTCACCCAGCGTCCAGGCCGGACGGCAGCTGCTGCCACCTTCAATTTTTCGTCAACGAGGACGAAACTGACTTGGACAATCCACACGCATCCAGCCAGCCAGCCAACCAACGTCGCCAGCATTTTTCCAAATCTCGACTCTAGTCGCCCGACTTCACCTCTCACCTCTCACCTCACGTCACGACTTGACCTAACATCACCTTCCGAGCATTCCAACCCTTTGGAAACATTTCAATTCCTCCGCAACACGTCTCGCATGTCGTGCTTTGCCGACTCGAACTTCGCACAACTCCGTTGAACCCCCATCAATTCTAGCACGCGCCACCACCGAAGCTGCCAAAAGCTAATTACGCCTGCGAATTTTGCATCGGTGCTTGCCCTCCATTCCGTCTACGTAAACGACACACACGAAGCGACGCGTTGCACTTGCTAAATATGCCGTCCAATCTACCTTCAAGCTTTGCCTCAGCTGCTGCAGGCCAGAACGCGACTCGAGGTGGTCGAGGGGGAGGCAGTGACTGGTAAGTCCATATTGGGAGCCAGCCAGCCATATTGACTTTGGGCTTGTTTATCCCAACATGACTGGCCTCAAGTCTCGCTGCGCTACTCTGGTCCTGTGTATCTGGCTTTTTACATCCACAAAACACCAATCTTCGGATTTACTTCTTCTCAACCTGTCCTCCACAGTCGGCACTCAATCATCTGCTAATACATTCTTCTCTACCAGGAATCGACGTGACGGAAGGTCTACAAACGGGACACTAACCCTTCGTCGATCATCCACCACTCCACTAAGTCACCACTCCCAGACACCTTCCATCGACAGCGGTGCCCCTCTCTCCAGTACTGAGATCTCGGCTGCCACCGCACAGCCCGTATACGAAGTGAGCCCGGCGAGATACAAGAAGGACGACCTCCTCGCCATGGCACAAGGATCCCGGTCGCCGCGCGACGTGTCTAACTTGCTGCACTCGGAGTGGCACGCCGGCCACGCGAACGGGGGCGCCAACCCACGAGCCTGGGGAAAAAGCAACGAGAACCATATACCACAAGAACCGGGCGCATGCTGGGATGACGAGGGCGGCAGCACCGCGTTGGGGCTGCAGAACTTGACGGCGGATGAGCAAGAAGCCTTCATGGGGGATGTGAACTCCACCGTGAAACCCCCCACATTAAACAAGGATGGCACCAATCCAGCCGGAGTCAACGGTCGCAAGGCCTCCCTGTCGCAGGGCGCTGGGAACAACTTTGGACTCGGCTCCCCTTCCTCGGCAACTCGACCTGGCACGAGGAGGAGAGAGACCTCTGACGCCAACCAGTTCGGGGTGAGCTCACCCACGGCCAGCGCTGGGCGTGGCGGGCGAGAGGATCCTCCCTGGTTTTCGCGCCGCAACACGACCGACGTCAAGGAATCGACGTCAGAGGATGCCGAGGCTGAGCCCCAGGGAGGTCGACAGTTGCCCAACCCCATAGGCAGCTTGATGCGTACCAATACCTCTGGCAGCGCGGGCATTGGGGGGATATGGAACTCTTCGCAGCCCACGACACCCAGCGCCACGGGCGGCTTCGGGAACTTTGCCCTTGGGGGCGCGGTGGGCGAGAAGCGCGCCCCTGCCCCCAGCGGCGGAGGCAGCCGCCTTGCCCATCTGATGCCCAAGGACGCTGAGAATACTTCCGGTCGGCCCGCTGAAGGCCAAGGTCAAGGCCAGGGTCAGTCGGCTCTCAACCAGTCATCTTGGCGCTCTCGCCAGCGCACCGACACGGATCCCTTTGGCGAGGACCTGCCGACAGGCAGCGCCGCCTTGGGTGGTGCTCAGGATACTGGCCCGCAGGCTAGTCGTGCTGGAACCCTCGGTACGCCTGTAAAAGGATCGGCGGGCGACTTCGGAATGTCTGGTCTAAACCTCGGTGGTCATCAGGAGAACGGCCCCGCCAGTCCCTCTGAAACGAATCCTTTCCGCAGCCCGCCCACAGATCGCCAGGAGCGTGACGACGATGACGGTGCGGGCGGTGCCAACAAGCCATATCAAGGTTTCGGGCACGATGTTCCTGGCTACAACCCACTGCAGCGCGCTTTCGGCGGGAATCTGGAAGGTCATGACAGAAGTCAGACTTCCAGTGCAACTGGCCGAGGCTTCCCCCTTGGACACGTCTCAGCTTGGGGTGCCCCTGGCACAGCGACCCCGGACCGCGAGCGCGCTGGCTTTGGCGGTGCGCCCTTCTCGCCTGCCGCTTTCAACAACCCCGACAATGCGCCATCACCTGGGCTGGGCAACATGAGCAGCTTCTTTGGCAACGGTCCTGGCGCTGGACCAGGTGCTATTGGAACCAACAGCATCGGCCGTGGCAGCAAGATGGGCTCCCTCTTCCCGGCGGCCATGCAGGCGCAAATGCAGCAGGCGCACGAGCAACACGAATCCATGGGAGAAGCGGGTGCGGATCCTCGCCTGGCTGCTCAACTGGGAGCCATTGGTCGCAACAACTTCCCTGCGCCAGGACGCGACTCAGAGAGTCCTATGCGCTCTGGGCGCGGAGGATTCGAGAATCTGTTTCCCTCCATCGATCCCAATCGCGCCCAGCACGGCCAGCTCTCCCTGCAAAACATGTTCGATACATCCGACCTGGGTGGCATGGGACCAGTGCCTCAGTCTTTCACCCCCGTCAGCGGCAGCATGCCCTTTGGAGGTGGGAGCCAGCCCGGTATGGACCAGCAGCAGCAATCGGCTAGGACCATGGTTATGCCCGACCGTATGCGCTGGGTGTATCTCGATCCCAAGGGCGTCGTCCAAGGCGCCTTCACTGGCCTCGAGATGAATGACTGGTACAAGGCCAACTTCTTCAGCCCCGATCTGCGCGTGAAGAAGGTGGAGGACGTCGACTTTGAACCTCTGGGACAGCTCATCCGACGTATAGGAAACTCGAGAGAGCCGTTCCTGGTGCCCCAGGTGGGCGTTGCCCACGGCGATCCATCGCCTGCCGCTGCCTTCCCTCCCAGCAACACCGGTGGTGTCGTCCCACCCCTCCACAATCTCTTCCCCAGCTTTGGCCGAACCTTGACCGCCGAGGAACAGAACAACCTCGAGCGACGTAAGCAAGAGGAGCAGATTGTGCTTGCGCAACAGAGGGACTTTGCCATGCGCCAGCAGGCCATGGCCAGGTTCCCCGGTCAGCCAGGCCTTCAGCATCACTCGAGCGCGCAGAGCCTCCAGAGTCAACCGAGCTTCGGCAACATGGCCCAGGGACAAATGGGCCAGCACCCCGGCGGCATGCAGAATGCTTTTTTTGATCAAGCTGGCGAGGGACACGGCGCCCAGGGGCTCTCTAGTCGCGAGTTCCCTTCTGGTGCCGAGGATCTGACCAACATGTCTCAGCATGACCGTCAGATCCTGGCCGACCTCGCCAGCGATGAATCCTCCACACAGGCCATTGCTGCAGCTGTCGCGGAATCCAGTCTCCATGGCGTCTACCAAGATCTTGACGATCTGGCCGACGACCCGGAGGGATTCAAGCAACGACTCAACGAATTCCATCAGCTGCGTGCCGAGCGGGAAGCTCAAGACCCTGCCCACCAGGCTGATCCCGCCCGCGCCGCTGCTGAGGCCGCCCAAGCGGCCGACGCCGCAGCCTCTGCGCAACAAGCCCCTCAGGAAGGACGGGAGGGCGAAGAGGAACTCGCGCCCAAGGCGTCCAAGGCGCCCCGACCCAAGGGCAAGGGCAAGCCAAAGTACGTGCAGGACCCCAGCCTGTCCTTGACGCAACAGGTGCAGCAGACACAAGCCGCTGCTGCTGCCGCCATCGAGGACATTGAGCCCGGCATGCCGAGGCCCTTCCCTCCGCCGTCTTCCACAACGCCGCTCCCTGCGCCCACGGCCCAGCGCGTCCGCTCCAACCTCCCCGACCAGTACAACCGCTCTCGCTCGACCAGCCCTGCTGAGACACAGCCCCCACCAACCGCCCCCTGGGCCAAGGACTCTGGTAACAGTGA